AATGCTCTACTACTTAGCAGGCGAAGGCCGGCATGAATCAGGGTGGGGGGAAGTGTTGTTTTCCCTTGGTCTCTCTCTTAAAGCTCCCCATCCCAACTCCTAGATGAAGCTCCGAGAGGACTCCAAGGCTATATTGTTCCAGGCTGGCTAGAGTCCTGAACCAGGACAGGGCATACGCTACCACAAAGCCTTTGAGCAGAGTTCAATGGGGTTATTTTTATTTTATTTTATAAAATGTTAATTATAATATATACCTTACATATTGGTGCAGATTTCCTAAAATAACTTCTTAAATGCATGCTTCTTAGACCTGAGCGATTACACGTTACAAGCCAGGCACCCTGGAATGAATCGAACTCCAGAATGCATGCTTGCTGCAACAACACAAATGGCATCTTTTATAAAATGCCGTACCACTCCGTGTGGATAATTACATTAACAAAAATCTGGTTAACAGCAAGTTTTAAAAGAAGCCAGTTATGTCTGCTGGAAAATACCCTTGTTGGGAAAGAAATGTTTCAAAAAACGAAGCCCAAACAACAGAGGCTGCAAAAAAATTCAAGAGCAGTTTTCACTGTCACCTAGAGCTACAGAGGCACAGGATCTGTGTTTTAAGTCCTGCCTTGATTCCTTTCCAGCCTATCGAGTTCCAGAGATCAAGCTGAAATAAAGCCATGGGGACAAAAATGGGGTAAAACCAGAAAAGTACTTTAATGGCACCCTTGATATTAATAACTGCATGAAACAGGCAGGAGGTTGACAAGTGTGGTAAATCTATACCAATCAATAATTTCTCTCACATGGCTGCTAATAACGCAGAAGTCCTACCTGTCCAAAAGATGGCAACCATAGTTTACGTATGTTGGCGGTAGGGATGCAGGTGGAGCTGTGTTCTAAACCACTGAGCCTCTTGGGCTTGCTAATCTGAAGGTTGGCAGTTCGAATCCCGCAATGGGGTGAGCTTCCATTGCTCTGTCCCAGCTCCTGCCAACCTAGCAGTTCGAAAGCATGCCAGTGCAAGTAGATAAATAGGTACCGTTCCAGCGGGAAGGTAAACGGCATTTCCATGTGCTCTGGTTTCCATCACGGAGAGGGAGGGAGGAGGAGATAAAAAAGCGGGGGAAATGTAAATGGATATATTGATTGATTGATTGATTGATAATCTGGTTGTTACAATTTTTCAATATATATATATTTTTTTAATGCTACTTTCACGGAGGGAAGACTGGGGTGTGTGGCTGAGGGAGGGGGATCCTATATTCAGGCAGGGAAGAATGGGGGTAAGAAAGGGAGATGCTGCCTTCCCGCAGGGGAGCCTGGGGGTGTGGGGGGAGGGAGGCTTGGGAAGGAAGCTGCACACCCGCCAGCCTTATGGTTGGCGGGGCGTAGCTGGCAGGCGTGCAGGGAAAGGGGAGGCTGCCGGCAAAGCCGCATAGCTCCCCCACTCGCTGGGGCGTCCCTGAGAGGCCAGCACCCTGGTGCAACGAACCACTAAGCCCTATGGAAAAGACTGCTCTGGTAGCTGGGGCAGCCCAGTCAGATGGGTGGCATATAAATAATAAAATTATTATTATTATTATCATCATCATCATCATCATCATCATCATCATTATTTTATTATTATTTTAAGCGGTGCTCCCCACTATAAATGATTTCACGTCTACATGTGGTATCCAGGGACATAACTCCTGCCTAAGTGGGGAGACACCTGTACAAAGATAAATTTTACATCCATTGCTTCTTCTATTTTTACTTCTTGCCTTGTCCACCATGGACACGTGGCCTATGAAATGTTTTGTAGAATGGAAGCGGCCTTCAGGCTGAAAAATGTTTCCTCCCCCTGTCTTAGGGCAAAGCTACTGACAAAGGATCATACCAGGCCAGACTACAGAAAAAAGGGTTCCTTCTCGATTGCTTCTCCCAGTGGCACAGCCCAGCCATCATCTCTCTCCACTACCTGGTTTGCATCCACAGTGACCTTCCCCATCCTAGTCCGCATTAAGGGGGAAAGACTGCAGCCTTGCCTCCCTCCTGCTGAAGCCCAGCCTGCATCTTGCTGAACTTGGCTTTCCTCCAAAGAAGGCAAGCTGCCACGGCAGGGGGACTTCCAGAGCAATGTGGCCTTTCTGATGCAGGGCAGGTTTTGCATTTGGGGGCTTGCATCTTCCCAGGTAAGAGTTGAGTGCACAGTTGAAAGACCAAAACTCAGCCAGTCCATACAATGAGAACTTCTCTTGGTTGTCATTAAAAGTCACTTGGCATTTCTGTTACACAGCAACACATCAGCTTGCAGCAGTTCAGACAAGAGAAGAAATCCAATGAAGAAAAGATTTCTGACTCAGCGATCAGCTCCTGAATTACTAGTATATTTTAAAATAAAACCAGATTTTCCTTCAGCCTCCTGCCAGGCTTGGGGGTCTTCATGTTAATAATAATAATAATAATAATAATAATTTTATTATTTATACCACGCCCATCTGGCTGGGTTTCCCCAGCAACTCTGGGCGGCTCCCAACAGAATATTAAAAACACAATCAAACATCAAACAACAGGGCTGCCTTCAGATGTCTTCTAAAAGTCAGATAGTTGTTTATTTCCTTGAAATCTGATGGGAGGGCGTTCCACAGGGCGGGCGCCACTGCCAAGAAGGCCCTATGCCTGGTTCCCTGTAACCTCACTTCTCACAGAGAGGGAACTGCCAGAAGGTCTTCGGAGCTGGACCTCAATGTCCAGGCTGAATGGTGGGAGTGGAGACGCTCCTTCAGGTATACTGGGCCCAGGCCATTTAGGGCTTTAAAGGTCAGCGCCAACACGCTGAATTGTGCTCGGAAATGTACTGTGAGTCAAAGTAGTTCTTTCAAGGCCGGTGTTATGTGTTCTCAGTGGCCACTCCCAGTCACCAGTCTAGCTGTTGCATTCTGGATTAGTTGTAGTTTCCAGGTCACCTTCAAAGGTAGCCCCACCTAGAGCCCATTGCAGTAGTCCAAGAGGGAGATAACCAGAGCGTGCACCACTCTGGCGAGACAGTCTGTGGGCAGGTATGGTCTCAGTCTGCATACCAAATGGAGCTGGTAAACAGCAGCCCTGGACACAGAATTGACCTGCGCCTCCATGGACAGCTGTGAGTCCACAATGACTCCCAGGCTGTGCACCTGGTCCTTCAGGGGCACAGTTACCCCATTCAGGACCAGGGAGTCCCCCACACCCATCCACCCCGTCCCCCCAAAACATTTAGGTCCCTGAATGTGACTGATGACGTCACAGACTTTCCCATTGTAACAAAATGATGTCACCCCCATAGAACAATGAAATTGTGCCCTATGGGATAGAACAACCCAAAAGCTAATGAACAGGATGAGGAAAGAAGCTAAAATCAGAGAGATGAGACTGACCATCAATGAACTCTTTACAAAGTAGCAGTGCATTCCTAACCATGTTTACTCAGAGGTAAGTTCTATTGAACCCAGTGGGGCCTATTCCTAGGTAAGTGGGGTTAGACTAGCCAAAGTGCTGCTTGTCGGATAAGTCTCCTTTCAGCTCCTATCCCTTCCAGATAAATGACATTAATGAACACTTTAAACGTTTTAAATACATCATACCCTCTCTATACCCTTAGGAAGGGATGGTTCTTAAACTTGCAGCCCCTCTCCAAGGCTCCCACTTGCAGGATTGTGACCCTGAATGTCTAATAGGTGGCTCTGCAGGGTTGGAGGCGAAATGATTACTGATGCTTTTGGATAAACAAAAAGAAATAGATGTGAAGTTAAAACTACAGAAGTGAAGTGGGTGGAAAGGAGGAATTGCTGGGGTTTTTTGGCTGTTTTTGCTACCTTTAGACTTTGGACAAGCGGAAAGTGGCTTGCCCTAAGATAAGAAAAATAAGGTTTTTTTCCTAACAGGGCAGGCCTGTTGTTTTGGGACTCTGCAGGTAAAAATCTACTGAGGCCATCTCAGAGCCAGGACAGGTGGTTGCTGTTTCTGCTGGAGAAAGTGAGTGCAGGTGGGGGGACTTCACAGCCCTGAGGCCATTATCAGTCTCTCTCTCCTTCTGTGCTTTTAAAGTGAAGAAGAAATAGGTAAAACAAGAAGAAAAGGCTGCTTCCTAGGAGCCTTTTGGCGTGAGGTGGGCTGGGGGTGGGGGGAGCCACCAGATGGTGTGACTTTTCAGAGAAGGTGCCCTTGACCTCCAACCCCCACCCCAAAAACCGACATGCCTCTCATTCTCATCATTAGGTTTGGAAAGGTTCCCCCCCCCTTTAGTACCGTGGTTCCTAATGTGTGCCCCATGATTTTTAAGGGGGGCAATTCAAAAACGAGTTATTAACAGCGAAAGGCCCTTTAGGCTTCCTCCACGAAGTTCACTTTTTGAATAATAAGAATTATATGTCATGGGGGGGGGGTTAATCGGGATTTTAGAGATGCTTAGGTAGGTGGGGCATGGCCAAAAAAAAAAAAAAAAAAAAAAAGGTTGGGAAGCCAGTAACTCTGGATCCCTGCAGCACCAAGGTGCAGACTATTTGCCCGGCTTGCTCCAGGTGGCCCCCCATCAGAGGCATCTTTTTATCCCTCTCCCCCGCACCTCCAAAGGGGAGACAGAGAGAGGTGAGTGTGGGGTGGCGGGTGGCATGTAGAGCCATCGTGGCCCCGGGAAAGCCCTCTTTCGATGGGGTGCATGTTTGTGCTTTGGGGGGGGGCACGACCACACTTTGGTGGGAAGAGAGAGGGAAAAAGAGTGTGTGTGCGTGTGTGTGTATGCATATATATAATACATATATGTTTGTGTGTGAAGTGCTTTTTCCTCAAAAAATGTTTAGGGGTACTCTCATTTTCCCACTCATATTGCAATACTGCCCCTCAATGAGGCCAAACTTAGATTCACAAAATGTTTAGGGTATGCGTACCCCTGCGTACCTGCAGAAAAAAGCACCGTGCGTGTATGTGTGTGTATATATATATATATATCTCTCTCTATGTGTGTGTGTGTGTGTGTGTGTTTGTGTGTGTGTGTAGCGTTTCTTGTACGCTGTAGGGTGACACCGGCTGTCTGTCCCCCCTTCCCCTTCCCCTGCTTGCGGGAAGGCGGCGGCGGCGGCGGGCGGGGGGGCGGCAAGGCAGAGCGGCAGGCGGGGAAGCCATTGCCTGCTTAATAGTTGCTGTTGCAGCACTTCCGCTTCTCTCCCCGCGAGAGAGACACGAGTGGCCAGGCCCAGCCGCACCGAGGAGGAGCGCCAGACACAAAGGGAGAGAGGTAGGGGGAGAGGGGGCGCCCCGACTCTCACCCTCGACGGGCGCAGACGCCCCCGCCGCGCCTGGCCTCCCCCCGAGGGCGCGGAGGAGGGCGGCGGGGGCTTGGGGGCTTCCCGGGGGGGGGGGAGGGAGCCGAGAGGAGATGGCAGCGGGGGGAGGGAGGGAGACCCGGGTGGGCAGAGGAGACGTCGGGGGGGTAGGGAGTATTTGGGGGGGGAGAGAGCTGACAGGTCTCGCCCCGCACCCCTGGGAGCCGGGGGAGGCCGGAGGGTGCGCGGACGGGGGGGCAGCTTTCTCTCCCCTCCCCACCCCGTCTTGCAAACCGAGAAGGATGAGGTGGTGGGGAGGGAGGCGTGTTGTTTTGGGGGGTGGGGAAGGGTAGTAAAACAAAAGCCAAGGGGGGGGGCGTTTAGAAGTAGAGGAGGAAGAAGGGGCGGGGAGCCCCTTGAGGAGTAGCTAGCTGCTCCCCCCCCAAGTTGGAGGGGGGTATACTCTATAGACACCCCCTGCCCACAATACCGATTCCTCTTTCGCACCCACTACGGATTTCTCCTCTCCCCCCTCCAGGGCATTCCCCTTTTTCCTGGGTCATCTCTGCCCCCCCCCCAGTCCCTAATTACTAGTCCCCATTATGCACCTTCTGAAAAGTATTCCCCCCCCCAACCCTCACTTCCTGTGGTGGTGAGTTTTCCACCTCACCTCTTTCAGCAGCCTCCCAGTTTTTCCTAGTACCCCCCCCCCCGAATTTCTTACTTTGCCCCAGCCTTGTAGAATACCAATGTTTCCACCACTCTCTAGCCTCTGTTATCTGACCCCTTTATCTCCGTGTGTCATGGATGCTATTTGGAGGGGGTCGGAGGGGGTCCTGTGTGAAAAGGTTAGAGGAGGCATGTAAGGAAATTGCTTCGTCTCCCTAATCCCAGTTTCCCCTTTTATTAATTATTATGGTCTGCGCGTCCCCCTCGCCCCCATTTCCAGAGAGGAGCTGGCACTAAATGTTGCTGAAACTTGTGGGTGGGGGCTTCTCTTTGAATCTATTCATTCTTTCTCCCTGCGAAGAGAAGTAGAAAATGTTTTCTAAGAGCTTGACCCAAGACCCCCCGTGGCTCCTTGTCCAAGTGTTAACTGTTCCCCGTTTCCCTCTCTCCCCTCCCCCCCGTTCCTTGTGGTGTTTTCACTCCAGGTTTGGGGTACGTAGTGTGGGGTAGCTATGTCGGATGACGATTCGAGGGCCAGCACTAGCTCTTCCTCATCTTCGTCCTCCAACCAACAGACCGAGAAAGAGACAAGCACACCTAAGAAGAAGGAAAGTAAAGTCAGCATGAGTAAAAATTCCAAGCTGCTTTCCACCAGTGCCAAGAGGTGAGATTGTCCATAGCATTCTCTTCCTTATAGTTGTTGCGATGGCTTTTCTTCACTAAATACCTTTCTGGCATATGCTCTTTCTGCAAAACAATTACAGCCTACCCCCCATCAACATTATTGCCCACTCCCCAAGTGCATTATTTTTGTTTTAAAGAATCTCAGTTTTTTTACCTAACCATACCTCTAACCTTCTTCTTGAAACTTGTCATTATCACCTGTATCCGCCAGCAGAAAAGTTCAGAGCCCGTGACTTCAATCCAAGAGTACCTCAATTCCTGCTTTGCTACCAACTTACTGCGTAGCCTTGGGCAAAACTCTTAATTTCTTCACAAGCTTTCCTGGTGGATGGTGACCGTAGTCTAGTGTGCAGTAGTGTGATGTAGATTAATTAAGATTTGGTATCTGCATTGAGTTCATCCAATTAGGTGTTAAAATAGTAGTCTCCCAGGGAGAAAAAAATGCTACTTTCTATCGTTGCTCGCATTTAGAGTCAATCTTTTCTTTTTTTCAAATTCATCACAATTCAGCTTTCAAACTTTGATGCAAAAGATCACTGTTGCTTCAATAAGACGAGTGTTCTTATTGAAAACGTACAAATCTCACCCTTATGCTTACGAACCTCCTTGTGCAACTGGGATTTGAATTGGTATATCCAAAAAATTGTCTGATGGGTCCAGCGCTCTCCATCTTGTTTCTGCTGAAATTAATGTGTCACATTGGTATGGAAAGAGGAGGAGCCTTTCATGAGGAATTTTACCGAGGGGAGGGCACACACTAGTATTTGTATTGACTGCTAATTAATTTTGGGGAGGGAGAAACAAACAGAAAAATGCCCTTACTTTTGCTGCTTAGTGATAAAAATCAGTGGGAATTTTGTTGCTAACATCATTGATGTTTGGATCTCTTCTGTTGTGGTTAGTGAAGGGGAACTCTGTACTATTTATTCTCTCATACCTGTGATGGCATTAAGGTGATCCAATTGGTATGTCATTTGTTTCTGCTTCTTCTGTGGGGATCTTGTATGTTTCACTGCACAGAATGCTAGACTTGACCGAAGGTTGGCATGAGTTTTGGACTCATTAATTTGAGCAAAACAGTGTCTTTTGCCCTGTGTTTCTGACTATAAAGCAGGTATAATAGTTTCAGTGTTATGAAAATCACTAAGGTTTGGAAATAATGGACCTGGATCGACCTTAGTAGATTTATGTAGCTTGCCCTTTATCCCTATCAATAGTTTTTTTTTGTGTGGATGCTACTTGGGAAAGTCATACTGCTTTCATCTCTTGAATTCCCTGTGTAAGATTTGCCTTCTCTTTTGGTTTCTTGCTGTAGGATTCAGAAGGAGTTGGCTGACATCACCTTAGATCCACCTCCCAACTGCAGGTATGTGTTGATCCATCTTTTCTAATGGCTGGACTACGTGTTGCAATTAAGTGTGGCTACCTCCAACCTCTATTGCCTCCCATGTTTAGTTAAATAAGGCACGTGACTCGGCATGATATCATTGCACTCTGTGTTTTCCTACATTCAGTTGTTGGCTGCTGCTTGCAGAAGGGCAGGGAAATGAATGCATCTTACCACTTAAATGCAGGACGTTTTGTGGGGTGGCAGCTACCGCACCTACGATGGTAATGAGGAAGACTGGAGAGCACTTGACGGGTTATTACTTCTAAATACAATTTTTGGTTCTGAAATGTTGATGCAGACTATATTTTCCGAATGGCTTGGAATAATTCCTTATGGCCTTTGAGGCTCAGGAGGTGAATTCCGGATGTGAATATTCTGTTTCTTGTGCTTATTTTTATTGTACTTCAGAAGTAATTGCATTAGGAGTGGATTGCATCATTGGTTGTCATGCTATGTGAATGTATATATATTTCTGTGGCTGGGCAGTTGTGAAGGATATGAAAATGCACGTTCCCGTCACCCCTTTTGCATTTATAGGTATTATTCCAAATTGCATCATGCTTATTATTGCATTCAATTTGTGGGGGGGACGGGGACGGAAGACCTGTTGCTGCTTTTTCAAGTTGTTATGCCTCTGCGCCGTGCAGTGCTGCATGCAATAGGAGCGAGATTTGAGTTCCTAGCTCAGCATATGCACCTTAAGAGCATGCATGTAATCTGGTGAAAGCACACCCCGGGGGATGTCGTTGCCTTTTATAAAATGAGTGTTTGAGCTGTGTGTTAAAAGATTTAGACACTTTCTGAAAGTACCTGCTAAGCTGCTTCTTAGGTTATCACTTAGCTTTTGTAGCCCCTGAGCATTTAGATATGGGGTAATACAGTATAGATGGTCCGTGCTTGCCCCTTGTTAATTAAACAGGAAGGCTACTTTCAGCACATGCTGTCACAGTTGAGGCTGCTGTTTCTAGAGAGCATCTTTATCTGTCCAGGCTGCTAATAACCACTTTCGAGCCAGTTGCTATTGATGGTGGCAGCCGGTGAAACGATCCGTCTTTTAGAACACTTAGGGTGGAGCTTGCTTCCTCTACCTGCAAGACGTTCCCTTTCCTTTATGACTGCTCCAGCAAGCAAATGATGCGACTGTTAAAGTTTCATTTTAAAATCCAGCCATCACGTGAAGAAACTGGGAGGAAAATATGTGAGGAGAGCAGAGGTCTGGGCTTAACGAAGGGCTGCCCTGTTTATTTAACAGGATCAGCTAAAGACATATTTCCTTCTATTGGCCGAAGTCCCCATTGCAACGGGATCAGGAACATTATCAGTGACTGATGCCTGGATGAAAGAGGGGAGATGACTGATACAAATGTATTATGATGTTAAAGGTTTTTAGTCGTTGGTGTTTGATAAGAGAGACTTTAAAAACATGCATGACAAATGGCTTTGTCTTGTTGCTGAAGCTTCATGCGGTTTAAATTAATCATGGTTGTGAATTTGCTATGTGGGTTTTTGGAATCTGCTGTTCTCAGTGTTGCATTCTTGTTAATGGTTTCGCTCTTACCCTGCCTGATCGAAGTGTATGTCCAAATCATCCAAGTAATCTCGCAACAGTTATCTGTCTCTAAACAGCTTGTATATGAACTTGGTGCCTTTCAGGGCTATGCTAGCAAATTACCTTGTCAGAATATAATGACTGTAGATGTGGTTTCTTATTTCACTAGTGCAGTCCACCGGGAATCATAAACTTTGAGGCACAATACAGAGATGTTTGCTTTGCTCAAGCCTTTTGAGAGGCAAAAATTGGTTTATGCTACAAGGGCTTTAAACTACCTGGTGATCAGAGGAATCTTGCACTTCAAATCGTATATGTGAGCAGAAGTTTGGATGTTTTCAAGTTTCCTTTTCCTGTGGATTGTGTTGAACTTGAGAGAAGTATGCTAGCCTTGATTTGGCTCATAATTGGTAGTGAGAGGAGGAGGAGGAGGAAGTGGGGGGGGGACCTAGAAACCTTGAATCTTGAGTTTTAGAGTAACTTCATTGTTGGCACTTATTTGCTTGGGGGCACAAAATTGTGTCTCAAAACATTGTTCTCTCTTCATTCGCATCTTAAATCCGTTATGAAAATGACGGCATCTTTTGGGGATGTGTTTGCTTTGTCACACAAAAGAATATTTTAAAGTATTTTGTAGATGCGTGGATATGTTCTTGTGGAACAGAGCCATTTCTCTAGCCCGTGTAGGTGTTGCATTAAAATCACAGGCACAGCACAGGCTACAACAGATTTATGTATCACGTGTGAAAATAGCCTATGTGTTGCCATTTCCTAACACAGGAGTAACCTTTGCGGTGCACCCCCTGACCATTGGTCATGCTGGCTGGTGCTGATGGGAGTTGGAGTTAACAACATCTGGAGGGTAACACATTGACTACCCCTGCCTTTATGTATTCAGTGTGAATCCAGCTGTTAGCTGATGCTGTGGGAAAGATCCATACCTTTACACCAGTAGCATTGGCCTGGCAAGGTTGCTTTCTCCTAGTCTCATGCTGCTCTCATTCAGGATTGGAGACTGCTGTAGCGGCCCATTACAGATGTGAGAAATGCACAATTTTTTAAAGGATTTTGCAGTGTGATCTTTAGTGCCGCTATGATTTCAGGGGACGTAGAGCCAAAAAGCTCCTTGTTGTCTTTTTAAAGACAGAATGGAATCACATTTCACCCCACCTAAGCTGCTACAGCATAGCTGCATGCCCTGAATATTATTGGTGACGGGGGGGCCTGTAGGTTTATTCCTCATATACGTTTTGCTTCTTCTATGAGTTTTCCCAACAAGGCACCTTAAAGCTTTCTGTGAGCCCATGATGTCCTGCATCTCCCCTTTCATTTGATGTGTTTGCCTTCAGGACAAGGTTGAGCACTGCCAGTGAACCGGCTGCCTGTGTTTTGTCTTGGCTACGCTCGAGAAAGCTTGGATTGTTGCTTTTGTTCCTCGAGGGGGCTCACCGTGAAGCCCCCTGCCATAGGCTGCTTTCACAAGTGACACTAAGAATGCCTTTTTGTCCCTCGCACTTGTGGATATGGTTAATGTGGGAAACGGTCCCTTTTAATTTGAGTGATAATCTTTGGAGCTGCTAAATTCAAAGGATCTGGCGGACGGGCATTATCTTATTCCTAGGAACAAATATAGTCTTTAAAATGCACCATCACATCAGTTGCTGTTTGGTTCGAGAAGTATACATTCAGCCTCTCACCGTCCGTGATAACTACAAAGTATTTGGAGGAGAGCAGAGATGATAATATATGGGCATACATAGTGAAGGTTGTAACTGTGCAGGCATGGGAAATGTGTGCAAACTGCTGAAGCAGTTCCTGTGAAAGTGGCCATTTGCTTCTGGCAGTGGCTCACTCCTTCTTTTGTCAGGTTTTATGTATATGTTTAGGGACGCGGGTGGCGCTGTGGGTTAAACCACAGAGTCTAGGACTTGCCGATCAGAAGGTCGGTGGTTCGAATCCCCGCCACGGGGTGAGCTCCCGTTGCCCGGTCCCTGTTCCTGCCAACATAGCAGTTTGAAAGCACGTCAAAAAGTGCAAGTAGATAAATAGGTACCGCTCCAGCGGGAAGGTGGGACGCGGGTGGCGCTGTGGGTAAAACCTCAGCGCCTAGGACTTGCCGATCGTCAGGTCGGCAGTTCGAATCCCCGCAGCGGGGTGCGCTCCCGTTGCTCGGTCCCAGCGCCTGCCAACCTAGCAGTTCGAAAGCACCCCTAGGTGCAAGTAGATAAATAGGGACCGCTTACTAGCGGGAAGGTAAACGGCGTTCCGTGTGCTGTGCTGGCTTGCCAGATGCAGCTTGTCACGCTGGTCATGTGACCTGGAAGTGCCTTCGGACAGCGCTGGCCCCCGGCCTCTTAAGTGAGATGGGCGCACAACCCTAGAGTTGGACACGACTGGCCCGTACGGGCAGGGGTACCTTTACCTTTTACCAGCGGGAAGGTAAATGCCGTTTCCATGTGCTGCTCTGGTTCACCAGAAGCGGCTTAGTCATGCTGGCCACATGACCCGGAAGCTGTACGCCAGCTCCCTCAGCCAATAAAGCGAGATGAACACCGCAACCCCAGAGTCGGTCACGACTGGACCTAATGGTCAGGGGTCCCTTTACCTTTATGTATATGTTTGATGGTACAGTCAGACCTCAGTTCCCAAACGGCTCCGTTTTGGAATGTTTCGGCTGGCTCCCGGACACCAAAAATCCGGAAGTAAATGTTTCTAACATTTTCAGAAGCCGAACGTCCAACACATCTTCCGCTTGAGTGCAGGAAGCTCCTGCAACCAATCGGAAACCACGCCTCGGTTGTTGAACGTTTTGGAAGCTGATCGGGCTTCCAGAATGGATTACATTTGTCAACCAAAGTTAGACTGTACTAAAATAGTGCGGCTTCTTCTGGCTGCTCTTGTCATACCACACTGCTGTTGCATCTCCTCCTTGATAACATGCAAGATCGCCTTCCTTGTCCCCAAGCCCCCCCTCTCCCTTTGCACCATACCTGATAAGGATCTCCATGGTTGTTGGAAGCAGCCCCCCTGCATTCAGAGGGCAGTACTTTCCAGGGGATCAGGTTTCACACGCTTTCGCTTTATGGTCTGGGAATGAAACCTGACTTGAAATGCTCCAGATGTGTGCAGAAAAGTGCTTTCTTTTATTGACTCGGTGCACTTTGGGAATGTGCACCAAAGGCTAGAAATCGCCCCGAGTACACCCAGTTTGCGTACGCAACAATTACTGCACAACAGACTGAAGAGCAGCAACAAACATGGGCAAAAAGGAGCAGCGGCGAGCCCTCGAAAGCAGCTACACACCAAACTTTCATGAGGACCCCTAAGAAAGGGAAGAGAGCAAATTGTTTCTCAGAAAGGGGCTTTGTGTAAAATCCTTAGTCTGCCAGTGTCCGCAATTTTTATTTTATTTTATTTGCCATTTTTGGTTTGAGATATTTGTGTTCTTTTAAATGCCATCTTTCCGGGTAATACTGCAGAGTTTCTGTTTGTCTCGTGCATTTTGATGTGCTAACTTGACACTTGTTGGAGAGTTTCCATGGGAGGGTGAGCAGTTTTCCTTGTGCATTTGTGAAATTGCTTGGGTTCTTGCTTGGCAGTTATTACGAGAGAACTGAAGGCACGTTTTGACTGGGGCTTAAATAGAAGATAGGGCTTTGACGTCCAAAGGATCACATCTGGCTAGCAAGAAATAGTGCTGTCTATTGGAATTTCAATAAACGTCTCTTTTAAAGCGCTTAATAGTAGCATAGAATTTCCTTAAGAGTTGTGCAAACGTACTGGGCTGGCCGAAGGAAAACAAAGCGGGTGGTTCCCCCCCCCCCATACCTATTTGCGTGAATTTCATAGGTCGCAGAAGAAAAAGTGCAAATAACAGCATAGTCTCACAAAGTACAGTTTGGACTTCATAACTAATCTAACATTTTGTCTCTCTAATTATAACAGGAGCATTTTAAGGTTGTTTTTCAGGTTTGTGTGATTTAGAAACCTTCAGGGAAAACTAATAGTAAAACTCCTATTTCAAATATGCACAATATGCATGAATCCTATTAGTTTGTCCAGATGTTGTTTCTTGTAACTTTTCTCTCTCCAAAAATGCCTACAAACCTTTTGACCTGAAATAATAATAAAGGAGGGGGAGGACTGGATAAATTTTAATGTCATGCTAGAAAGTAATACATAATACAAATGCACAGAAATGAATGGGATATTATCTCTGATTTGCAGAGATGGAACTGAGAAATTTGAATTCAATTTCACATGTTGTGCAGCAATAAATTATTGGTGTTTTTTCAATAGCCCTAAATCTCCCTCTAAACTCAGTGAAGGCTTAAAAAAAAATCTGACAATAGAACTGAACTCTACTTTCATATATTAATTAATCTGTGCCCCAGTATCTTAATTCTTTAAAAACTTATACAGATTTGGTCTCCTTAATATCAGTGGAACTATATGCAAGTGCATATTTTTAAGAATCAAGGATTTAAAATACACAATTTTTTTATTATTTTGCAAGAAATGCTATATGAACGAATGTGTTCCCTTGAGCAGCTATTGCCTGGGCAAATGTGTTAAATGGGCTGCTTTCTAGCACTCCATAATGCAGGAATACTCTGCAGCTGTTTAACCAAGATGAGAGTTTTGGTTTTTCTTCCCTTTGTTCACTGGCTTGAAAGAGACATTTGTGAATGCCAAGTTCATTTTGCATATGTATGCTTTCTGTTTTTTGTCAGTGGTGACGTGATATGGAGAGTACTTTATAAATGTTTATTAGCTGAAAAATTCCTACATAATGTGAAGCAAATACTTAAGGAACAGTGTACAATAAGGTTCATATGGAGAAATTGGTAGTTAAACCTGTAGAAAGACCTACATTAGTTTCTTTTTACTTTTTTAAATATAAATTAAAGCCAATAATGATTAGAGACTGTTCAGTTAGCACATGTTTCTCTCAGGCAGATTTATCACTTTTTAGGGAAAGCTTTTTGCAAAACATTATCCAAATGAAGATATAAAATTCCTTTCTATATTACAATGCCCTCAGTACTGAACAGCCTTTCAGGGCACAGCTCTGAATAAAATCCTCACTTTTAATCTGCCGTTAATGTACTAATCCCGTGCTTTCAGATTTAATTACCGCATCCAGTTCACGCAAGAGTTTGATTATTTCATTTATTAGAAATTAAGCATTGCTCTTGGTGGCTTTACCTGCAGTGATGAAAAGAACCTCCTGCTTAAATGCAGATAAAAGTTAAGTGCTGCTCTGCATGTGCAAAGTGCCTTTGCCTCCTCTCGCCATAGGCAACCACAAGCAGCAACCATATTTCTTGGGACTGGGGTAGTGGCTCCCCAAACAGGGTGGACAGAACAGCTGGAGCGCGCACAAAGCCCCAAAGAAATTCAAGATCTTCATGGCAGTAATGAACTCTTCCTCAGTCAGCAAAGATCTGTTTCAGAAGAGATTCAGTGGGGAGGGTTTGAAGTTTAAGGATCTAGAGATTTAAGATGTGTGATGGCAACAGCAACTGCTTGCCTGCCTATTGCATCTGATTGGGGGTCTTGGAGGGGCCCCACTGAAGGTCTGGGCCCTTGGCCATTGCCCCACCTGGGCACTCTCTAGCATTGGGCCTGACTGGGACGGTTGCTAAGTAATTGTCATTCTTGTGGCTCATTGGATTAACAGCATCCTGAACTAGGATGGTTGGCTTGGTCACAATTGTTCTGCAGCAGTTTAATTCCAAAATTAAATGCAGCAGTCGGCGGCACGGAGCGTGGGCTGTGTTTGATCAGCGTAATTTTTTCGGCACTTCTCCATAGATGTGTGGGAAAACTAAGTTGCTGTTGCTGTCTGGTGGTTGTAAGGTGAAAAAGTGAGGGACGTGGGTGGCATTGTAGTCTAAATCACTGAGCCTCTTGGGCTTGCCGATCAGAAGGTCGGCGGTTCGAATCCCCTTGATGGGGTGAGCTCCCGTTACTCGGTCCCAGCTCCTGCCAACCTAGCAGTTCAAAGGCACACTAGTACAAGTACAGAAATAGGTTAACGGCATTTCCGTCACGGTGCTCCGTTGCGCCAGAAGCGGTTTAGTCTAAGGTTACCATATATATTTTTTAATGAATCCGGGGACACTTTTCAACTTTAATGGATTTTGTATGAGGGCTGATTTGTAAATCCAGGGACTGTCCCCGGAAAATGGGGACGTCTGGTAACCTTAGTTTAGTCATGCTGGCCACATGACCTGGAAAGCTGTCTGTGGACAAACGCCGGCTCCCTCGGCCTGAAAGCAAGATGAGCGCCGCAACCCCATAGTCGCCTTTGACTGGACTTAACCTTCCAGGGGTCATTTACCTTTACCTGTAAGGGTAGGGGCCACTTGCCACACAGTGTCTACTGCGTCTCTAATAACGTGGCAGACAGCTATGCCTTCCATGGGCATCAAGTAAATCACTTGAGAGAGATAGGATGTTGCCTTTGATAGGCATTTGGCCTCAATTAGCAACACTCTCCTGAAATATTTGAGTAAGCACTTCAAATGGCCATCCATTGGAATAGCACGATTTAAAAAACAGTAATAATTGAGCCTGTTTCCTTTTAAACCTGCATCCTCGTTTCTGATCGTTTAGCACTATTTCCAGCACATTTTGCAATTTATCTCAGCCCCTCTGTCTGTGCCAAAATGTCTTGGGGGCTGCACTTGTTCTTCTGGGTAGGGGCTGGAACACAGTGGTAGGACACGAGCTTTTGCATGCAGAAGACGTTCAGCTTCTATGCCTGACATTTCTCCGTAAAACTAATCTTGGGTCCCAGAGACCTTGGAGTGTTGCTGAGGGAGATAGTATTGGAACTAGACAGACCAGTTGGTCTGATTGAGTACATTTACTTCACCTGTAAAGTTCGCTTTACAGCAGGATGATAAAAAAAACAAACTGGGTGATATTTCCTGGGAGCCCACAATTACTTTGCACAGCAAACAGTTTCAGTTGATTCTTTTCTTCTTCTTCTTCTTCTTCTTCTTCTTCTTCTTCTTCCTTTTAAAAAACACCTCCCCAAAACACCAGAGGCATAGATACTAATGGCAAGGTTTGTTTAGTTTAGATCATGCGGCAATAGCTAGCTTGATTTTTTGTAGTGATTTTCTGTTTGGTGCACCCTTTCTAAGTAATTCCCTAATGAGCTGAGTGCCTTGCCTGCCAAATATGAAAAATGACAGATTTTGGAAGCTGCTTTGGCAAAGAATTGAAGTTTGAAATATCCACATACCACTTACCTTTATTATTTTAACTGTCTTTGCGACCCATTGGAAACACATTTTGATAACACTTGCGGTGCTGTGAGCACATCTTACTTGCGTCTTGTGTGCAGGGTAGGGGTTACAGTAGAAACCATGATCTGGAAAGCCTTATGCCAAAGTAATCATATGCAAACAGTGATTTTGTTTATGTAGCTCAGCTTATCTAAAACCTTGGGATGTTTCCTGGGCTATTTTGATCAACGAGATAGTGCTAGGTTGTGAAAGTTAGCATATAGAAGACCACACATGCAGTTTGGTATCAATTCAGATAATCCATAGGGTTCATAGCACTGGAATTTCTAATATTGTATCTGTTTTAAGTGCACAATTTCCAGACTTTGCAAAGAAGAGCAGACAATTTTTACAGCCATTCTATGAAAATACAGCACTGTCCAGAACTGTCCTTACAAAGGCCAAACTCTATTTTGCACAGGAGATCTGTGATCGATCTCCCATCTCTCTCCCTCCCTCTCTCTCTCTCTCTCTCTCTCTCTGAAATGTGACGGTAAAGGTAAAGGGGCCCCTGACTATTAGGTCCAGTCGTGACCGACTCTGGGGTTGTGGCGCTCATATCGCTTTATTGGCCGAGGGAGCCGCCGTACAGCTTCCGGGTCATGTGGCCAGCATGACTAAGCCGCTTCTGGCAAACCAGAGCAGTGCATGGAAACGCCGTTTACCTTCCCGCCAGAGCGGTACCTATTTATCTACTTGCACTGGTGTGCTTTCAAACTGCTAGGTTGGCAGGAGCAGGGACTGAGCAACGGGATCTCACCCTGTTGCGGGGATTCGAACCGCCGAGTACTGTGTACTGAGCCTCAGTTGAGGAAGAAGAGGTGTGTGCTTAAACCTTTCGGTTTCCCCAATCAAAATCCTGCTCTTTCCTCTCCAAAGCTGCTATTTGCCCTTTGAGGAAAACAAAAGCATGTTGATACCTTCAAAAAAGAGAGAGGCTGCTGTTTTGTCATGTCGACGTGTAATAGTTGAAGCAAACTTAGTAGCTGCAAGTGAAAACTCCCGCTTATGTGTTGTTTCATGCGCAAGAGGTAGACTTTTTCTTACGCCAACCTAGCACATAGTACATGCAAAGTGCCTTCTGCCCATTCCTCCTATTCTTTTCTCACAGTTCCCAGCTTTCTCTACAGGCTACTGCCATCTGTCTGGTCCGGAAAAAGCAGCTGTTCCAAGTCCCTTCTCTGAAATAGGGGAAGGTAACTGACCTTTTTTGTAATTAGTAAAAAAGTGCTGCTGATCTTGTAGGGCAATCACAGCTGCCTTCCAGAAGCTGGGAGAGAGTCAGGATATGCCAACACTGGTGGTTGCAAAGGCTGCAAAGAATGGTGCAGTACTCTGTTGTAAGGGCCGGAGATGTGACTGCTCTTAATCTGTACTGCTGTTTCTTACTCTGAGAGAGTAAGGCGGGTTGGGAATAGGAATATACTTTGGTGATGGGTTGGGAACATAGTTTGCCACGACTAATTGCTGACAATGGGACAGGACACTTGCTGTTGACCCTGATGAGCAGGCAAGTGGCCAGTTGAACCTCTGTTTTATCCAGTTCTTAAACAGCAAAGATTTAATAGACTTAGGGGGTATAGTAAGATTTCCTAGAAGAAACCAGAGGCCTTTCTCCTGGGCATAGTCGGTCAATCGGTGTTAAAGAAGGACAGAACTTTCTTTATGTATGCTACAACAGCAGCAAGAATACTTATTGCAAAGCACTGGAAGACACAAGACTTACCCACACTGGAGGAATGGCAGATGAAATTGATGGACTACATGGAATTGGCGGAAATGACTGGCAGAATCCGAGACCAGGGAGAAGAGTCGGTGGAAGAAGATTGGAAGAAATTTAAAGGCTATTTACAGAAATATTGCAAAATTAATGAATGTTAGAATGATGTTGGATTGAAGTTAAGTGGTTTCTAGCTGTACTGGTATAAAAGAATATGGAAAAATTGGTTTTTAATACGTAAAAATCTAATGTTATAATATATCAACAGTAAAGATCAAGATTAAAAAGGAGGGAAAGGAATTGCTGGACTAACAAATTGAATTGGAATACAAAAGAGGGAGGTATGAGGAGGTCCGGGAAACAAGTAAATGTTAGAGAAGCGATGAAAAGATGGAATTGTTTTTAACTGTTTTTTCTTTTTTGTACTTTGTATTTTTCTTTCTTTATTGTTATTTTTCTTATTAATGTAATCTTTTTCTTCTGGAATTTTAATAAATATTATTATTATTTTTTTTAAAAAGGAAGATTTCCTAAGCCCATTTAGATCTGGATTGGGTGCCATATAGATGGTAAGTTATTTAAAAGAAAGCCCTTGAAAGTTCCAGGTTCCACTGTACCTGTGGAGGAGAGGATATCTGGATAGGGCCATTGGTTAGAGCTGGCATGGCCAAACTTGGCCCTCCAGCTGTTTTGGGACTACAGTTCCCATAACCCCTACCACTAGTCCTGTTAGCTAGGGATGATGGGAGTTGTAGTCCCAAAACAGCTGGAGGGCCAAGTTTGGCCATGCCTGGGTTAGAGCATAACTCCAGGGTTGCAGGTTTGATCCCCATATCGGACATACCGTATATACTTGAGTATAAGCCGACTTCTTCAGCACATTTTTTATGCTGAATTTTTAATGGCTTATACTCGAGTGAGGCGGGCAGCGGCGGAGGGACGAGTGGCCCGAAAGGAGCCCTTTTGGGCTGCTCCTTCCTCTTCCTCCGCCTTTGCTGCTGGTGGCGGCGGAGGAACGAACAGCCTGAAAGCTGCCCTTTGGGGCTGCTTGTTCTTCCTCCCCTGCTGCCGTCACCACCAGGTTTGTGGTGTGGTGAACCGGCTTATACTCGAGTCAATAAGTTTTCCCAGTTTTTTGTGCTAAAATTAGGTGCCTCGGCTTATATTCAGGACCGCTTATACTCTAGTATATACGGTATTCCTGCATTGCAGGGGTTAGGACTAGAAGATCCTCAGCGTCTCTTCCAACTCTACAATTCTATGATGTAACTTACCTGCTAAAATAATTCATGCAAAGTATGAAAGACAATTTGTGGTGGCAAAAAATGTGATGTTGCCTGCTCCGAGCACTGTAAGCTATAGGAATACAGTACTTTGCTTTCAAACTGTGATGTTCCTGAGATGCTACTTTTACCAGCCCCATGAAGTGCCGTGTAATATATTCTTTCACATCCATTTGAATGATACAGTTTCCCAAGTACAACTTCCTTGAATTTTAAAAACCAAAAGGCAAGTGGAAAATAGTGGTGCTCACGACCCCACAGAATATGGCATCAGGACTTGCTAACAAAGAAATAAACATGCTGGTTCTAAGACCAAAAATAGCTCCCACAGATAACGTTCCTTGATTAACTCTTCCCTGAGTTACAGAAAGGAAAGACGGTGCTGTGATAGCGTTGCAAAAGCTTCTTGCATAGTAAAATAATCTTGAAATATAGGTTCCACCCCTGCCACTCACCCACATGCACACATCTCAGTTTTGGAGTATTTCTGGAACTGAAGGAGTATTTTCGGTCCGTGTGGACAGAATTTTTTGACAAGGGAAAATTTGAAATCTGGTTGTTCTGGAGATGTCTTGTCTCTTCTCCGCATACATATTTCATTTAGGAAAAGTGTGTCACGTATTTCTAGAGCGTTAACATGTGATGATGACCCCTCATGTATTTATTTATTTTTTTACTACATAGGGTTTACATCTGTTTCCTAAATGGAAGAGCTTTTGCATAGAAAATTAATCACGTTTGAAGTGGCCCAGAAAAATGCTTTATAAGGCAGAGGGAAGTGGCAGTGTGTTTTAATTATAATAGTGCTTAGCTGTAGAAGATTAGTTTGCAAGGATGCTAAAATGATGTGGTCATAAAAGTAATTATATCAGTCTTATAGTCTACCACAAGGGGTCATTTAATCAGAGGTTTCTGATCCATCTCATTTGTGTGTGTGTGTGTGTGTGTGTGTGTGTGTGTGTGTTTGTGTGTGTGTGTGTGTGTGTGTGAGAGAGAGACAGAGAGAGAGAACATAATTTTAATCTGAATTTAAATAATCCACTGTAATTTATTCTACTTACATGTTAAATGTTTAGAAAAGCCACATTTTGGCCATTCTTCCTTTCCATCAGTAATGCTGGACAGAATATTTAAACAATCAAAAATCAGGGTGAAATAGTTGCTTTTACCAAGTGGTGTTCTTTATAGAGAAGAAATAATGGGGTTTCCCTCTGCTCTGTCAGTGAACTTATTCTTGGTCAACTTTCCCGTTTTCTTTTAATCTCCTGGATCAATCTGACTTTACCACAGGTGGTGCAAACCAGCTGTGGGTCAGATTAAATAATCTAATGGGGTGGATTGTATCTGTAGCCACACACTTGTGTCTTTTCTTTCCAGTTGACAGAGCACAGGATAGTGTCTGACTGTTGATTTTAACCGGCTCTCTTTCTTACTGTTTATTTCACCTTTTCACCAACCCAAGAACAATATTGCGATTTTTGTTTAAGATCACGTAGATCCACACAAACTTTACCTTTCTGTTGCTTCAGGCTGGAGAGACTCTCATGAAGCTCTGTGAGCACGCTTGCCTATCTGCAGATATTTTTGTGTCTACTGCACTTTCGGTTTGTGGTTGATGACTACATTGTGAGAAGGTTTCAGGTCTGCCCCCCTCAATTTAACTAGTGTTAGATCGCCAGCGGAGTGGCTCTATTCAAAATTGGATTTGTTCCTAATCTCTTCTTACCAATAAATTTGCATTCTTTCAAATACACATTTCAGAGACGGAGCATTTCATATTTTTGTTGCTTTACATTAATCACAGTTGTGGGGTTCTTTTTAATTGTTGCGCCTTAAACCCACATCTGCATCGGAAAAAGCAACTGCAAAGAAATATAGTGGATTCAAGACCTTTCGGGACAGACTGGAAGGGTTCGTTGTGAACAGAACTTAGAGTGGATGGAACAAGTTGGATTTTGGGATGTTGACGGTTGCAGAGAATTCAAAACTGGTTTTGTCCCCAGCCTTCATAATCTCATAGCTTTTAAATAGACCTTGGTGTTGAGGCAAAGGGAGCTGAGCTTTTCTTCACAGTTTCTAGCCCATTTCCTCCCTTCCCCCAGCTGTGTATTTTATCTGATAAAATGGTGGTCAGTCAAATGCAGGTAAAAGGTAAAAGGGACGCGGGTGGCACTGTGGTCTAAACCACAGAAGCCTCTTGGGCTTCCCGATCAGAAGGTTGGCGGTTCGAATCCTTCTCTGGGAAAAACCACTAATATCTCTATAAGAGATACATTATGGTTTTCCATTTAATATCTGAATAAATATATCACACAAACATGCATGAAGCAGTCTTCCACAAATAAGTATTGCAAATACTATATTGTGTCTTTCCATTAGCATATATGCTTTCACTATAATGGGCTAATATAAATATTGCCTAATTAGACAATTTAATGCCAGATCTTGTGTGCTTGTTTGTAGGCATAAGCATGCAGCTTAAAATGGCATCTAAAACACATAATGATCGTGTTCTCAAAATGAGAAATTGTAACCTGTCTTAAGGATTTGAATCCTTGAGAAAAAGCTTACAGACATCACCTTAAAATTACCTACTTTTTAAGTATATCAATGTGGAACACAAATGCCAGTTTCATTCTTGGAAAGCTTCCTAGTTTAGCTTATCTAAAGCATGTTGAAAATACAACTTTTTTTTTTTTAAGTGTCTTGGTCTTTGTAAACTTTTGCACACTTCTAACTCTTTTTAACCTAAGGATATATTTTTAATTGTTGCTGATTTATATACGTAGAAACAGCAGCAGCAGCAGCAAAAACCATGAGGTTGTAATTATGACTTAAAAGAGTCCGGGTTTGGTGCTGTTGTGCCATTAATGAAACAGACAGAAACAGTTGTCTGTCATGCTGCCGTGACATATAACAGCAGGCAGTGACAACTTCTGCCAGTGCTTAAATACTGGCCAGCAACATTTTTAACTGTCCCTTACAGGCAAATCTAGGAATTTTCCTTTGTCTCCAGTCCTTTTTGCAGGGAATCAGTATGGCAAATATGGGGTTATAGATTCTCTCCCTCCTATGCTAAGAGCTTCATGTCTGAGCAGGAATTTGAACTCCAGTCTTTCCTGTCCAAAATCCAGCGCTTTCTTTGCATTGATGTCACATTATATTGTATGCCTGTGCTGAGAAGACATAAGCCTTTAGCAGAATAGAGGAAGCTCTGAACCTACAGAGGTTGTTGGCCTCAAAATTCCCATTAGCCTCAACTAATACCTCCAGTGGCCAGGGATGATGGGGACTGTAGTTGCAACAGGAGAGCTACAGGTTCTCAGCTCTGCTTTAGCCCTTGCTTAAAATGTCTGCCTGCCATTTTCTAGAAGTGAAATCCACAAGGTACCAGGCTTAGTCACACAGAGGACTGTGGCTTGCAATGTTGATCACTTGCATTCTGTGGTTCTGCTTCAACCAGCCTCTGCTAGTGCACCATTTAGGTCAGGCATAGGCAAACTCGGCCCTCCAGATGTTTTGAGACTACAATTCCCATCATCCCTGACCACTGGTCCTGTTAGCTAGGGATTTGTAGTCCCGAAACATCTGGAGGGCTGAGTTTGCCGATGCCTGACTTAGGTTGATTCTAAACAACAAGACATTGTGTTAATGTTAAGGATGGTGCTGTGGTCTAAACCACTGAGCCTCTTGGGCTTGCCAAACAGAAGGTTGGCAGTTCGAATCCCCACGATGGGGTGAGCTCTCATTGCTCTGTCCCAGCTCCTGCCAACCTAGCAGTTTGAAAGCACACCAGTGCAAGTAGATAAATAGGTACCGCTCAAGCGGGAAGGTAAGCGGTATTTCTGTGTGCTTGTCCTCCGTGCACCAGATGAGGTTTAGTCATGCTGGCCAGAAAGCTGTCTGCTGACAAACGCCGGCTCCCTCGGCCTGAAAGCAAGATGAGCGCCGCAACCCCATAGTCGCCTTTGACTGGACTTAACTGTCTAGGAGTCCTTTACCTCTTTTTTTTTTAACCTACATAAATTTGACATGTGCTTCTCATATATACAACTGACAGGCAGATAGCTGAGTGTCTTTTTAACTTACTACTTTTCCTTTTTTTATTCCTTTACTATTTTATTACGCCTTTAATATTTTTATATCTGTGTTATCTTTTCTTTTCCTTTATTGCTTTGTGCTTGCTTCTGCCGTGCTCTGCTGCTTTGTGGGGGGTTTTTTTTTAATCCTCCACTCAGGGTTAATGAAGGGTTTGCATACAGATGAAGCTGTCGGATGGTTGGCAAAGGACCCTATGTGAGAGGCAGGCAAGGGAAGCTCTCCCAGGTGAGATCTGAAAGGGTTCACATCTTTCCAGGTGGGACAAGTTAAGATCTACCTATGAGAGAGGACTTTCCGTTATTTTTGTTTAGAAGAAGAAGAAGAAGAAGAGTTTGGATTTGATATCCCGCCTTTCACTCCCCTTCAGGAGTCTCAAAGCGGCTAACATTCTCCTTTCCCTTCCTCCCCCACAACAAACACTCTGTGGGGTGAGTGGGGCTGAGAGACTTCAAAGAAGTGTGACTGGCCCAAGGTCACCCAGCAGCTGCATGTGGAGGAGCGGAGACTCGAACCCGGTTACCCAGATTACGAGACTACCGCTCTTAACCACTACACCACACTGGCTCTAGATTAGTGTGTGTTTTTTATTGTGTTGTACTATGAAAGGTCTTAATAAAATCTGATTGGGGGGAAATTACATAAATTGGCGTGTGCTATAGAAGAGTTTTGAACTCCTTGATGCATGAAGCTGGGATAGCTCAGTCGGCAGAGCATGAGACTTTTAATCTCAGGGTTGTGGGTTCGAGACCCACGTTGGACTAAAGATTCCTGTATTGCAGGGGGTTGGACTAGATGATCTTTGTGGTCCCTTCCAATTCTACAGTTCTGTGATTCTGTGAAGCATCGCCCATTGGTCAAAGGAAGAAGGAGCTGTCTTTTACTGAGCCAAACCTACGGAAATGGTGGGGAAGCTTCATTTTCCCTCAGAGTGACTTGGAAGTGGCTTGTTCCCTATTTAAGGACAAACCGGATGTTACTTCATCGCATGTGCTGGAATCATAGAATTGTAGAATTGGAAGGTACCCTCAGGATCATCTAGTCCAACCCCCTGCAATTCAGGAATATTCAGCTGTCCCATACGAGGATCGAACCTGCCACCTTGCTGTTAGCAGCACCACGCTCTAACCCAGGCATAGGCAAACGCAGCCCTCCAGATGTTTTGGGACTACAACTCCCATCATCCCTGACCACTGGTCCTATTTGCTAGGGATGATGGGAGTTGTAGTCCCAAAACATCTGGAATGCCGAGTTTGGGGGTGCCTGGTTTAACAGCTCCTGTAAGTGTCCCCCGCCCCCCACCTTGAATACTACAGTGGCACCCTCAGGTTACATACGCTTCAGGTTACAGACTCCGCTAACCCAGAAATAGTACCTCGGGTTAAGAACTTTGCCTCAGGATGAGAACAGAAATTGTGTGGCAGTTGGAGGCCCCATTAGCTAAAGTGGTACCTTTGCCTATGCCTGATCTAACCAACTGAGTTATCCAGACAGTTTAGCTTTGGTTTGCTTAGTTTCTTGTCTTGCCGTTGGTTTTGCATGGTTTTTGGAGAGGTGAAATACACATTTACAAAATAAAACATCCAGCCTGAGTTAATGGGGTCTGAATCACTCAGGTGGCTGCAAGCAACCTCTTCCCTTTCCACAGCATCCCTGCAGCCATTGTCTGTGAAACCCCGAGCCTTGGTTATTTAAGAGACATATTACTATCTGCTCTTCTAGTTTGATTATACAAAAGAGTAAAGATTTACATGATGAAACCACCAGGAATGTTAAGGGGAACAAGTATGCAATAATTTTGTGATCAAAAGGAACGTTCCTCACTATTAAAATTCTGAAGGCACACGAAATATGAGGTTCAAAGTAGGATTCTAATATGCAAGTTGGGATACTGGGCTTTGACACTCTCTCTTTCTTTTTGTGCTGATTGAAGAAGACTGCTCACTCTGCTCAAAAGACAAGGTAAACTAAGAATAAATATCATTTAAAAAAAAAAAAGACAAGGTAAACTAAGTTTGATGCTTTCTGAGACCATGGTTATCATGTCAGGGAGTTTAAAATATTTGTGATCTTGGATGCTTTAGAGTGCCTTTTATGTACACTCTAGCATTTTTACGATTCTTGCCTTCACAGGAGCTTAATGAAACTCAGTCCCGTTCCCTGTGTATAGTAAATGGTGATATGCTCCGATTCACTTCATTTCCTTACTGATGAGATTTATTCTCCTTATTTCAAATTGCAAGAGTTGCTGAATGCACTATGCTGACTCATAGTTTTGATTTTGATTTCGGCGCCGTGTTGTTGTTTTTTCTGGTGGTTTGTTTTGTAATCGCCTTAGTCATGTCAATAAAAAAGCTGTTCGGCTTCTGAGGTTTTTGTCGAGTTAAGCCTAGGCTTTGCCAATGAATCACTGAAAAGGTGTGATGTCAAAAATCTCTTGTGGGATTGCGGTTCTTGAAATGCGCAGTGGAGATTTCAACAGGTGAGGTGGGCTAAATGAACAACTCTCTTTTTTAAATCTCTGCCCAGGCTGGTGCACAAGGAGGATCGCCTGCCTCCAGCCTGCTTGTGTAACACTGTGCCCTGTGCTTGTGTAACACTGTGCACACTCACCTTCCCAGACAGGCAGAGAAGCAAATCTGTGAAAGTAGAGCTATACTGTGGTACCTCAGGTTACATAGGCTTCAGGTTACAGACTCCGCTAACCCAGAAATATTACCTCAGGTTAAGAACTTTGCTTCAGGATGAGAACAGAAATCGTGCTCCGGCGGCACGGCAGCAGCAGGAGGCCCCATTAGCTAAAGTGGTGCTTCAGGTTAAGAACAGTTTCAGGTTAAGAACGGACCTCTGGAACGAATTAAGTACTTAACCTGAGGTACCACTGTAAAGCCAAGTGAGAAGCAGTGTTAGAAATCCCCCAGGCACCAGGTGCGTTTTATGACTTGTGCAGGTCCAATTGTGACCACGTGGAGATCTCTGGATGCCAGATTAGCGTCGTCTCCACTTGGCTGGCCCCTCCAGCTTTCTTAAGATGGTAAGCAGAATAGCTTATTTATTGCATTCATACCACATCTTTTTCTTCAAGGAGTTCATAGTTCACCCCCTCCTCCATTAATCCCTGAGGTAGGGGTAAGAGACTGCGACTGGTCCAAGGACACGCAGTGATCTTCATGACTGAGTGGGGATTTGAACCCTGATCTCCCAGGTCCTAGTCTGACACTCTAACCCAGGCATAGGCAAACTCAGCCCTCCAGATGTTTTGGGACTACAACTCCCATCATCCCTGACCACTAGTCCTGTTCTTGCTAGGGATGATGGGAGTTGTAGTCCCAAAACATCTGGAGGGCCGAGTTTGCCTATGCCTGCTCTAACCACTACACCACACTGGCTTCCTAGAGTACTTCTGATATGGGGCAGCTATAGAAATATAGTAGGTAAGTAAATATGAGGAAAGCAAAATGTCCCTTAGGAAAGGATCTGAAGTCTTTTCCTTGAAGCTTGAATTTGTTTCATTCTGTATTGTTTCATTTGATGTTTTAATGTGTTGTAAAATGCTTTGAAGTTTTTTTATTTAAAATATAAAGTGGTATAGAAATGCGATGATGATGATGATTATATTTCACTAGGAATGAAAAAGTGGCACCTAGACATTCCGCTGTGGTGGCCATGAGCGTAAGGTGCCATTTGGCAATTAATTTATACAGTCGTACCTTGGAAGTCGAACGGAATCCGTTCTGGAAGTCCGTCCGACTTCCAAAATGTTTGGAAACCAAAGCGCGGCTTCTGATTGGTTGCAGGAAGCTCCTGCAGCCAATCAGAAGCTGCAGAAGCTCCATCGGACGTTCGGGTTCCAAAGAACATTCGCAAACTGGAACACTCACTTCCGGATTTGCGGCGTTCAGGAGCCGAAACATCTGAGTACCAAGGGGTTCGGGATCCAAGGTATATATAAGGTTCTAATACCGATGAGCAGCCAAAATAGTACTGGGTAGTTAGGGTCTGGTGGCTCTCAGAAACAGCTCAATCGCCCTGCCTTTTCCTGGAACTGCTGGGATCCAGAGTTGGTGTGCGACTTGTCTCTCCCTTCCCAGTAGAGCAGGTGGGCTGCTAAGCACTCCATCTCTGGACCTCAGCTTTGACTCAGGCCCATCAGTCTTTCCATTTCAGAGGTCTTGGAGTGGTTAGGATGGAGGGTCCAGAATTAGGAAACGGGGCATGAAAAGAGGTGGTAGAGTCCCCTCTGTTCAAGCTCCTTTGTGTGGGGTGTCATTTGGGGGATGTGGCTTCTGGTAGGGATCCATGCCACAGGACGTTGCTTCCTGTTCTCTTTGGAGCAGGTCTGGTCAGGTCTGAGGTTCAACCACTCATGTGTAAATCTGTTGAGAACAGAGCATTGCCTTCTCAGCATAGGACTGTCTTCTCCACTTTGGTAGAACTCCATTCCTGTTTACTTTAGGAGCCTGCACCAGGGGATTGTGGCAAATGCAATTGCTCTCAATAGGCATGCATTGCTTCAGTGTTGGGGCCAGCTCTGCACGTATATGGTTTCCTGTGTTACGAAATCAGTTGTGGTAGGAGAACCCGCTTGTGTGGAAGTTGTGTGTGTGTGTGTGTGTGTGTGCAACAGAGCATGCACAGATCTTTGGATTCAACTCTTCCCGGGGCTCGCTCTTTCTTTTGTCTGATCTGCTTGCCTCATGCTTGGGATAAAAGCGAGTCTAGGCAGCTGAGTCATTTCATGAGTGCGTTTGGCAAGTTGAAAAACTTTCCCTGGCTGGGAGGTTCACTACGACAGAAGCTAAAGCTTCCTTTTATCGTGTTTGTTTCTGTTTTTGCAGGGCAGGGACACGGTTGCCAAGGGTCCAGAATTTGGCTAGCCTTTTGGAGCTCCTGGAGAGCTGCCAGAATTAGTCTGTGCGTGATTTCGTTCTTACTTTTGGCCCATCCCCACCCCCCGGTACACTTAAAATAATAATAATAATAATAATAATCTGTGCAATGCAGCCGAGGCCAAAGGGGTCAGATTATTGTGTACGTACAAGTCTGCCCAGTTTGAAATGGTCACTGGTCGGCACCTTCTAATTGGGTTCCTGCTGGCTCCAAGCTGTCTCTTCTTGGTCCAGCTGTTCTACCTATACTTTGGCTGCTGGTGAGGCAGACTTTGAACCTGCTTTCCAGGGCACTCGGTTACAGCAACTTTGCAGTGGAGGTGACAGTGTATAGAAGAAGGCAACCCTATTCTCTCCCCTGAGTTGGCTCTGGCAGCCTGCCCACCCTTGAAATGACATGATGGGCCAAACAGCTTCAAGAATGCAGAGCAGCAGTGCTGATAAAGTCCTTCCCTGTGCCCAGGGTGAATTTGATTTAAATCACAATTTAAATCACTAGTCAGTAAGACTTGCTTTAAACCATTTTTTTTTTTACAGAAAGACTCATTCTTGCTGGTATCGTCTTAATATTTACAACCAGAGAAAGGTTTCATTTTTGGAATAATGAATTTTCAGAGTAGTTTTTACAGTTATATATCAAAAATTACTGGTTTGGTTATACTATTAGAAATACATAGACTGATAATTATGAAATTATTGTGAGGTTTAATAAGTGTTTATATTTGGACAACTTTTCTGCTGTACTTTATTGGAAGGAGAAAAATAATCATTTCCTTAATAACAATTTAAACAGTTTATTTAACTAAAACAATAACATTATAGCGTATGTATCCATGTTTGTTAACTGATGTGGTTAAACTTTTTTTAAAAAAAGACTGAGTTTTAGTACACATGAAAAACTTCAAACAAATCCTTATTTCCTGATGAATAGCCTTTGGACTGCAATGTAACTTAAAGAGAAAACTATCTTTAGAAATATTTTTTCCTCCGTAAGCATTTTATTTTAAAAATCCAATTTAAATTTTAAAAAATGATTTAAATTTTTTAAAAAATAAAAAACCCATTAATTTTTATCCACCCTGCCTATGCCTAAGAGAGGCAGAGAGAGCAAGTCCCTTCTGTCAGTCAAGTGTCTTTTGATCTGTGTATATTGCCCTGTGCCCTTTCCGCTCCATGCTTCCTGTCTCTAAGGCCTGAATCTTGTATTATCTGTTTCCTTACACCAGCTAGGTTTGGGGTTGGTTGTGGTTAACGGTGCTTTTCTGCAGCTTCCTTAGACCAAGTCCCGGTCTGTCCGTCCCTGCAAGTCTCTGCATTTCCCCATTAGTTACTTTTAGTGTTTTCTAAAGTGCCTTCTAAAGGCTTAATTCCTGCACAATATGCTTACATGTACATGTCTGTATGCATGGTCTGTACCTGAGCTCACTAGTTATTTCCTCTGCATGTGCTTCTAAGTTTTTCTGTGGTATTTGTGACAGCCCACCCTTTTCTAGGGGTAGCATTCAGCCCACATTTGTTTGTTTGTATACATGAGCAACAAGACAAAAAGAGCAATACTGGCCTTTTTGATAAACATCAGATATATTCAGCTTTCACTACACTGCAGCATAAAAAATGGCCAGTTATACAAAATTCCAAAAAATGAGCATGTTCACGCTTTTGTTCGTATTGCTAATAAAGTATGCAGTTTTATTCATCTATGCAGTACCCTCATATATGTCACTTTAAACAAAATGACATTGTCCTTGAAACTTGTACTTTTCCAAGTTGTCATCACCTGCTAGTTACTGCAGAGGCTAGTGGTTTTCTGTTCTGTTACCTTAATAGTAAAAGAAACATTAGAGTTTGGAAATAGCTGAGCTTGCTGTCTGGAGTCAAGACTATGAAATCAAGGCAAGAAACTATTTGCTCAAAAATGTTCATGGTTGCTAAAGGTGTTTGTATTATTTCAAGGAGTAGCATGTTTGTCCACACACAGCCCATTTAATCAGTGGCCCAAAATTAACAGGAATTCCTAAAGCACAATCTTAGATTCCTGTGATAAGCACAAGATAATGATAATTCTTCAAATTATCTGTTTTACCCCGCAGTCTTCCAGTAAAATCAGTAGATTACTTAAAGTGAAACAGATAGCTTCAGTTTATTAAAAGTTAAAACTTTTTCAGAGTTCCCATAATTTACACTTGAGCAGTAGTCTGTTTGTCAATACACTCTTGCAAGGCAATCTCTTTATTTTTTTGTAAATTTGTGTGGATCTTTGCATTGGGTCACCCCAAATTCACCATCAGATCACATAGCATGTCCATGGCTATAGCCTGCACGAAAAAAAATCACGCACCCACTGTTGCGTGGGGCCGTAGTGGCGCAAAAACGTGGTTACAAAGCACGGATCCACATGGATCCTCAGGATTTTTGCATTGCGTCACCCCAAATTCACCATCAGATCACATGTCTGTGGCCACAGCATGAACCACAAAAATCATACATCCACTGTTTCATTCAGAATATTTTTTTTCTTGTTTTCCTCCTCTATAAACTAGGTGCTTCTTAGACCAGTGTTATATGGTCTCGCGGCGCCCATTTGCACTCTCTATATTCTGAACCTTAAAAAAAGAAAAGAAAAATCAAGCCCAAGCCCTTGGCTACTGACTTCTAAATCAGATAGGCCTTTTTTTTTAGTTGAGACCATATAAAAATGTACTTCAAAATGGGTAATGAATGCACGTTTTTCATGCGAATATTCTTTCCCCCCCCTTCTGTGTGTGTGTGTTTTCTGTACCAATTGCTTAATTTTACTATATTTAAAACCGTGTTCCATTGGCCCTTTCCTATCTTCGTATTCCTTTCAGAACAGAGTCTCCGCGAGGTGCTTGTAAAAGCCCTATAGAGTTGGCTTGTAAAGTGTTGAATAGAATCCTAAAACCTGTTAAGAATTAATAAGTTGGGGGGGGAGCAAGGGGGCATGACAGTTAAACTTAAGTACACACTTTTGGGAGAAATGGCTGCTCTTCTGAAAGAAAGTGATGAGGGAAGCAAGCACTTTATAGCGTTGGGTAACTGCCGCATCTTGCCATTTTATTAGATGGCACTTAAAATTATGAAATTAATTGCCCAGAGAGCAAAAAATATAAGGGGGTGAAGCAGTAAACGTGTTTAAAAAGGTTTGGCTATTGCAGTTGACATTTATGTCAGAGGATCTCGGAGGAGTGTTAAAACGTACACGTCCTGCTCTTAGAAAAGGCTATCTCTTGTCGCTCTGCTTCATTTGTGGAAAGTTTTAAGAGCAGCTGAGAGAAATTTAATATGAGCAATGATTAGTTATCTTTTGGCGCCCGGACAAGACATCCATTGTGTAGCTGTTCTCTTATTGTGAACTTATGAAAACTACCCTGAATATATTATGTCGCTTGAAAGCAAGGACTAAGCTTGCCTGCGTGTTGTTGCCTTTTTCATCTCTTCCTTCCTTTATAGTGTCGGGGCCGCACTTGCGTTCCGTTACCTCCAGATGTTAAAAATGGAAGGGTTGAAGACCAAAAAAAGCATGTTATTTCTATAAGGAAGACAAAAGCTGGCAATAATCTGATAGCAAACGTTCCATACATAAGGCGAACAAAACTTTCAGGGTCTTGCGGCCTTTTAAGGAGAGAGTTACAAGTCGCTTAATTATTAACATTAGTGGACTGAGGTTTGGAAATGAGGGAGGAAGAGTTTTTATCAGTGATTAACACTGGAATTGGAACGAAATCTAAGGCATACTAATATTCAATCCAATTTGTAGTATCAGTTAAGCATTCCTAGGGTACCAAATTAATATTGGCACCTGTCTATCTCAAGAGGCAATGGAGTGTGCTTCCTGGGGTGAAGCCAAACTGCTGTGCTAGCAGCACCGAAGTGCCCTACTCAGGGCACAAAACTGGGCAGGGTGCATGGAGGTCTTGGGCTGCCCAGAGGACAAGACCCTCCTCTCGGCTTCGCTGGTATGGTCCAAAGGAAAAGAAGTTTGGCACCAGCATGTCTGCAAGAATTGGCAGAAGGAGGCGTACAATATGCCATCCAACTGTCTTAGGGACTCCACTCTGGAGTTGTATCAGGTTTCCTCCTTAGCCTTTTCTTCTCCTGAAGATGTCCTGCAAGGCAGCAGAGGTTTAGGATCAGAGTTTTCCTTCTCCAAGATGGGCTACCTTCCCAGGTTGACAAACCCAACCTGACCCTCACTTTCCTCTACAGCAGCCTTTCTCAACCTGTGGGTCCCCAGATGTTGTTGAACTACAACTCCGATCACCCCTAGCTAGCAAGGCCAGAGGTCAGGGATGATGGGAGTTCTAGTCCCACAACATCTGGGGACCCACAGGTTGAGAACCGCTGCTCTACAGCATGTGCAAAAACTGCCTCCTTGACCACTGGACCAACTCTTGGTCTCATCCATTCAATCCACCAGATCTTCAACATGCAGGGGAAGTCCCTAAATCACCAAGGGTTTGAGACCCATTATCAGTGTTTGAAATTTGCCAGGGACAATTTGAGTTCAGTGGGACTTCCTCCCAGGTGAGAATGTATAAGAAATCAGTGGTACACGGCTTAACGCCCATTGATTTTGGTGACTTCAAGCAGTGCTCAGGCAATATGCCTGAACAGAAAATCTCGTGTGTAGGAAGCACAGGGCGGGATGTTGCTTGGCCCTGTGCCTCCTATGTATGCAAAGAGATTTCCTGATGAGGCATAAGGCCTGAACAAGGCTTCCGCCTGGACCCAATCCAGTGAAATGCTGTTGGTGCATTGGGAGCTGCTGTCCTTTGGGTAAACCCTTCTGACACTAGTTCAACCTCAGGTCTCCCTAAAATAACATTTCCTGCTCTATAGTTTTTACAACCACTAGAAAGTCTGCTAGTGCACACCTCCCATACAAGCGATAGTGTCAGAATGCAAGCTTTTTATTCCCTCCCCCATCCCGGAATGTATTAATATTATATATACACCCCCCACCCCACCCACATAAATTACACTTTACGTTCTTTAGTAAAAGGAGATGATTCCTCTGGTTTTATTTGGGGTGAGTGTAATCTTTATTGGTGTCAACATTGGCCTGATTAACACACAGTTACACAACTTGTTAGGCAAGTTTGTCCCAGCACTTCTCATTCTCATGACTAATAGAAGCTTGGCAAGGCAGGAAGATTTTTTTCAAAGGGGATCTCTCTGCTTCTAGAATGTGGCTGTCTTGTGCTTAGCTTATTAAAAACAATTGACAGACTTTTCAATTTTTTTATACAGTAAGTGAATGGTGGAGAGATGATTCTGGACCTTTTCTTTGTTTCTGGGCATTACCAAGGGTAAGGTAAAGGTAAAGGGACCCCTGACCGTTAGGTCCAGTCGTGACCGACTCTGGGGTTGCGGTGCTCATCTCGCTTTACAGGCCGAGGGAGCTGGCGTACAGCTTCCGGGTCATGTGGCCAACATGACTAAGCCACTTCTGGAGAACCAGAGTAGCACATGGAAACACCGTTTACCTTCCCGCCAGAGTGGTACCTATTTATCTACTTGCACTTTGATGTGCTTTTGAACTGCTAGCTTGGCAGGAGCAGGGACTGAGCAATGGGAATTCACCCTGTCATGGGGATTCAAACCGCCAACCTTCTGATCCTAGGCTCTATGGTTTGGACCACAGCGCCACCCGCGTCCCAAGGGTACTTACCGCATATTGCAACTAATACAGGTGTTCCCTGGTCCAATTTGATGGCATCTACCTTCCGTTCAAATGGGGTGTGATGGGTATGTGGCAACTTGAGTGCATTTGCTGTGGGGGCATGCCGTATTCGATGAATTAATATTCAGTGAGATTGGCTCTACTAACTTCCTTATTCGGGCTGTGCCAGTTAGGGTACAGATTTTGTGTCTAAATGACTGGCCACAACATACTCCAAACAGTTCTTTAAGATCCACAAAGAATTCCCTTTTCATTATTCTGCGAAAGTGACACTTTCATACTGAAAGCGTTTCCCAACTTTAAATTTAAAACCCATCTCCCAGTGCCATGGCTAGGAGCTCCAGGTGTGTTTAACCAAAACAAACAAAGATGTTGGGACATCCAGTCACAAACTAGTGTTGCTTCTCGTTTGGCATTTATGTGGAGTGGATACGGAGTTTTAATTCGCTTTATATATCCAAACAATTCAGATTAAAGTTTTCATAATGGAGGTGCATTCACACATTAGTTGTGACATGGAGTCTGACCCAGAATATCTGTGGAAGAATTCTGTGGAGCTTTAAAACTTGCAGTCCTACCAGCGCAGTTGCTACACTAAAATAGAACAATGCAGCCTCTTATCAGTATTACACACCTAAAGCACCTAATATAATTAGTTATTGTTCAAAATTACATACCATAATTAAGAGGCCACACTGTGGGTGTGCTTTTCTAGGTTGTACAAAAAGGACAGGGAGAGGTAGTAGCTGATGAGAGGAGATTCACGGATGGTATTTTGCTCCTTGACAGTCCCATACTCAACAGAGCTCATCTTCTTGTTGTTCTTCAAAAAGCTTTGCTGATTCTGTGTGTGTGACTCACTGCCAATGTGTTTACCTGAGAATAAGCACTTTCTGTTTATACATGTGTGGGTTATTTATCCCCATGTCACTGGAAAATTAAGGCACATTGACCTGCACTCAGAATGTTTGTTGAAGGAAGACCTTTGTGTAAATCTGGTAGTTGGGGCAAGTCATGGGTCTTGTTTACTGGCGTTTAAAGTGTCACTGATACAGTAGCTGTCTGCATTAACACCTCGCTTACATGAATTGAGCAGTTTCCCTGAGTTTCTGCACAATCCCGTATACCTACACAATTCAAAAAATTTGCAGTAAGCATACCAGCTTGGTTTGGGCTAGACTATCAGTAGGGCTTGTTCCTAGCAAACTGTTTTTTCATGCTGGAAAAATAATAGTGCGAAACCAAATCGTACATGTGACATTTCTAAACTACAAAGGGAATTACATTTTATCGCCAAACTTGCTAGGTGCTTGGAGGTGGAGTACTTAGCAGTTAAATAAAATGACTTAAAAGAAAGAAAGAAAAATGCAGTATTTGAAAAGTGATAACCCTGCGTACTAATGTGAGACACATGGATCCCCCTTGCATTGCTGAGCTGTATATAATTTGTCAATCAAGGAAAACTCTTGGTGCGTTTGGTGAAGTGGGAGGTGGCCTATGAAAGCTTTCGCTTTTGTTCATTTTGTAAAGTTGTCACCAGGCTCTTGGTTTTTATTGCGATACGCAGCGTGAAAATAAGGCAAAGTGTGAGTATTTGGCACACGTCCTAAGTTGTCACTATTAACTTTATCTTTTCTTGCTTTGAAAGCTTGTTTGTTTGCTTCTTATGACAGTACTTTTGTATTCCAGCTATTCTGCAGACAGATAAGAAGGGAAGTATTTCTAAGGTAATCTGAGAGGAAATAACTATGATAATAGATTTTGTTTCATTAGGGTGAAAAAGTAAAAGACGATGCTTGAAAACTTTGATGTGCATGATTAATAGAAGCAGTGCTATTAAAGTCTACCACACCCACAGGAATATTGGATCCTATTATGCTATGATTATAATACATTAATTTGGCATACACTCTTTACTGGAAAAGTGTAGCTTGCTTCTCGGTGGTGTTTTCTTTAAGCTGGCTGAGAAAATACAGGTAGCCAGTTCTGAAATGATGGGCTAGATTAACAAGTGGAATCTGCTTTTAACCACAGTGGGGGTTGTTCAAAATAAATTTAAAATAGGTCTGTGGGAAGCACGAGAGCCTCTGCAGAGCTAAAGGATTTATATAGATTTTAAACCAATTGTGGTTTTAAAAGCAGCACAGTATTTTTATAGCAGGCAGGCATGGCTACTTTAGACTGTGCAGCTGTCCGTACCATTACTGAAGCTGGTGCGATACCGCCTCATTCCTTCACAATATACATTTTTGCTTTAAACAGCATATTCCTCATTAGATGTCTAAAGCAGATGCCCTGAGCTACTGGTGTAAAAACTCCTTGAAGAGTTTCTCATTGCATTATGGAAGGAGCGTTTGACTCCAGAGACAGTATGAGTGTTGATTTGTTGTCTTGTCTAAAGTAAGTTCCTTGTGGAGTTTGATGGGTTTTATCAATTTACCTGGTACCATGTAATGCATAATTACCTCTCTGGTGTTTACTAATGTTAATTGTTAACAGTGAAATCTGATAAGAGTGGGAGATCTGATAAGCAAACTACAGTGCCTATGCCTTTCTTAAGGATGGAGTTCAATACTCCTCAAATTCATGCATGCTCTGCTGTTCCCCTGCTGAAGAGAGAGGCGTAGTGGTCATATTTACAAGTTTGCAGGAATTAGGAGTACAATATAGATTATAGAACTTAATTATTTTGATGCTTAGCTTTTATTTTCCTCCACTCCAACCCCCAGCGAACACAAAGAAGACGATCTTCCTTCCTGTGATAGAAAATAGAAAACCACTTTGAGTGGTTTACTTCTTAATTGTTTAAGCAAGAAATTAAGAATAAAAAGGTCCTTTAAAACAGTGTTTGGGGAAAGTGTTCAGGTCTACTCTTGAATGTTGAAAATTTAACTTAAGCAGGTTTTTATTACAGATCACAGTACTGATTATATCAGCTCCCCAGCCCCACCCCTGATATTGGCTATTTAAAGTACTTTGCAACTGAGACAGTTGATCTGTTCTGCTTAAAAACTAAGGAGCATTTACATACAAGTTGGTTATGTGCTTCTATGTTAAAATTGTTATTATTATATGTTGATATTAAGTAGCATGAATTACTGGGCAAGCAATATTCCATATTGTTTTCTGTTTTGCTGTTTCCCACACAAGCCCTCTTAACTTCTGAATAATAATAATAATAATAATAATAATAATAATAATTTATACCCTACCCATCTTCCTGGGTTTCCCCAGCCACTCTGGGTGGCTCCCAAAATAATAATAATAATAATAATAATAATAATAATGCAATAAAATAATCAAATATTGAAAACTTCCCTTACTTCTGGTACATGCACTTGATGAAAGCTGAACAGTCTTTCATGTACTTTGTGGTGGTCCATCTTTCTTCTTTACATCTCCCTTCTTTCCACACTACTGTTATGTAGCTATATTTAGGGGTCCCAAAACCACAGCAGCACTGACACCTGAAAACTGGGTCTGGTAACTGGCACCTTGCCAATGGCTCTCAGGCAAGCTTTGAGGCCCCAGCACCTCTCACTTAAGTGCTGCATGAAAGGAAAGGCAACAAACTGAAAGCAGCAACAAGAACAACCTCTGTGCTGGTGTCCCTGACTGGCAACCCTTGGATTAGAGGGAAGCAATGTTTTTGGGCCGGTGGGCACATTTTGGACTTTGAGAGAGTGCTGAAGGCACCAGACACAAAATTCCTTGGAATAACACAAAATGGCTCGGGGGCTGGGCGGCCTGGTATAACACAGAATTGAGAGAGTAGAGTCGTACCTTGGTTTTCGAACAGCTTAGTTCTCGAATGTTTTGGCTCCCGAATGCCACAAACCCGGAAGTGAGTGTTCCGGTTTTGAAAACGTTTTTTGGAAGCCGAACGTCCGACGCGGCTTCTGATTGAGTGCAGAAAGCTCTTGCAGTCAACTGGAATCTGTGCATTGGTTTTCAGACGTTTTTGGATTCCGTTCAAAAACCAAGGTACGACTGTACAGTCATAGTGAAGCTTTCCCCATAATTGTATTTCCATACTAGATAAGGCTTAACTGATTTCTGCCTTCCATAGGCCCAAGAACCTTGTTTTCCCCCCAATATCAACCCTAAAGCAAAGCCTAGGCTGCCATCCTGTACCCACTTAATAGATTAAAAGGTAAAGGGACCCCTGACCATTAGGTCCAGTCGCGGACGACTCTGGGATTGCGGTGCTCATCTTGCTTTATTGGCCGAGGGAACCAGCATACAGCTTCCAGGTCATGTGGTCAGCATGACTAAGCCGCTTCTGGCGAACCAGAGCAGCACAGAAACGCCATTTACCTTCCTGCCAGAGCGGTACCTATTTATCTACTTGCATTTTGACATGCTTTTGAACTGCTAGGCTGGCAGGAGCTGGAACCAAGCAACAGCAGCTCACCCCATCGCGGAGATTCGAACCACCGACCTTCTGATCAGCAAGCCCTAGGCTCTGTGGTTTAACCCACAGCGCTACCTGCATCCCATACTTAATAAATTAAGCCCTATTAAACCCAAGGAGATGTACTTCTGATGGTTTCTAAGGGGGAAAACAGTGACAAACTATAGAGATCCCAAGGACAATAAGACAAGAGCAGGAAAATTGCAGTAAACGGGAGGGATTCCTCTTGCCTCATGGCCAAATAACTCATTAATCAGTCACACCTCTGCTTTGGTCTTTGGCCAAAAACATTGACAGGTGGGAGCAGTATGGCTGTCTCATTTCCTAGATCTCGCTTAGAAGGCTACCTCCACATTTGGCATCATAACTTTCTAAGAGGCCTAGAGACCTACTTTAAAAGCTCACAGCCTAGGGGCACCAACGAAAGCCTTTGTGGGTGCCATGGTTCCCCAGGGGCACCAGGTTGGCAACTCACGATCTAATCTGGTTCCCAGGAAATTTGGTTGCCTCACGTTTTCAACGCCCAAATTCAAACCGCACCCTGAGACCATGCAGCCCAACCGGGATTTTTTACTTCAAGTCTGCAATCCAATGTGCACATGCAGGAGTAAAAGTCCCTTTCAACTCAGTAGGACCTACTTCCGAGTAAGCTCGCCTGGGGATTGTGCTGCGTATTATCTTAGCGTCATGTGGGCATCTCACAAAGTGTAAACCTCACGCTCAGCAGACTGTATTGGAGCTGTGCCATGTTTTTCGGATAGCTTTTTACCTGGCGACATAGGGAATAACATAGCCACATTTTTCATACTATCTCTTGCAATAAAAGCATGCGTATATTTGCAGTTCTTCCTGTGCTCAGTGAGCATCATTTCAACCTTTCAACGCACATTTTTTAATTTTGTTTTCTACCTGCCTGTTATTTTTATGATTTATCCATTTGCTAAGGGACACCAGGTGAAATGTGGAATAAGGCAAAACACCGATGTGTTTGTAAACTTGTAGGGGAAGTTAGAATCTGAAATAGATGGGAGAGGTCGGCAAATCCACCACCGCATCTTTCACAAGAAGCCTCACTGATCTTTGAGGCCTGTGAGCTTCTTTGGGTCTGGGAAATGGGGAGAGAAACCAAGTGTCCCTCTCTTCCCACCCCACCCCACTTTGGTGTGTTTGTAGCTCTGTTGCTTCAGTGGTCAAGGAGAGGGAGTTCCTTGCTGCAGAAGCTTGTGGGAAGCAGGAATTCATAGCTCTGCTCAGGGTGAGAGCCTGCCTGGGTTGGAGTATCGCTAAGTTGCTCAAAAGCCACAGAGTGAGAGTCTCTTGGCACAAGAGCAGGAGTCAGCAAACTTTTTCAGCAGGGGGCCGGTCCACTGTCCCTCAGACCTGGTGGAGGGCCGGACTAGATTTTGAAAAAAATATATGAACGAATTCCTATGCCCCACAAATAACCCAGAGATACATTTTAAATAAAAGCACACATTCTACTCATGTAAAAACACACTAATTCCCGGACTGTCCATGGGCCAGATTTAGAAGGCGATTGGGCCGAATCCGGCCCCCAGGCCTTTGTTTGACTACCCATGCACAAGAGTGTGAGAGACAAAGAGGGAGGGAGGGGGCTGCTATAAGTGGGGGGGAAATGGGGGGGAGACTGTTTTCAAGACCACTGGTTGGTTATTTAATCAGTTACAGTGGTACCTCGGGTTAAGTACTTGATTTGTTCCGGAGGTCCGTACTTAACCTGAAACTGTTCTTAACCTAAAGCACCACTTTAGCTAATGGGGCCTCCTGCTGCCGCCGCGCCGCCAGAGCACGATTTCTGTTCTCATCCTGAAGCAAAGTTCTTAACCCGAGGTACTATTTCTGGGTTAGCGGACCCTGAAGCGTATGTAACCCGAGGTACTACTGTATTTAATAGGTTTGAATGTCTTGCATATGTTTTACATAGTTAAATTGAAAATTTTTAATTTTTGCCATTGCAGTTATTCTTGTTTACCAAACAACAGAATTGTTAATTTGTTGCCTATTGGACCTGTTTATGTGATTTTTTGTATTGTTGTTTTTCCTATGTTTATTTTTATTACTTTGTCCCTTGTTGTGGGATTGAAAATATTCAACAGAACAACAAGCTAGAAATGCTGTTTAAAAAATGTGGGAAATTATTCCATTGCTGTTTCAAGAGTTGGCTTTGCATGTTGATGCAAACTTGATAACTTATGGGATGTATGCTATAATTGTGGATTTATTTTTTTTAAAAAAAATTGTAAGGTGAAGCACTGTTGCTTATATATTAAATAAGCTTCTGGAATTGAATAGGACAAGCTGGGGAATTAGGGGCCCCTTGCGGAATAGAACTACTTGATTTTATTTTCTATTTCAAAGCCAATACTAAATGGATTAATTTCTCCCGAACCATTTTTACCAGGGCTTGCTTCTAAATTGAAGTGATTATTGCTGGACTAAGTAGAGGGTTCAGTACACTCTTGAGAATAACTTAGCCATCCTTCTGACCTCACCCAGAAAAAAGGCTGTGTATTTTGTAAGCCTTTAAGTATGATGTAGAAATTGAACTATTTTATTTTTTTAAAACCGCTGTGCCATTGAATTGGCCTTTTCACAAAAGTATTTTGCTTTTTAATCTGTTTGCGCCTCAAAAAGCATGCTGCTTATAACCAAAGGAAAAATATTCTCAATTACAGTTCAATTTGTGTGAGTGCTATTGCATATAATAATGTAATGCTAGTATTTATATAGCACTCTGACTACATTGTCAAACTGCTTTGCATAGCTTAGCTTGGTAATCCCTACAACAGCCTAAAAAGGTAGGCCAGTATCAGTGGTGATGATGATGATGAATTAAATTTATAATTAATCAAAAGATCTCAGGGCCGTTCACATATCACTGTTTAGCTTTCTCTCTTCTTTGCTCTGGCCCATAATGGCTTGTCTTAGACCATCCGTTAAATTCATTGCTGAGGTGACATTTGAATTGTGTGCTTTGGCTCTTAGTCTATGCTCTTAACAGCCAAACTAATTTGCTTTCTAGTCTTCAGCTGCTGCCTTGTGAATATCAAGCTGCTCTCAAGTAATTGCTCAATTGTGTGTGCGCTTTTTTTTTTTTAATGTTCTAATATATTTATACCCTGCCACATAACCCAAGTGGTCCTCTAAGGGCAGTAGTAATTCAGTAACACGTACGACTAACCACGAAAAAACACAGGCGCATAGCAGATTCACATGCGCTCCCGAGTGCTTTATCTGCCAAGGGGAAACCAGCTGGTATTAGTACCAATAATTCCTTATAATAGATGAGCCTTGTGTAATATCCAGTTTCGTTCCCTCTCCATCTTCACTTCAATCCCTAAACCCTTTGTAGACACTATATAAAGAAATTACAGGCATTGTTATGGCAGAGTAGAGAACTGATTATTCTACTGCAGTAATAAGACAGACGAGGGCTCGCTGTATTATAATCATGTATCTTAATTTCTGGAAATATTTGCTGTCGTGCGCCAAACATGGAACGTGTAAGTGTGAGAGAGATGTGGTCTAGTGTGCACAACAACTGCTTGAAAATAGCTTAGATCTTATTTCAGTGCTTGTTTATAGAGTTGAAGTCCACGCCCTTCATTGTCTTTTAATTTACTTTTAATCGGTTTGCTCTTTCCACAAAGGGAAGTGTGGTCTCTGACTCAGCAGAGGTTTGAGAGAAAGGCAAAGGAACAGATTTTTAGTGACCGCACCCCCACCCCACCCCCAAAAGCCCCCTGTACCACCTACTGGAGGGTCCTGTAACCTCAGAGCAGTTTTTTTTTTAGGGTGGGAATAGGGAACTGTAGTGGGAAGAAGGAAAATCTCCTCCTCCCCCTCCTACCTATGGGAGCATCCATTCGATTTCCATTACACTACAGTATAGACAATTCTGTATCCAGTCAAGGTTGTCTTCTCTTTTACATTGATTGATAATTCAGAGAGGGTTCTTTACAGTGCAAATATATACTTTCTCCCACCCCCATTCTCCCTTCCATTGTATTGCCAGGAAACTCAGAATTCGGAAGTATTTACTCTTTATAATGTCTTGGCTGTATCAATATTTTTCGAAAGCCATTGTAGTCTAAATAATGCTTTAAGATAGTGCAAATATACAAATATATGGTCCATTTTATAGCTCAGATAACTATAATAGCAGATTCAATCTGTCATGCCTCCCTTTGCATTTGCAACCCGGCGAGTGTGTGGTGCAATATGGTATATCCATTTACCTGTCTTCTCTGCTTCATCTTTAAGCATTTTAGCTGCTAAAACATTAATTGGCTATTAGTTCCCATCAGAAATCTAGCTGCATGCTCATGCTATTTTCAGTGTGTGCGAGAGAGAGAAGTTTGCTCCTTGATTAACACAGAGGGGTCACTTCACTGACCTTGTGCTCTCAATGTCTGGTAAAATAAGCCCAGAAGTTGTTCCTCTACAGGCATCCTCAAACTCGGCCCTCCAGATGTTTTGGGACTACAACTCCCATCATGCCTAGCTAACAGGACCAGTGGTCAGGGGTGATGGGAGTTGTAGTCCCAAAACATCTGGAGGGCCAAGTTTGAGGGTGCCTGCTGTATAGGCATCGAGATCTCATTCCTTTCTGATGTCTTAAAATCAGCCTAGAACAAATTTCTGTCGAGTGGGTGGACAACTACTGTATATTTGACTAATTTTAATAATAGCTTAAGACCTACTTCCACTCTACGTTAAAGTCAGAAAATAGAAAGCCTCTTCCCCCAATCTTTGTCACCTCCCCCATGCTTCTTCAAGACATTTCTTCCCTAGACAATTCATCAATTTCAATTTGGCACTGAAGAACAGCATGGATCTGTGTGTAATGGAAGTGGACAAACATTGCTCTATTCCGTATTTTGCTTGTCGCTTGATTGATTGGCATGTTTCTCCTGGGCTGCCGGAGCACAGCAGTCTAAAGGTGTTTGGGTGTTGTTTTTCCAAGAGGGTTTTTTTTGGGGGGGGGCAGGAGGTTGCCCCCTTGATTTTCTACACTTAGCCTAAAATTAAGACCGATCAAAAAGAACAAAATCCTATCAGTGTTTAATTACTGTTTTCAAGCAAGGTGTTTTGCAATTAATGGCCATAAGGCATCATTTTGACCCATCAAGGCTGGTCAAGTTCTTTATCGTAACTCCATGAGGTTTTGGCTGTGAAACACTGTAGAATCAAAACAGACATAAAACACACAACGCTGAAAAAGCTGTCAAATTGTGGCTCAGAGCTTGCCAGCGCAAAACCTGTTGTGGAAGAAGAGTTAGAAGAAGAACAACTGGAAACTGGTTCCTCCTCCTCACATATGTACAGGAATAGGCTTCATGCCAGCTCAGATTTCGTGATTTGTGAAATCTAAGGTGGGAGGTAGGCAGCAAAACCTCTCATAGGCACCTCTCTGTTGTTCCTAAACCCAGGTCTGCTGAAAGTCTGCCCGTACATCTCAAACAAGTGTCAGCTTTCAAGTCTGTGATCCTTGGAGATAGGGAAGGCAACCGTCCCGGTACCTCCATCATGTCTAGATCCAGACCTCCTGAGCACCTTTCCCTGAACTGTTTTTGATTTTAAGGGCTTCTTTTGTGGTTCGATTTTAAATGCTCTTAGCTACGTCCAAAGGCTGTTTTCAACTGAAGAGCAGAATAAGATTACAATACAGTGGTACCTTGGTTTGCATACATTTTGGATTATAAACACATCAAATCCGGAAGTGTGTGTCCCGGTTTGCAACCTTTTTTTGGATTACAACCCATTTTTTTGGGATTACGAACAATTTTTTGGGGGGAGGCCCCATTGGCGAAAGCGTGCCTTGGGTTACAACCTGTTTTGGTTTACAAACGGACCTCCGGAACGGATTATGGTTGTAAACCAAGGTACCACTGTACAATCAGGAATATCTGTATTTGTACTCGGGGAGGGGGTCGTGCGTCTTGTCAAGGTTTTCTGGCCTCCAATGATAGTCATGTTGCAAGTTGCATAGAAGATGCAAATCCTAGGGATGGTTTCTCGTATGTGCTCACAGAAGTTAACAGTGAATGTGGTTTGGCCAAAAATAACATGAAAAATATTGCATAAATATGTAGTTCACTTTTATCAAGGCCACAGAGCCATCCCTCTCTTTCAGGAATGGTAATGATCCAGAATAAAGCACATGACATTCATGCTCAGGTGTTATTTATACCTAATATGCACTAAGTGGTTGTTTGTCATAGCTAAACACAGGTTCATATATATTGTGCCTTGAATATGATTCTTCATACAAAGGCAAGGTGTAAATGCCAGAATAAATAAATCTGAAATATACCCCCCTCCCCCACAAAAACTCACAAGCTCTATAGAGAATATTTGACAGCTGCCGTAAAGTACAATGAACGTTAGCTTTCTTTTTTTTGGCTTTAATACTTTAGTTTTCTCTAAGTTGGCCATGTGTTTGACAGCTTGATAGAAATGTGATAGTATGGCACATTCAGCTTAACTTGAGTGTAATGACTGAAGCTCCTAAAGGTATAATTTTGTATTCATGTGTCTACATAATCTCATGTGAAATGGATTATCTGCATGGATTTACCAGAATATCTGTAATGCCTCACCTACGGTGTCATTTTAATGTGTCTGCTACAGATAGCCTGGTGACACTCAGTGGAAATACTATTGCTTTTTTCAATAAAGCAGCTATTTCATTAAAGGGTGTGCAGCCTTCGGCCCGAGTACCACGGGCAGGCTAATTCCATGCAGGTGCTGGGGGTGGGGAATGGGGGGGGAAGAGAGGGGCAGAGAGAGAAAGTGGGGTTCTCCTCCCACTTTTGGCTTCAGCCTTGGAAATCTCCAACATGTGGCCCCCAATTCTGTAGCCCGCAACAGGAAAAAAGTTTCCTCACCTATGCTATCAAAGGGTTTGTAACAAAAAAAGTTAAATGCCTTGGTAGCTTTTAATGTGAATATTAGTGGTTCTACATGGTATGCCCATATATACATATCCCTATTCCATTCTTTTCATTTTTAAGTTTTAAGTCATAAATTTTATGTGGACGAAGACTCTTGCTCATTGCTCATTTTGATGAGAAATAGATTGTTTGTTTTTTGTAATTCTTTCAGCATGCAGAGTACTTTTAATGCCCTGCTACATAGATAGCCCATACTCCCATTTGCAACTGAAGAACTTTCATCAAAATATACCTGCTAAATGTGTAGATGATTATGGATTTGAACTCTGATTTCTCAGTTTCTTTTTGTTGTCTGATTTGATTTTAACGTTCTGTGGAGAGGAAATATAGTATTCCAAATGTGGATATTCATTTGGTTTTGTTATAATTCTATGCTTGTAAAAGCAAATTAAAAATATTACTATATATCTATATCTATATCTATATTCCTTTTTATGGCCACCGTGGATCCATTTGGAAATGGAACAGGCATACACAGTCGACTCTGATTTGGATGTGAGAGATTATTGACGATATTTATTGCAGTAACCTTATCCAGTTGGGAATGCTTTGCTTTTGGCAACTAGAAACTGTCTAAAACAGGTCCACAGAAAAGTGACAGCATGGGGGGGGGTAGCCAAGTTCCCTTGTGCATTAAGAGTCCTTGTTGACAACCCCAGCTTTCATGTAGCTGCACTGGATTGGTATTAATGAATCGCAAATACTTGTTCCACACTGTAGTTCCATCGGGAGATAGTTCCCTAATTCAGTTTGAGGCAATGGTAGTAGTATTCAGCAGCATCCCATTTACACGATTCCTTGGACTGTTGGCTAAGGGTACTCAAGAGAGCTGTTTCTCAATAAGTTTACACAGCTAGCCCTGGTGTCTGTCAAGGCTGATCGTGCAAGTAAAGTAATGTTTACAGCCCATTACATCTCCAGTAACTTCAGAGAGTATATAGATCTGGAACAAGACGCAGAGAAATAATTAACGGAGAGATGCGGAGTATCATGAGTCTTTAGGGTACATGGGGAAAGGACTGTTGATGTTCCAAGCTTGATTTCACTGTGAAGTTTTCAAGAGAGGGAAGGCTATTGAAAGTAAAGTACAGTGGATACTCAGGTTGCGATTATGATCCATGCGGGAGGCACGTTTGCAACCCGCAGTGCCGTGTCCGCGCATGCGTGGATCGCGATTCGGCGCTTCTGCGCATGCGTGAGTGCCAAAACCCGGAAGTAATCCGTTCCGGTACTTCCGGGTTCAGTTCGGTGCGCAACCCGAAAACACGCAACGTGAAGCGTCTGCAACCCAAGGTGTGACTGTATCTTAGCTGTTGTGTTCCATTTCAAAAATGTATGTTCAGCCTGTAAGTTGGCTTCTGCCTTGCAGCTCTCCTCATACTTCCTCTATAAAGTACTCTTGGTCCATAGTCAAGTCTGAAGAACTCCCTGGTCCTGAATGGGGTAATTGTGTCCCTGAAAGACCAGGTGCGCAGCCTGGAAGTCATTGTGGACTCACAGCTGTCCATGGAGGCGCAGGTCAATTCTGTGTCCAGGGCAGCTGTCTACCAGCTCCATCTGGGACGCAGGGTAAGATCCTACCTGCCCCCAGACTGTCTTGCCAGAGTGGCACATGCTCTAGTTAACTCCGACTTGGACTACTGTAATGCGCTCTACATGAGGCTACCTTTAAAGGTGACCCAGAAACCACAACTAATCCAGAATGCGGCAGCTAGACTGGTGACTGGGAGTGGCTGCTGAGACCACATAACACCGGTCCTGAAAGACCTACATTGGCTCCCAGTACGTTTCTGAGCACAATTCAGAGTGGTGGTGCTGACCTTTAAAGCCCTAAATGGCCTCAGCCCAGTATACCTGAAGGAGTGTCTCCACCCCCATCATTCAGCCTGGACACTGAGGTCCAGCTCCGAGGGCCTTCTGGGGGTTCCTTCACTGCGAGAAGCAAAGCTACAGGAAACCAGGCAGAGAGCCTTCTCGGTAGTGGCGCCCGCCTGTGTGGAACGCCCTCCCATCAGATGTCAAGGATATAAACAACTATCTGACTTTTAGAAGACATCTGAAGGCAGCCCTGTTTAGGGAAGTTTTTAATGTTTGATGTTTTATTGTATTTTTAATACTTTGTTGGAAGCCGCCCAGAGTGGCTGGAGAAACCCAGCCAGATGGGCCGGGTATAAATCAATGATTTTGATGATGAAGGTGCATGAAGCACCAATCTTGCTTTGTTTGGTCAGTGCTTACACCAAAACCCCATGCATGCCTCGTAGAGTTCCGTCATGCTACGTAGGAAATAAATGCAACCAATCAACAATTTGTTGTTGTTACTTGACCTCTGTCTTTCTTTGCCAATGACAAGGGATGGCAGTGTATTTATGTGATGGGAGGAAATCCAGAATGTGAAGCTTCTCCCATCATTATTACATCCCACTGATGGAAAAAGCTTCACTCGCTAATTTACCGCTTCAAATGCCTAAAAACTTCTCAGCTTGCGTCTTAATTCAGTGAACCCATTAGCATGGATTCTGATTTTAAGCCTATCCTGAGGAGTGGGTGTATTTAATTTTTTAAAAATTGTATACTCGTTAATTTATTTGGTACATATGTGAAAGGCCATTCATAAATTCAGTAGCAACAACGATAACTTTCTAGGATAGTATGTATTCAGCGAAAACAAAATTACCAAGCCTCCTATTTGCTCCTTAGGTAGTGTTTTAATTTCTTAAGAGGTTTAGGCTCTGGCAGTTAGTAGGTTTGGGTTTTTTGTTTGTTTTCTTCACTGTTCTGTTATTTATTGGCTTGGGAAAAATCGTGTTGGGTGTTCATTTTTGTTCTCTTGGGGAAAATAGAGAAGTTTTGTTGTTTTATATTATCTGTTCACATAGAAAGTAATAGTTCTCCATCCCATAAAGCAAAACTTCTGAAAATTGTATGTTTTACTGATGGTGCGTGCTGCTGAATACTTAAATCACTTATCCCTGTGCCTTTTACTTACTTTGAAGGAGGAACCATGAGCGTGGGGGGGGGGCAGCTGCCTCCCCCAAATTAAATCAATAAATAAGAATACTTAACTAACAGCTTGGTTCTGCCCCCCACCAACATAAATCCTGTTGGTTCTGCCCCCCACCAACATAAATTGCTACGCCCATGGGAGCAGCAATATTTCCCTGCTCTTCCATCCTCAACATCACCACAGCTGAAATCTGCTTAGATGAAATCTTCCCTCAAGCCGTGCCCTACACTGTTGTCAGTGCCTCTATTACAGCCTTAATTTTATATCCTGCATCCTTTGTGGAAATGGAACTGTTTTTCTTAAATATTAGAGGCAAATCTCGGTAAAGGTCTCCTTTCCCCCTTGTGACTTCACAGTGCTGGCCCCAAGGGTGACAACATCTATGAATGGAGATCGACTATCTTAGGACCTCCGGGCTCAGTATACGAAGGCGGAGTTTTCTTCCTCGATATCACATTTACACCAGAATACCCTTTCAAGCCTCCAAAGGTAAGAAATGTGATGCACGGTTAATGTTTGCTTCCAGTGTGCGATGCTCCCACTTGTTGGTCCACGGTAAACAGGTATTCCGAGGCATACCCATAATATCTCTGGGAATCAGAGGGCATTCTGGGAAAGTGAGTGAGTGGCCGAAGGCCACCTCTTTCCTTACAATACACCTAAACAAAAAATGTGGCATACGGGCTCACATGACTGGAGTTTGCGGTGGCCACAGGTGCTGTCTTCGGGAAAGCAGGTATGTAGTAATAATAATAATAAGAAATAATTTATTTTTTATTTATTTATACCCCTGTTGGGTGGCTCCCAACAGAATATTTAAAATATAATCAAACATCAAACATTAAAAACTTCCCTAAACAGGGCTGCCTTCAGATGTCTTTTAAAGATAGGCTAGCTACTTATTTCCTTCACATCTGAAGGGAGGGTGTTCCACAGGGTGGGCACCACTACCAAGAAGGCCCTCTGCCTGGTTCCCTGTAACCTCACTTCTCACAGGGAGGGAACCGCCAGAAGGCCCTTGGAGCTGGACCTCAGTGTCTGGGCTGAATGATGGGGGTGGAGACGCTCCTTCAGGCATACTGGACCGAGGCTGTTTAGGGCTTTAAAGGTCAGCACCAACACTTTGAATTGTGCTCGGAAACGTACTGGGAGCCAATGTAGGTCCTTCAGGATTGGTGTTATGTGGTCTCGGCGGCCGCTCCCAGTCACCAGTCTAGCTGCCGCCTTCTGGATTAGTTGTAGTTTCTGGGTCACCTTCAAAGGTAGCCCCATAGAGGGCATTGCAGTAGTCCAAGCCGGAGATAATTAGAGCATGCACCACTCTGGCGAGACAGTCTGCTGGCAGGTAGGGTCTCAGCCTGCATACCAGATGGAGCTGGTAGACAGCTGCCCTGGACACAGAATTGACCTGCGCCTCCATGGACAGCTGCGAGTCCAAAATGACTCCCAGGCTGCGCACCTGGTCCTTCAGGGGCACAGTTGCCCCATTCAGGACCAGTCCCCCACACCTGCCCACCCCCTGTCCCCCCAAAACAGTACTTCTGTCTTGTCAGGATTCAACCTCAATCTGTTAGCCGCCATCCACCCTCCACCCTCCTCCATACACTCACACAGGACCATTGTACCCTTTGCCTGCCATATCGGACAAAGTAGGACCGCAACGGCATGAAGGTGTTTTGAGATATTAGATTACCCGTGAAGTGCCATTTTGTTTTGTGTTTTCTTACTTTTTGCTTCAACAGCAAAGATGGATTTAGCCTTGTATAACTACAAAGCACTTCGCTACCCTCACATTCCGGTATTTTTCCATTTATTATTTCCGTTGTGGCTTAATATATAGTCTCTGCTGTCTTATTCACATATTTCACATTTTGGAAGACATCTTTTCTATAATTCCAGTAGGTTTGGCAAGCAAAGATCCAGTTCCATAGTTCAAGTCAGACAAAAACTGCTTATATGTTACTTACAAACAGCAATAACTTGTTGCTGTTGACTACTTTTGTAATCTTTCTATTCAGTTTGCGCCTTTAAATCATGTTCATTGATATTTCACAAAAATTATTTTTACAATTTTTATTTTTTTAAAAAAATCCCTTTCAAATGCTCTGAACTCTTGTTTTTCATTTTATTTTTAAACTGTTGTTTACAATAGTACTATAAAAAGCATTTAAACAGTGCGCTTCATCTATTAGGATCCCAAGCTTCTTCAAAAACTCTGAAATAGCTGCGCTTTAAAACGATATATCTTGTTAATTGCCTTTGAAAATGCAGTTGCCTGGTCAATAAAACAGCACTCGATAAATAATTTACTCAGTTAAGAAAGACCTAATTTAGCAAAAGGCTTTTAAATTTTTAGTTAATCCTAATTTTATTAATGTTTCTGGTGTCCTCATTGTATAACAAAATACGGGATTATAATCTTTGCTGTTTTCTCCCCCCGACCCCAATTCTAAATCGGGATTCTTAAATTCTCACACAAATATCTTCTGCTGAGTGAGATGGGAGGTATTCCGTGTGTGACATTGAAATCGTATTCTGTGTAGATTTTTCCTTGGCCTTCTGCAACCTTCCAGGGATGTTACCATACTTCAGAAAACAAGGTTGGATCTAGACACATTAAAAAAGTGATTCAGTTAAACACGTTGTAAACTTCATAAAGGGAAATCCCGTTGGCAAAAGACAAGACTCCACAGCGCCATCAGGTGTCACCGTGTTATAATTCATATAAAGTGTTTTTCCTTTACTAATCTAGCTGAGTCTCAAGACAGAAATAAGTAAATTTTGAATGAATGGTTTAATCACCCCTGCTTAAGCCTTGTATCTTCTGACTCTAATCCAAATGAATGGACCCTGGGTGGATCTAAACACAAGGGGGAAACACTATACATAAGTAAGAAATTAGATGGTTTTATTTTTGATAATAATTTTAATTAGTTTTCAGTTACAATAATCCAGTCATAGCCTCATTATAACAATGCCAAATTATAATACAGTTACTAATACCAATCATTCAGGTGCCAAATTATAGAATTTAGGTGGCCCCCCGCATATTAGAATTGATGGTTTGATGATTTACTTTATTTCTTCTTTCTAAAATCTTACTAATTTCAGTTACACTCCAGTCAAAATAACAATCCCTTAAACAACAACTGCAATTTTAACGACTTTCATTCGTATTGACACATTAAATGATTTATAAGTCTACAGGCAAAGCATTCAAACTATATCCTTGTTCTTTCTGTGTGTGGCTAGAAATTAGATTGTTTTAACAAAAGAAAAAATCTCTATGGAAAACGGCGCTTTAAAATTTCCTGCTCTCTGGCGCCATCTGGTGTTGCATGTTTATAGTGCATTCAAATCCCTGTTACTTTAGTAATGTAGCTGATTCCCCTGTCCTGCTACATCTCTGGGTCAACCAGCAACCATTTTCCTTAAAGCGGGGTCAGACATTTCTGTATTGTGGCCTACGCTGGCCTTGTGCGGGCTACAGAATATGCTTGTGAAAGACACTGTGTGTTTTCTATACGAACACTGAGAAGGTGAGACCAAATCAGTGTTTAACTATCATGGCAATAAATGAGAAGCAGCTCTGGTGGGTCAAATTTTTAAAGCAGAATAATTTTTATTTGTATCAGCCACTAGCAATAAAATAAAATGTACTGAAGATAGAGGTAAAAACTTAACTCCTAGGACAGGGGTCAGCAAACTTTTTCAGCATGGGGCCAGTCCACTATCCCTCAAACCTCAGGCCGGACTATATTTTGAAGAAAAATATGATTGAATTCCTATGCCCCACAGATAATCCAGAGATGCATTTTAAATAAAAGGACACATTCTACTCACGTAAAAACACACTGATTCCCGGACCGTCCACGGGCCAGATTTAGAAGGCGATTGGGCCAGATCCGGCCCCCGGGCCTTAGTTTGCCTACCCATGCTCTAGGAAATACATTTTGTGGGTTTACATCAATAATCAAATAATATAAGGTAAAGGTAAAGGTACCCCTGCCTGTTCGGGCCAGTCTTGCCAGACTCTAGGGTTGTGCGCCCATCTCACTTAAGAGGCCGGGGGCCAGCGCTGTCCAGAGACACTTCCGGGTCACGTGGCCAGCGTGACAAGCTGCATCTGGCGAGCCAGTGCAGCACACGGAAACACCGTTTACCTTCCCGCTAGTAAGCGGTCCCTATTTATCTACTTGCACCCGGGGGTGCTTTCGAACTGCTAGGTTGGCAGGCGCTGGGACCGAGCAAAGGGAGCGCACCCCGCCGCGGGGATTCGAACCGCCGACCTGACGATCGGGAAGTCCTAGGCTCTGAGGTTTTACCCACAGCCCCACCCGCGTCCCTAATCAAATAATATATCTTATTCTAATTGCCCCTGCTAAAAATCTTGCAGTTTTTGCTGTCACCTGATCATCTTGATCTGCTAGAAGGAAGGACACAGTAGCAATGTTGAGTGACCTGGCATGGACAATAGTAGAGGGGTAATAACCTCACTCCTCAAATCTTTAGAAAGAGTGCAAACCAGAAGCACATGAGCCACTGACTCAATACTGTCATCTCCACATGGAAATAACCATTTCCCCAGCGGAATTTTTTTGAAAGCAACCCTCAAGTACAGCCGAAGTCATTACATTCCATCTTGCGAGAGTGAAAGCGCGCCTGCATTTTGGAATGCTCAAATTTTGCAAAGAGGGTGTGCCAAAGTGTCAAAAGGACTAGGTGGAAAATAATCATACAATGGACAACATTTTCTTATCGTGGCCGGATAACCTGCATTCAGTTAACATAGGCTGGATCCAACCCATATTACTTAATTACTTAATCCTGAATAACAGCTTTGCTGCCTCACCTCCAGGGCCAGTGCAGCCATTAGGCAGGGGGGGATGTTGCCACCTCAGGTGACAGAAGTCTCCGGGATGGCACACCACCACTGGAGCCAATTTTGGGTGAGATCTTGCCCTCTCTCCTGAAATTCTTTGCCAGTGGTGGAGGGGGAGTGGCAAGCAGTGAAATGGGATGTGCCGCCCCTGCTCACCTCTGCAGACAGGTAAACTACCTTCTTAGAATTGTAGAGGTGGAAGGGACCATGAGGGGTCATCTTCTCCAAACCCCCCCCCCCCAATGCAGAAATCTTTTGCCCAAAGTGGGGCTCGAACCCTCAGCTCTGAGGTTAAGAGACTCATGCTTTACTGACTGAGCTATCCCAACAGGAGAGGAGAGATATTGGAGGTATGTTCTGAGTGCTGGGAGATCTCGACAGAGTTGAGCTATTCTATTCTTGGACCCAATACATCCAGAATCAAAGTTAGCCTGGAGACTGGAGCATGATAGAAACTTTCTGGATATCTGACAACTTCATTGTGGCGCATAAAAATACTTTTGTGCAGTTAATGCAGTTTCTGGGAGACTTATTCCAGACGACGTCATCCAGTTTAGTTTCATGCTACATGTATTGCACATTACCCCCAAGCATATGTTTGAGTAGACTACTCCAGGCATCTGTGCAAGCAAGCGCTTAAGGCTTTAAGGAAACCCAAATTGTGTTACAGGCATACACATGTAACAGTATACACACCCCCTCCACACAGACGGTCATACGCATTTTTTACAGGGGCTTTTTCTTTGGGGATGGGGATGCAGAAGTAGGAAAGACGTGAGTGCTTTAATCTCACTCCACAAAAACTCAAGGCTTTTTCCACTGTGGAGTTTGAAACGTGTGTTTGGAGCTACATAACACTTCTCCACTTATTGCAAACCAGGCATCATACATGCAGTTAGTGGAGGGGAGAGGAAACAAACAAGCTTTTTACTACCCACCCAATTCTGCTCCTCATACTACCGTATTGGCACGAATATAAGCCACACTTTCCCCCCAAAAAATTCTGACCGTGAAAAGTTAAAGTGCAGCTTACATTCACAACCTTATGGGCAGCAAGGCAGCGCGGCTCTCCCCCCCCCCCCGAAGTTGTACAGGTATTGTCTTTTTTTCTTTCCCCCCTTCAATTTTAAAGGTGCAGCTTATTTGCGGGGGTGGCTTATATTCGAGCCAATACGGTACTTTTCTTCTTCCCTCCACCTTTGCAGCAGCTGGTGTGACTGGCAGGGATCCCAGATTCAGCAGATCACAATCATCTTAAGACAGGAATCTGCTGAGTGCTCCAAATTCAATGCAGCCTGTCATATATAGATACAGAGATACAGATACAGATGTATACTTTTAGGCATGTGTATTTGTGTGACTGATCCCATCACCTCCTGGCAAATAGAAGAGGAAGAAATGGAGGCAGTGAGAGATTTTACTTTCTTGGGCTCCATGATCACTGCAGATGGTGACAGCACCCACGAAATTAAAAGACGCCTGCTTCTTGGGAGAAAAGCAATGACAAACCTAGACAGCATCTTAAAAAGCAGAGACATCACCTTGCCAACAAAGGTCCATGTAGTTAAAGCTATGGTTTTCCCAGTAGTGATGTATGGAAGTGAGAGCTGGACCATAAAGAAGGCTGATCGCCAAAGAATTGATGCTTTTGAATTATGGTGCTGGAGGAGACTCTTGAGAGTCCCATGGACTGCAAGAAGATCAAACCTATGCATTCTGAAGGAAATCAGCCCTGAGTGCTCACTGGAAGGACAGATCCTGAGATGGAGAGCACAAGGAGAAGGGGATGACAGAGGACGAGATGGTTGGACAGAGTTCTCGAAGCTACCAGCATGAGTTTGGCCAAACTGTGGGAGGCAGTGGAAGACAGAAGTGCCTGGCGTGCTCTGGTCCATGGGGTCACGAAGAGTCGGACACGACTAAACAACAACAACATTTGTGTGATGTCTAAGCCTCAGTCTGAGTCCACACACAAGTTTTTCTGCAGGAGCCAAGTGTTCCTTTTGTGGGCAGACGCTTTGCTACCCAGCCTTCCAATTTCTGTACTTTGTCATCCCTATGTAGAGTAGCTGCTTCAGAAACAAGAGCACAAATTAAGTCATGTATCCTGCTCTCGAGTCCCCGGAGGAAGAATGTGGTAAAATGTGACAGATAAAATGAAAAGTGCGCTTGAAATGTCTAATGAGAAATTCTCCCGTGGACATTGACATTTGTGGCAAAAGGTTACCAATTTCTGTTCTTTAATCAGGCAACTGTCTGCAGGAGGCATGTGGTGCATAGGTGCACTGTAAATTACATGGTTGTTCTTCTGCGGCCTCGGAAACCGAGGAAAGTAATGATAGATTATTGCTGCAGCAATCCCAGTGCACCTTTTAAACCTGTGTAAATCTGATGTAATAAAGACAGTTGGCACAAGAGGGCAGCAGCTCGCCATTAATGTTGATGCTCGGCCTTATTCTTGTGACTATTCTAATTAGTTTCCAAGGAAGAATAATAGTTCTCACACTGGTGATAAAACCATTAGACTAGTAATAGCTCCATAAATTATACTGGGTTCAAAACATGAAACTTAATTTCACTATTTGGAGCAGAGTTCAGTAATCACTTTAGCAGAGATCCATGCGGGCAGGGTCTGTATTTCAGTAAAGTTTGGGGATTTTTCAGTAAAGTAGGGGATAGCAGGAGCCCAGAGACTTCATCAACATTTGCATGTATTGAAGTCACAAAATCATGAATTTTAGAAGCACCTATTTTAACTATTTCCCATTTATAACTTGTAATAAATACATAACCCTCCAACAATTCTCAGATGAAAATAGGGGTGTTCTATTCAGTCACCATCATCCTCTATTCTGGGTAGCTTCCAACATATAAAAACATAATAAAACATTTTTTTAAAACCTTCCCTATACAGGGCTGCCTTCGGATGTCTTCTAAAGGTTGTACAGTTACTTATTTCCTTGCCTCGGGGGTCACATAACTCCAAAGCATCCAACATTTCTCCAATGAAAACAGGGATGTCCTAAGGAAAAGTGGGACATTCCAGGATCAAATCAGAAACCAGGACGGCTTCTGTAGACCCAGGACTTTCCCTGGAAAATAAATAGCGGGTCTGAGATTTTCTCATGCTTCAGGTGCTGATTGTAGACATTCTGTTACCCAGTCATTTTGTATAGGTTAGAGAGCCAGGCTTTTGAAGCACATAAAAGCCAGTCACTTAACGAAGCACTAATACAGCATGTCAAATCCAAGTTGTGTGTATTTTATTTCTTCTTCTTCTCCTTTGGCGATCACTCGTAGCCGAGTAAGATTGCCTTCCATAAACACGGTTTTAACAATGAGTCCATAAGTGACCGTGGAGGCCAATTCTGGATCCACACGTCCTTCCACAGTGGGGACATTGGTTTCCGGGTGGGAGTTGATCACAGTGTGGATTTGCCAAGCGTGCCTTCCTCTTAGCACGTTTCTCCCTTGCGTCCTGAGTTTGAGTCTTCAAAGCCCATGACACCTTTGGTAAAGGCTGTTCTTCAGTTGGAGCGTCCGTAGGCCAACATTTCAGAGTTGTCAGTGTTTATATCACTTTAGCTAATGGGGCCTCCCGCTGCCGCCGCGCAACCAGCGCACGATTTCTGTTCTCATTTTGATCATTCTGAGGTAAAGTTCTTAACCCGAGGTACTACTTCTGGGTTAGTGGAGTCTGTAACCCGAAGTGTACTACATTTTTTTAGATTTGCCTTGAGAAAGTCTTTAAACCTTTTTTGTTGACCCACTGGCATTACGCTTTCCATTTTTAAGTTTGGAATAGAGTAGTTGCTTTGGAAGATGATCATCAGGCATCCGCACAACATGACCAGTCCAGCAAAGTTGATGTTGAAGAATCATTGCTTCAACACTGGTGATCTTTGCTTCTTCTAGTACACTGGCATTAGTTCGCCTGTCTTCCCATTTTATTTAGTGCCTGCTTGCTCAGAATGAACCCAGGCACCAAGTGAGCCAGGGGGAATTCACAGCCTGGCCTATGCGAGGTTGATTCTTCATTTGGCATCTTTCCGGTCACCCCAAATTTTCTTTACAGCTCCCAATACAGGTGTGTAAGAGTAGACTCCAAATTCCAGTGCTTCCAGCAAAGCAGGACTATCAGAACATCAGCAACAAATTTGCTGTAACACTTTGGGCTGAGGCGGGGTGTGGAGGGAACTACTGAAGAGTTTCTGTGTTATGATTCTTCTCTAGAGACAAAGCCAGGTGGGATGATATTGAGAGAATAATGTAACTTGAAGAAATTAACCATTTTAGCAAGTTGAGAAATGCCACCCACATCAGGTCCAAACAGATGTATGTTAAAGAGATGCTTAAGTTGATTGTACAGCCATTATTATTTGGGGGCAGCATGTCCCCCCTTTTTTGTAATTTACTAAAAGACAAGTCTTATTAACTCAGTAGCCAAAGCAGTGGGGAAATGCCTGCTAATCTAACTTTGAAGATGACATTCCATTTTTAACAATAGATCAAGACAGATTAGTGATTTGTACAAGGGCCAATGTCCTCCGTTTAGCCCTTGCTGCTACAGTGGTCAAAGGGGAAAAATCTTTCCTGCCGCCCCCTAAAAGAAAGAAAAAACACTCTTAAAATAGTTTTGCTCATAAATGGATGCATATGGGAGAGCTCAAGTGAGATTCATCTTGCCTGGGGCTGTTCAGAGCGCCTCCATCTTAAGTGCTTGGAAGATTAGGGGAAACAGAATGATAGGTAGGCAGGAAATGAAATTCACCTTGCTGTGTAGGCACCTGCTTTTTAGGATATGAAATTCTTTGTCTTTTAGCAGACCTCCAAAAAACAACAACAGCCTGTCTTTGTGTCCGTTTGGCAGAAATAATTAGTTGAGATGGCAAGCGGTAGTCCCTGTATTTTGTTGTTGTTGTTTAGTCGTGTCCGACTCTTCGTGACCCCATGGACCAGAGCACGCCAGGCACTCCTGTCTTCCACTGCCTCCCGCAGTTTGGTCAAACTCATGCTGGTAGCTTCGAGAGCACTGTCCAACCATCTCTTCCTCTGTCGTCTCCTTCTCCTTGTACCCTCCATCTTTCCCAACATCCAGGGAGTCTTCTCTTCTCATGAGGTGGCCAAAGTATTGGAGCCTCAGCTTCACGATCTGTCCTTCCAGTGAGCACTCAAGGCTGATTTCCTTCAGAATGGATCGGTTTGATCTTCTTGCAGTCCATGGGACTCTCAAGAGTCTCCTCCAGCACCATATAAATCATTTTAACTATATTCACTCACCCATGAACGTAAAATCTAAGAACTGATAGTGCTTTGTTGAGATAAACTTGGAGGTATCATGGAACGTGGATTTGTTTTTAGTCCTTGGTCTTAGGAAGAACCCTGTTTGACTAAAGGCTATAGCAGGACATTAAAAAGAGAATGCCTCTCTGTGAGCAGCTATATATATATATATATATATATATATATATGTAATATGATAGTCACCATCACCAACAAACTCGGTGCTTGAGTTCTAATGAGAGAAATGCTAGAGGGCCTGTCTGGAAAATCCCAGACAGAAAGCTATTTATGGCTGGGTCATTTTTGAGTTGAAGAGGCTATAACCATTGATTTGTGTGTGTGTGTGTGTGTTTCTTTTTTCTCTTGCAGGTTACCTTTCGGACAAGAATCTATCACTGTAACATTAACAGCCAAGGGGTGATTTGCCTGGACATCTTAAAAGACAACTGGAGTCCAGCATTAACCATTTCTAAAGTCCTTCTTTCTATCTGCTCACTTCTCACAGACTGCAATCCTGGTAAGGCAGCCAAAACGGGGCAGTGGGTGAGAGAATCTCTGTTCTGCAGCAGGTATTAGGTTCAGAGCATCTTCCTCTTTTGCTCATTATATATATAGAGAGAGAGAGAGAGAGTGTGTGTTTCCATTTTTTTGCAAATTGGCTTCAGATTGAATAACTTACATTGTTCCGCACATGCTTTTCAGAATGTATGTATACATGGTTCTACCTTCAGATCAGTTACACAAATACTGCTTTGGGTTTATTCAAGTAAAACAGGTGTGTAGATGCAGCTGATGAATTCTGATGGAACAGTTACACATGGAAGACATTCATCTTTCACTTTGGCGTCCATCAAATCATTCTAACATCAACATTTGCCATGACTCACCCACTTTACTATATTAGGAACCACTTTCTTGACAATTAGTGTTTTTCTTCTGGGGCGACCCAGGGGTACGCATACCCCTAAACATTTTGTGAATTTTCATACTTTTGTCCATATACTGTATTTATTTTTCCCGATCTGAACTATAAAAGGGTGATTTTCTTGAGTCAAAATGAGAGTACCCCTAAACATTTGGGGGGGGGGAAGCACTGACTATATGCATAGAAAAATCTGACCGCAGAATCTGAAATACACACATTTAGAATCTGAAATATTCCAAACAATTCTAAATTTAGAATTCTGAATTCACAGTGACAAGAGTTGCACATGTTTGATACATTACATAAAAGGGTCCATGGACTGAGAAGCAGCAAAAGAATCTGGGAAAAAAACCTCTTATGAATTAAGTGTGTAAGAATACGAGAAGGTTTCTTCTTTCGAGGTGCAAATCTCTTTTGTTTTGAATGAATATTAGAGGTGTGCTGTATCTGTAGAAATACCAACAGCCTGTTCTTATGTATAATTACTAAGAAATAAGTTTCCAGGGTTCAGTAGACCCTACATGTGGCTGGAGAAACCATAAATACTAAAATAATAATAATTGCAACTAAAACTTCAGTTCAGTCACTGAACAGGTGGTTTTCTGAGTCCCCATTGGATTTAAACTCTTCTCTTGTGATATTTCCTTTCTTTTTCCTGCCCCAAAGTTCAATGATGAGCTGGAACTTTCTTTCTCCCTTTGCAGCTGACCCCCTGGTTGGAAGTATTGCTACTCAATATATGACTAACAGAGCAGAGCATGACAGAATGGCCAGACAGTGGACGAAGAGATATGCTACATAAACTGGAATTTTTCTCCAACCCTTGCGTTAAATCGTCTGTGATGGAAAGAGCTGCTTATGATTTTGAAGGGGGGGGGACACGGGGGGAGGGAGAGGGGAGGAACTGAGAAAAGAGTAGGGTATTTCTATAACAGATTTTATTCAGTCTTTTATTTCCTAAGATTTTGTTGTTGTAACTTAAGGTATCTTGCTACAGTAGTCAGCTAGAATGGGGAATAGCATATTTTAAAGACTGTCATTAGTTCAGCAATAGTAGCTCTGAATTATAGCACCAAGAAGAATGTAAACTACTTTGGCAATTGGAGGGGCGGGGGGGGGGAAGGAAACGGGTGTTTGGTTAACTTGTGATAGGTAAAAGATTAAAAACAGCTTAATTTTGTACAGGTACATATATTTGGCATTTATGTAAAAGTTCTTTCAAGAAGACTCGCTATATGCTTCTTCTCTTTTAGTTTGGTTTTATTTTGTAAAAAGATGTTGGGAATATTTTCTTTTTTTCCCCATGGGAGGTGGGAGAATTTGGTATTTAACAGATCCCTTTTAAAAGTCAGCCATCTCATTGGTTTGAATTATGGGGTGGTGGCTGTTTTGTTGCCTCACCTAGAACAGGGGAAGTAGTTCATGTATATTCATTTTTCTATGCCAAGTTAACCTTTGTGAAAACGAAAGGTTTTAACTAGGACTTAGGGCAACCTGTAGTGAAATACCTTAAGCTGTTTAACTGTAAGGCGTGAAATAGGAGTCACTCAGTGGATTGGTTGTATGTTGTGGGCTACCTAAGTCTGCATTTGTTACTGTGCTAATAAAAATATGTACAAAAAAAAAACCCCACCTCTCCTGTCTAATTGAAATAAAGGTTAGTACAGTGGTACCTTGGTTCTCAAACTTAATCCGTTCCAGAAGTCCATTCCAAAACCAAAGCGTTCCAAAACCAAGGCGCGCTTCCCATAGAAAGTAATGCAAAACGGGGGGCCACCAGGGGGCGCATTGGAAGATGGCCGACAATAACATCTCTCGGACCCACACGAGGTAATTAAGAGGCTGATATGGGAGTATGCAGTCTCCCTTGCCCCCCCAAGGGAATGGGGGGCACTGCCTTGCCTGCTGTGTCCATAATTCACCCCCGGATTCGAAAGAAGGGGGTGAGGGCACTAAGCACGAAGCCCTCGGGTGAGGTCGGTCCTCCCGGACGCTGTCTCTGATCGCGCACTGGTTTGCATCAGCTCAAAATATATAATTGGAAATAGAAGCAAATGCACATACTTCAAGTGAAGATCGGGAGTAAAGACTGCTAAATAATGGCATCTCTGTGATGCGGAGAGACAGGCTGGACAATAAATCAAGAGAAGACTCATCATTAAAAGATTGGTATGTCGGAGCGAAACGGAAAGTGGGGGGGAGGAAAAAACTTTTCTTCTTTTGTCTTATGTGAGTACCCAATAACCCTCCCCCCCAGAGAGAAAGAGTCGTTGCAAATTACTAATCACAAGCAGGAGATTAAGAACTGTGTGGAAATAAATACTAATCAAAGAGAGGACTGGTGGGAACATCGGGAATGGAAAGAAAGCTTTGTGACGCAGTTACAAATGGAGATTTGTTAAGACAGGCAAGCCCACAGGAGGACGAGGGGGAGGAGGACCATGGTCATCGGAATGTGAATGTATGGTTATTGGAATGTGAATTTGACCTGGCAGGGCCCCCTGAGAAAATTGATGACAGACTGGCAGGCCTGTGGAAATCAACGGACAGACTGTGGGAATGTTCTGTATGGAGGTGTGGAAATGCTTTCTGTCCTTTATATGATATGGCTCTTGGAGAGTGTAAAATCCACACAGGATATGTTTGTTTTCAACCCGCTTGTGAAGATTATCAGAGAAAACAAAGAAAGGAATATATGATAACAACAAGAAGATGAGGAAAATAACAAAGAGACTATCTGGACAGAATTAAAGCAGCAGCAAGAGTGATGTTTGGATCCCTTTCGGAGCTCGAAGTATGGATACCCCCAACAAAATTTTAAAAATTTGGCTGTATAATTTGGAACTAATGTGATTTGGAATTAATGTGATCTGATTGGCCTGTTAATAAAAATTATTTTAAAAGAAAGTAATGCAAAACGGATTAATCCGTTCCAGACTTTTAAAAACAACCGCTAAAACAGCAATTTAACACGAATTTTACTATCTAACAAGACCACTGATCTGATCTATAAAATGAAAGCAAAAAACAGTGTACAGTACTGCAGTCACACAACCAATCAATCAGTAGCAGAACTGGGTTCCACACAGTCACAAAAACAAAACAAAAAAGCTGCAAAAACAAAAACACAAAATAAATAGCCTCTGTCAGATATGCTGTCACTTTCTCCATTTTGGACTACCGTATTTTTCACCCTATAGGATGCACTTTTTCCCCTCCAAAAATGAAGGGGAAATGTGTGTGTGTCCTATGGGGCGAATGCAGGCTTTCACCGACCCCTCTCGCTCTCCAGGCTTCAGGAAGCTATCTGCAAGCCTTGGGAGCCCGCGGGAGTTCCCGCCGGGCTCCCACGACTTGCGGAGAGCAGCCTGTTCTGGGGACTGGGGAAGCTCGGGCTTCCCCTGCCCCAGCCCCGTGCCTGGGGGGAAAAATAAAATGTCCCTATGGGGCGAAAAATACGGTAACTGGGCGTTAGTATTCTTGTTGCATGCTGTAAATATGCACTGCTCAAGAGCACATCCGTGGTCTTGGGGGGGGGGGCTCTAATGGGAGGCTTTTGAATTTGGCAGCTGGCTCTAAGAAAGATCCCATAAGCAGTAGCGAGGGGAAGAGGAATTGTATAGAAGGAGCACAGCTCCGAAGTCGAGACAGCAAAAGTTTGATAGACCAAATCCAGAATTTGAGCCAGTAGAGGAAGGAAATGCTATGCACTGATCCCTGCTGCAAAACTGCCCTGCTACTCTTAAAAACCAGTAAGCTCTATATTTAAAGCTCTTCCCAACAAACTCCAAAGCAATGTCATTTTCATACAATTCTCCCTTGCCTTGGGAAAACTGGTATGGGTTATCTGTAAGGGTGATGTACCCCTGATGGGCTCACAGCTCCTGATTGCGTCTGCTTCTGGACAGCATCTTAAGACATTCGAAGCTGTGAACTGACTGCGAAATTGTGAGCGCACTGACGATAGTTATAGAGTTACAGATAACACTTCAGGCCACAGTGACTCCCTTTTGCGCAAACCAATTGTGCCAAAAATAACACTGGAAGCACTGAATGGTTTGCGTAGTTAAACCTCGGGGCCTTTTGAAGGCTGTCAGTCTCACATCTAACACACTCATCTATCACACCTTTTTGCAGATACACTAAAGGTTGGATCACCTGCTTTTAACTGCCTTTTGCAATCGGAACTTCCTTAACAGTTTGTCACTGGAACAACCTGCCTGAGGTTTCAAGCCATTAGTGCTTGATGTATTCTTGAGCAGGCATTCTAATAGTTGAGAAGTGTCAGTACACCCTGTTTTCTCTATTGTAAACAACCCCACTTCCTCCAGCCGCTTTTAGCTTCTGAATAATTCTTAAGAGAGTTGTTTCCAAGTTAGAGGAACAGAGTAAAGCAAATGAGGTCTTAAGCGAGTGCCGAGCGAAGCAGTGCCATTATTTCCTGTGTCTCGGAAAGGATAATTCTCTGAACGCAGCCCCAAAACGGAGCTGGCATTTTAAAGCTGCAGCGTTACATTGTTGGTTTGCATTTTGTGGTTCTCAGTAAAGCCTCTGGATTCTCAAAAGTGTTTATGTTAATCTACTTCGCATCGGTCAAGAGGGCCTTGTTTGAGTGCAAGTTGGAGGCACCCAACCTAGCACTGAACCAGTTTAAAAAGAAGCAGTTGTAGCCAAGTTAAGGAGAAAAGGAGATTTTCCTGTTATGTTAGGAAGCAGACAGTAGACAACTTGTTAGGAAGCAACAGGAGTATGTTGCACCTTCCTTACTTACGTGGCTCTTTCCCACTTCATACATGCATTTTCACCAAGGGCCAGAACTAAGGAGAGCAGCAAACTGAACAGCAGAACATATCAGAACCTTCTTTGACCCTGAGAGCCAATTTGGACAATTAGGAGTGGAGATTTCAGCACTTGTTCGCTGATCTGGAAGTATAAATTACTGGACTTCTCAGTTGGTTAGAACATGGTACTGATAATGCCAAGGTAGTAATAATAATAATAATAATTAATAATAATTATTATTTATTATTTGTACCCCGCCCATCTGGCTGGGCTTCCCTAGCCACTCTGGGCAGCTTCCAAAAACATATTAAAATACTGGAATACATCAAACATTAAAAGCTTCCCTAAACAGGGCTGCCTTCAGATGTCTTCTAAAAGTCTGGTAGTTGTTGTCCTCTTTGACATCTGGTGGGAGGGTGTTCCACAGGGAGGGCGCCACCACCAAGAAGGCCCTCTGCCTGGGTCCCTGTAACTTGGCTTCTCACAGTGAGGGAACTGCCAGAAGGCCCTCGGTGCTGGACCTCAGTGTCCGGGCAGAATGATGGGGGTGGAGATGCTCCTTCAGATATACTGGACCGAGGTCGTTTAGGGCTTTAAAGGTCAGCACCAACACTTTGAATTGTGCTCGGAAATGTACTGGGAGCCAATGTAGGTCTTTCAAGACCGGTGTTATATGGTCTCGGCAGCCGCTCCCAGTCACCAGTCTGGCTGCCGCGTTCTGGATTAGTTGTAGTTTCCTGGTCACCTTCAAAGGTAGCCCCACATAGAGATGTTGAAAAGGTTGCAAGTTCGATCCCCATAGGGGAAAACTGCGCTGCAGGGGGGTTGATCCTCACAAGTCCCTTCCAGCTCTACAATTCCACGATTCTATGAATTGGCCCACAGTATGAATTGGTCAACATTTCAAATATAGGACAGTGTCACTGCTTTGCTGCAAATTCAACACATGTCCAAAGCCGCCTGTGTTATGTTCCGCTCTTCCGGTGGAACAGAACAATTTGGCAAAGAGGAGAAAGAGGGGCGCCATTGGTTCTCGAGGCTGAGTGGAGGGTATATATACCTATGTGACATGGGTGAGATAGCAGTTGTGCATATAGGATTTGTCTAAGTTCCAACATACTGGAATCTTTTTGTCTCATGCTTTGAGAATTCCATCATGTAGTACAAACGTCACTTGAGGAGACCTTTTTTTTTTTTTTTAAAGATACTGAGATGTGGAATCATTGAAAATGTGGAATGCAACACTGAGTAGATAGATAGATAGATAGATAGATAGATGATAGATAGATAGATAGATAGATAGATAGATAGATAGATTCATTCAAACTCCAATCCTGGTTTTTTCCACTCAGAACAAATAAATCATCGGCTGCAACACTATTGGAACATGGAGAATGGAACAAAAGGAATTTGGTACAATGCTTTGAATCAAACTGTTAAGCAGGTGGGGACAACACATACCTAAATAAGGACCACTTTCAAATAGAGGGGATTTCTTTAAAGCTTAACAGAATAAAAGGGAAAGCAAAGTAGATCACAACTCAAGGCTTGGTATCGTTAGAAAAACGGCTAACAGGATCTGGAGGAGGTGGAACTGTAGTTCTCAACTGCAACAGACAACCTTGCAAGTTTCTAGCAGAATACACCAAGAATTTGGTCACCCCCAGAAAATGGCAACCGATTCAATCTGAAAGCGATGATATTCTTTTCCAGTCACACTCACTAGGTAAATAGTAAAGATTTTTGATGACCACCTGAACAAGGAATGACACTTTTAAAAAAAAATCAACTGGCATATATTTTAATCAGTTTAGAATTTCGAAATCTTCACCCTCTTGGGCTACTAGAGGTAAATTCACAGGAAGAAGAACCAAAGCACACTGAGAAGTTGCATTCTGAAAGGGTGTTCCAAGAAATGAGAAGATTAAATCAACAATCCTGGAATATTGGCAAAGGAGGCTTTACTAAATTCTGAAAACACAAAAAGAAAGTTATTTTACAGGACACCTCTAAGCTGCCTTCTATTTGTTGTTGAAGACTGGCACACCCTCTGTGATGCCTCCTAGACAGCTTAGGCACAGGTTGGCGTCTTGGCTGGACTACTGCAATACATGATACTTAGGACTGTCATTGAAGATTTCCTGGAAACTCCAGTTAGGACAAAATGCTAGGTTGCTAATTGGAACATACTTTACCTGGTGCTTGCATCATCTGGGCACCAAAGAAAGTGATGGGCATTACTTAGAAAGTAATTGCTTGGGACCTTATTTGAAAGACCTTCTGTGCAAATACTTCATTGGAAGCACCATCTGATGTCAGGAGGGTGGTGACTGTGGAAAGTCCACTTGTGATTGCAGAAAGGAGTATCTCTTCCAAACCAGCTCATCTTTTATGCCCTTTCAGTATAAGGGAGGACTTTTATTTGCTCAGGTATTCCAGCATGCTTTATTAACTGTTTTTAACACTTGTTTTTTCTGGATCCAATAGATTTTACGGCTGCTGCTTTTTTTCTTTTTTTTTTTGCTTTTAATATATGGACTTCTATTGTACCTGCTACTACTTAAAACTGTTCACTCCCCTGGGAATCTTACGCTGAAGAGTGGCTAATAAATGAACCCTTTATAAATGACTTATTATTAAAGAGTGGCTCTTTTTCTCACCTACGCTGCCCTACAGGAGAGCAACTGCTTGCTTAAGTACTTAAGCCAAACCCCGACTGCTTTTTATGTGGGCTTGAATCTCGCTTGTGAAAATCTGGTCCCATTACTCCATGACGTGCATTATAAAACAAACAAGTTGGATCTGCAACAAAAAGTCGCAGCGTTAAATATTCCTGATTAGCGTTTCAGCTGGCCATGCCCTTTTCTCCATTCCACCTCCTCCCATTTTCTGTCCCTCAACCCAATATAGCAGACAGCATTTCATGCCCACTGAACATTCTCACTCCTCACACCCCTAATTCCCCCCCAAACGGCCCCCCCTCCACTTTTGCAAATCTTGGGGTTCTCCCAAGGCTTCTGATGCCTCCATCTCGTGCACAGATTTTGGCCACAAAAATATGCAGAATCAAAGTATGAATTCACTATTAGTATACAGAGGATGCGAGGGGATGTGAGAATGGAGCGTTTGTAAATGGCTCGCTCTTACCAGATTTTTCTAGGTGTGCAATTGACGGGCGAGTATCCACACCCTCCCCATCTTTTTCATTCACAATGTTTTATGGCTTGCTGTCCACACCAGTGGGCAAAGTTTGAAAGAATTCATCGGGTTCTCTCAGTCCCTCTTCCTCCATCCTGCACACCCTTTCATTCTGGGCAGGTATGCAAGTATTTCTATAGCTTGTTTGTGTACATCTTTTTTTAAAAAAGGGCTATTCATCCCCTTTAGAAACGACAGCAGAGAAACTGCATACACAAGTTTACTAACTGCAGCGTCAAACTCTGCGAGCACTTGAGGAAGCACAAAAGGAACAGCATAAAACACAGACCGACAACTCGAGACACTCCTCCCTGGTTGAAATGGCCTTCAGCCGTCATCGTTGTTGCCTTTGGGCTTCCGCCCGGGCAAAGGAAAAGCCGACTTGTTCTGGGCCTGAGAGAGTTTGCTCGCCAGCACGGCAAAGGGCTCGACCAGCGTCCTTCCGTCGGTCACCGTGACTTCCCACAGCTTCACCTTCTCGAGTTTGGCCCACTGTTGAGCCACAGCCACCTCGACTTGTCTTTCCTCCACCAGGTCAGCTTTGTTGCCTAAGACAACAATAGAGCCCTGAAAAAAGGAAGGAAGCAATCCGTCAGAAATGCGGAGAGGCTCAGTGGCAAAGCACAGGCTTTGCATCCTGTTCAGCCAAGGGGCAGAAAGCTGCTCTCTCTCCCATGAGACCTTCTGTCATTCAGAGGAGGCAACATTTACTTCAATGGACCAATGGGTCGGACTGCATTTTAATTCTAAGGTGCTGCCTTTGATGGAATCTGTATGCCACATAGTGCCCTCCAGATCTTGTTGGTCTACAAATCCCATCACCCCTGTCTGCTGCTCTGCAGGTTAGAGCTGCTGCTGTTCGCAATGGTCAAGGACTATGGTTACTGTAGTCTAGCAACACCTTGTTGGCAATGGTCAGGCATCATGGGTATTGTAGTCCAACAACACCTGGTGTTGTTGGCAATGGTCAGGGATCACGGGTATTGTAGTCCAACAACACTTGATGATGTTGGCAATGGTCAGGGATCACGGGTATTGTAGTCCAACAACACTTGATGTTGTTGGCAATGGTCAGGGATCATGGGTATTGTAGTCCAACAACACCTGATGTTGTTGGCAATGGTCAGGGGTAATGGGTATTGTAGTCCAACAACACTTGATGTTGTTGGCAATGGTCAGGGATCATGGGTATTGTAGTCCAACAACACTTGATGTTGTTGGCAGTGGTCAAGGATCATGGGTATTGTAGTCCAACAACACTTGATGTTGTTGGCAATGGTCAGGGATCATGGGTATTGTAGTCCAACAACACCTGATGTTGTTGGCAATGGTCAGGGATCATGGGTATTGTAGTCCAACAACACTTGATGTTGTTGGCAATGGTCAGGGATCATGGGTATTGTAGTCCAACAACATCTGCTGGGCACCAAATTGGCTACTCCTGCCATATATCAATCCATGTAATCTGTTGCTTAAAAAAAAAAGTCAGATGCTACTAAGATGGTATTAGGTTTCAAGAGGAGCCCAATATGTCAGCGAAGCAAGGAATTGCTCCCAATTTTTAAAGCCCAGTGACTAAGATTGCCTGTGCAAAAGTATCCTTGGCATGTTGTGGTGTATTGAAAAATACAAGCGGCTGCAAGCCCAGAAACAAATAGCGGCCAGGAAACCTGCAGGCAAGCATATTAAATTATAGTACTTAAATACGGCTCTTCTTTCCTATGAAACATGACATAGGGATGTTGCTATGAGCTTCGACATTATTCAGGCAGGCCACACCAAATCCAGAACACAGGCATGCCAAAGGCTTTGGGTGTGTTCAGCTCGGCAGTTACGTAAGACTCTAAGACTGAATGTTTTTCCTCACCTCCTTGTAAGATGACGAGATGTATTACTCTGCCTGCGATAAGGCAGCCCTGTTGCGTCTTGGGGCCCCGCCTGCTCATTTTGCTGAGTAGGGCTCTGACATCTGCCTGCCCCAAAGTATGATGGCAGCACTGGCTGCATCGTGGCTGGGCTGGTTTTGAAGCAAGTTGTGATTAAGGTTGTTCCCGGCTGGTTTTCAACCCACATCGTCCTTTTAGATCTTGCCAGTCTTAACTGCAAAGTTAGTTATTCTCCTTTTCTTTCCTAAAGTGATTACTCCAATTCTCAGCTTTGCTTCGTTCTCTGCTTCTCTCTTCAGTTCTGCTGCCAGTTTTCTTTCCTTTTGGATCTTCCTTCCCCCAGTTCTTTCCTTTACGGTACTGATGTAATTTGGCTTCTTCTAAACTGCCTTCTCTTTTTCCTATTTGCCTTATTACAGTCATGGCTGGCGCCCACTGGGATTAGTAAAGCAGAAGGCAGGGAGGTCAACAGTAGGTGGCGCCAGAGATGAGTAATTCTACCCTTGTCCCCAGCCTCCTCCCTACAGAGTTCTAACAAGGCAACACTGAAACAACATTTAGAGCGCTACGATTCCACTTTAAACAGTCATAGTTTCCTCCAAAGAATTCTGGGTTAAAATTCCCAGCAATCCCTGTGAAGAGGGATTGAGCACTTTTCTGGTTTTGTGCAAATCTGAGGGATCGAAAAGGGGGATTATATAATTTACAAAGACTCTTTTTAATGCCAGCAGACATTTTAACTGAATTTTTATTTTATAATATTAAATTATCTTTATTTACATTGGATCAAGTTTCTTATTATACACCACTCTAATTATAAGTAAGCAGCATATAAATTATTGAAATAAAATTCTCTAATGTCTCTAATTATAAATTATTGAAATAAAGTAGTAGCAAGTTTCTAGCAACCATGGTTGCTTTTGCATTTAAAAAGCAATTTTCTCTAAAGGCGCTGAAAAAAGGCAGGATTTGGGGAAAACTTCAAAATGACCAGGGTAAGAGAGTAGCTGTTCACTTTTCACAATTTGCTTCTCTTGTGGGTTTTTAAGATTATTCCTTTGCTCCTGGTTATTTTATCAAATCCCTACTGTTCTTGAATTTGCATCTAAGGAATCAGGAAGTAGAATATACGGCACTATTCAAACAACCTGTTCTCTCTTCCAAAAGTGAGCAACAGAGACAGTGCCGAACGTCAACTGTCTTAACAAGATTTGAATTGTTTTGATTTACGGTTTTGATTTTGAGATGCAATGAATTACAACCACAGATGAAAGGGTATTCACGACTCGTTCCGTCCTTTGTTGTGTCGAACTACAAACCCCATGGGAATGCAAATACTACTTTCAAACTGCTAACATTAAAGGAGAGACAGAGAGAGAAAAATCTATTCTGCCTTACAGTTAAAACGAAACGGAGGAGAGGAATCACAAGGGATCTTTCTGTGCAGCAAAGTGACTCAGTCGATTACTTGCTCACAGGAGAGGCAGCCTGTGTTTCCAGGTCCTTTGATGCAATGTGTGTGTAGTCAAATTAGGAAGCCGTATCCTAAATAGCACTTGCTATGACAACCGATTATATAATTGGATTAGGAAAGAAACTTCGTAGTAAACAAAGCAGTTACTGTGCTGTTAATAACAACCTGATTCACTTTTCTGACTTATTAATAAGTAATGACTCACCCTGATCCAGCAACATATCTGGGCACCATTGAGGGGCTGCTCTTAGACAGCCCTGGTGAGAGAATCCGCAATACCACCAATCAGCTGTTTGGGGGAGAAAAAGTGGGGGCTAAATTTAACCCCTTTCAAACAGCTGGTCTTGTGCTGTATTGTTTTTTCTGACTCAGTCAATATGGATGCCTGGGGTTCCTCAGGGACACCATGGGACCCTCATATACCTAAGGCACCCTGTCCCTCCCAATTCTCAGTTTTATTTTAAATCAAGGTCTTTTGCTTTGGCCCTACGCATGCTGCAGAATTGGGCAGGTGTTAAAATGGACTGTACTACTTTGGCTTACAAGTGGAGCACACAACTTTTGAATGCTCCGCCATGTTGTTGTTGCTTTATATATATTTTTCTGAAGTTTTTTTTCTGAAGTTTTCCAAAATTTTACACATACATTTCAATACATAATAAAAACTCCCCCTCCCCAACTTCCCATCCCCTTTTATATGCTGTTTCTGTTTCTCTCCCTCAGCTGTCTTCTATCGCTTAAACCTCGACAAAACTACGGTAATTTTCAATCCCTTCTGTTGCTCAAAGTTCAAATCCTCCTTGCTCATCATATTATAATATCACTCATCATATTATATTTTTTTAAATAATCCGAGAAGCGTTTCCATTCTTCCACAAAACCTCCGTCATTAGGTTCTTTTATTTTAGCTGTTGACTTTGCCAATTCTGCATATTGCTCAACCATTCTTCTTCAGTGGGTTATTTCTGCCTTTTAAAAGCTGCCCGTTAATAGAAATTACCACTTGGGGGAAGAAAATGTTCCCTTGTCCTTATTTCGTTGAGTCTTTGACGCAGGGGAGCATTTGAAAATGCGACGTGGTCCATTCTACTCCCTCACGGGTCCAGACTGAGGTAAGCACTGAAGGATTACTTCACAGAATAGGATTACACTCCTTCCTTTAACCTCACTGAGTCTTGCGGTCTGTATGCCAAAGTCAGGAACGCTACGAAATCTGCGGTGATGAAACAGAAGCGATTGGCTGCGCTGCGGGCAGGCCCCATTTTCGGGGAATGCTGGGAATCCACTTCCTCCTTTACACAAGGTTCAGGATACACAATCAAAGGAGAACACTGAGTAACAACGCCTCTGACTGCTATATTAAGAGTCCATGAAAAGGTAGCAAAGGCCTCTTTCCGATGCAACCTTAATCGATGCAACCGGCAAGCCCTGAGTTACGTAAGAACTTTGCTCTGACAACAGCCAAACATTACATAACTGCAGTCTTGTGCTGACTTGCTTTAAATGGCCCCAGATGAATGCTTCCTTCCTTTCTTTTTTTTTGTTACAGGCACTTAGTTAAGAGATCCATTAGGGATTCACTCTCTCTTTACATACAGAATTTATTGCAGGAAAATACACAGAGCCCTGCGTAGGTGATATTCCTCAGCTTCCTGAGCTGCAGCAGTCGATTAGCAAACATTGATGAAGCCATTTCCTTGTGAAGGGTCTGATTTAGTAGCCGCGGTGAAACCCCTAAAAAAAAACCCCTGATTAAATCCATTATCTTAGTATTACTGTTATACAGTGGTACCTCGGGTTAAGAACTTAATTTGTTCCGGAGGTCCGTTCTTAACCTGAAACTGTTCTTAACCTGAAGCACCACTTTAGCTAATGGGGCCTCCTGCTGCCGCTGCGTCGCCGCCATGCGATTTCTGTTCTCATCCTGAGGTAAAATTCTCAACCGAAGGTACTATTTCTGGGTTAGCGGAGTCTGTAACCTGAAGCGTCTGTAACCTGAAGCGTCTGTAACCAGAGATACCACTGTAGTTGCTTTGGAAGATGATAATCAGGCATCCACACAACATGACCAGTCCAACAAAGGTACCACTGTACAGTGGTGCCTCGCAAGACGAAAATAATCCGTTCCGCGAGTCTCTTCATCTTGCGGGTTTTTTCGTCTTGCGAAGCAAGCCCATTAGCGGTTTAGCGCTACAGTATTAGCGTCTTAGCGGGCTTAGCGGATCAGCTGATAAGCGGCTTAGCGATCAGCTGTTAAGCGGCTTAGCCGATCAGCTGATAAGCGGTTTAGCGGCTTGGGAAAAAGGAAAAAAACCCCGCAGGAACTCGCAAGACATTTTCGTCTTGCGAAGCAAGCCCATAGGAAATTCGTTCTGCGAAGCACCTCCAAAACGGAAAACCCTTTCGTCTAGCGGGTTTTCCGTCTTGCGAGGCATTCGTCTTGCGGGGCACCACTGTAATAGTTTTTATCCCAACACTTTCCTTGGCACCTTACAGACTAACCTTACAGATTATGGCAGAAGATGCTATTAAGGCAAAAAGCACTTCCAATCCATTTTTTTATTTATTTACGACATTTAGAGGCCAATCTTTATCTTCCAAGGAGCTTAAGGCGATGTCTGTGATTCTCCTCCCCCCCATTTAAGCCTCACAACAACCCTGGGAGGTCGGTTAGGCTACGAGAGGATGACTGACCCGAGGTCCTCCAGTGAGGTTCATGGCTGAGAAGGGATTTGAAACCTGTTCTCCCAGGTCCTAGTCCAACACTCCATGGGATCCAACTCCCCACCCCCATAAAATATTTGAGGGGTCTGGGCCCCCCCAAAGTTGATGGGCATTGTCATTCAAATGGTGTGTGTGCGCCATGTCATGCAGGACGGGGCCTACCTGCCCCCCCCCCATATTTTACTCAAGTTGGCACCCCTGCGACATTCTTAATCCCATAATTCCCAACGTGGGGCAAACGCCCCATAGGGGCGCAATTTGATTTTTTTGGGGGGGGGGCAATTCGAGACTGAGTTATTAACAGTTAACGGCCTTTTAGGCTTCCTCCACGTGAATAGGAGTTCACTTTTTGAATAAGAAGAATTATATGTCACAGGGCGGACGGGCATCGGGATTTTAGAGATGGCCAAAAAAAGGTTGGGAACCACTGCTCTAACCATTATGCCACGCTTCTTCTTTTGCAAGGAAAGATGGCATAATGGTCCTCACCATTTGTTATCAGCCAACGTTTTGTGAACGACTTCTGTTAATTATGTAATTAGCACTGCCTGTACTTTCTGCATTTCATTTCCCTGTGACCTCACTGCTCAGTGTGTTTACAGGTGTCCCAGCCCAAAACAGTGGATTAAGCTTATGCCTTAATAAATGGATTGTTTATGATGCCAAAAAGACTTGCAGTTGTTTCCGATACAACAGACTAACAAGGAAATAGTTACGGCGGGTTTTAAGAACCTTTTACAACCACTCTTTTCAAACACTGCAGCTCACGTTAAGCCTTGTGACTACGAGACCTTGCTTTTAACTTGGCAGTTACCCTTTGCAAAGGAGACACAAATCTAATGTAAAAGGAGAGACACTAAAAGACTAAAAAAAAAATCTGGTCGGCAGAGCAAGTGACCCCTTTGCTGCTTCCTACGAGGGGGTTATTCATAGCAGAGGCCTTTTACTCCTGTCCCATCTCTGCACACAACTACACTGACCCCCAGCACGTGTAAAATTGCATTATCTGCAGGTAAATAAGTACAGTGGTACCTCTGGTTATGTACTTAATTCGTTCCGGAGGTCTGTTCTTAACCTGAAACTGTTCTTAACCTGAGGTACCACTTTAGCTAATGGGGCCTCCTGTTGCCGCCGCGCAATTTCTGTTCTCATTCTGAGGTAAAGTTCTTAACCCGAGGTACTATTTCTGGGTTAGCGGAGTCTGTAACCTGAAGCGTCTGCAACCTAAAGCGTATGTAACCCGAGGTACCACGGTGGTTTGGAAAACCTGCTTTTTAGGTGATGAGCTCATTTTCCCTCTCATTGTCGTATCTCAGACGCGACTGAAGGTATTTTGTGTGTGTGTGTGTTTTACCTCTCTTTTATCTCTACACTTGTCAATCTCCTTCTTCAGCCAGTCAGCTCTTTCGAAGGATTCCAGGCTGTTCACGGCATAGACAAGAACAAAGCCGTCTGCGAGGGAGAAATAATGTTTGGGGAACTCCTCTCCTTCTTGCACACCCCTGGTGTCGTACAGGCGCAACTGTTCTTTCACTCCTCGGTCCGTTTCAGCCAAAGCCACATACACGTCTTCGCTTGTCGCGCTGCATTCTGCACCTGTTGTTTTCAAAAAAGGAGAAACAGAGTTCTTAGCGAACACATTCAAAAACACACATTGCGCGCCAAAGCTGCTTCCCTTGCGCCCCCCAAAAATATGTTTCAATGATTAGTAACTGTATGGTGGTTTTGACGCCTTGTTTCCTACTGATCAAATCATGGCTTGCTTCCCCTTGTAATCAGCTCTGGCCTGGACAAATTCACAAAAGGTGCATCTATACAAGCAATTGTTTGGTTTCGGTTTTGTATTTGGTATGAATACCTTCATACTGTTGTGGCTTACGGCCGAACAAGTACACACTTACTCAAGACTCATATTAATGGTAATAAATGCAAAAGGTGTTACTCTCTCCCCCGCCCCAAAGTTGAATCGAAAATACAGTGGTACCTCGGGTTAAGTACTTAATTCGTTCCCGAGGTCTGTTCTTAACCTGAAACTGTTCTTAACCTAAGACACCACTTTAGCTAATGGGGCCTCCTGCTGCCGCTGCTGCACGATTTCTGTTCTCATCCTGAAGCAAAGTTCTTAACCCGAGGTACTATTTCTGGGTTAGCGGAGTCTGTAACCTGAAGCATCTGTAACCTGAAGCGTATGTAACCCGAGGTACCACTGTACACTGGCTGGCACACACGTTTGTGACTGGCACACATTTTGACAAGCAACAAGTTTGCTACTCGTCGTCAACAAGAAATGTTGAGAACCGCTTTACTGGCGCCATCCCAGCCATGCCATGATTATGGTTTCGGATTATTTGTTAAATAAGAAAGGCAGGCACCTGTAAGTGTCTCTGGAAGGGCAGAAGGGGAACCACGTGCGTCTCTTACCCACATCGTGCTTGCCATAGAGGACCTGCTCCAGAATGGCGGTCTTCCCCACTGAGGCCATTCCGCAAACCAGCACTTTGTAGCCCTTCCCCATCTTCTTTCAGGCTGCGGAGACTGGGCCCGGGGAGCAATCCTGTCCAAGCACCACAAAAGGTCAATGGCATTTATTACCGTCCAGCAACAAGCCAGCATTGGAGCATGGCTGCATTCACACACACAAAGAGGAGGTCACAGGCTTGCCAGGTCAGTGCAGTGCAGTTTCAGCCAAAGTCTCTCCTACCTTAGCCAAGGTATGTCCAACAGGTCATGGCCAAGGAGGAGAGAGCTTTACTACCGTATTGGCCCGAATATAAGCCGCATTATTTTTTTTCCAAATTCCGACTGTGAAAAGTTAAAGTGCGGCGTAAATTCGCGACCTTACAAAAATTGGCTTTTGCGGTATCGCTGCTGAAGCAGACATATGGAAAATGGAACAAAAAAATGTTTTCTTGCCGATTTGCGAACTCGAGACTGTTGTGCAATTAATTCTAATATCATTCGTCGCTTTCCCCTTACTTTACAGTGCAGTATTGATTTTTTAATTTGCATTTACGGTGCTACGATTTACGGGCGGAATTGTAGCAATTGAAAAGCGATTTTAGCGATTGTACGGCAACTTTTGAGGGCTTGCAAGATCAAAGGCTTGAACTGGCTTGGCATATGGTAAAATAAAATCACTATTTTAGTCACTGAATTCAATGGACTTTTTTCTTTTTCTCTTCAATTTTAAGGGAGCGGCTTATATCCGGGTATTGTCTCCCTCCCCTTTCAATTTTAAAGGTACGGCTTATTTGCGGGTGTGGTTTATATTCAAGCCAATACAGTACGATCTCAGGTTCAGATGCTGCTGATCTCAAAAGCCCACCAGGAGCAATGCAGCTGCAGTCATGGTAAGCCATGTTCCAGCTGCTCTCTGGGACATGTGAACCAGGCCAGTGAATGGCAGCCATTTCAGACATGGGGCTTTCCCAGCCCAGTTTAGGAATGCCAGGGATTCTACATGCCAAGCATGTGTGCTAACACTTAACTATGGAACTTACCCAGAGGAATAGGGGTCCCTTCTGTTTCTAGGGGGTTGCATGTGCACAGACCCCAGATTAAGGATACGATAGTGGCGTCAAATGGATTACGTCTGTTGCAAGGACTGTCAGGTACTGGACAATAACAGACTATTAAAAGACTAAAGGCCGTGACTATTTTGAATGTGTATAACTGACGTGCAACCAACGTGCAAGAGGGCAAAACGGGGTGTTGCCGCCCGTATTTCAAGGAGATTCATTGAAACACAAACATAGGACTAGCTGTGGTATAAGGGATTTTATCAAGAATGGATGTATTTGGTTTGAGCAATAGTCTGGAGGCAGAATTAAAGGGAATCAGACCTTGAAGTACAGCACGTGGGAAGCCACACAAAAATTATAACTATTTTGAATTACTCTTATAAAACCAAATAAAAACTATTTCACAAATAAAAAACAAAAAACGATTCAACCCGGGATGAATTTCGAGTTCACCTTGAACTAAGAAGGCAGACACGACCCCTTTTTTCAATGCCAAGTCTCAACCCTGGAAGCTGCAAAAAAAGAGAAAAGAAGTAGAGGTGAGAGTTCCTCTGAGCGTGTCCAAAGCGCACTGCTCAAAGCATTATCTCTGTATTGTTTGCACTTAAGGAGAAGTGTTTCTAGGGGAAATTACATGACTTTCCGGGAAATCTAAGGCAGACACCGCTCCTAGCAGGAATCCAGGAATCTGCGGAACGAGCAGGCGGGGCCGCAATCCCTCCGGCGTTTTCTTCCAAGCCTGCCAAGGCACGTGGCTTCTTGAACTACATTTCCCAGCAGGCACCTGAGCGCAGCCCCTTCCCCCCTCCTCCTTCCTCTTGGACGTCACGGCGTTGCCGCAAAGCCTTGTGGGAAAGCAGGCCTCTTCCTTTCCGGCTCCGGGCGCCGCTAGGTAAGGTTGGCGAGCTGGAGGCCGCCCGTAGCTTAATCCGTCGGCATCCTAATTCGGGGAGGCCTGCGGGGGTCCGCTCGGGGCGCTGCCCCACGGTCGGTAGCTGGGGGGAGAGGCGCGTCGGGGTCTCTGGGCGAAGGGAGGCCGGGGAGGCGTAATTCCGTTGGGTTGGGAAGGCGGCGTGACCTGGGCCTACAGACCGAGGCGACTCCGCCAGACGGAGCTTGCAGAGGCCGAGAGGGAAGACGGAGAGAGTCATAGAGTTGGAAGGGACCCCGAGGTGCATCTAGTCCAGCCCCCTGGAATGCAGGAATAAGCTCGTGAGGCCTAAAAGGCTGGAGCTCGGGCGCTGCTTGCTCCTGAGTAAACCTCCGAGGAGGGACCATTGCTCACATGCTTTACGTGTAGACGGCCGCGGGTTCCAGCCCTGACACCAACCAATAAATGGGGTTAGGTAGCAGGTGATGGTGGGAGCCACTGCCAGCTGCATCAGATGGTTGGTTTATGTATCTCAGATCCCTCTCTTTTAAGATGGGTGGGCAAGTAATTGCTTCCAGGTTTTTGCTTCTGCAAAAGTGGGGCATGCATTGTACGAAGTAAATAGATAATAAATGTCCTGCTATGGTCTCGGGTAGCTTATTGTTGTGCCCACGCGACTTAAAACAAGTGAGAACTCTTTGAAGTTACAAGTTACACACCTTTAGGCGCCAGGCAAAAACATTCCTTTTTAACCAGGCCTTTGGTTGACCTGATCAACATGCTAAATGTGGCTCTTTGGGGGGGGTGTTGTTAATGGATTATTGTTTTTATTTTGATTTTATATATTGTGATATTTTTTGTGAACTACCATGAGACCTCCAGGTATAGGGCAGTGTATAAATTCAATCAATGAATGAATGAAAACCTGTGTGTTTGTGTTCTGAATGGGTAATTGGTTAAAGGAGTTTTATAAAAAGAATTGGGATCATGTAGAGCTGGAAGGGACCACAAGGGTCATCTAGTCCAACCCCCTGCAGCACATGAATCTTTTGCCTGATGTAGAGCTTGAACCCTCAGCGTTGAGATTGAGCCTCATGCTCTACTGACTGAGCTGTTGTGACTGTTCTTTCTGGATTTAGTTTCTTGAGAGAATAAGGTACAGCCCCTGGATGCTACAGGAGCTTGCTTTTGCTGAAGTTATTGCAAGGGGCTTCACCAGGCTGGAAAACCATGCAAATCCTTAGTTGTTGTGGGCTGTCATGCCATAGGTCAGTTGCAGGTTAGTGGTAGATCACAGGCTTTGCGTGCAATTCCAGCAGCAGTGGGAAACATTCCAGTCTCAAAACCTGAAGAACTGCTGCCAGTCTCTGTAAACCAGGGGTAGAGAAGCTGTGGTTTCCAGATGTTAATTATATTAGCAACTTTCATCAGCCCCAGTCATAGACAGTGGTCAGGAATAATGAAAAGTTGTAGTCCAGAATGCTGGAAGATCTGGATCCCTCGCATAAACAAATGATAGGTTAACAGTCTGACAAAGTAAAAAGCAGCTTCCTTTGCTGCTGTGTATCTCATACATACTATTTAAATGTTAATGACATATTAATGAAATCAAGCACAGTATAGATCAATAGCTCAGAGGGGACAAAGTTGGTTTCGAGAGGTTTATGAACAAAATGTGTTTCGTTATGGACCACTTTTATTACTAGAGAATGGAAAACACAGTTGCTTTTTTTGTTTCCTGAGAGCAATGAAACGCAGTGTGATTTAAACGTATTACTTTTTTGCAGATAATCCAGAATGGGTGCCTACAAATATATCCAAGAACTATGGAGGAAGAAACAGTCAGACGTGATGCGCTTCCTACTGCGTGTCCGCTGCTGGCAGTATCGCCAGTTGTCTGCCCTGCACCGAGCTCCCCGTCCCACCAGGCCAGATAAAGCTCGCAGGCTGGGATATAAAGCTAAGCAAGGTAACTGCAACCTAAAGCATGTAGCAGATGTGAACTTGCTCTAGTCAATTGGTTATGCACTAAGTCTGGTAGTCCTGAGCAAAGATAGCAATCACTTATTGTAATTGTAATGTGATAAGATAAAATTAACCTTGCTTACCTTCCATGCAAGCATATAGGCAACTATCCTAAGCTACAAGAGCATCTCTGATAAGTGAACATGTTAGAATGGAAACTTTGCCTGAGACTGAAAATCTTTCCACTGTACTTGCATTCACACAGCTGAAACACGATTCCCATCATTTTTCATGCTTTGTGCAATCTCAGATGAACAAAAATAGATTATAAAAGCACGGGGTTGTCCAGTAACTGAAGTAGAGTATTTGTGGCATTATAAGCAAATTCAAAAATATTGCTAGAATGTAAAACGCAAATGCTAAATAAACATTCTCTTGTAAAACTGCAGATTTCTTCGCTGCTTTAACACACTATCCTGCTGTGTCTTAGGTTATGTCATCTACCGCATTCGTGTTCGCCGTGGTGGTCGTAAACGTCCAGTCCCTAAGGGTGCTACTTATGGTAAACCAGTGCATCATGGTGTCAACCAGCTGAAATTTGCCCGGAGTCTGCAGTCTGTAGCAGAGGTGGGTATTGCTTGTGATCTGCATCAGTCTTTTGTATTGCCCACTGGTCCCACTGAAGCTTGATCAAATCTGTGTCGCATTGGTTTATCTCCTTGAACTCATGTCAGATTAGAAGAGTATTTGATGTGTATGAATCAGCTTTTAATATTGTTGAGTTGGTAAACTGTGATGGAGTAGCGTGTTAAGCAGCATTTATTGTGAGAATAAGGCAGTATGGTTAATGAATAATTATTTCCCACAGAGCAGTTTTTTCAGTGTCAAGTTGGCATTTTGGAATTCTAGTTTCTAGGTGGCATATGGAAGTATTTTGGTTTGCAAGATGCTGTAGCCATCCTCTCTATAGAGACAAAGAACTGTCCTGGTTGTAAACTGAAATTAGATATGTACAGAAATCAGTGAAAGAGCCAGTGCATAAAACTATGTAACAGGTTAAAGTGATTACCCTTTTTTGCAGTCAAATGGAATGTCCTTGGTGGTCAGATTTTCAGTTACTGTCACTATATTTATGTACTTGTTACATTCCTTATTCTTCAGATATCCGCTATTTTAAGTACAGTGGTACCTTGGTTCTCAAACTTAATCCGTTCTGGGAGTCAATTTGACTATTGGAACTGTTTGAAAACCAAGGTGTGGCTTCTGATTGGCTGCAGGAGCTTCCTGCACTCAAGCGGAAGCCGTGTCGGATGTTCAGCTTCTGAAAAAAGTTCACAAACCGAAACGCTTACTTCCGGGTTTGCGGTGTTCAGGAGCCGATTTGTTCAACAACTAAGCCGTTTGGGAACCAAGGTACTACTATATAGTATTTTGGGAAATGCAGCACAGGGAAGTATTTTTAAGAAGTAGGACAACGTCAGGTATGGCAGCTAGGTGAGTTTAGTTGTGCCATATTTGCTTTCCTCATTTCTTGGCCATATAGCATCTCTGTAATGAAGTAGACTGCAATGGTATGTTCTATTGTGGTAGCACTAACAAATCAATTTTCCTCCACAGGCCAAATTGAAAGATAAAATAGTTGTTCATAGAATGGTAGAGTTGGAAGGAGTCCTGAGGATCATTTAGTCAAACCCTGTGCAATGCAGGAATATGCATTTGTCCCTTACTGGGATCGAACCTGCAGCCTTGGCATTATCAGCACAACACTCTAACCAACTGAGCTATCCATCCCTGGCAGGATAGAGTTTCTCTATGGAGAAGTCTTTGTTACTGTAATTCTTAAACGTCATGGCTGAATGTTTGGTTCCTTTGTATGAAACTTGTCACCTTGTTTTCTTGATGCCTGTAATATTCACAACCCCCAATTCCTCCCTGGTACAACTTTTATGTGCTTACGTGAGGTTGTTTTTTCCCTGCTAGGAGCGTGCTGGCCGCCATTGCGGAGCCCTGAGAGTACTAAACTCTTACTGGGTGGGTGAAGATTCCACCTACAAGTTCTTTGAAGTCATTCTGATTGATCCTTTCCACAAGGCTGTCAGGCGCAACCCAGACACCCAATGGATCACCAAGGCAGTTCACAAACACAGAGAGATGCGGGGGCTGACCTCCGCTGGCAGGAAAAGCCGTGGCCTCGGCAAGGGCCACAAATTCCATCACACAATCGGTGGCTCACGTCGCGCTGCTTGGAGGCGACGCAACACCTTGCAGCTTCACCGTTACCGCTGATTCTTTTGCATATAATTTTCTCATTATAATAAATCAGCCAGAGTTCACATTTCCACTGTCTTGTGTTTTCATTGGGCACTGGGTGTACCCCACATCAGCTCCTTTTAAAAGAATTAAGAATCTAGCAACATATCCAGCATCTCTTCAATTACAGTTGTCACTCGAATAACAGGGTTATAAAAGTTCTGGTGAAGTTGAAAGCTTTTTGATGACCAAAAAAATCTGCAATATACTCACCCAAAAATTCCCAGAAAGGTTTGTATAACTTAACATGCATATGTTCAACTTTAGACCTACTCTGCTTAACTAATTGAGATTAATGAACATTATTGACTGCTAGTAATTTCAGTAAGAGTAATTTCTGAGTAAAAGTTTAATTCCACCATCCGTTGTGTTCAAGGTAACTACCGTTTTATCTTCTCTCATCAGTAATAGTCACCACAGTTAACAGTAATAAGATTCCTTAATGATAGAAGCAGCCTCAAATCTTTGTTAAGAGGGAGCCCTTGTTAAAGCTGGCAGAAGAAACAAGTTTGAGGAGGATAGGAACATACAATCCCACTGGTCCTAATATTTATTTTGTGATCTGTTTTTAAGCCAGCTTGCTTTTAGCTGCTCGTTTATTTTTAGGTTGTATTTTGTACTGCATTGATTTCGCATAAGCCACCTTGGGTGCATTTGTAGGAAGGCAAGGTATAAGTTCATAATATTTCAAATTTTACTAATGAACCTAACGGAGTGGCTATCAGTGTGAGCCTGTGGCTTCTAGATTGAAATACGCATGCCAGATCCTCATTAGCTTTCACACAAACTGACGGTTGACTGATTACAGTCTCTGGTAATAAAGCGCTCGTGTCTTAGCTTATATGCTGCAAAATATGCTTATTACAGTTGCTTCATTATTATTATTTTTACTAATTAAGTCTAGATTGTTAGTATAAATGACTTTCACAGCTGCCCAGCAAAGCTAGTTTAATATCAAGACAGTGCCTAAAACCCAAGGTAAGGATTGGGTAAGGTGCTGCTATTCTATTAAGAGCAACATAATGGAAAACAGCCTCCCACGTAGTTCACAACCTGAGCATGTTGAATAGTATTGGAGCGCAGGCTCTTTCAACATTGCAAGTTTTCATTATTAACCATTGTCCAGCCTTTTCATGCGGGAAACTGCACAGACTGACCCTGCTGTGTTAACTTGTGTATTTCTGCAAGAGCTTTCATTAACCGGTTCTTCTCAGAGAATGGGTTATACAATCTTCATTCTGTTAACTAAATGTATAGCCAATAATTAGGTTGTTCCAAAAACAAACAGCTGATTTTTAAAAATAAAAAGTTGGGTTCTTTGTTCATGGCTATAGTACAGTACAGTAAGAGCCCTTAGAAATTGGTAAATGTGAGATTCTTGTGCTTTGTTCTGTCAGGCTAAGCTAGTGACATGAAATGGTGTTAGGAGTGAGCTATAGCTTGTAGTCTCATAGCTAGTATTATACAGTCATACCTCAGGTTACAGACGCTTCGGGTTGCGCACTGCGCCGAACCCTGAAGTACTGGAACAGGTTACTTCCGGGTTTCGGCTCTTACACATGCGCAGAAGTGCTATATTGCACTTTGCGCATAAGCGCCAAATTGCAACCCGCGCATACACAGACACGGCGCTGCGGGTTGTGAACATGCTTCGCGCACGGTTTATGTTCGCAACCCAAGCATCCACTGTAATGCAACTCCTACAGCCAAGCTGGTGCCAGGTATATTGCTCTGCTTTCCTTTGGACCACATCAGCAAAACCAAGATATGGGGTCATGCCATCTGGGCAGCCCAGGGCCTCCATACACCCCAGGCTTGCATCTTGGGGATGTCACTTCAATGCTGCTAACGCAGTGGTTTGACTTCACCCCTGGAGGCGCACTCCATTGTCTCAAAACAGACGGATGCCTGCGACATTTTGCATTTTAGGGATCAATTTAATTCATTGTATATGTTTCCATTATTCATACGCAGCAGTAGCTGAGAGTTATATGAGACACATAATTAGCATTTTTTGAGAATGGGGTGTGTGTGCTAGATTTTACCCTTTATTACAAGGGTGAGGAGCGGATAGCACCCGAGATCCTGAACACCACTGCAAGCCCATTTTGACAGCTGGCCATCTATGAATCACCTGACATCACCAAGAGGTCAGCTGACCCAAACTAAAAAAATAATAATTCATTGGCAGGGGCATAGCTTGAACTTTGCCTGCAGAGGGGGATCCTTCCTCTGGCCAACATCACTTCAAGTTAGTGATGCAAATGAATATTAGTGCTTACAGCAAACCTGCTTTGGGCATCATCATCATTTTTCATTTGTATACCGCCTTTCTATCTTCCAATACTCAAGGCGGTTTACAAGCTGAAGAAACAAAAAATGTACATCTAATACAATCTAATACAATATAAAAATGTGATAATAAAACATAACTTTAAAATAGGCAGCCTACATCAAAAAAGTAACATTCAACAATCAATTAGAATAGTATAAAATGGGTAAAGGTAGGTAAAGGGACCTCTGACCATTAGGTCCAGTCGTGGCCGACTCTGGGGTTGCGGCGCTCATCTCGCTTTATTGGCCAAGGGAGCCGGCGTACAGCTTCCGGGTCATGTGGCCAGCATGACTAAGCCGCTTCTGGCGAACCAGAGCAGCGCACGGAAACGCTGTTTACCTTCCCGCTGGAGCGGTACCTATTTATCTACTTGCACTTTGACGTGCTTTCGAACTGCTAGGTTGGCAGGAGCAGGGACCGAGCAACGGGAGCTCACCCCGTCACGGGGATTCGAACCGCCGACCTTCTGATTGGCAAGTCCTAGGCTCTGTGGTTTAACCCACAGCGCCACCCGCGTCCCTAGTATAAAATAGTATCAACATAAAAGCTAAACAGAAATCCACTCAACAGTTACAATAATATCTAAACTATAATCAATAAAACAACGGCAAGCCACAGTACATAAAACAATGCAGTACACATTGAGAAGCAGAGGGTAGAGCAAGGCAGGTGGAAGGAGGCCTTGTCTGATGGAGTCTCTCCCCTCACAGTTCTTCAGGAACAGCTCCCTTTTGAGGACTCCTAGGGCCAGAGGGTGAGGCAAGGCCGGTGGAAAGGGGCCTTTTCTCATGGAGTCTCTCCCTTCACAGTTCTTCCTCCAGGAACAGCTCCATTATGAAGACTGGTTGCTCTACGGAGTCCTCCACTGCTATCATAGGAAACTTGCTGTCAATGCCAATCAGCGAATGGGCATTGGCTGCAACCTTCAGTTGCCAGGGAACAGTTAGGATCCCTTCAAGGCTCCCAATTTTACACTGGCGTTCAGATTTCCACCTGCCCCATGTCTGATGTCACATAGGATGCAAGGTGTGGAGCAGCTGTCCACACATTGAGCAAAATAATCTTGTGGTGCCGAATTGGGGCTTAGGTCAACTGTGGCCTAAGGGCCAGGGGTTCCACCATATCTGCTTTACTATTATCCCAGCCCAGATCAGGACCCTGTGCCATCGGTATTCTGAGGTGAGGAGAATAAATTGCATGACTGTATTTCTTGTGGAAGCATCTGTCAGCGCTGTGACTCTGCAATGATACTGTGACTGAAAGATGACATAGCGTTAAAGTTAGGTGTAAGCAATGTTACATTGTGAAAATGATCAGCAGCAGGGCGCAGGCTACTTTGCAATTGAAAAAGAGGTTGAGTATTTCCACACTGAATATCGTCGGCAAAACTGCAATCTGATAATGTGTAAAAGAGAATCTGGTTTCAGCATACAACTGCAGTGGTGCCTCGCAAGACGAAATTAATCCGTTCCGCAAGAGTCTTCGTCTAGCGGTTTTTTCGTCTTGCGAAGCAAGCCCATTGACGGATTAGCGCTATTAGCGCTATCAGCTGTTTAGCGGCTATTAAAGGCTTAAAGGCTTAGGGGATTAGCTGCTAAAAGTCTATTAAAGGCTATTAAAGGCTTAGCAGATTAGATAAAGGGGGGGAAAAGCGAAAAAAAAATCTCAGGACTCGCAAGGTATTTTCGTCTTGCGAAGCAAGCCCATAGGGGAATTCGTCCTGCGAAGCAACTTCAAAACGGAAAACCCTTTCGTCTAGCGGTTTTTCCGTCTTGCGAGGCATTCGTCTTGCGGGGCACCACTGTGTTTTATATTTCTAGGGAATAAGCATTAAATATGGATAAAAACAGAAGAGTAAGTTGTAACTAAACGTAAAAACTCGTGCCTGACTCCCAAAGTTTGTATTTCAGAAAATAACCAAATACAATGAGATGTTTCTGTAATATAGTACTGAAAACTGCAATGCAAATTGTTCCAATGTTAAGAACAAAGGCACATTTTTGTGTCTGGAGGACACAACATTGTGTTTTAATGTTGTAAAACACAAAGCAAACTAAAGATGAGTTGGCAGAAAACGTGTTAAATATTTGCTTTGATTATTCTCTCAACATTTCCCTGAATTTACCAATCTCCACAGAGGCTTATTTAAAAATAGCTATGCTTTGTTGGGCGGTATTTAGCAAGCAACGTTAATTCCATCCTACAGCTCTGAACAACTTCTCCAGGCTGCAGGAAGCTTCAGCCACAAATATTTACTATACATTTCACATCCGAGTGCAAAAGCTTCTTATTTCTTATTTGTTTATTAAAACATTTCTATATCTCCTCCCTGTGGAACGCCCTCTCAACAGATGTCAAGGAGACAAATAACTACGTACACAACTTTTAGGACACCTGAAGGCAGCCCTGTATTGGGAAGTTTTTAATGGTTGATGTTTCATTATGTTTTTATGTGTGTTGGAAGCCGCCCAGAGTGGGCGAGGTATAAATGAAATAATTATACTCTACAGCGGTACCTCGGTTGTCGAACGTAATCTGTTCTGGAAGACTGTTTGACTTCCAAGACGTTCCACAACTGAGGCACAAACAGCAGTCTCCAAAGTCAATGGAGACAACTGAAAAACACACAGTTCGACTTCCAAAAAGCATTTGAAAACCGAAGCAGTTACTTCCAGGTTTTCGGCGTTCAAAAACCGAAATGTTTGGCTTCCAAGATTCTAGAAATCCGAGGTACCAATGTACTATACATAATATTAATAATCATCATCATCACATTAAAACACAGGAAGAACTCCAATTGAAAAACTAGGATTGAGTTAAACTTAAAATATTCTGAGACCATGAATCTTTGAACTTCCTTGGAGGTTTTTAAGCAGAGGTTGGATGGAGATTTGTCATGGATGCTTTAGCAGAGTTTCCTGCATTGCATAGGGTTGGACTAGATGACCCTTGGGTCCCTTCCAATTCTCTGATTCCATGAATTCCTGTGAACTCCAAGGTCATTACTATTGCCGGCCCCTTTCCTAAGCTTTTATGGAGATTCTCCCTCAGGCACCCTGCCTCCAGTCCAGCTAGTATTAGCCACGACCGATTGCATTTCAGAGGAACTTCGATGCCCTGATCTCGTGCGTAATTGCTACCGTGCAGCCAGAGACGCGTGTCCGTTTCATCACACATGACTGACACGTGACAAGGGGCGGGTCGCTCGCTCTCCCCGCCTCCCCGAGGGACGGGAAAAGTGTGTCACTGGGTTGAAAGAGCCGGTCGGGAAGGGGAGGCGGGGCGAGCTGGGACGCCGCTCGGTGCAGTGGCTGTTCCGACGGCGCGCGAGTGGGCAAGGCGAGGGCGGCGACGGGGCGAGGAACGTGGTGGGCGCCGCCCTCCCGGTGACTCTCCCCGTCCTCGTGCGGCGAAGGGGGAGGAGGAAGGAGCCGGCAGCCGCAGCCCAGCAAGCCCATCTCCCCAGGAAGGCTCGACGGCGGCGCGGCGGTTGCCTGGCCTCCTCCCGCCTCGCACACACGAGGCGCGTCCACGCAGCAGCCGGGGGAAGGCGGGAGGCGGGCGCGGCTCGCTTGGGCACAGCTGCCGCAGCGGCTCTTTCGGCACAAGCGGAGAGCGAGGCAGGCAGGCGCCCCAGCAGCCCGGGAAAGCCGTCGGTGAATGATCCCGGCTCTCGGAGGCAGCTGCGGGGAAGAAATCGGGGGACGCCATGGAGGTCAATGCAGGTAAGTGAGGCTTTGGGGTTGTCAGGGAGGTCAGAAGCGAGATCCGACGTGATGACTGCGGAGCAGGGAGGAGGGAAAGGCGGACCAGGCTTGAAAGCCTTTCCCTTCCCTCCCTCCACTGATCCCGGAGGGTCATGACCCCCGATGCTCAAGCGGAACCCCCCCCCCCAATTTCAGCCTTTTGCTGCTCTGCCCCCCACAAAAAAGACCGGCTTTTTCTTGCGGGGAATGTGCGCGCAACGCGGTGGTGGCAGAAGCGAAGCTGCCCTGGAATTGCCGCACCGTGGTGTGGGAAGGAAACCCCGAGGGTCATCTAGTCCAACCCCGTGCAATGCAGTGGGCTTTGTGTGGACTGGCGCGCGCGCCCTAGGAAGGGCTTCCGAGGTCAGGATGGGGGGTTTTGCATGCCGGGAGGCAAGAAGCGGCCGGTGTGGGAAACCGGGGCCGAGGGGCTTATTCCCTCCTTCGGGGCTGACTGGACTCCCCTCTCCCTGGACGGTGTGCGGGGAGACTCCGCGAGGCGGCGGCGTCTAGGGGTTCCCGCGGCGCCTTTTCTCTCTCTTTCCCCGGCCGCCCATCCATTTCCCATCCGGCCGGTTCTCCAAAGCAGCCGCTCACATGGACCGTCGGGCGAGCCACGTGCGCCGCTTTGTTTACGTTCGGCGCCGCCTGCGCGCTGATTGGCTGTGACGTCGGGGATTACACAATCGGGACGGGGCGGCCGCCTCCCGCTGGCGACCGCGTGGAGAGACACGTGAAGGCGGCGGCGGGAGGCCCTTGTTTTGGTGACCTGCATCCAGGGGGCGGTGCGGGGAAAGGACACGTGGGGAAGGCAGGCAGGCAGGCAGGAGCCGGCAGAGCGGATGGAGGAGGAGGAGGGAGGCGCGTTGCAAGACTGCGCCCAGCAGACTTTGGGAATCTCCCTTCCCTTCCTTCTGCTGCCAGGCGGGGACTCTTCCCTCTCCAGCCTTGCCGGATAGGAGGAGCCGCCGCCTTGCGAGGCAGGCGCGGCCCCAAGGCGACCTCGCTCCGCTTCGGGAGATCCGAGTGCATTCGAGGTTGCGGGGCGGAGCTTCGACGCTGCTCTTTTGCGAAAGCTGCTCTGCCGCAAGCCGGGGAGCGCCGCGATCCTCGCGCCTTCAAGTCCCTCTGAGTTCAGACAGATCTAGTAGGATCGCCCCGATCCTCCTCCGTGGCTACCCAGAAGCGAGCCTGCCCCTGCACGTGGCTGCTACCCCAGATGTTAATCCCCCCCCCACCTTTTTAATGGAATAATAGGAGGAACGCCTAGCCTGAGGCTGCGATCCGAAACAACCGCACTTACCTGCGAGTAAGCATCACTGAATCCAATGAATAGTTTCCGAGTAGACGGGTCAATGGCAAGGTCAATGCGGCGACGTTTGCATGGAGACTCGGATCAAGGAAGAGGCGCGCGCGCGCGTCTCCTCGTCCCCAAAATAGGGGGTGCCATGGGCGCATGTTTGGGGGGGCAGGCTTTACGTAAGGAGGGACAGAAGCTCAGTTAAGATTTATTTTTACTAGATTTAGGGCTGCCCCCCTGGCGTATTTTTATTCGGAAGTAAAGCTTGTGCTCGGAGAGGTTTACTCTTTAGTTAGTGCACATTCATCGGGTATCTGAACCTTAGGGACGCTTGAGTTCCTCCTCCTCCTCTGCCGGCTGCTCCGCAGCTGCCTTAATGCTATGGAAATCGAGGCTGGCTATTGGTGCAGCTGCTTCTGTGTGCGCGCATCCATGTGACACCGACCGCCTAGCTCTCTCACATGTACAGACGACCCATGTGCACAGCTCTCGAAATGTAACAGGTCGGAGGAGAGTCATCTTCCCTGATGGCTGAGCTCACGGAATAGGCAAGTCAGGTGGTGCAACACGAACAGATTCCGGAGGGACTTACATAATAACTACGGACGTTGGGCAGTTTGCCTGAGGCTAGGAGGATAAGAACGGTGTTATGTTTTATAAAAGTCTTATTCAAGGACCAGAGGGGAAGTGCTGCTTCCTCCACCAGTCCTGAAGCCGAAGGAGACAGGAAGGGATGGAAATTACGAAATTCACCCTCCCCAAATCCCTGTAATAAAATAGACTGAGCCGGCAAAATTCATGGAACACTGATTATATAACAACATAGCTTCCTAAAGCAATGAACTTTGTGATATTCATTATTTATGACTACTTTTGTTATGTTTGTAGTTGTGTAATTTTTTTTAATATGTTATAAGCTGCCTTGAGCATGGTTTTAACTTTGCAAAGGTGCATACAAATAAATTGATAATTTGAGCCAAGGGGAGATGTTGGATGACTTGAAAAGGCTTTTAAGCCCAATAATAGCAATCAGGTTCTCTTCAAAATGTGTTTGGTAGGTCTCCTAGATAGCAACAAACAATTAACAAGGTTGAAGCCACTTAATACCACCAAATAATTATGGGGCGGATCCTCTCCTGCTAACTGCCCCCAATTAAATATAGTGCGACCGTCTCGAGGTACACCAATTACACAAATTTCTACAGTTTACCACAGATTATCTAGTGGGGAAAACTTAAATGATTTAGAGTCTCAGGCAGGAGTTGATCAAACAAACAAGAAATGTTTTATTAAATAAAAGGAAGTTTATGAAACCAAGTGCATAAGGAAATGTAGAAGTTAATTAATTTACTTTAACTATTAAGATGTGTCAGGTTTAAACAGAATATTATAGATACAACTCTTCTTAAACTTCAGTTACTAGAAATCAGTTGCTACACTTCGGGTGGTTAAATATTCAGGTTTCCAGAATAGATTCCAAAATGCTTAACTCAGTTTCTGTCACTTAGATATTACAGTTAAGTACTTTCAACACCGTACCGCTTCCTTCACAGCTAAATACTTTGGTTCATGAGCGAGGGCACTTTTCCTCAGTTACCCACTCTCTTAATCAAGCACCCCCAAACTGGGCCCTCCACATGTTTTGGGACTACAACTCTCATCATCCCTAGCTAACAGGACCAGTGGTCAGGGATGATGGGAATTGTAGTCCCCAAACATCTGGAGGGCTGAGTTTGGGGGTGCATGCTCTTAACCATCCCATACCTGAGGTCTTCTAAATGGTATAACAGACCTAGGGAATCACCCCATCCCTTGTTACTGGTTTGGGAGTTGTCTAGTTCCTAGAAGAACTCTCCCCTTCTGGCTATACTGACACCCAGGTAGCCTGAATTCCCACAGGATCTACCTCTCCCGGCTCAAACTCAGCCCTCCCAGAACACTCCTGTCTGTATCCCTTTCCCTCAACCCAGACCCTCAACCCGGTCTCCCTATCCAAGCTACGAGGCTCTGTCCTCTCGCTATGGATAATCAACTCATTCTGTGTGTTTAACTTAACTCAGAACCAGTTCTCCGTATCTCACTCCCGATCGCCCAACCTGAAACCTGTCTAACATCTCAAATCTAATCCTATTCCTCTTCTCAAATCCAGCCCAAATCTCATCTTAAATCCAGCCCTAACTAACTCACTCTGTCAGAAAACTGCTCCTTTTATTCCTACCCCCAAAGTGCTGTTCCTTCTAGCTGACTCTGTAGCCAGAGGCTCCTGCACTCTGGTGGAATTTGGGGGGGACTGCATCATCAGACTCTGATCTGGCTGTGCAGGCCGTCACATGTGCATGTATAACAAAAATAGGAAGAGCTTTGCAGGATCCGATGGAGGGGCTTATCTAGTTCCACTTCCTGTTTCCTGTAGTGGCCAATGATAGTTTATGGGTTTCCCCCCTCTCCATTAGCTGGTATTCGGAAGCACTCTTGACAATAGACCCAGGTTTCCCAAAGTTGGGTCTCCAGCTGTTGTCGGACTACAACTCCCATCATCCTTAGCTAGCAGGAGCAGTGGCCAAGGATGATGGGAGCTGTAGTCCAAAAACAGTTTGGGAAACCCTGATTTAGATTATCACAGCTGGTAGACTTATCCTCCATGAAACTGTCTTAACACAAGGGTGGTGGGCAGCCTATAGCCTTCCACGTAACGTTGGACTTCAAGCACCCACCAGCCCTAGCTTGCATGACCAATGGTCAAGGATGATGGGAGTTGTAGTCCAGAAATTTCTGGAGGGCCATACATTCCTCATTTCTGGTCTAATCTTTTTACGGCCGTCTTAGCTAGTAAACACCAACCACATCTTGTGACAGCAGATCCTCTGTGTTATTTATGCATTCCATGTACTTTCTGCCTTACGTGCACTGTCAGTTAATGTAATCAAGTGGTTCCAAATTGCGGTGTTGCGAGAAAGAGAGAGAAATGTCCTTATTTGCTTTCTCTACACCAATCACATGTTTGTCATAGCAATGTAATGTTCGTGTTCTGTCCTGGCCACCTTTTTTTCCCTCCGCTAAAAAGAAAGTGTTCTGAATCCAGCACTATGGATGTACATAGCACTGTGTGAATATACATAGTGCTTTACAAAAAGCAGTCTTGACAGGTCCCTAAAAATAGACACAGGGAAACAGGAGGAGGAGGGGAATCACCTTGTAAAAGTACAGAGCAGAGGAGAAAGCATTATGGAAAGGTACAATGCTAATGGCTATTTTATTTTCACTCCCATTCCTAATAATTCTTAAAAACGGAGTTTGCCTTTCTTGCTGCTATTGCAAATCTAGCTGATATTTTCACAAAGCTATCTACCGTGACCCTACTAGGATCCTAGTCTCACCCAGTTAAGGTCCCCTCTTGTGTATGTGTGAATTTATTTTCTCTGCACCGTTCTCCGTGCACCATTCTACATTTAAAGTGAACCATGAACTTCAGTTGCTGTTTTGTTGCCCATTCATTTAGTTTGGATAAATCCTTTTAGAGCTCTTCATAGCCTCTCTCTCTCGTTTTCATCACCCTGAGCAGTTTGTTGTGAGCAAGATCCTTTGTGAATATGAAACAGCACCCCTCCTAATAGAGATCTTTGGGAATGTAAATGTTTGCTTGGTCCCAGGGGGGTCATTGCCCTATAAGTCCCAACTCCATGCTTCCTATTATTTAGCCTGTGTGTAGGTTGTTAAGCATTTCCCCTGCCTGAGTCATAGTACACATTTACACATGACTGCTTATGTGTATGTTAAACTTCCTTACTAAACTGATATTGAGACTATGCTAGTAGGTTATGTAATGACTTCCTGGCAAAGCACATGCTCAGTAAGCTATAATTAATAATTTGCATTATTCTGTGCACATGTGTCCATCTCTTTTCACACGCAAAAGCAGCATTTTTCACATGACACTGCTAGGATGTGGGTTTATATATGTCCAAATTTGAACGCCGTTGAAAGCATTTCATGTTTTATTTGAAATGGGGCTTCTCCTTTGATACAAAGCTTCATTACCAAATGTGTCACTGGAATGCTAATAATTCTCCCTCTCCGGTCTTAAATATAAATAATTATGGAGCCCCAAGCCTTACGTAATTTTCATTGCGGCCTAAATCTACTTATGTCATTGGTACTATCGTGGTTACTTATGAATTAGAGATTTCCAATGACAAACGTTAACCTGGCATATGTGAAGAGGTTAGGACTGTGCCATGATTTTATAAATTATTCCTTGTGGCGGGCAATCTCAATGTGAAGATATTTTCTTAAGGATTCTTGAGAATCACAATGTTTGAAGGACATTTAGACCTCAAACCTATGCACATTTACTTAGGAGCATGAATTTAAGAGGGAACATGCTCCCTGAAAATATATTTTACCTTCTCTCTTCTCCCCAAATATACTTCCTAGTAATGCTGCTGTAGAGTACTGATAAAATGTGAATCTAATAGGTCAGGAAAGCAGTTACAGAGACATTAACACAAAAGCGACAGCCTTCAATATAATGCCTGATCTCCCCAATTTCAAGTAAGCATGTTCCGGATTGCTGCCTTGGGGCTGATTCACACATGACAAATGCCACATGGTGGCTGTCACCATGTTGCAAGCTATTCCACTGGCGGCGGTGGCGTGCCCTGAGAATGGGGGTGATTTTTCTTTCTGGCACTTGCCGGAACCTGGAGAAAATGGGCTCAGTCTGCAAGATCAGCTTCTGCACATCAGTTGTTGTGAAGAAGCCTGTATGATATGATAGTAGGTGTGGACTTAGGTGTGCGTCGGTCCGTCCCCCCCCCCCAATTGCACCAGTCTTTGCTTTAGGAAACAGCTAATGTTGGATTGTGGGGTACTTCCAAATGGGGCTGGATTTGCAAGCAAGTTCATTTAATGCGGGACGCGGGTGGCGCTGTGGGTTAAACCACAGAGCCTAGGACTTGCTGATCAGAAGGTTGGCGGTTCGAATCCCCGCAACGGGGTGAGCTCCTGTTGCTCGGTCCCAGCTCCTGCCAACCTAGCAGTTCGAAAGCACGACAAAGTGCAAGTAGATAAATAGGTACCGCTCCGGCGGGAAGGTAAACGGCATTTCCTTGTTCTGCTCTGGTTTGCCAGAAGCGGCTTAGTCATGCTGGCTACATGACCTGGAAGCTGTATGCCGGCTCCCTCGGTGAATAAAGCAAGATGAGTCGGCCACAACTGGACCTAATGGTCACGGGTCTCTTTACCTTTACCGGTCATTTAATGCAGCAAATGGTTTGTTGGCAACAGGGTTTTGGGTTTCTTGTTTTTATTTTATTTCCCCCGGGAAGCGGAAGTCCGCATTAAACGGGGAAGGGGGACAGACTTTGATGCCCTCCAAATTGTAGTCATGCATGTGTGGGGAGTTCGAATCCCATGATAAGTACCCATTTGGAGGCACCCACAATAATCTTAAAGTAGAATGCCAGTCTCGTGTCTTCACAGAAAATGTAATTAAAATAAGGCTCTTCGACTTGGGACTTGTATATTCCAAGAGAGGGGAAAGTTCATTTGTAGGTTTTGAAATTCTGCTAATGGAGAATTTTCCTTTTCCCCCTTTGCAATCACTGGAAAGTGGCTTTTCCACATAATAATAAACAAAGGGAGAGAAGCTAAGACAGAATCCTAACAATAAAAATTTGAAAGCTGTGAGATGTGTAAGTTCACTTAGAAAAATGAAAGTGAGAAGCAAGCTGGTTTCAAAAAGTACATTTTTATATTAAAAAAATTCATTTGTTCTAGAAATTGTGTTCTCTGAGGGGTTATTCAGCTGTCATATGACCTGAAAATGGGGATCTTTTTCAACACACAAACTGACTCCCATCCGTGTATAACTGAAGATGCATCTCTCAAGAACATTCACTCTTATTTTGCAAGGTAGAATATCAGGCAAAAATTTCAAAAGCACTTAAGTTACTTGGGAACCTGCATCCTTGTAGAAAGCCTGTGGGGGGATGCAGGCGCCAATGGCCACAATGATCAAACCACTTGCTTTGGAGTCGTCCCATTGTTGACCATAGGACTTCTTCAGAGTAAGTTCTGAGACCATCGCAGCCTGAGTTTATTTATGTGCTTGTGAAAAATTTACCCTTGGGGGGAGTATCTGTCCCTGATTGTCTTTCATTCATTCCAAAGAACCCAGGGAATTGTCTTTCTATGAAGGGGAACTATGATTGTTGAACAAAAGGCTCTCTACAGTTCCCAGGGTTCTTTGGGAGAAGCTTTCATTGTGGAATTATTATTTGTAGAGATACCCATTTGTCTTTCGAAAAGCGGCAGAATTATAGAGGTGCGCCAAGCAAATTGCTCCATGTTTTTCTTTCTGTTCATCCTTCATGGATGAAAATACTTCTTTCTTCCTTTTTGTTGTTTTTGAGACCGTGCCACTTTGATTCCCAGAGGGAGGCCTGTCAGTACACAATGGGGCTGCAGCTAAACCCGCCATGGAGCCTGTTAAGGAACCATATGCAAGCTCCCCTGAGCTCCTTTTAGTGGAAGAACGTGATACATGTGAAATAAATAAGGATTATAGTTTTTGTTGGTGCTAAGAGTTATCTATTATTTATTTGTTACACTTTTATAATGCTTTTCTGTCAACACACTTGTGCACGTGTTTTAAGCTTGCTGTCTCATAGACATGAAAGAAAAGGAAAATCTACCTGCAGTCTCAAGTCTTGTCTTGTCTTGTCTTGTCTTTTCTTCTATTTCTATGCTGCTTTTTATTCATATAAATCCCAAAGCAGCTTACAAACAAAAAGATAAAAATAATAATGGAACATCACACATACAGCATAAATCGTATAGAATACTTAACAAGTCTATCCCACCGATTCCCTTTCTTCCAATCTTTCAGAAACAAAAGCTATCAAATACTTGCATTTTCTACTTTCCGTTCTTAACTAATTTCATAGACTGTGTCTTGTTTTGGAACATATTGCTAAAAGCAAGACAACTATAATATGTATTGTGATCCGATTCTGAAAACTAGAAAGGCATTCGGGGATTGTTTACATGTGGTGCGGGAGAGACTTCTGGAAGTGGATTGTAAAGTGGATCTGTGAGCTGGTAGACGTATTCCTGCTTCCTTCGACAGGTGGTGTGATTGCTTACATCAGTTCTTCAAGTTCAGCCTCTAGCCCTGCCTCGTGCCACAGCGAGGGATCGGAGAGCAGCTTCCTGTCCTCATCACCTGTACCGCAGTCACCAAACAGCTCCTCTTCAGACGGCAGCTCTAGCAGCAAGAGCAAAGAGGGCTCTGATGGAGTACCAAAGAATGACCAGTTAGATGACTGCGTTAAGGCCAGCCAGCCAAGTGTAACTGCATTGGCCAAGGGTCATGGTGGACTTACAAGTAAGTATTCATTTGTAGTAGCTCTGCTTTTGTTTAGGCTCAATTCAGGCATCATGTTTCCAGTCTATGGTTGGGAGAATGGGAGGAAACGTGCTTAGGGCTCCATCTTCTCCCCTGTGCTTTGCTACTGGGGCTGGTCTGGGTTTGACTACAGATCAGGATTTTTCAAACTATGGTTTGGAGACTCTCCTAGTTAGCACTATCCATATTTAGTCCTGATTCAGGCATAAGGGCATGCTATGCTTATAGCAAAACCTAAAAGGGAGAAGCTGGAGGAATAAGCCTCTAAACACATTGGGAATTCCCAATCTCCAAACCATGATTGGCAAACATAACACCTGAATTGATCATTGATATGTTGTCCACACTAAATAAATATATTTGTCTGCGGCCTGAGGGCATCCTTCTGCCTAGAGCCTGTAGCACTTAACATTCAGTGCTTAACCTCTGACTTCCTTCCTTCTAGATAGACTGTAGCTCTGGTTCTCAACCTCTGGCAAACTGGAGCTCCTGCCTCACAGTGCAAAGTGGTGCCAACAGGCCATGTTGTCCTGTGGTCCACAAGTAAGTTTAAAAGTCGAGATCTGACTATAAAAGGACCCCCAGACTTGTCCCCCTCCAACCATCCCAGTTAAGCAACCTTCCCCATTTTGAGGCCATCGAGGCTTCCAGTTGTGTAAAAGGTTGCTTTTATACAGCTCATGATGTCTTCTTACAGTAAATTTGAAGCAAATTACCGAACAGAAAGTAGGTAAAAGTTTGGCAGCACACTGTACACGGTTAGTAGTGGGAACACCAAAATAAAACTCATCATCCACAGATTCTATCTTCCATAGTGCTAGATTCAATCTGTAACAGCACCCAAGTTTTCCTGTGTATATTATTTTAAATGTAGAAGGACTATAAGATGCCATATTCCATACTGGGTCCACCTCACCCAATACTGCCTAATCTAACTGGTAGCGCCCCACACCCAGTCTCAGGCTAAGGTCTTTCCCATCCCCTAGTAACTGATGCTTTTGAAACAGAGGCATCTCTGAGGGAAAAGTGCGTGCTTTGCCATTGCACAAATTGAGAGTTGCCTGTATGCAATTTTGGCTTGGGCTGCTATCCCAGAACGTAATCCCAGTATAAAATCCTGGCTTACTGTAATAGAACATGGTTTGGTTTGGGTTTTTTTTTTTTATACAAGATTTCTTGTGTGGTTTTTTTTCCAGAGGCCAGCAGCAACTTGGTTGTTATCTGTAGAGCTAAATTAGAAATAATTTTCCTCGAATTTACTTGGTGCTGAAGTGGTTGCTAATCTTCCTAACTGTTGATTCTGTATTTGACTCTACTTGGAAACTGTTTCCAACATGATTCATGGATAACAAGATTTTCATCCTTGATAAAGTCAGCACCCAGGGTGTTTCTTTGTTTGCAGTTTGGTGGTACAGTCATACCTTGGGTTAAATATGCTTCAAGTTGAGCGCGTTCAAGTTGCGCTCCTCGGCAACCCGGAAGTAATGGAGCATGTTACTACCGGGTTTCGCCGCTTGCGCATGCGCAGATGCTCAAAATGACGTCACACGCATGCACAGAAGCGGCGAAAAGCGACGCGTGCGTGCTCAGACATGCCGTCGCTACTTACGTTTACCTCTAGATGCGAATGGGGCTCCGGAACAGATCCCGTTTGTATCTAGAGATACCACTGTATATTTGTGTGTATACAGTAGTATATTGGTTGTCGAACGGCTTGGTTCCTGAACAAATCTGCTCCCAAACACCACAAACCCAGAAGCGACTGTTCCGGTTTGCAAACGTTTTTCCGAAGCCGAATGTCTGACGCGGCTTTCGCGGCTTCCAGTTGAGTGCTGGAAGCTCCTGCAGACAATCGGAAGCCATGCCTTGGTTTTTGAGCGGTCCGGGAGTTGAATGGATTAAGTGTAACAACCAAGGTACCACTGTATCTACATCTATATGTATATGTACACAAATATTGTCTGTGGATATATACACACATACACATTTGGTAGTAAAAAGATTGCCCTAGGATACAGGTTTCAAATAACCTCAGGGTAATAAAAATAATAGCGGGACACGGGTGGCGCTGTGGGTTAAACCACAGAGCCTAGCACTTGCCGATCAGAAGGTTGGTGGTTCGAATCCCCGTGATGGGGTGAGCTCCCGTTGCTTGGCCCCTGCTCCTGCCAAGCTAGCAGTTTGAAATCATGTCAAAGTGCAAGTAGATAAATAGGTACCGCTCCGGCGGGAAGGTAAACGGCGTTTCCTTGCGCTGCTCTGGTTCGCCAGAAGCGGCTTAGTCATGCTGGCCACATGACCCGGAAGCTGTATGCCGGCTCCCTCGGCCAGTAAAACAAGATGAGCGCCGCAACCCCAGAGTCGGCCACGACTGGACCTAATGGTCAGGGGTCCCTTTACCTTTTAATAATAATAATAATAAACTTCATATGACAAGTCATGGCCAGCATTTGAATCCTACACATTTGTGAAAGTGTGTTTACTATGATGGCACCAACATATTGCAGTGCTCACATTTTTGTGTCACAAAGCAGATGTATCTGTTTGCTGTTCTCTGATATTTTGCCTTGGTGCTACGATTTTGTGATGGTACTATGATAAACATGCAGGCTGAAGACAGCAAAAGGCAGAGGGAAATTTAGAGACAGTATTTTTTCTTTTTTTAGAGTAGTTCCCAAGTGGGGAAGCATCTCTGTGATGGTCACATGCATGGTTATTCTATGCAGGCTTCCTAGAGTGGTCCTAAGGCAAGGAATAGAATCCTGTGGCCCTCTCGATGTTGTAAGATTCCCATCAACCCTAACCATTGGCCATGATGACTGGGGCCGATAGCTCAGTTCTTGAGTGACCATAGCCAGCCTATGGTCATTAGACTCCCCAACTCCCATTGGCCCCAGCTTAATGATCTGAATGGTCAAGGATAGTGTGAAGCAAGATGTCGAAAACCACAGGTTAGCTACTCCTGCCCTAGGCCAACTACTAAAGCAGGCTTTCCTAAACTTGTGTCTCCAGCTTTTGTTGGGCTACAATTCCCATGATCCCTGAGCACTTGTCCTGCTTGCTAAGCAGATAGGAGCTGTAGTCCAACAACAGCTGGAGACCCAAGTTTGGGAATCCTCGCTCTAAGGCCTAGATACCATTTTGTTTCTTAGTTGAGGGAATCAACAAAGTGGGAAGACGTGTGGAATTCATATTACGCCCATCTTGTAAATAGTGATAATGATAATTGTTTATTTATGGGTTTCCCCAGCCACTCTTGGCGGCTCCCAACAGAATATTAAAAACACAATAAAATATCAAACATTAAAAACTTCTCTAAACAGGGCTGCCTTCAGATGTCTTCTAAAAGTCAGATAGTTGTTTATTTCCTTGACATCTGATGGGAGGGTATTCCACAGGGCGGGCGCCACTACCGAGAAGGCCCTCTGCCTGGTTCCCTGTAACCTCACTTCTCACAGTGAGGGAACCTCCAGAAGGCCCTCAGAGTTGGACCTCGGTGTCCAGGCTGAACGATGGGGGTGGAGACGCTCCTTCAGGTATACTGGAATTTGCCTCTTAACAAAAAGAATGTAATGTAAGTCAAATATGTGTTGTTTCTATTAGGTTGTAATGCTTATTTTTCTATTTATAGAATTTAATGGTATGGTCCTGCTGTGTAAAGTCTGTGGAGATGTTGCTTCAGGATTCCACTATGGGGTCCATGCCTGTGAGGGGTGCAAGGTGAAGTATAATTTTATAATGTGAATATCTTATTGGAGCAGTTGGCGAATAGAATTTCAGGGACAAGTGCAGATGTACCTGGTGGTTGGGGGGGGAGCAAATGTTTGTTGCAGCTCTAAAACCCTAACCCTACAAGCTTTAAAACTATCCAGAATCTCCTAAGCAAGTCTTGTTATTGTGACCTTCCATCCTTTGGGGGGTCTCAATGTCCAGGACTTGCAATATTGGAATGCAGTGCTTTTTCTATTAAAAAAATATGTTTAAGGGTACACTCATTTTCCTACTCATATTGAAATACTGCCCCTCAATGAGGCCAAACTTGGATCACAAAATGTTGAGGGGTATGCGTACCTCAAGTGACGCGGGTGGCGCCGTGGGTTAAACCACAGAGCCTAGGACTTGCCGATCAGAAGCTCGGCGGTTCGAATCCCCGCAACGGGTTGAGCTGCCATTGCTCGGTCCCTGCTCCTGCCAACCTAGCAGTTCAAAGGCACATCAAAGTGCAAGTAGATAAATAGGTACCGCTCTGGCGGGAAGGTAAACGGCGTTTCCGTGCGCTGCTCTGGTTTGCCAGGAGTGGCTTAGTCATGCTTGCCACATGACCTGGAAGCTGTACGCCGGCTCCCTCGGCCAATAAAGCGAGATGAGCGCCGCAACCCCAGAGTTGGCCACGACTGGACCTAGTGGTCATGGGTCCCTTTACCTTTACCTTTATGTGTACCTCCAGAAAAAAAGCACTACTGAAATGTGCTTGGTTGAAAAGCTGCTGCTTGGGGACATCAGTTGGCATGTTATTGTCAACAGCCAGATTCCAGGTTACAATGCAAGTTTCTGTTGATGGGGCATGCTTGAAAATTGCTTGCAAAAAAAAGGTGGTTTGAAACTTAACAGTTGCTTGTTCTTTTCAGGGCTTTTTCAGAAGAAGCATCCAGCAGAATATCAAATACAAGAAGTGCCTGAAGAATAATAACTGCTCTATAATGAGAATGAATAGGAACAGGTGCCAGCAGTGCCGGTTCAAAAAATGTTTGTCGGTTGGGATGTCAAGAGATGGTATGTTTCTATATTGAGAGCAGTTAGCTTCAAAAAGGTGAATTGTAGTGCTTTTCATACCTAATTATAAAAGTTGGTCTAGAGCAGGTTTTTCCAAAAACTTGGGTCACCAGCTGTTTTTGGACTACAGTTCCCATCATCCCTGACCACTGGTCCTGCTAGCTAGGGATGATGGGAGTTGTAGTCCAAAAAATAGCCGCAGACCCACGTTTGGGAAACCCTGGTGTTGAGTAATGGTGTGACATTCAAACTGATTCAAATGTCACCTCAACCATGAACTTATGAGATGCCTTAATGACAACCTGCTATTTTTTTTATTACACTCCTTCCTTTGGTTGGGGGGGGGCAAAATTGGGAAAATACTGACAGAGCATACAGGACTGTGGTAAGGATTGCAGAGGTAGTGCATGTGAAGCCTGGTAATGAGCTTTCTGTCCGTGATATAAACTGTATCCATTGCACTGAGAATGGACAATATACCGTACTTTTCCGTCTATAAGACGCCCCCCCCCCCATGTATAAGACATCCCCAATTTTGGGGGACTCAAATTTAAGAAAATGGGGGGAGATGGCACAGAGTCGTTGAGCTTTACGTAGGGGGGATTGGCGAAGATTGCTCACGCATCACTAAGTCCGCCTCCCGTCTGTCCCATCGCTGGCAGAAGCTGCCAATCACCCATCCAACTACCGGAGCGTCAGCCAATCAACACCACCCGTTGACGCAGCAACCAATAACATGCACAATAGCCCCTGACAGCCTCGGCAGCAACCAATCAAACGTCCACCCTATGCACTAACCTTGTATAAGACGACCCCCACTTTTTAGCATGATTTTAAAAGAAAATAACCTAGTCTTGTACACGGAAAAGTACAGGAAATGGTGAAACAATATGCATTAATTTCTAAGGGGATTGAGAGTTTAAGGGGCCTTGGGAGGAAACACATGCAAACCAGTCCTACAGCTGGGAGGCAATAATAGTGGTTGTCCAACCAGAATCTGATTTTGCTTGACACCATCTTTTCCCCATATTGGCAGACCGGCATAAGGGGCTGGTTTTCTTCTCCCTCAAGCCAACATGTTTTTATACTTTACATGAGCTGCTAAACTGTAAGTGGCCATGCCTTTTTAAAACGACGACATAGCTTGTTCTTAGCTACACAAGTGACGGCTGTTACTTCTTCCACTTGCAGCATGAAAACTGCTTCCTGCTTCGTGTTATTGCTTGTGTTTGTGGGAAAGGAAGTCAAAGCAATCTCTTACCACTGCAAGTTGCGAAAACACATTGCTAACCGGGGCAGCCAATATGGGCTGCTTTCTCTGGTAAAGTTCCTTAGGCGGCTTCAAGCCCAGGGACGCCTCCATTCAGACAGATGATCCTTTTACGACTTTATTTACAGTGGTACCTCGGGTTAAGTACCTTCATACTGTTGTGGCTTACGGCCAAACAAGTATGCACTTACTCAAGACTCATATTAATGGTACTAAATGCAAAAGGTATGTCTCTCCCCCCCACCCCCAAAGTCGAATCAAAAATATATTAAGGTCTTCCAGACACAGCCATCGAGAGTTGAATTCTGGCCCTCCTGCAACTTTATGCAAAGACAACGCTCAAGCACACTTCACTGGGGAAACCCAGCCAGATGGGCGGCGTATAAATTATTTATTATTATTATTATTATTACTACTACAGTGGTACCTCAGGTTAAGTACTTAATTCGTTCCGGAAGTCTGTTCTTAACCTGAAACTGTTCGTAATCTGAGGTACTACTTTAGCTAATGGGGCCTCCCGCTGCTGCCGCGCCACCGGAGCACGATTTCTGTTCTCATCCTGAAGCAAAGTTCTTAACCCAAGGTACTATTTCTGGGTTAGTGGAGTCTGTAACCTGAAGAGTATGTAACCTGAGGTACCACTGTATATGCATTTATAACCTGCCTTTCCTCATGTGGCTGGAAGGTGGGTTACATATGGGTCAATTCAACCAGCAAATCATGTAAAAGTTCCCTCCTTTTTCATGTAATCATGTAAAAGTTCCTTCCCTTTTCAAAAGCAGTTTGCTGTTTGGCCTTGTAGTCGAAGCTCCTTTTTGAGAAACCACACACATCTGAATCTGCTTTGGGCTCAGAGAACAAGTATCATAGTCCCCTAGTCCTTGTTTGGAGAACTACCGTCAAAAATACACTCATTGGTTTAATCAGTGGCACCAGTGCTTTTTTTCCTACAAACATAGGTGCTGGTACTTACTGTGAAGTTGTTACAGTAAGTGCCACACTTTTTAACAACAAAAAAGAGGTGCCTGTACTGCGTACTCCAGTAAAAAAAGCACCGAGTGGCATGTGATTCTCTGTGTTTTGATTAGTTTTTGAAGCAGGAGAGAGTTTTGTTTGCTTGTACAGCATTTCCGCTAGAATTTGTCAGCCCGCGTGTAGCTAAAGTGTCTTGTTTTGGTTTTGTTCCTTTTCCGAAGCCGTTCGATTTGGCCGGATTCCTAAACGTGAGAAGCAGAGGATGTTGATCGAGATGCAAAGTGCCATGAAAACCATGATGAACACCCAGTTCAGCGATCATTTGTCCAGCGAAGCCTCGAAAGAGAGCCAAGAACCTTTGCTTCTGCTGCCTCAAGAAGAGCTGAGCGCCAAACGGCAAGAAGAGCAGAAAAACGCCGGCGGCCGTTCTTCTCCTCCTTCTCCTGCTCTCCTCCTCCCCCCTCCTCCCCCTCCCCCCTCTGACATTGCTAAGGAAGAAGTGATTGGCATGGTGACCAGAGCCCACAAAGATACCTTTATGTACAACCAGGAGCAACCCGAAAACCCTCCCACTCCTGGGCAGCCCCAGAATATGGAGAGAAACCTAAAATACAGTGGTGGTAGCGAAAGCAATAATAGTGGCATAAGCTGCGCCCACCATGGTGGGAATGAACAACATTTCATTGGACAACACAAAGGGCGAAACGACATGCATTATCCAAATGGGCGTAGTAATCTTTGCTTTACAAACAGCCATTCGGTGAACATTGCTAATGGCGCCGCCTCAAAAAGTTGCAATGGTAGGCCTGAAAGTGGCTTTCCTCAGCATGTGTCTATGAACGCTTACCCCTGCAACCCCGGAGAAAGGATGCACCTGGTACAACTAATTCTTAATTTCTCTTGCACAGTTCTCTGAGGGATTGTTACTTGGCGTAGGTTCAGACTAGTCACATGGGCTGGGAGTGGCTTCTCCGTGGGACCACCTTGTTTAGTGAAATAACAAACTTAGGGTAATGACAACAACAAAAAATACGAGAGGGAGATTACTGAGTTTTGGGGGGTGCCAAAATCAATTGGCCCATCGCTAAAAGAACCTCTTTCCAATTGAAAAGAAAAGTATGGTTGGGAAAATGACTGCTGGTGGGAAATGTTTGCCATTATTGTGTGTAACTGAGGTATATTTTATGAAACCTCAACCCCAAATATGGTTTGTTTCTAATCTTGGGAAGCTTCTGCTTCTCGTTTTTTGATCAATCCCAGTTTGCTGTGCTATCCAAACTCGAAATGTAGCCAGCTGTATAAACTATGGCATGAGGTTGCCTTGTTTCAGCTAACAAGAGTTAAAATTAACCACAGTTTGTCACAACTTGGCAAACTCTGGTTAATCAAAAATGGAAGCAGAAGTGAACTACTCCCCGCAATGGCTCCAGAAGAGGGAGAAGTGCTCAAACACAAGCCTTGGCTAGTCATATTGTTGTAATGCTAAAACTTGTTTAGCATGTGTAAAGCAGCCTTAAGGTGCTCTAATGTGTCTCCCCCCTTTATAGAATTCAGTCAGTTGGGTAATAAGACTTAACTGTCATCTAATGAATTGTGAATTGCTAGGAAAATTAGTGTCAGTGAAACTTAACCAGCTGTGATATTTCACCAAAAACTTGGTGATCAGGCTCACAGTATTTTTACTTGAGAATTAAATGCAACTTTTAAGCTTCTCTCTTTCTCTCATGCTTTGTATGCCATGTTTTTAATGTGCATTGGAAAGCAGAAGAGAGATCAAATACACACGCAGATTTCAGGAAGATGCAGCCGACCAATTTAAGCTCTGATTTTAAAAATTGCTGAGTCTTCGAAGTGAATCTTTCATAATAATATTTTTTCATTAAACTGTACTGTAGATCGTAACACACATTTAATTTTAATCCAGGCCTCACACATTTAGTACCTAGTCTCCAAATATATTTTGTTGAAGTTCCTTTATTGTAATAATATATGAAGATTTTTGAAACTATGAAATCGCTTGGCCAGTTTGCTTGGAATAGAATATTGAGACTGTGTGTATAAATATCTAGGTTTGCCCAATGAACAAGACTCCTTTTGTGGACCCAAATAAGTCTGGTCATGAAGTCTGGGAAGAATTTTCCATGAGCTTTACTCCTGCTGTGAAGGAAGTGGTGGAGTTTGCCAAACGTGTCCCAGGCTTCCGAGACCTTTCACAGCATGACCAAGTAAACCTTCTGAAGGCTGGAACCTTTGAGGTGAATATTATCTTAACTGAATGTATTGCAGATGTTTTGCTGTGGCGTGCTATATATATAATAGATTCATTTTGTTTTGACCTTTTCTTCCCCCCTGCAGCCTTGTCGGTTAAAAATGGATCAAAAGTTAGTGCTGCTATTTTGATGACTTTGGTAGTTGTCTGCAGCAGTCGTCCGAAATGTTTGGCAGAGGTTATCTTTGCACAAAACTATTGCTACTTTGGCTTGTTCTTCCCCTCAGGAATATGAGTTCAGTTCTCTTACCCTCTTACCCTTACAGAATGACAGTGTGACGTAGCCTTAGATGTGGGACTGTGTTGAATCACCTAACAGATAACAGATTGAGGTTGAATCCTGACAAGACAGAAGTACTGTTTTGGGGGGACAGGGGACGGGTGGGTGTGGAGGACTCCCTGGTCCTGAATGGGGTAATTGTGCCCCTGAAGGACCAGGTGCGCAGCCTGGGAGTCATTTTGCACTCACAGCTGTCCATGGAGGCGCAGGTCAATTCTGTGTCCAGGGCAGCTGTTTACCAGCTCCATCTGGTACGTAGGCTGAGACCCTATCTGCCCGCAGACTGTCTCACCAGAGTGGTGCATGCTCTGGTTATCTCCCGCTTGGACTACTGCAACGCGCTCTAGGTGGGGCTACCTTTGAAGGTGACTCGGAAACTACAACTAATCCAGAATGCAGCAGCTAGACTGGTGACCGGGAGTGGCCTCTGAGACCACATAACACCAGTCCTGAAAAACATACATTAGCTCCCAGTACTTTTCCCAGCACAATTCAAAGTGTTGGTGCTGACCTTTAAAACCCTAAACGGGCTTGGCCCAGTATACCTGAAGGAGCGTGTCTCCACCCCCATCATCCAGCCCAGACACTGAGGTCCAGCTCTGAGGGCCTCCTGGAGATTTCCTCACTGTGAGATGTGAGGTTACAGGGAACCAGGCAGAGGGCCTTCTCGGCAGTGGCACCCACCCTGTGGAACGCCCTCCTGTCAGATATCAAGGAAATAAACAACCATCTGACTTTTAGAAGACATCTGAAAGCAGCCTTCTTTAGGGAAGTTTTTAATGTTTGAAGTTTTATTCTGTTTTTAATGTTCTGTTGTGAGCTGCCCAGAGTGGCTGGGGAAACCCAGCCAGATGGGCAGGGTAGAAATAAATAAACTACTATTGAAATATTTTCAAAAAGTAATTTGTGATGGCTGGGGAATAAATAATAAATTATTATTATTATTAATATTGTGACACCACTACCCCGCCCCCCTCAAGGGACATTACATGTGAGTTTATGCTCAACCACACTTAGCATGTTCTCTCTCCAGAGCATACATGTAATGATGTAAGCTTTGGTTTTTGACTAAAACCCGTTCTGGTAAATGATCTAGGCCAATAATTCCCAATTAGCTAAGTACGGTGAACCCCTTGTTTTTCAAGAGCAAGAGCAGACTGCAAATGTGGGAGCAGGACGTGCAGGGAAATGTTCCTTGTTTCTGGTTTTTTAAGCCAAAATGCAGTGGAATCTCAGTTGTCGAATGTAATCTGTTCTGGAAGACCATTCAACTTCCGAAACATTTGACAACCGAAGCGCAATGGGTGGTCTGAAAACACAACTGAGAAAATTGAGAAATGCGGCTCAGAAGCTGTTCAACTTCCTTAGGCGTGTTTAAAATCGGAAGCAGTTACTTTCGGGTTTTCAGCATTCCAAAACCAAAACGTTCAGCTTCTGAGACGCTCAAAAACCGAGGTTCCACTGTACTCCTTTCTGCATTATCTTTTTAAATCTTTTTTCTTTTTTGCTTGAAATCAGTTTGTATAAGTGAACTCATCTCATCCAGACATTTATTGTGAGAATATTTTAGCCTGTATAGTGTTCATATTTACTTTAGAAAACCGCGGAGGGTGATTTATAAACAAATGAGTAATATAAAAGTAGGCTGTGGACCAGAGACAGTATTACACAGGTGGAGGTATGTTGGTGATGCAGGAAGTTTTCTGTGCTGGTCATTTTGTGGGGAAACCTGTTTTCATGTACAGAAACAACATTCCTTCTGTTTAAAAAAGCAACTGTACTTGTTCATCAGCTGTCAGACAAGCAACATTATCAATGTATAGTGTTACACACTGACTTCTTTTATCCCTAAAGTCCTGCAGATTGGTCTAATCTTTTTTTAATTGCTCTTTTTTCTTTTGGGTAGGTTTTAATGGTACGGTTTGCATCCTTATTTGATGCAAAGGATCGCACTGTCACTTTTCTCAGTGGAAAGAAATACAGTGTGGACGATCTGCGTTCAATGGGAGCCGGTGATCTGCTCAACTCCATGTTTGAGTTTAGTGAGAAACTAAATGCCCTGAACCTTAGTGATGAAGAAATGAGCTTGTTTACAGCTGTGGTCCTTGTGTCTGCTGGTAAGAAAGTTAATCCATACCATGGAATAAAGTATTCTTGTATATCTCCAGATTTAAAATCTCCAGATTTAAAACCTTTGTCGTCTTTTCAGAATAAAAGAAATCTAGCTAATGGGTTGGGGAGTATTGTTTATTTTTATAAATAAGTGGGGGTTTCTTCAGAGCACCTGAGAATTATATCCTTCCGTAAATTATGTGGGGTGGAAGAATTTCAACAACAGCAGATTTTCAAGTGCTTTATTTTTCTGTTCCATTAGTAATAATAATGCCAGCTTCTCTTTTGCCACTTTTCATGTGTGATTTTTATCCTTTTACTGTTCATTCTTTTGTTTTATGTTAAGCGTCAAGGTTTTTCTTTATTGCAAATCGCTTTTGGCTTTTTGAGAAAGCAATAAATACATGGTTAAGGGTTACTGTTTGTTAAGCAACCTGAGAGGATGCGTTCTCATTGACATGCAATGCTGCAGAAATCGCACCAACGTACCCTTGCATGTCAGGTGGGTTCATGCCATCAGCTTTTTGGTTGTTTGTTTTTGCAATTTCCCCTCACATTAATCCTAATGGGAAGGAAAAATAAGTTTACTCCAGGTCTCATGTACTTCTTCCTCTCCACTTCCACCACCTCCCCAAATCCCATGGAATGGAAGCATCTCCTAATCCACCTTGGAATGCCTCCTTTTTGCCCCCTCTACCAACAGAGCACCAATGACGGAGGAGGAACAGCTGCAGAGGCTTTTGTAGCATGCAAGGAGAATGATAATAAATAATAATAATAATTTATCATTTATACCCCGCCCATCTGGCTGGGTTTCCCCAGCCACTCTGGGCATCTCCCAACAGAATATTAAAAACATGATAAAACATCAAACATTAAAAACTTCCCTAAACAGGGTTGCCTTCAGATGTCTTCTAAAAGTCAGATAGCTGTTTATTTCCTTGACATGTGATGGGAGGGCATTCCATAGGGTGGGCACCACTACCGAGAAGGCCCTCTGCCTGGTTCCCTGTAACCTCACATCTCGCAGTGAGGGAACTTCCAGGAGGCCCTCAGAGCTGAACGATGGCGGTGGAGATGCTGCTTCAGGTATACTGGGCTGAGGCCGTTTAGGGCTTTAAAGGTCAGCACCAACACTTTGCATTGTGCTCAGAAACGTACCGGGAACTAATGTGGGTCTTTCAGAACTAGTGTTATGTAGTCCCAGCAGCTGCTCCCAGTCACCAATCTAGCTGCTGCATTCTGGATTAGTTGTAGTTTCCGGGTCACCTTCAATAGTAGCCCCACGTAGAGCACCTTGCAGTAGTCCAAGCAGGAGAATGCTTTCGTACATGGGCCTTTCTCCACCTATGGATCTTCCTCTCTCTGTGAAGCAGGGGGTGCCCTCCCAGAGACCGTCGTATTTCAGACAAAAGGCTTGTCCACACTTTCTAGGCACTGTCCAAGAGGTTTTTCCTTTGTCCTGCCACTTTCCCCAGGGGAAAAAATACCCACTGTTTACTGCTGAATTGGAAGAAGCATTAATATGCAGAAAAGCCATTGGCGTTTGTTCTGATTCATCAGTAAACAGCGCGGTTTCCTTGGGGGAAATGGGGCAAAAGAAGAAACCTAAAAATTGAACGCGTAAAAATTACAGGGTAAGTGTGGGTGAACCCTTAGTTGCTGCAGAGCTGTACAACAGAAGATAAAGTAGCCCCGTGTACTTGGCAAGTAGAGCAGACAGGTCCTCATTCCTGTTCCCTTTGCATAAAATTCCTCTTGCTACAAAAGAAGAGAACTTCTGGATTGTTCATAGCATCACAAAATAAGAGGACACTGCTCTGCATTCCAGGTGTACCTTTGAGAAAACCCACTAAAATAAATGAACATTAAGTTAGTCACATTCACTAACTCCAGTGGGTTAGTTTGGCTAACCTTGAATACAACCCTTTTGACTTAGGGTAGGATTTTTTTGTTATGTGAGGATGTTGAGAAGTGCTTTGCAAAACAGGCACCTAACTAAAAGCTTCAGTATGTAGGTTTATGCCTCCGTTTGTATTACCTTTTCATTAGTCAACCCTGAATTCCCACTAACTAACACAAATGCTTTGACGAATAGCTGAACGTAGAGTTGAATTTCATACTAACCAGTGTTAAATTGGCACACCAAATAACCGTCTCCGTTCCGTTCTCTTCTGTTGTTTAGAACGATCGGGAATAGAAAATGTCAACTCGGTGGAAGCATTGCAAGAAACACTAATCCGCGTGCTTAGGACCTTAATCACAAAAAACCATCCGAACGAAGCCTCTATATTTACAAAACTACTCTTGAAGTTGCCTGACTTGCGTTCCTTAAACAACATGCACTCTGAGGAACTCCTGGCCTTTAAAGTTCACCCATAGGCTTTTACCTCTTGTTTATAGAATGGACTTGTTTCCTGTCAATTAACTGTGGTTATTTCATGCTATAAAATGTTTATTTATGTTTGTTTGTATGTACCTTTTGTAGAGAAGAAGAACTTGCTGTCAGTGTGATAGATGTTCTGTTGCCATGCAATAACAACGTTTCGGGTTGACCGTTTTTTCCGTCAGTGAAAACATGGCCACAGATTTCTTCATGATTATCCAAAAACAGCCCCATTTGCACTAAAAGTGAAGAGGTTACATTCAATCTTACGGATATTGACTGTTAATTACTGCACCCTTACAGTAAAGACCAATTAACTGGCTCTTCTATAAACAAGAATGCACAATGGCTATATGCAGAAAACAGAATTTTGAATAAATGACACTACAGTAACTGAAGATGGATTTAATTTGTTTATCCCGCCCCCCCCTTTGAGCATCTCATCTTGGTTCAGTAGGAAGCTCAGAAAATTTGTTTTGCTTTTTGGAAGCTTAGGAGCTCCATGGGGAAGTCTCATTGTAAACTGATTAGATAGCTCCAAGCACAAGCGCACATGTGCTGTATGTATGTATAGTATGAAGAGATGTTGGGCGTGTTACGACTTTTAAGAAATACATTGTTTGTGTATGTATATATTTAAGTGTATGTATGTAAATAGTTCTAATTGAAACAACATGCATATAATTTCTTCACAATATTTTTCAACTGTGAAGAAGTTAACCAAACGAAAGGTGGTTGACCCATGGGAACAATGGAATCGATGCTTTAGGTGATGTGCTGCCAAACCAAATGTCTCAAGAGTTCATCATGTTTATAGAGATTTTCAGGTTAACTGCGGTGTACCGAGTTCGCTGCTTCGAGAAGTCTTACAGAATCAAAAGTGAAACGGCAGATCTGTCAAATCAGTTAAAGGTACTGGATTGGGCTGACTTTTTTAAAAAAAATCTATTGCTTCTAAGATTCTTATGTGCTAATAGACACTTAAAGTTGCTGGACACACTACTCTTATCTGGAAGGAAATTTTTCAGATGAAGCTTGTAATCTGTGTAGTTTTAGAGAATCATGATAAATTTCAAGGAAACGATTGATCAAACACCTTCACTGCATATGTTTTGTGTGTCCTTTGAATCTGTACACTTTATATACTTGTATGCTGCTTGAATGGGAATGGGAAACAAAAAAACAGACACTGTCAGTGGCTCATGAGGTATTTTTGTTGCCCAAGTGTGTTCTATTAAGGTTAGAGTTGTAAAGGTTTTCTTAAACCTTTTTTGGTGTACATAACAAAGGTCTGTTAGATAGTCTGTCTGATACCAGGTCTATTTTTCTATAATTTTGATGTTCTTTTTTAAAATGTCAATGATAAATCCCCAGGCGCAAGGATTTCCTTTGCATCTAGATACTATCTCAAAATAATATTTTCCTATAATATCAAGAAGTAAAAACACACAATGGCACTTAAAATAAGCCAGAAAGTTATGACTGGCCTTATTGTTACCACAGTATGGAAGGAAAAATTCTTTCTACTTCCTCCTTAAGAAAAGCATTGAATCCCCAGTTTACAACCTCAATATTTCACATGACTGTTTATTGCTTGAAGGTACAAACTTGCATCTCCCATTGTGCTTAGGTGAAGAATTGCAGCTTCATGGGTTCAATAGATGTTTAGTATTTTCTGCTGTCAAATGGTGGAGGTAGATTTGATGCCCTGTAACAGCATAAAACTTTGGAGCATTTTGTATTACTGCTTTTTTATTTTAAGAGGTTGTTTCAGAAAATTCAATCTAATTCAGAGGGAATATGTGCATCTAATTGTCTTCTGCACAGAGAACTGAGACCACTAGGAAACAACCCATTCTTCCAATTTCAGTTGCACAACCACTTGGTGATGTCTTGAGACAGCTTATGCTTTCAAAACATGAATTGTTGACTTGGTATAATACAGGTATTTCAGTAACTATATTTTTTATTAATCAAGGACAGGTAAGCCATTTAGCATCCACTGCTTAAAAATCAAAGAAGAAAGTTGCCCTGATTTTTAGGCTTCTTACAGAAGCTTCCTCCCTACATATACAATGTCTCTTCATTCTATTTTTAAGTCTTTAGAAAAGTATAACCAGCGCACTGTAAAGTATTGCTTATTGCTTTAAAAGAGTGTTTCCATATTTGTGCATATAATTAGATAATTATGTGGTGAAATAAATGCATGCAATTTCAATTTAAACAGCATGTTCCTGTACATTACAGAACCTGATTTACGTTGTTCCGGGATTGTTTATTTACAAATTCAAGATCCAAGTACAGTTGTACCTCGGCTCCCGAACACCTTGGGAGTCGAACGTTTCGGTTCCCGAACGATCGAAAACCAGAAGTGAGTGTTCCGGTTTTCGAACTTCCTTTTGGAACTTGAATGTCCGGCATGGCTTGCACGGCTTCCAATTGGCTGCTGGAGCTTCCTGCAGCCAATCAGAAGCCGCGCTTTGGAAGTCGAACGGACTTCCGGAACGGATTCTGTTCAACTGCTGAGGTACGACTGTACAACTTTATAACATTATTCTATGTTGCAGTCTCCAAGGCAGCTGTTGTCAACCTACTGCTAGATGATTTGGACAACAACTCCCATAAGCTGCAGACAGCATATGCTGATGGGAGTTGTATTCCAAAACAATTGGAGGGGCACCAGGTTGTGAAAACTACTCTAGGGCCTAGCACTTGTGTTATGCTGGTAGCACTAAGAGTCACTGGACTGCTACTCCTCACACTGGTGTGGTGTTAAGATGAGCCACACAGAAGCATTTTCTCATCCTAGCATCAAACTTCAGATAACTGGGTAATGCCTGTGTAAAAAAAGGATCTGGCCTTAGTGAGCAAAGAAGCCATTTGCTAAACAAGTTAGATCTTGTTACATCTAAAGAAGCTCTGCTTTACTGTGTTGCTGGTTATACACTTGTTAAATACTGAGAAATATTTCGCATCAGACTTTTGAGTACTGTAGATGGGATGTTGCTAAGAGACTATGAAAACGTACTGTACGAAACTAAATGAATTTTTTTACTCTGGTTTTTCATGTTTAAAAAGATTAAATATGGGCATTATGTTGGCAAAGCAGACTTTGCTTGTTGTGTGTGATCTTTTTCTCCATCAGAGCTTAACACTGGAGTGAGTGGAAACGGCAAAACATGTAAACCATTTGTTGCCTGGGACCAATGTCCCATGAACGTTTATTTACAGCATCCTAATATGTGAATGTTTGCGTGGCCTTCAGCCCTCCCCACTGCCTGGTCAACCTAAGGAAATAGTTGCAAATATGGAGTTGTCCTCTCAGTTAATTGAATGAGGAAGTCTGTTAAGCACGAAGGTTGCATTATGTGTCCTGCAAACACCACGCTTGCAAGACATGGATGGCATTTATTTACACTGCAGCATGCATTTATGCGATGCGGGTGGCGCTGTGGGTTAAACCACAGAGCCCTAGGGCTTGCCGATCAGAAGGTCAGCGGTTCGAATCCGTGCAATGGGGTGAGCGCCCGTTGCTCAGTCCCTGCTCCTGCCAACCTAGCAGTTCAAAAGCACAAAGTGCAAGTAGATAAATAGGTACGGCTCCGCCGGGAAGGTAAACGGCGTTTCCGTGCGCTGCTCTGGTTCACCAGAAGCAGCTTAGTCTTGCTGGCCACATGACCCGGAAGCTGTACGCCGGCTCCCTCGGCCAATAAAGCAAGATGAGCGTCGCAACCCCAGAGTCGTTCGTGACTGGACCTAATGGTCAGGGGTCCCTTTACCTTTACCTTTATGCATTTATGCATATTTAAGTCAAAACACTTTGGGCTGATTCCAAAATAAGTCTCGTTGACTTGTGCGTTAATGGTGGGGGAATCTCACTTTGTGATTGCAATGTGTGACACCACACCAGATTGGAATTCCTGCAAGACATGTCAGTGTATACCAGTGCCGGATTTAGGTATAAGCTAAGCAAGCAATAGCTTAGGGCCCCACTCTCTTGGGGGGCCCCAAAAAAAATTAAAGGGAAAAAACCCGGATGTACATTTCCAAAATGCAAGAGAAAAAATAAATAAAATAAAAGCTACATACAGCAACAGTGTTTTGTGTTGTGTAGGCTCCTATGATGTAAGTAATGGGCCTTGCCTGCTATATAAAGAGCCCCATTACCTTCAGTAGCTTGGGGCCTCATCAAACCTAAATCCATACCACAGTGCATACCACAGTGTAAAGTGCACATGTTACAGGCCGTCTAAAGTGCATATGTTACAGGCCATCATAAAGTACTAATGAACTGTATTATCCCAGTGAACACGTACATGGAAGCATGCCATACAAATCACACTTCAGTATTCTGCATACATTCATGCATCCGAGTCATGTTGAATTTATATGAAATTTACCATGGTTCTGAACTCTGTTTCTGCGTTACTAAGGGGGGGGGGCAGGTGGTCAGCACTAAATTCAGCAATAAGAAAATGATGACGTGTGATGATCATCCTAAATCTAAATCCATATGATGAGCATCCTAAATCTACATGTGCTCTACATGGCATGTGTAAGCAATTTGTTAATAAAATTCGGTATGCCACTTAATAATAATAATAATAATAAACACCATTGTGCTATTTACAAAGAAATGGATAGGGCGTTTAGGGAGTTTCCCTGTTTTAATTCAGACTGCTGATTTATTTAAAACAATAGTATCTCTCCGAATCTTGAGTTGGCTTCAAACAAAATAATACAACACTATAAATGTCAGCAAAGCACAATGTTAAACAAGATGCTTCTAGCAGTCACTTAAAACATATGTGCTGTGTAGCAGCAGATCTTTCAGAATGTCTGCATTTTAGTTTCGCAGTTTGTAGTCCAGGCAGAACATGAAACTTTTCTCTTGAACAGCAGAGGTCTCTAGAACCCAGAAGTCTCATCCCTGCATTTTGCTTTGATCATGCCATCATTTCCTTCCTAGTCACTTCACACGCCTCCTTTGCTTTTCTTGTGTAGTCGTCACACTTTCGCACTCATGTCTTCAGTATGTACCCAGCCACAATACACTCAAGAAGCAGTATCAGATTACTAGATATGTGTGTGATTACTACGGACCCATTTGCACCACACTGTACATTGAAAGCAGTTTGACATTTTTAAAATCCTACATAACATCCTGGGAACTGTAGTTTTAAGGGTACTGAGAGTTATTATGCCCCTCACAGGGACGTGGGTGGCGCTGTGGGTTAAACCACAGAACCTACAACTTGCCGATCAGAAGGTCGGCGGTTCAAATCCCTGTGACGGGGTGAGCTCCCGTTGCTCCTGCCAAGCAAGCAGTTCGAAAGCACATCAAAGTGGAAGTAGATAAATAGGCACTGCACCGGCGGGAAGGTAAACGGCGTTTCTGTGTGCTGCTCTGGTTTGCCAGAAGCGGCTTAGTCATGCTGGCCACATGACCCGGAAGCTGTACGGTGGCTCCCTCGGCCAATAAAGCGAGATGAGCGCCACAACCCCAGAGTCGGCCACGACTGGACCTAAAGGGCCCCTTTAGCTTTTTATGCCCCTCACAGAGCTAAAATTCCCAGTGTGGTTTAACAACTGATCCCACTTAACCAGGTGACGGGGAACTGAAGCTTTGTGAGGGGTCTCCTAACAACTCTCAGCACCCTTAAGAAACTACCTTTCCCAGAATTATTTTATTTTTTTTGCTGGGTGGGGAGAAGCCATGACTTCAAGATGTTTTAAACACATTGTGCAGGTGGCGCCCAAGAGTGGCTGTAAATATGGCAAATGGTTGGGGATAATGGGATTTGTAGCCCAGCAATGTGCAGAGGCCACAGTTCCCCAACCCCTTGGTTATACCTAATGCGTAGTTTGGTTCTTCCCTTTACACAGGATATGGGCAGAGGGCCTTCTCGGTAGTGGCGCCCGCCCTGTGGAACACCCTCCCATCAGATGTCAAGGAAATAAACAGCTATCTGATTATTAGAAGACATCTGAAGCCTGTTTAGGGAAGTTTTTAACGTTTGATGTTTTATCGTGTTTTTAATATTCTGTTGGGAGTCGCCCAGAGTAGCTGGGGAAACCCAGCCAGATGCGTGGGGTATAAATATTTTTAAAAAAATAAAAATAAACAAAATGTTACACAAGACTGAAGCAGAATATGATTACCCAGAAGTGTTGCAGATATTCAAAGTACCTGGGTGATCACTTCAATGCACAGACCCTGGTATTTGATGAAGAATATGATGTCCCCATTTTCATTTTTTAAAAAGCGTGTTTATCTCTTCTGGATTTTACAAGCCATGTCGCTGGGCTGAATGAGAGAACGGCTCCTCATTCCAAGCAACTGCAGCAAGCAGCAAGGAAGGTGGTGCAAGGCCAATAAGCTGAGCTATCCATGGGGATGGGGAAGAGAGAGAACCCCATAATGTTAAACAGGACAGGAAATGAAATGGAAACACTCATAGGCGAGAGATGAGAAACCCGTCAGGCCTCCAAACGTTGGACCACAACTCCCCATCCCTGCAGATACCAAGCGCCTGCCCTCCAAGTTATGGGGAAATGCAGTGCCTCTGACAAAATAAAATAAAAATAAATCCATGTTTGCTAGGTGAGCAGAGGGTTAAGACACAAGTTCCCTTTAAATTCCTAGAGGGCACTTTGTGAGGTCATATCCTCTGCTTGCCCAGGTGGGAAAGAACAACAGGAAGATAATCCTTAGCATTTCCTCTCACCTGGGGAACAGTCTGTTTGTCTTCCTGTAGCCATAGGGAAGGGATAAGAGGGTCAAAAACACCACCTTTGACCCTAAACCATGTATTTTGTCATCTAGAGGTATATTTTGGCTGACTTATTTCATGGCTGTTTTCTGCTTGAATTGCATCTGCAGTTTTATGTAAGTAAACGATTCTATTTTTTTAAGTATTCTTCCAATACAGACTTCTGTGCTGTTGTTTTGTTTAGAGGGATAAATAAAATAAAGGGGAAGAGCCAGCCTTCCTAAAGCATCCTGAATAATAATAATAATAATAATAATAATAATAATAATAATAATATATTTATACCCTGCCCATCTGGCTGAGTTTCCCCAGCCACTCTGGGCAGCTCCCAACAGAATATTAAAAGCGCTATAAAACACAACAGAAAGCTTTGTCCCAAGTTTCTGTGTTCATGCTTTAAAGGGTGATATATATTTAACTCTGCTAAACTAGACACTCGTCCTACTCAAGCGAGCAAGAGGAAGGTTAATTAATACATAATGCATCCTATCTTACTTTCCAAATCCATCACAAGACAGGTAAGATCAGAACTGGCACAAAATCATCATTGCTATTTCAATTTATATCTATCTCCCTTTCCTTCAGGGAACTCTAGCTGGCACACATGGTTCTCCCTCTGTCCATTTTGTCCTCACAACAGCCCTAGAATAGAGTTGGAAGAGACCCCGATGGTCATCTAGTCCAACTCCCTGCAATGCAGAAATCTCAGCACGAAGGCTCCCATCCAATTTGAAACCAAAGTGGACCCTGCTTAGCTTTGCAAATGTGCCAGCAGTTTTATTGCTGCATGAGTTAGGCTGAAAGAGTGTGCTTGGCCCAAGGTCACCCAGGGAGCTCCATAGCGGAGTGAGGATTCGATCTCTGATCTGCCAGGCTCAAGTCCAACATACGAATCACAACACCACACTGGCTTTCAGCTCCAGACCCCAAAGCTAACCAGAAGATGCTTATATTTCCCCCTAGCATTTATCTCCTTTTCAGCCCATTAATGTTTGTATTTTCCTCCTCTTCCTTTTTAGTGTGCAGGAGTTCCCATACAAATTAGGTAATTTTGGGAGTTGTCACTTCTAGGCAGGGGTGAGATGCTGTCGCTGCTAAATTCAATTCTCCTTCAGAACTATTAACTGTACAGGAGCAACATCCTTTTTGCATTTAGTCTCTTGAAGGTTTTTGTTTGTTTAAATTCTCTCTGCATCTCTATCTACTCTTAAAAAAACCTTTAAAAATTTCTTAATGTTGTGGCCAGTCTTAGGCCAGGACTTGACTCCCTCCTGGCTTCCGGGTAACTTGACAATCAATACTCAGGAACAAATTGCACAGTGTTTTATCCTCAGGAACCAAGGCTGCTGTTTTTGGCTGTCTCAGAAGGGGGAGATGTAGTACAAGGAATGTCGCTGTTGGAACAAATTTTCCACTGCCAAGTGAATTCTCTAAGGATTTGGTTCAAACTCTGCTTTTTTTTGGTCCACATGACCAGTTCTGGGTAGGCGCTCACATGGACAAACATAACAGATTAACATAGCAATCAGAAAACCAGCAAGTCCTGTGGCTGCAATAGCTTAGCAGCCATAATCATAGAAGTGGCTTATTTGTAACTTTGGGGTGGGGTGGAGTGCAGAGTATAATCTGGTGGTATAATCTACACCGTACAGCTGAGCTCTCCACAGGAACACCCACGGGCTTGGTTCACGTGATCCTTCTCTTCCAAGGATCACACAGATGTGGGGGCTCTGTGTGTGTGATCAGGTGCTCACATGGAATACCTGGTTCACGAAGGAGAGATGCTTATGGGAACGTAATAAGCTGGTTTGTATTGTTCGTTTGTTTATTGGACTGGTTGGCTGCGTGTTACACTGAGGTTCCCAAGTGACTTGTGACACATTTAAAAGTGTCAACATAGATATGTTACAGTCAAACCTCTGTTCCCGAACGGCTCCATTTTGGAATGTTTTGGCTCCCAGATGCCGAAAACCCGGACGTAAATGCTCCGGTTTTTGAACATTTTTCAGAAGCCGAACGTCCGACATGGCTTCCATTTGAGTGCAGGAAGCTCTTGCAGCCAATTGGAAGCTGTGCCTCGGCTTTTAAACATTTCAGAAGCCGAACGGATTACGTTTGACAACCAAGGTTTGACTGTACAGTGGTACCTCGGGTTAAGAACTTAATTCGTTCTGGAGATCCGTTCTTAACCTGAAACTGTTCTTAACCTGAGGTACCACTTTAGCTAATGGGGCCTCCCGATGCTGCCGCGGCGCGATTTCTGTTCTCATCCTGAAGCAAAGTTCTTAACCCGAGGTACTATTTCTGGGTTAGCGGAGTCTGTAACCTGAAGCGTCTGTAACCCAAGGTACCACTGTATAATAATGACACAGTCATACGAAACACTTGCAATTCCATAAAAAATATATAAAATGCATCACCACCACAAGGAGCTTAGGTAGTGCACTAACAGCAAAGATACTAGCACCAAGTCACTCCATTGGGTCATAGAATCATAGAATTGTACAGCTGGAAGGGAACCCCAAAGGTCATCTAGTCCAACTAGGAATCTCAACTAAAGCATCCATGGCAGATGGCCATCCAACCTCTGTGTAAAAACATCCAAGGAAAGAGTGTCCACCACCTCTCGTTGGAGTCTGTTCCACTGCCGAAGAGCACTGTCGGAAAGTTTTTTTTCTGAAAGTTTAGTTGGAATCTCCTTTCTTCAGACTTGAAGCCACTGGTTCGAGTCCTACCCTCCAGAGCAGGAGAAAACACAAGTGTTCCCTCTTCCATGTGACAGCCCTTGAGGAATTTGAAGATGATTATCATATCTCTTCTCAATCTCCTCTTTTCCAGGCTAAACATACCCAGCTCCTTCAACCATTCCTCATAAGGCTTTGTTTCAAGAGCCTTGATCACTGAGTTCTGTATTGTCAACACTGGCTGGCAACAGCTCTCCAGGATTTCAGACAGGAGACATTCCCAGCCCTGCATGAAGATGCTAATGATTGAACCCAGGAGCTTCTGCATACAAGACAGATGCTCTATCCCTGAGCTATGGCCCTTTCACTTTCCCTTCCACTTTCAACATATAATTGTGTTGCCACCCCCAACCAAATATACAAATGAGTGTTATGTCACATTATGTCAGGCTTCAGGGAATCAGCTTCCTCCCCCTTTGGCAGTAGATAAGCAGAACCAGTTAGAAACGTTAATGATCACAGCGAGAGAACAAAGAATCTAATTCCTAGGAATGGCGATGCTCCCAATTAAGGGTTTCACCCACTTCCTCCCTAGTCACCCCCGTCACCACCATGTCTTGTACCCTGAGCTTGTAACCACTGTGCTGTCTGTGCTGCCACCTTATCAGCTCTTCTTGACCTTGGGCTGAGTGGATTAATGCTTTCTAAACAGTGAATCTGTTAACTCTCTCCCTCCCAGTTCTTCTCCTCCTAGCTGTTCCCCATTCAGTATTTCCCAGCTTCTGCCTTCTGAACTATGTCCTTCTGCAAACCACTGTTCCAAATCTACACTGTTCTCCTGTTCCTGGGACGATTCAGGATCCTGATCAGGAGCAGGGGGAGGGGGAGGCTCCCACCATTCTTCCTCAGTGCAGCCCTCCTCAGCTCAGTCCCTGACACAGTAACATATGACCAAGACAGACTATGTTCCCACCTAGCACAATATTGACAACTTTGACTGCCTCAGTGTAGGTATTTCACAATATCTGCTACCTGATCCTTTTTATGAAAGTTGGAGATGTTTAATCAATAACCATATGCAAATGTTATGCAAATTATTTCAGAATTTGCATCTACACATGTAGATCATCATAAGCAGATTTTAATGCAAACTTATTTTGCCCTCTTTTCCCTTTGGGGAGTCTCATTTGCATACATGCAGATTGACATTGTGTGAATGGGCACTCAGTCAAACGGTAAGAAACGTAAAAGCAGTTAGGGCTTTGAGCTGGAGCTCCTATGCGAAAGGATGACCCTCAGCTTCAGAGCAGACGATGACGAACCAATGAATTTACAGAAATGTCAGGAAGAAGGAGAATGACATAACCAAAACTTATGCAGGGTGTGGGGGGGGGGGAATGGGACTCCTGAACATTACAGTGATAAAATAAGAAAATCATATTTACAGAGATGAATAATGATCAAAGACTGAAGTGAAATCAAACCGCAGAGCAGAGGGAGCGAGAGAAAACAGCAGGGGTGACACAGAGGACAGAGGGGGGGGGCTATATCTTTCCAGACGAACACCCTGAATCAAAGTGAAATGTACAACTAATTCAATCCACCCAAGATGTTTCGGGGGCAGCTCAGATGTGACGTCTCCTGCAAAGTTACTCCAGCTGCTCCACACACCGCCTTGCAATTCTTGCCAGGGAGTGAAGAATGGGCTGGCTGGAAACAAAGGGAAAATAACCCCCAAAGAACCCTCCCATGTCCATATATATCTATCTGTATCTGTATCTGTATCTGTATCTGTATCTGTGTATCTGTATCTGTATCTGTATCTGTATCTGTATCTGTATCTGTATCTGTATCTGTATCTGTATCTGTATCTGTATCTGTATCTGTATCTATATCTACATCTACATCTACATCTACATCTACATCTACATCTACATCTACATCTACATCTACATCTACATCTACATCTACATCTACATCTACATCTACATCTACATCTACATCTACATCTACATCTACATCTACCTCTACCTCTACCTCTACCTCTACCTCTACCTCTACCTCTATCTATATGTAAACGGACCCCTGACATTAGGTCTAGTCGTGGCCGACTCTGGGGTTGCGACGCTCATCTCGCTTTATTGGCCGAGGAATCCGGCGTACAGCTTCCGGGTCATGTGGCCAGCATGACTAAGCCACTTCTGGCGAACCAGAGCAGCGCACGGAAATGCCGTTTACCTTCCCGCCGGAAGGTACCTATTTATCTAGTTGCACTTTGACATGCTTTTGAACTGCTAGGTTGGCAGAAGCAGGGACCGAGCAACGGGAGCTCACCCTGTTGCGGGGATTCGAACCGCCGACCTTCTGATCAGCAAGTCTAGGCTCTGTGGTTTAACTCACAGTTCCACCCATGTCCCATATATATATATATATATATATATATTGCAATAAATAAATAAAACCAAATGACTCAACCAAATGATATTTTAAGGAAGCCATTCTTATTGGAAAGTAAGCCCCATCAAGCACAGCAGGATAGGGCTGGGGCACCTAACCATCATTCCTAACCATAGTCTATGCTGCTAGTGTATGCTTGTAAAACGTGGACCACTTATAAACACCATCTCCAACTTCTTGAAAGATTCCATCAATGGTGTCTCCGAAAAAATTTACACATCACCTGGGAAGACGGGCAAACTAATGCCAGTATCCTGGAAGAAGGAAAGATCACCAGTGTTGAAGCGATGATTCTTCAACATCAACTTCGTTGGACTGGTCATGTTGTGCAGATGCCTGTCTTCCAAAGCAGCTACTCTATTCCGATCTTGAAAATGGAAAGTGTAATGCTTTCAACAAAAGAGAATTAAAGACTCTTTCAAGCCAAATCTTTAAAAATATAGTATAAACACCAACAACTGGGAAACACTGACTTGTGAGTGCTCCAATTGGAGGACAGCCTTTACCAAAGGTGTCGTGGGCTTTGAAGATGCTCAAACTCAGGGTGAGAGGGAGAAACAAACTAAAAGGAAGGCACGTTTGGCAAACCCTCACTGTGATCAATTCCTGTCTGGAAACCTATGTCCCCACTGTGGAAGGACATGTGGATCCAGAACTGGCCTCCACAGTCACTTATGGACTCACTTTTAAAACTGTGTTTATGGAAGACAATCTTACTTGGCTACTAGTGATTGCCAAAGAAGGAAAATTTGCTAGCAATGGCACCATTTCTCTGGGCCAGAAGTATCCTTGCAGTTGTTGTTGCATACATAGTCTTTTCTGCTTCTTTTGTATTTCTGAACCTAAAATTCCTAATAAAAAAGCTTCTGTTTTTTCCACAAAAGTTATTTTAAACATTCCCTCCCAACTCATTATAAATCATTTTCCAATGTGCTTTCGTTATCTTGCACATCCACCACATATGGTAGAATGTGCCCTCTTCAGAGAATCATTGTTTAAGTTCGCTGTGCAGATATTTGTCATATCTTGACACAGAAGGATATATTTTTTAATCGTGGCAGCTAGTGTTACCATTTGATGTGCTAGCTCGACGGCTTGTGCACATAGTGGCTTGCACATGTTGTTGTTGTTTAGTCGTTTAGACGTGTCCAACTCTTTGTGACCCCATGGACCAGAGCACGCCAGGCACTCCTGTCTTCCACTGTGTCCTGCAGTTTGGTCAGACTCACGTTAGTAGCTTCAAGAACACTGTCCAACCATCTCGTCCTCTGTCATCCCCTTCTCCTTGTGCTCTCTATCTTTCCCAACATCAGGGTCTTTTCCAGGGAGTCTTCTCATGAGGTGGCCAAAGTATTGGAGCCTCAGCTTCAGGATCTGTCCTTCCAGTGAGCACTCAGGGCTGATTTCCTTCAGAATAGATAGGTTTGATCTTGCAGTCCATGGGACTCTCAAGAGTCTCCTCCCACTATTTTGCAGTGTGCTCGGAGGGCACTATGCCACCCAACACATGAGTGCTCGGAAGGGTTGGGACTAGCTGGTAGAATCATGCCACACAGACCCCTGGCATAGCTAGGAATATCTGCACAGAGCTGAAGCAGTTACTTCTCAATGTGCACATTCAGGACATGTGGGTAAGCAGTCATCTGCGGCAACTGGTGAGGATTTTAACAGATTGCCACAGCTGAAAGATAGCTGATGGCTCAGGGGAGTGTAGAATGAAGACAACTTCCCACAACACCGGACTCACACCTCTGTAAGTTGCCACTTGGTAAATGGCGTCCATGTGACATAAACTTGTTTGAGAACAACCGTTTCTCACAGCGAGATTCAGAGCCATTAAATCTGCAATCCTAGACACATTTGCCTGGGAGTAAGTCGCATTGCACTCAGTAGGGCTTACTTTTGAGTCGACACATCAAAGAATGTGCTGCAAGACTGGTGTTCTAAACAAATTTATTCTACACCCCACTGAAGACGATGGGACTTACAGTACACTGGAGTCAATGTGCCACAGCTTGCACTGTGAGTCTTGCGACATTCCTCTCCCCCGTTACACGCAGCTTTTGGCAATTTAGTTTTCCTCTTCACACAAAAAAATTATTGCTCACATGATGACAATATAGTCCAATAGTTATTACCTCTGAGGAAAAAATCACCGCTGTTGTTATTTTTTAATAACGGTTATTACCTGACAAAATAATAGCAATGCCATTTCCCCAACGGCGGTGTAATTGTGGCAAATGGTTTTTAAGGAAGCTCACGATGAATGACTGAGAGCCCATCTAAGAGAGTGGAACAAAAGACTCTTTAAAGTACAAAGTAGGTGGGTTTGAAGATTGTCATAGGTAAATATAATATTAATAAGCATTAGGGAAGGCATAAGAATGCAGAAATACCCCAGTGCCAATCTGCAAATCAATAACTCGCCCACACTTTGGTTCCTATGCCCAATTCTAGCTGCCCCAAGTGACAAGGTTTGGAAAAGGCACAGTCATTTCCAATACAAAATGGACCCAATCTGGAAACCCAGCATGCATGTTATTGTGTAGGACAGAGGTTTTCAACCTTTTTGGGTCCATGGCTCCCTTGACCAACTATATTCTTTCTGCAGCACCCCTGTGGGGCTCAGGAGCCAGCAGCCCCTCCCCCCCTTTTGAATACCCTCCCTTATGGAGTGTTCCCTCAGCCTCCTCTCCTCTCCTTGAGAGTCCTCTGGGCAGCCTCAGCTGTCGCCCGTGGTCTGAGCTTCCCCTCTTCCCCAAAGAGAGGTGCCTCCCCACCCTGCCCTACAGGGGCCTGAGAAGCACCCCCTGGCCAGCCCCAGAGGCGCCATTCCCCTGGGGAGCTTGTAGCCAAGGCTGCTGCAACAAACAGCTGTGCAAGCCTTGGGGGGGCAGAGATGTGAGAGGACATCAGAGGAAGGGAGGGAAGGAAAGAGGGACAGAGGCCAATGTTGCCTGTGGCACCCCTGACCATCATTCAAGCCACCACAGGATGCCACAACACACTGGTTGAAAACCATTGGTGTAGGAAGATCTCCCCTTTGACAGTCCTATGACAGTCAATGAGGGGGAAAGCACAGGAGAACTTGGGACCAAGTTTACTGGCATTAATTGTACTACCAGTGTGGTGTCGTGGTTAAGAGCAGTAGACTCGTAATCTGGGGAACCGGGTTCGCGTCTCTGCTCCTCCACATGCAGCTGCTGGGTGATCTTGGGCTAGTCACACTTCTTTGAAGTCTCTCAGCCCCACTCACCTCACAGAGTGTTTGTTGTGGGGGAGGAAGGGAAAAGGAGAATGTTAGCCGCTTTGAGACTCCTTCAGGTAGTGATAAAGCGGGATATCAAATCCAAACTCTTCTTCTACCATCTTCAGATTGTTTACTGGTTGCGTGTCCCATGCGTTGGTCTTTCCATGATTTTTGCCCTGAAGCAATGTCAGACGAAATGGCCTAGAATTGAGCTCAGTGGTGGAGAGATGAAGAGCACACAGCATGAGATAAAAATGTTTCCCACATTGTTCTCTCTCCAGATACATCTATAATGGATGCAACACACTCCAACTGTTCCTGTTTATCGCCTTGGCTGGAAAATATCACTTTCTCTTGTCGATGGATCCTTCAGGTAATTGAATAAAGCTGAATCAATACTTCTTTCATGCACACTCACTCACATGTTTGTGTGGTTATAAATGGAGAAAATTTCTTCCCAGACTTTTTTTCTTGCTCAAGAAACAACAACAACAGTAACAACTATACCACCACCACCACCACCACCACAACAACAACTATACTGCCCTATACCCACAGGTCTCAGGGCAGTTCACAGGATAAAATTACAATATAAAAACCCATTGAGAAAATTAATTTGGCATTTGATTTTAATCAGCTTTGTCATATTGCCTGGAGAAGCATTATTTCCCAAATCCATGTACAGTGGCACCTCGGTTTTCAAACGTAATCCGTTCCGGAAGACCATTCAACTTCCGAAACGTTCGACAACTGGGGCCAATGTGCGGTCGCCAAATTCAACTCAGAAAATTGAGAAATGCGCCTCGGAAGCTGTTCGACTTCCAAGGCACGTTCGAAAACAAAAGCATTTACTTCTGGGTTTTTGGCATTCGAAAACCAAAACGTTCGGCTTCTGAGACGTTCAACAACCGAGGTACCAGTGTAATTTAATATGCACACTAGGGAACAGAAGCCTCATATCTGCTTCAGATGTCACAGAAAGAGCACTAGGTCATCTGCAGGATAGAGTCCATGGTCCGACCACTGTGCACTTCTGCCCCCTATTGCTTTCTTGGAGGTTCCACCCAGCACATACATAACCCATAGAAATCACTATAATCCGATTTGTTCAGAACGTAATGATGTTGTTAAAATATTGCTTTGAAAACACCTGGAAATGTGGCAGCTGAAGCCCCTTCAGATGTGGCGCGGCCGGCCCTACTGTTAGGGAAAATATGGTGGATGCTTCAGGCAGCAGACACTGGAGTGTGTGGAAGGGCAGTGGCAGCAGTCCCTTCTGAGTTAACTTCAGGCATTCTCCTCTGTCGGATGACAGGACAACCCCAAGCAGTTGTAGAGTCCCATGGATTGTGTGAGCAGCTTCAAGGAATGAAAACTGTAGCCCCTCTGTTGAAATTAGAGTGTGTCCAGTGCTGTTTTTTTAGGGGGGGATGGGATGCAGGGGTACACATACTCCTAAACCAGGCATGGCCAAACTTGGCCCTCCAGCTGTTTTGGGACTACAACTCCCATCATCCCTAGCTAACAGGACCTGTGGTCAGAGATGATGGGAATTGTAGTCCCAAAACAGCTGGAGGGCCAAGTTTGGCCATGCCTGCCCTAAACATTTTATGAATCTAACGGTAGAAGAAACAAAAATTTTAAATTTTTTAGTTTCTTCTCTAGCATGATGAATCGTCAGTTCCCTTGCTACCCCTGATAGCGGCCTCATTTCTTGTCATGGTGTTTCCCGAGTCTCAGATGGAAATGAGCGTTTAATGTGTGAAGTAGGAGTTGGAATCTAGCATGGTGATTGGTCAGTTTTTTTGTGTTTACTGTATTTATTTTCCCCGATTTGAACTATAAAATGGTGATTTTCTTGAGTCAAAATGAGAGTACCCCTAAACATTTTTTTAGAAAGAAAAAAAAAAGAGCACTGAGTGTGGCTATTTGCCAGGAATTTCCCAAAGCAGGTTCTAGAATTGTATTGAAGCAAGGCAAAAACAGTTAATTGAGACCTTTGGCACCCCAGTCAACATGGCCAATGGTTAGAAATGACAGAATTTGTACAGCAGCAACTTCTAGAAGGCCAATGATTCTCCTGCCTTGATCTGGAGCAAACTCTCAGAACTATTCCAAAATAAGCATTGCTTTATTTGAATTAAAAGGTAAAGGACCCCTGAATGGTTAAGTCCAGTCAAAGGCAACTATGGGGTTGCAGCGCTCATCTTGCTTTCAGGCTGAGGGAGCCGACATTTGTCCACAGACAGCTTTCTGGGTCATGTGGCCAGCAGGACTAAACAGCTTCTGGCCCAAAGGGACACCGTGACAGAAACCAGAGTGTACGGAAACGCCGTTTACTTGAATTAAGACACTTGGTGGTTTCCATTAGCCATAAGAACACCTATATGTTTTATTTGTTCAACTGAGGCTGAGTACAATACTTTTCGGAGGATCAGACCTTGAACACTTTTGTCTTGCATTACTGAAAAATTATTGGTGATGTGAGTAAAGCACCATTTTTGAGTGCTTTCGGACACATTTGGAAACCACTTTGCCTGAAAGTGTATTGATGGATGTGCTTGGGAGGGTTATATCTTGTTTTAGTCAAGTGGCATTTTTGCTAGATGACGGCTTGCAGTCTGTTTCATAGCAGCCTTTAGACTTGACCCAGCTTCTATTATGTGTCAGTCAAGGTCCAGGCCTCAACCAGACAAATATTCAGTCACCAGTTGCTCCTCAGCTCAGTGGATACGCTCTGTAATTTTCATTCAATTGCTATAATTTGTGTGGAGAAAACCTACATATCTCCAAACTATTTCTATAATGAACTTGAGCATTTTATGGTGATGGTCAAGAATAATAAACAGATATTTTTGAAAGCCTGTTTGGAGAGCTTTCTTGCAGTAATCAGTAAGAATCTCTCATTCCTAAATACTCGTTGCTCTTTTTATAGGACAGCAAAGTTGTCGTTGTGTTGTTGTTTTTTAAGTATTGTAGTTTATTAAACCTTCAGCAGTTGAAGAAATGTGGTGAACTATAAGGAAAACAACCAAGTTAGAAAAGGGGGAAGGAACTTGCATCAGAAAGTTGTGCAACTAAAAATTTATGTGCTGTTACAAATATACATTATTTGGATTCTTCTTTTCCATTCTAAAAAAATGCACCATTCTGCCATCTTGGAAAGGCCAGAATTTGTTTTTTTAACATTCAAATAGCACTACATAGTGACAGCACTACAAAACAATATATTGTATTCATGAAAAGCTGCAAACATTAATACTGTACATGTTCTCTTCTTTATTCTCTTTTAGATAGACAAGGGTATTTGCCATAATTTTCTATGTAAATTGAGGAGCGGTTTTGTTATTTATTTATTTATTATTAATTTCTGTTTGTTTTTTGTTTTTTATTAGTTTTATGTTATGACAATATGCAGCAAAAACATTATATATTAAATATCTTATGTAAAAAAAAAAGCAAAACAAGTGAAATATAAAATAACAGAAGGGGGGGGGGGAGAAAATATATATGAAAAGGAGTGAGGAACAGCATAACAAAACCTCCAGATTGCCATGAATAAATTAACAGGAAAAATATCACCATTTATTTTGTCATTCCAGAAATGCAAAAACAAGACCCACCTCTCAACAAGTTTGTTTTCAGGATTATTAAATATTGTGTTTCTCTCATATGCAAGTTTTATCATTAAGATAGTTTTCCTTAACCAATCAATTATGGTAGGGGATCTTCATTTGTGTGCAATATATACGGTGACCATTTTGCATGGGGGTTCTGTTCCTGTCTGCCCCCCCAAAAAAGTTGATGGAGCGTGCGTAAGCCTGCTGCAAGGGAACTGGTTATGTTCCCTTAAATCCACTTCTGATGTGCAATTTATGTTTTCGAACAGTTAATACTATTGCATAGGCAAGGAAGGAGATGCATTTTGGATCTGGCTGAGTTTCTCGAAGGCGCTCACGTCAAAGCCGCAAAATGCTTAATTCAGCTTTGCAGACCTCGCTGCATCCCAGACTGTATTACTTTTCAACTTCCAGCTGACTTGGTTAACCTTGTCCTTGCGCACGGAAGGGACCTCGCTGTCGTGCTCTGATATAGTGTGAGCTCAGAAAATGCTTGTAACAACTGGCGGGCCTCCAGAACTGTTAATGCGTTTGGCTGTGCTACCTGCTGTGTTTTTGGAAAGTGGGGGAACAGTAAAATGAGGTTACGAAGCACATCCTTTTGCAAACAGCCGGGAAATAGTACTGGTCGAGTGGTTAGGTCACATAGTAGAATCTTTGAAGGCTGTGAGTTCCAACTGTTAATTGGTTCCAAACAGCCCTAATCTATACAGTGAAAATTAGACATATGGATTGGTCTGGCTGCTGAATAGGATCCTAACCGCATGCACCGTTTTTTTATTTTAAAAAGTGTGGGTGTCAACATAAATAATAGAAGTCAGAATGCCTTACAGGCAGGTGGTTCTGCACAGGAATTAGTTTGGACCTGCATTTATGCATTTTGATGAAGATGGTGCTGCCGCTGAGAGATTTGTTTTGTTGTTCCAGAGCACTGCTTCACCCCTTCCCTGAAGCAGTTGGGTTTTATTGTATTTATTATGAATGCAGTGGGCAATACTGGTCTTCTGGCAGCTTATAGTGTAGCCTTATGAGGCTTTGCCCCCGGGTGGGAAAAATATTGCGCCCGGGAAAGGGAAGTGGGAGCCAACAGACACTCAAGGAATAGTTTCGGAGAAAAGGCTTTATTTCTACCATCCATGAACTGGTAGAAGGAGCAAGTGTGATAGTTCACAAAAAGCATGCACGGGTTCACAGTCATGTGCACAGAGCATATATTCCCCTTCCAGTTCCCTCCCCCTTTCTCCTCCTTCTTCCAGAGTCCTGCCCATGAGTTCCTCTGAGCATGAACAGAAAGCTGTCTTGGGACTATTGTGGACTCTTGGCACCCTTCCCAGGAAAGGGGAGTGAGAGAGCAGTTCAGCATGTCCAAGAAGTTGCAACTAGAATGAGATAAGATTCAGTTCTCAGGCCTGCTTTGAACAGAGCCTATACATTAGCTTTTTGAAGCCTTCTCGTGCTGATAAAAGAATAACATTTTGCCTATGTACCAGCATCTTGTGAGAATCCACAGAAAAGCTATAGCTGTGGATTTTTAGAAGACAAAAGGAATTTTGGACAGTTTTGAGGCCTGGTGTGATTATTGAGTGGGGGGGGTGACTTCGGGCCTAGGTGGGGTCACCTGTCCTCACCTTCCTTCAATAGTAGTTTAGTAGTAGTAGTAGTAGTAGTAGTAGTAATAATAATAATAATAATAATAATAATAATATCCCACCCATCAGAGTGGGTTGCCCCAGCTACTCTGGGCGGCTTCCAACAAACAACAACAACAAATTACTTGTACCCCGCCCATCTGGCCGGGCCTCCCCAGCCACTCTCGGTGGCTTCCAACAGAATATTAAAAACACAATAAAAGATCAAACATTAAAAACTTCCCTAAACAGGGCTGCCTTCAGATGTCCTCTAAAAGTCAGACAGTTGTTTATTTCCTTGACATCTGATGGGAGGGTGTTCCACAGGGCGGGCGCCACTACCGAGAAGGCCCTCTGCCTGGTTCTCTGTAACCTCACTTCTCGCAGTGAGGGAACCGCCAGAAGGGCCTCGGCGCTGGACCTCAGTGTAATAAAACATGAAACATTAAAAACGTCCCTAAAAGTTGTATAGTACCAGGACTGCATAGCCTTTCTTCTGATCCCTCAGAGCCTGATATTGTTTTTTTCACATATACACACTATGTATGCTATGCTTACTTTATACTGGGCTGTACCTTAGTTGTAATGAGTGGTGGGCGTGGGTGGGGGAGCTTGCAGAAGACAATAGGGCTGGCCATTTCCCCCCACAATAATTCTAGCACTGATTGGCAGACCTATTTGTATTAGTTGAAATACTTTGTAGAGAATGTGGGAGTTCAGGCTAATGGCAAGAATGCCCAGGCTGCTTAGTGTGACTTCAATAACATTAGTCCTCCTTGAGTGCTAATTTCTGTTTCAAAGTGCACAAAAGAAATGTTAAAACGTTGCCCACGAGAGATCAAACTGATTATGTCAATACGTAATCTGCTAAACAGCCCCTATGTATATTTTTAACTTAGAAGATTGGGAGAACATATCAAACGGAAGCCATTAAATGTGTCCTGAAATACAGAAAATGGCAATAAAATTTCTAGAAAATATTTGCTGCTTTGTACACGTGAAATGGATCTAGGGGGCTTAGTAGACCACAAGCTTAACACGAGTCAATAGTGGGATGCAGCAGCAAAAAACCTCCAACCTAATGCTATTCTAGGAGGCATAGACAGAAGTACAGTGGTGCTTTGGGTTACATACGCTGCAGGTTACAGACTCTGCTAACCCAGAAATAGTACCTCGGGTTAAGAACTTTGCTTCAGGATGAGAACAGAAATCGTGCTCTGGCGGTGCGGCAGCAGCAGGAGGCCCCATTAGCTGAAGTGGTGCTTCAGGTTAAGAACAGTTTCAGGTTAAGAATGGACCTCCGGAATGAATTAAGTACCATATGTTCTAGCGTACAAGACGACTTTTTATCCCTAGAAAATCAGCCCAAAAGTCGGGGGTCGTCTTATAAGCTGGGTATACGCATTGGGAAGGAGGAGAGGGAGCTGGTGAGCAGAGGCGCCCCTTCTGCCATCGCTCCTCCCCCCTCCCCACAGAAGGGGACACAGAAAGTCCTTCCGAGTGTGGCGCTCGCCTGCCCACCCGCCAAACGCCTCGCCTTGGGATGCTGCTGCTGCGATGAAAGAGGCAGCGGAGGGGTGCGCGCTTTGCCCCTGGCGGCGCTCAAACTCTATAACTCTAAAATTGAACAGCAAAAGTTGGGGGGGTCGTCTTATACGCCCAGTCGCCTAATATGCCGGAATCTGCGGTACTTAACCCAAGGTACCACTGTATAATGTCTCTATTCTGCTTTGGTCAGATCACACCTGAAGTGCTGTGTCCAATTCTGGGCACCACAATTTAAGAAAGATTTTGACAAGAATGTGTGCAGAAGAGGGCAACCAAGATGACCAAGGGTCTGGAAACCAAGCCTTATCAGGAACAGTTGAGGGAACTGGCTATGTTTAACCTGGATAGGACACTGAGAGGAAATATGATAGCCACCTTCAGATATCTAAAAGGTTGCCCCATGGAAGATGGAGCAAGCTTGTTTTCTCCTGCTCTGGAGTGTAGGACCTGAACCAACTTTTTCTGCTCACTGTGCTTCTGAAATTATATTATGTATAGCCATATACCGTATTTATTGCTCTGTAAGACTCACTTTTTCCCTCCTAAAAAGTAAGGGGAAATGTGTGTGCGTCTTATGGAGCGAATGCAGGCTGCGCAGCTATCCCAGAAGCCAGAACAGCAAGAGGGATTGCTGCTTTCACTGCACAGCGATCCCTCTTGCTGTTCTGGCTTCTGAGATTCAGAATATTTTTTTTCTTGTTTTCTTCCTCCAAAAACTATGTGCGTCTTATGGTCTGGTGCGTCTTACAGAGCAAAAAATACGGTATTCCAGTCACTTGTAATCAGAAGCAAAAATGTTGTTGCCCCTTTTCTTGGAAACCTCCCTTTTCCTCAAAAAAAGTGTGCACTTTTGTGAGTCTCCCTGAGAATGTTTTAAAAACACCTCCTTTGCCCAGCCCTTGTAATAATAACAGTGTGGGATTCTCTCTCTCTCTCTCTCTCAAGGCTTGAGACAGTTCCCAACCTTGGGACAAGCCTTTTTCCAAGGTGTGAGAAACTGGCGCAGGCTGAAGCAACCTTCTTCAGCTTGCTCACCAATTACCCTGAGCACAGGTGCATGTGCCTGTGTGAAAGAAGGTACCCTTGTTGATGTGTATAGCTCAGCTGGTGTGTACGCAGACTGTCCACTAACTGAAGGCTGCACGTGAATCCAAGTGCAAGAGTACAGCTCCACTATTTGTGCAGCTCAACATAGCAGGAGCTGGTGTTTGTCCACAGACAACTTTCCAGGTCATGTGGCCAGCGTGACTAAGCCAACACGGAACACCGTGACGGAAACCAGAGCAACGCACGGAAATGCCGTTTACCTTCCCGCCGCAACTATACCTATTTATCTACTTGCACTGGTGTGCTTTCGAACTGCTAGGTTGGCAGGAGCTGGGACAGAGCAATGGGAGCTCACCCCGTCGTGGGGATTCGAACAGCCGACCTTCCGATCGGCAAGCCCAAGAGGCTCAGTAGTTTGGTCCCTGGCCCCACCTGAATGGTGCAGCAAGACATTTAAAAGAATGATGCAGCAGGGAGCGTTGCACCATTTGGGTTTCAATCCAGCAGCATCGCATCGGTGCTAGTAGGAGATGCTTAAAAGTCCTCAAGCACTCCAACAAGCTGATTTTAAATTCCTCAAAGAAGAAACGGAGACGCCAACCACTGATCAGTTATAAGATTTTTTCTTTTTAGAATTCAAGCTTACACAGTAATCTATGCCCACTATAGTCATAATTACATATTAATATCTGCATACAAAAGCTATGTAAAAATTATATTCTTCCCCCAAATATACAAATTTTCTCTTCAGATAGTTTAAAACATTTGTGATCACATATTTTAATATAGCTTAGGCTGAAAAAATATTACCCATCTAGCATATCACTTAACACTGTTTGGAAAACAGAACAGAACAGAACAAAACAAAACATTTTTTTTTAATAATAAAAAAAGATCCTATTCCAGAATTCTCCGTCTTTCAAATAAATTCATGTAACTTCAAACAGCCTCAGGGCATGACTCCAAAACACAGAAAGGGCAACTCTAAAACCCACCAGAATCTTTCCTAATTTTATTTTGTAAAGAATATAGTATTATATTGGGGGGAATGAAGCCATTTTGAGGAATTTAAAATTAAGAACATAAAGAAACAAGAGGGGAAATTACTCATTCATGCCCTGATATGATCTTATCCAACACTAGTGTAATTAAATAAAGTGTCTTTTTAATGTTTAACATTGTGCTCAGTAATTTACATCAATTCAATCCACACCGCGATGTAGATTTACATTTGATTGTCTTGTGCATAAATAAGGGTTCGCTTTTAAAAGTTAGGTAAACTGTGCAAATAGACAGTCACAAACAGCTTATTACTTGCACAATATTGCTTTTGAAGGCGACATCGTTGAATGTGGATCAATACACACAAGCAATGCAGACTCTCTTTGCATTTGCTAACATTTATACAACACAGTAAAAACTTTGTGAGAAAAGGCCATACCTTTTTTGTCATTGTGATTTTTTAAACTTTATTTTTTTAAAAAGCAACATTATTTTTGTTTTTAAAATAAATGTGCTCGCTTTGTTTTAAATATTTTACGTGGAAAATAAACCTCTACCGCTCTAGGATATCGTGTCTCTATAAAAATTTATATAAGGGTCATATCGTAGTAGTATCAAAAGGGAGTATCTGATAAATCTAGTTATTTGAATAAAGTTACAATAATAACAGGACAAACCAAAACTTCTCGCATAGGTCTTTGCTGTCTCCAGAGTTGCAAAAAGGCAGGCGAAGAAAACTTGCTTGTTAACGTAGCACATCTCAGGGCACAGTGTCTTTGCAATGTTTGTCTCCCAAACCTCTCAACGACCGTGCGAGGCAAGGGGCAATTCTGGAATATAAGGCTGAGAGACAAGTGACTTGCCCAAGGTCACCCAGTAGGTCCTTAGCAGAGCGGGAAAATGTTGGTGAACCAAACAGTCTAAAATTCTTATCACCTAGATGAGGGACCGAGAAACTTCAGCCTTTCGCTTGTGGATGGACTCCAGCTCCCATTGTTCTTGACCACTGGCTGTGCTCTCTGAGGCTACTGGGAGCTGGAGTCCGTGAACGTCAGGAAAGCCAAAGATTCCCCAGCCCTGACCTAGACCAAACTGACTTTTTCAAACAAAGCAAAAAATGGATGCGTCTTCCCTGGTTTTGATTCTCATTGCTGACAGTGGGGGAAAGGGTTAGCCTTGCAAGCTATTTCTGAAAACCATAAGACTGGTTGGTTTTGCTTATGATTTATGCAGCGAGAAGAAGTCCGTATGACACCTACAAGTTAAGAGTTCCATAGCATAAAGATAACATCACTAGCAATGACACGCTCCTCTTGCAGTCAGTAGCTTTGTCCAGGCAGATTCCGGAAGAGTAATCTTCCTTCCAATCCCGTTTTGATTTTGCTTCTCCTTTTCTGTGCTCCGCTCTGCGATGGAGTGATTATTTAGCACAAAGATAAAATCACAAATGTCCAATGTCTAAATTCCGACATCTGTATTTTGGCACAGTGTTGTTACTTTTAAGAAACTGCTATCTCACCATATAAATACATTGTCAAGAAATTACAGAACTCAGTTGCAACACAAACCCAGTGCAGCTTAAACATCTGTTTGTTTAGAGCAAGAAATAGTAAAGATGACACTTTTTTTTTAATAAGGAGTTTTTTTTCATATAGAGAACACTCCACTTGCTACTATACCTAGAGCAGAAAGCAAAATTGAGAGCCATGTGGCACTGTCAACAAGCAGAAATAAACGCTGTGCAGTGTAAAAAATCATCTTTGTTGTGTTCTGCCAAAAGGCTCAATCCACACAGAAAAAAATACTGGGTGTAGGATTTGCCACTATGAGTAGTCGGTTCTGAAATCTACCCAAGACGCTGGCCATGATTTGACAAAACCTTATAGTTTACCAACCTTGGCAGGACTGAGGACTATGTTCATTTTTTAAAAAAATACCCCACACATATTTAAACAAACTAAGGACTCAAACATAGGTCCCAATTCTGCTCTCTCTCCCTGGTGTAAATGAACAGTGAAATCGCTGAAAAGCCTGTGGAGCTACAAATGTAAAAAACCAGAGTGACTGAAATAAGGATTTAACACCCTTACATTTTGCTAGACCGTCTCCGAAGTACAAAATGGCTATTGAGTTGTGACTGATGACTTGATGGTAACTTAGTGAATTGGGCTGCACTTACCTAGTGAGTCCCATTGAATTAAGTAGGACTTACTTCTGAGTAGACATGCTTAAGAGTTGCAGCCTTAAGTGTCTCTGAAGCATAGTGTGCATTGCTAACCAACTACCACTTAACATTTTTGTCTAAAAGGTGCTTTAGAATACTGAGTAATAAAGAACTAGTGACCTATGATGTTGGACAGTAGTCCTAAAGTGCCACCTGCAGCTCTGTGCCTCCCGTTCTCATCCATGATGGGAAATGCTTCATATGAACAGAGAGATTCCTTGTTGCAAATGGCGGAAAGGGTGTTCCTCAGCCCTTAGAAAACAATGGGAAAGTTGTGGAGCTGGATGTGCAATGGGGCCAGTTGGCTGGGCTGGAAGGCTTCTTCTCTCTGGCAGAAGATGCTTTTCCTCCACTGCAAAGGAACCTTTGGGTACATCCCTTCAGTGTGTGATGATTATTTTTGTTTGGAGAAAGTATTAAAAGTCAGATTGGGACTTTGGGCCAGAGTAGGTGAGCCCCAGTGCTTTTCCTGGTAAAAAAATGTTCAGCGGTACTCTCATTTTGACTCAAGAAAATCACCATTTTATAGTTCAAATCGGGAAAAATAAATACAGTAATTGGACAAAAGTACAAAGGTTCACAAAACGTTTAGGGGTATGCGTACCCCTGCGTACTGCCAGGAAAAAAGCACTGGTGAGCCCCATAAATTGATGTTCCTTATCTTTCAGGCTGTAAGCCTGTACCTACTTGACATAAGAGCAGGGGCCACCAAACTGAATGGGACTTGCTGGCGAGTAAACATGCATATGATTTCAGCATTAATTTATTAGTGGGCTGGGAGGGGCTGGAAGGCAGAAAATGTGAGCAGGGTCACGTTTTACCCTGCACCCTGACCTAAAACTGGCTACCCACAAGCCGCTGCTTGCTTATGGAAAATGTGCATACTGTACAGTAAAACCTCGGTTGTCGAACGTATTCCATTCCGGAATTCCGTTTGGCTTCCGAAACATTCAACAACCGAGGCGTGGCTTCCGGTTGGCTGCAAGAGCTTCTTGCACTCAAGCGGGAGCCGCGACGGATGTTCGGCTTCCGAAAAATGTTAAAAAACCAGAACACTTACTTCTGAGTTTTTGGCGTTCGGGAGCCGAAACGTCTGATAATGGAGGTGTTCGGGAACCGAGGTTTGACTGTCCTAATATATTTTCCCTTATTGCCCACTAGGACGAAGAGGGTGAAAGGCAGGAAGCCAGCAGTAGGCAGAGCAAGAGCCAATGACAGGTGGAGCCAACTAATTTTGGTTTTGTCCCCATCCTCCTCCCTGCTGACTCTCCCTACAAGGCGGACTTGTAGGAGCCTAAGGTGGAGGAAGCAAGTAGCCGAGACCAGCCCCTGGACCGGTTGTAAGACAGAAGACATGAGGTCTTCTTGGAGGAACTGAGATTGATGGGGCAGACGTCCCATTTGGTAATGGAGCAGCTTCCATGGCTAATGGCTCAAGCAAGAACTGGGAACTGGGATTTTGATCAAGAAAATGCCAAATGGTTCTCATCTTATTACCCTGGGGCTACTTTTAAAAGATGGGAAGGGAGACAGTTGTCTTTGTGTGTCTGGGGCGCTGAAGCCTTTCAAGAAAAACAGCTCTTGACTAAATGGCTTTAAGGATGCACCCAGACCCAACAGCCTTGCCATATTTCATTTCACGTTACTCATTTGTTCCCTATTAATCCAGTTTTAAAATTTACATGTTTCCTCCGCATGCAGGGTTCTCTGAATTGGGGACTCGAGTCTTCGAAATTTATATTAAGCAACACTGAATTCAGATAATTATGCCACACATTCCCCACATGCGCTTGATGATATGTGCTGAGAAATGGGAAGAAACAGGGAAACTTCCAAGACAGGACTGTGAAGTGCCTGCATTTCTGATATCATCAACTGCCCAGTTTAGCATCTGCTAAAAGAATTTGGCAAGGCCAAGGAGGAGTTGGGGCATCACGATGGAAATTCAGCATAAATGCTTGGTTCTGTAGGGTTAGGGAGGGTACAAGTCCTATGGCCAAATTTGGCCCTCCAGATGTTTTAGGACTACAATACCCATCATCCCTGACCACTGGTCCTGTGTGCTAGGGATCATGGGACTTGTAGTCCCAAAACATCTGGAGGGCCAAGTATGGCCATGCCTGATGTACCAATCATGGGTGGCTTTCCGCTTTACTAACAGTGCAATGCTATACATGTCTACTCAAAAGTAAGTCCTATTGCATTCAGTGGGGCTTACTCCAGGTAACTGGGCACAGGATTGCAGCCTGAGGTTATGTTTTGTATAAAATATGCCAGGAAAGGTTTACAGACCATGGGAGGCAATAATCATGAGGAAGTTATCAGCAACCCATGGTCTGGAGGACACCTTAAGTACTCCTCACCCACATCCATTTCCATAGTCCTTGCAAGCAAGATGGATGTTTGTGTAGATTGAACTGCAGCACTTTCAAACTCCATTTATCTCCTTATTAAGTAAGCTGACGAGGGCCAGTTCCAACTTGCGATGTATTTGCCTGTAATATTTGTAAAGCAGGTATTTGACAAGACACATTTATCTGGGCAGATGGTTGATCTATTTTGAATTTGTTCATCTTTTGGAGAAAAAAAAATTCCCTGAGTTGATCCAATTGAATTTTTGGATAAGCATTTTCAAATGACTTAAGCTGGTGAAAGAGACCAGATGAAGCTTACTTTGAAACTTTGCATATTCTTCCGCTAGCAGAAGCTTGTGAAACAAAAGGCATCACAAAAGCTAGCAATTGTCTCTTTTATGGCAACAACCGTCCCCCTGGAGACAGGTGATATTAGGTTCTGTAGACATATCTGGCACCCGAGAGAATAAACACTTTCCACTATGGATGTGGTTTATTACTCTTGCAGTAATAACTTTTGTAATGACTTTTGTTTTGCAGTAGTTAAAAAACAAAAGGAGTCAACATGATGCCTTTGTTTCTTCTGTGACTGTTTAGGAGCCTCTCATCCCCCCCCCCCCATTCATATAGACTGTGAAAAATATATACGGCATGTTTAGGCATTTGCTAACATGGATCACAACCTAACCTAAGTCATTGAAATCAGTGAGTTTAAGCACACCTAACTCTGTACTGGATTGCGGGGCCATGGACTTGATGTCCACTACGTGATGACACAGTTTGGTGCATGAGCACTCAAAAGACTTCCTTTGCTAATGGAATGAAGCATGGCTGAAAAGAACTCTACCGTTCTCGTTTTGTCCACAGTGAAAGTCTTCCTGAGTACAGAATTTTTCCAGAGTATACAATGGTGCTCTGGGTCTAGACTTCTAGCGATTGTTCTGGGCCAACATGGCTCCCAAGGGTTTGTGGAATTGTCTTCTTCTTGCAACAGAAGACGTAACACATGCTGCTTCTGGAACTGATGTTGATTGATTGCCAAAGCAGTTTGCTATGTGGCGTGGGAACTGCTGTTTCAGAAGTCCAGGCACTAAGCCCTGCTGGCTGCGGCACGGACTAGATTCACGTTTCCTGGGGTCCTTGCCCCGGGTTACAGTCACTATGAGAGTGATTGTAGACAGGCAGTGAAAGGGTCTATCGCCTTTGTTACTTACTGATATGTGAATGCACAGGGTAGTATGGAAGGATTCAAAAAGCGTACTTTGAGAATAAGCCTAACAGGGAAATGAAAAGAAAAGGGGGGGAAAGGGAAGGGCTTGCCTGATGCATCATGTAAAAAATGAGAGCAGTTCACAGCAAATAAGTTAGATGTACCAGGAACTGCATTTCTGGTCTGTTTAAATATCACCATCAGAACAGCCCCACATGCACTGATTCTGGATTAACAGAATACAGCAGCAGAAGAGCTTGTCCTGCACAGTTTGGTACTAATCTATCAGAGGAAAAGAATTGTTTTCAGGGAAGGGGGAGAAAAAAGGAAAATCAAGTCTAAAATGCAACCCATTATCTTAACTAGGGAAAAGGATGAAGTATAAAGGGCTTGGTTGGCGTAACTTTTAAAGCTGTTTTCCCTTTATGGTCAGTTTTATACAGATTTCTATATAAGGAGAGACAGTAGTCATTTCAAATACTCTGTGGTCACATCTATACCACACATTAAAAGCACACGGCTTTCCCCAAAGTATCCTGGAAGTGAAATTTACCTCTTGCAGAGCTGCAATTCCTAGCACGCTTAACAAACTACAGTTCCCAGGATTCTTCAGAGGAAGCCACGTGGATTAAATACACGGTGTGGATGTGACTCGTGAATTTAGCCCACCCCTGCAAATGATTTTTGAATCTGGGTCTCAGAAAAGCATTCAGACAACCCATTTTCACCTCAAGATTCCACCCACAATGTCAAAAAGGCCACTAGGAATGGATAGCAAGTCCCTACTGTGGTTGTGGGAATGGTCATTAAATTGCTAGAATGAAGTTGTAGAGTCTTAAGTACAAATATAACAAATGCATTTGTACTTTAGGGCTATGTCAATTTCTCTTGCCTGCGTTTCCGGGAGTAGCCAACATGGCCCCTTCTAGATGTCACGGACTCCAGTTCCCATCATCCCTGACCAGTGGCCATGTTTGCTGGGGCTGATGAGAGTTGTGATCCACAACAACTGGGTGCCACCATGTGGGCTGCCCCTGATTTATATGCTTGAGCTTTCAGAGCAATTCTGACTCTTCCTTTAAATTCTCCCAATCCAGAGTCGCAGAAGTCATCAGACATGCGGAAAGTGCTTGCGCACACTCAGAAATGCCTTATTCAAATCTTGTGTGTGCCTATGGGTTTTCTGCATCTATAGAAATTAATGAGGTAGCCCTTGCAGCGGTGATGGGGAAGCTGTGCTCTCCATTTGCCGCTGGGTGCCAACTCCTATCAGCTCCAGCCACCATGGCCAAGGGTCTTCGGGAGGACAACCACAAGTTCCCCATCCTCATTTTACAGGGGGATATTTTTGGTGTGCCTATCAGAGTTCCTGCACTCATAAGAAATGAATGGATCAAGCCCAAAACTATCAGGTTTCTCCAGCTCCTCCCTAAAAGCCTGGATGATTAATACAGTCGTACCTTGGTTGTCGAACAGAATCCGTTCCAGAAGTCCATTCGACTTCCAGAAATGTTTGAAAACCAAGGCACGGCTTCCGATTAATAATAATAATAATAATAATAATTTATTATTTATACCCCGCCCATCTGGGGTATAAATTGGCTGCAGGAGCTTCCTGCACTCAATCAGAAGCTGCAGAAGCCCCGTCGGACGTTCAGGTTCCAAAGAACGTTTGCAAACCGGAATACTCACTTCCGTCCGGGTTTGCGGCGTTTGGGAGCCAAAACATTTGAGAACTAAGCTGTTCGAAAACCAGGGTACGACCATATAGCAATTTCCCCTATTTAGCAACATGAAGCCAAATTTGTTTTAGAAGACTTGGGGCAATGTAGGTTCCAAATGTCAGTTCTTATTCTAGCAGGTGTGACTTTCATTCACACATCCCAATAAAATATGGAAAATAGAAACAAACGAAGGACTTTCTGCACTTTTTGGAGCACTGACCTACTAGGTTTTTTTTTAAAGGATTTAAAAATACAAAAGGTTTTATTTATTTACTTGTAAGATACCCATTCTGATCTCAAAGCAATGATGGCAATTATGGAAGTCTTTGGCTAAATTAAGATGCACTCTCTTAAGAACTACTAAAAACCATGGTTGCAATCAGGTGAAAGTTAGGCATGGTTAAGTCCTATCGATTTCAGCTGGTACTTAGGTGAGCCTAACACTTTCTAGATTGTAGCAAATACCTCGTGTCCTGAAAGTGAGATAATACTGTACAAAATATGGCAGAATTAAAAAATATAAAGATCTGAGTATCTATTTGTTTCCCTACTAGTTCGGCTTATTTCCCACCTCTCTCCAAGCAGTGATGAGTGTGAGCTTATGAGCACCTGAATGCTGGTGAATGAAACGGATTCATTTGTATTCCCAATGTCAAACTTTCAAAGGATTCACATCAAAAGGACACACACACACACACACACACAAATGCAATTGTCACAAGTACCCGCATTGAAGGGAGATCGTCAATCGTGCCTATCAAAAATAATCCTCCAAACAAAAAACAAGGTGGAACAAAATGGAAATGGACAAAAAAAAAGAGAGAGAGAAAATACTAGGCAATGGAATGAAATGACAGACACCCAGTAGTGCTATAGGATTTTCGAGAACCTCTCCAGTCTTTTTAATCCTCAAAAACTTCCAGGAACAAAGGGGGAAAGAGTTCTGTTGGGCATTCCACCTTCATGTGCAGGAAGCGGCTAGCATGACAGGCGCCAATCATTCGTAGGTCCGTCACTTTCATCAGCAGTTTTGGCCAAAAGTGTGCAATGTGATGCTTTCTGTAATTAATGTAGTGTTCAAATGCCAGGAGGAAGCCCTCTTGGCACTTTTCTATTCTCTCGACGCTGACAAGACCCGGACGATCTGCGTAATTTAGACGAAAGGCATAAGTTATTTCCTTACATCCACCCAGGACTACTTAAACAGTACCTTCTGCAGAGCTCAGTCAAATTTTAAGGAATTGATATTGCTCAGTGACAGGTTCCCACAGTATTTCCCAATGCAAGTCGATCCTGACACAGCTTCCCTGAGGCTTCAGAGAACCAGTGTAAGGTAGTGGGTTGTCTCTTGGGCAAAACATAGGGCTAGAACATGGGAGCAGTTGCCAATTGAGAATTTTACCTTATATGTTTTGGTAAAACAATACAGTGGTACTTTGGTTTTCGAACGTAATCTGTTCTGGAAGACCGTTCGAGTTCCGAAACATTTGAAAACAGCCGACAGCTAGGCCTCCAGATCTTGGACTCAGCAGAAGCTGCGTGGCATGTTTGACTTCTGAGACACGTTCGAAAATGGAAGTACGGTATTTACTTCTGGGTTTATGGCGTCCGAAAACCGAAATGTTCGACTTCTGAGATGTTCGAAAACCAAGGTACCACTGTATATGTGAGCACTAGGCTTAATTTTGCTCTCCCCATATTTATTTCCCTAGAGAAGTACTCTAGGAAGCCAGTGTGGTGTAGTGGCCAGAGTGTAAATTACTAAACTATTTTCATACTCACCTGAAGACATCAGCAGTACCGCCTGTAGGAGAGCGACTTCCGTGTCATCTAGGTTGAATGATGACAATGACATGCCCAGGTCAAAAATGGCATCTGATACAACTCCAAGACCCCCATTTTTCAGCTGGCCCCTGGTCACCGCCATCTCTCCATTCAGGGTCAAAGTCTCGCTCTCGGGGTCATAGCGAACTGCTGCTCTGAGGGACATAATCTCCATGCAACAACCTTTCAGAAGGATGATCTGGTCTTCACATGGCAGCTGCGGAGAATGGCAAGTGAGACTCAGTTTTCCTGCACTTAAGTGAAAGGCCTTCTCCAAACGCTAAAAAGTAAAATAAATATTGGCACCACCCTTGTATGCAGTTTCCTTTCATTCCTTCCCTTTATCACTTCCTTTGAAGTGATCACTAAAACTTGCTGAGAGAGTATTCTTAATAATGTCATCCACATGCCACCTTCAAAGAAGTCATTGTCATTTTTCACCCTTCACTGAGACTTGGGGATTACTGGAGAGTCCCAAGGTGGGATATGTATACATTCAAAGCAGTTTAATTTATTATTACTATTTTGATGATGATGATTGTATAATTAATAAATCACTATCTATTATAGTAATATTATTGCAATGTGTCATACTTGGGGCTGCTTTTGAAAACGGCAGCTCATTCAGAAATCAGCAGAATTCATATTATACCAAATCTGGCACAACTGCACTAGCTACCGTTTAGTCTCTTAAGCCCAATTCAAAATGTTGGTTTTGACCCATAAAGTCTTAGGTGGCTCAGGACCTCAACAACTGCCTCTCCCCACATAAACCAGCCTGGAACCTGCGATGATCATCGGAGGTCCTTCTCTGTGTGCCTCACCTGAGGGACATGAGAAATGGCCTTCTCAGTGGTGGTTCCTCACTTCTGGAACATTCTCCCCCGGGAAGCACAACTGGTGCCATCTTTGTCTGGTTTTAGGTGCCAGGCAAAAACATTTGCATTTAGGAAGGCCTTCAGTCCTTAATTGAGAGGGTAACTAGTTATGTTGCCTGCCTCCTTATTGGGCTCATCCTTTGATGTGAGGTGGGTAGGATATGCATCTTTTATATATATTTCTGGATTTGCACTTTAAATCTTGTTTTACTGCTGCTGTTATAATTGGTTTTAATGTTGCTTGCTACTTTTATTATTATGATGTAGGTTGCTTTGAGGCACTTTGGTGTAAAAAGCTAACAATAATAATAGTAATTAATAATAATGTGAATGACCCAGCAATGGTACATACTTGTGTTATACAACTGCTATAACCATCTTTGTCCCCCACAAAACCTTCAGCCCATTGGCCAACGAAAATTCGAACCCTTCAGGGTAGGAGGCCTTCTTGTTATTAGTTCTGTAGCACTATTAAATCACCCGTAGTCCATAACATAAAGTAGTTATGGAAACAAAAATCTGTTCCATTTTGGCTTCAGTTATTAAGTTATTTTATTTTTAAGTCAAGTTGAGAGGTGTGTGTGTGTGTGTGTGTGTGTGTGTGTCTGTCTGTGGGGTTGGGAATCGTTATTTATAGTACTGACACTGTGATTACATTTAATCTCGACAAAAAAGAACCTTCTGAGTGGACGAAGGGATCATGGCTTAGCAGAAGTGAAAGCAATGTTCCAGGGGCCGAATGGTTTTTGAAAAATGTAGTCTGCCGGCAAAGGTAAATTGACACTTGATTGTAATGTCAGCTTTTCCCCGCCTCAGCTGCCAGCTTTAAGTGCAGAGTATTTGACTCATAGGGAGAGTGACTGATGCTACTACTAAGAGGAAGGCATGCTTGGCAAATCCACACCGTGATCAACTCCCGCCTGGAAACCAATGTCCCCACTGTGGAAGGATGTGTGGATCCAGAATTGGCCTCCACAGTCACTTACGGACTCATTGTTAAAACCGTGTTTATAGAACACTATCTTACTTGGCTATGAGTGATCGCCAAAGGAGAAGCACTCAGTCAGGTTTCCCTACATCAGCTTCAATAGTTTACACAGGTCAGGGAAAATGGGAAGTGATGTTTCATAACCAAAAAGAAGGGCGGGGGGCAAGAAAAGCAGAGAGAGGAAAATGAGGGCTAAAATATATTCTAATTATCCAAAATAAACATGGTTAGTTTAATAATTTTGAAACAAGCACATTCCCTTTGAGACTCATTTGGCACTTGCATGGTGTCGCAGAGTTTTGCTATCAGCTGTGAAGTATTCTGAAGTTTGGACAAGAGGGTGAATTGGGGCAGAGCGAATGGCTTAAGGGCAGCGGGAAAGCTGTGCCAGCCACATCTTTTGTTCGGGGAAATTACATGAAAGTGGCCCAGAATGGCCAAACTCACTTGGAATAGGGAAGCCATTTGCACGAAGTGTTATCCTCCCTCTCTTTCACTACAGCTAAGGATGATCTGAGATCTGTGTATGAAAGGAACAACTAAAAAATGTTCTGGAACAGATAAAGGGACACACAAGAGAGAGTGAGAGAGACAAGAGGGTGTTTTCACACACGGGTGATTCAGCATCACCCGATAATTTTGTTCTGCTCTAAACTGGAAGCTGAAAAATGAACTAGCCCATTCCCTGGGCAAGTCTCCCTTTCTCCAGTCCCAACAGTTGAGAGATGAGGGTGAGGATTTTTCAGTGGAACAACTGTGTTTTTGAGGAAAAGGTTAATCCACTCTTCTTCCTCCCTGCTGCACTTCCAATCGTAGCACTTTGGATTAATCCATGTTGTGAAGTTATCCCTCTGGTTAAAGATCTGTTTTCATCTATTTGTAATTTCCTCAAATGCCATTATTGGAAGACAATCCATCATATTTATATGCATGGAAAAGTGACTTAGGGAGTCTATGGAAGACAATGGAGATTTTCCTGGAGATAAGCTGGAGATCGTTTTCTTTTTATTAATCAGTGCTACTAAGGAGACTATAAAGGACACACAATACAAAGTTCTCAGTATGTTGTACATGACCCCTGCAGTACTTCAACGGATATGCCCAACTATAGTTAGTACACTGGTCAGATTGGTTTATGATTTCACCTTTGATGGGAGCAGTGTTAGTGCCTTAAACAGTGTAAGAGTTCAGGAATACATTCCAGATGACATCCAGGAATTTTGCCACATTGGGCCACAGGTAGCTACCCCAGCTATGCTATGTGATCACTTTGAATCTATAAACTCTGTATTTCTGCATAAAGGCCTTCTTAAGTAATCGTATCCAGGGGCAAAGTTGTGTATAGCACATAACGGGAAGTCTCCCAAGAAACTATATAAAAAGCAGTGCATTAATAAAATTCCCACCCTGGGCTCCTTGGAGACTAAAGACAGGGACTTAATTAATTAATTAAAATTGGGAGATGATGGTTACATACAATCTTACTCAGAATGTGCAGCAAGCAAGGGATATATATATATATATAGATATATATATATCTCAAAACCATGGTTTCTCTTTACTTCCTAGGTGGAAGCCCATCAAATCTTTTGATCAAATCTGAATCAACTGACAGGTACCTATATTTTTGTTTCTATGATATACAGTATGTAACTTAGATATGATATAGTTAGTGAGCTAGATATCTCACAGGCATGATATAATGAGATAGTTATATGTAAGTTTATTAATTCCTAGTTCTTGTTGTAGTGTTGTGTGTATACTTTGTTGTCTGTGTTGTAACTCTTATCTCAAAATAAAATAAAATTCCATCTCAAGCTGTTTTTAGGGGGGGTAAACAAAGTTCACATTTACATGCAAAATAAGTAAATAAATAAAGGAGAAGGAAAGTAAAAAGAGAGAGGTTAAACTGGAAAGAAATCCGTACCTCACAGAACATAGGCAACTTTTTGGCAAAATCCACCACTCTTGTGATTGCTGGTGTGATAATTTTTGTAAACTGGCTGAAGGCTTCTAAATCTACTTTCCCGCCTTCTGGGGCATTTACTATTGGTGCTTGTCCAATATCCTCTGGCTAACAACAGAAAAGAAAAACATTGTAAGGAGACAATTTATTTGCAGCGGACATGGAATCTTCTTAAACTTTTGTGGAGCGCTGGCAGTTCAAACCCATCACTTCTTCTGTTTTGTTTGTAAGAAAGCCCTGTTGCTATTATTTAGGCAAAATTAACTTTTGTATTCAAAAGAAGCCACTGTCTAAGACAAACTCTTGTATGCATAAGATTCTGACATGCCACTACTCATTTGTGTAGGCAGCTCAGTGCTTTGCAAATGTAGCTACCTATTCTTGTCTATTTATGTTATCTTGTGGAAGCCATTTAGCTGTTCACCCCGAAACCCTAAAGCGAGTGTTGTTTCTCAGTCCCACCTAGGAAAACTTATCTTCCCCTGAAATCCAAAAGGAAGAGAAGTTCTTCGGCATTAAATTTGTCAGAGGAGGGGAATTTCTGACCTTTCCTATAATTTGTTGTCGTTTACTAAAGGGACAGTGAGGCTTCACCAAAGTTCATAATAGCCAAAAGCTATTCCTATAGCTGTGCTAACCTGACAGGGTAAGAAAAACAGACAGGATAGGAACCAACACAGGTTATATTCTGTCAACAGTTGATCACTTGGTTTGAGGGGTGAAGCTAAGTTCAGGAATTCAGGTCAAAGAGGCTAACGTTAAATATGCATTCTGTTTCCTATCACTGAGTTGACGTTTGTATGCTTTGCCCAATACATGTTGTTGTTGTTTAGTCGTGTCCGACTCTTCATGACCCCGTGGACCAGAGCACGCCAGGCACTCCTGTCTTCCACATGGGAATTTCAACCACAAATATTTTCCACTACAGTGGTACCTTGGAAGTTGAACAGAATCCATTCCGGAAGTCCATTCGACTTCCAAAACGTTCGGAAACCAAGTCACGGCTTCCGATTGGCTGCAGGAAGCTCCTGCAGCCAATCCGAAGCTGCGGAAGTCACGCCAGACATTTGTGTTCCAAAGAACGCTCACAAACCGGAACACTCGCGTCCAAGTTTGCGGCATTCGGGAGCCAAAACGTTCGACTCGCAAGGCTTTCGGGAGCCAAGGTGTGACTGTATTAGGAAACAAAACGGTATTCTAAAGCTGTAACTAAGTAAAAATGACAAATAGGAGCAAGTAGGACCTGCAACAAAATGTTGCAGCATGTTCAGGTTCCCTGCCACTCCATTCTAATATCACCACCTGTTTTCTATTCCCTGCTCCCACAGGGACTCAGCATGCTCACTGCTCAGTGAAGTGTTTTGGCTTTTGCCATTACATCCTCCTAACCCTACAATCTCTAGGAACTAGGAGCATGTCTGAAGGTGGGAGAGGACTTCCAAAAAAACTGTGCGGCCAGGGTTCCCTCTCACCGGAAAGCCTATGCATGACAAGCAGGCTTCTCCTCTGCAGCCATGCCCTGTGTGGACATGGTGTGGGGCTTGGGCTGGCTGGGATATGATGCGATGCTGAGAGCAGGGCCAGCACCCAGCGCCTGGTTTTCACTTCACATGATGATGGGATGGATGAATCTGGCAATTCTGGGTTCTCGCATTTTAGTTCTCTACATTATTTTCCATTTTATATAAAAAAAAATCCTCAGTATTTTATTGAGAATTTCTCCCATTAAACACACTTTTTTTCTATGTGATTTTGTCAAATATACATCTTTGCAAAAAAAACCACCAGAACCCTAATGGAATGCATTTTTGTATGTTATTTTCACTAGTATATGCTGTATATGCACATTTTACCCCAATGCAGTTTTTAACACATTTGCTGGACTGGAGAACTACAAAATTTTGGGGGAAATTGAATTACAAAGGATTGCTGTGTTTCAGTTCACACATTGTTTCGATAAAAGTGCAAGTTTGGTAAGTTCTGCTTTCCCGCTCGCTTCAAACGTCAGGGAAAACTGTGCACACAACACACCAGAACCTCATTAGAATCACATAAATGCAGGGAAATCGTTCTTACTTTTCATGTTAAGCATTTATAACCAACTTTTCAATTTTAACAAATTCCCAAAGCAGTAACAAAGACCATCCATACTTACCGTATATACTCGAGTATAAGCTGACTTTTTCAGCACATTTTTAATGCTGAAAAAGCCCCCTCGGCTTATACTCGAGGCGGGTGGCGGCGGCGGAGGGACGAGCGGCCCGAAAGGAGACCTTTCAGGCTGCTTGTTCTTCCTTCGCCGCTGCCGCCACCACCAGGTTAGTGGTGTGGTGAACCGGCTTACACTCGAGTCAGTAAGTTTTCCCAGTTTTCTGTGCTAAAATTAGGTGCCTTGGCTTATATGCGGGTCGGCTTATACTCGAGTATATACGGTAGATTCAACTTTGCCTTATTAGATTATATCCTCTTCCTGGGATGTGTGTGTTGGGGGGTGGGGGAAAACCCCAGAAGACAAACCTGGGCCTCTAGTGGATAATAATAATAATAATAATAATAATAATAATAATAATAGAAGGTAGGCCCCCAGGTGTGGGCTATTTAAATGGCCAGGGAGCAGATCCAAAGAAAGCCTGTTGACTCTGTCAACTCCGCCTCCTGGCCCAGCCTGTGTCCAAGGCTGAACCCCCATTTGCCAATCCCAGGTGTAGGCTAGGATCTGGCTCCTGCTAGGTGGCGGGGGCTTATGCCTATGCCATTTATCAAGACAGGAGGCCGATGCTGCACAACACCACAGCACCAAAAGGGGTGAGCGGACTTATTAGATTACTGTATTTTTCGCTCTATAAGACGCACCAGACCACAAGACGCACCTAGTTTTTGGAGGAGGAAAACAAGAAAAAAAAATATTCTGAATCTCAGAAGCCAGAACAGCAAGAGGGATCGCTACGCAGTGAAAGCAGCAATCCCTCTTGCTGTTCTGGCTTCTGGGATAGCTGCGCAGCCTGCATTCGCTCCATAAGACGCACACATATTTCCCCTTACTTTTTAGGAGGGGAAAAGTGAGTTTTATAGAGCAAAAAATACAGTATATCCTCTTCCTGGTATGTGTGTGTTGGAGTGGGGGGTACCCCAGAAGAGTGGATGATGATGATGATGATAATATTTATTATTTATATGCAGCCCATCTGACTGGGTTGCTCAGCCATTCCGGACAGCTCCCAACAAAAAATAGTAAAAACACAAAACATCATCAAACACTAAAAACTTCCCTGAACAGCTCTCTTGAAGATGCCTGCAGTTAAATATTAGTTTCATTATTTTTAAAGCAAAGTGCTCTGCAGGTTCTTATACTGATTTGCCGTTATACAAAAGCGAGCATTTCTCGTCCAGAAAGGACCCCTGCAATGTGAAAATGTCTCTAGTTAAGGAACAGGCATGTAAAACCTGTTCAAATGATATTTTTCCTGTTCTCTTCTATTTCTGGCTTCCATTGATCTAAATTGGTAGAATATCAAAACTCGCAGTGACACTATGGTAAACAACAGGCCACATGCTAGGATAGTTCTAGTGACACCAGCCGTTTCCATGGATCACTATATTGAGAATTTTTGTTTGCGTATTGCAGAAAACATGTGAAACTCAACTTTGTCTTCATATGTTATTGCGCTCATTTGTTCTGTACTTCCTGTTGCAGAAACACGGTGGGCCTAAAGTGAAGAACTTTAGAGATCAAAGCTTCCCACCCAATTCATCCATCAACCAAAAAGTAAATGATGCTAAAAAATCAGGTCAAGCGAGGAGTGGTTCTGGCGAGCTCCTCACACCGTTGTGTAACCTACCAGAAATTTCCTTTTCTGTTTCCAATGGCTTCCTTGTGCATTGGTGGCGACATGGGCTTCCGTAACAATTTTGATAAGCTCCCACTCTTCATCTGTTGGCTCAGGTTTCATCCCAATGGTTTTCTGTAACTCTTCCCGGCGTCTCTTCTCTCGATTCTCCTCTATCAGTTTTCTTTTCGCTAGTCGCTTGCTGTCATCCAACACCACTATAACAAGGAAAGGACATATTAGAGAAAAACGGATTGCGAACACTTCTTGGAACTGAATAATCTGGTTTTGGGGGATTAGGGCTATCTATCTTGGGAGCCGAAAAGAGGTTTGATCTACCTGTGCAAAATCTATTTGTCACTTTCACCCATGCAACCATGCACACCCTCTGGCAATCGAGCCAATTCCAAATAACTGAAATCGACAACAAAATGCCTCTTACAAAGCACTACAAAACTATGACCCCTTTTCTCGGTCCTGTACTCAGCACAAGAAGTTAAGCATGTTTAAAAGCCCATGTTGATGCAAAGAAGTCTGGTTCGCCCAGAAGTCTGCATGTGCCCTAAAATTACAAGTTTCCTGTGTGAGCAGGGAGCATAGTGCTAATTGCAAGGGGTCAGGGAAAACTACAAGTGGTTCCAGCAACTAAATATCCGAAAACATCATAGTATCCTCTCAACGGTAGTTCTAGTCTTGCGCCTAGAGCCTTCACAATGGAGTGGCTGGTTAGAGAGACTGCATACTATTTGCCTGGCTTATCTAGGAAGTTTCATTTTTGCACGTTATATTATCCAAGAGAGCAGAGCAAGAGCAGAGTTTATCCATAATTGACATGCTATTGGTAGCAGCAGTTCAACTGTCACTTCTGTTTTATGTAATGTAGTCCAACTTTACAGAGGCTATATTTAGATGGAGAAGATACTCGGGCTGTCATGTTCGTTTGGCTGCCGCACAGAATGACAGCAAGTAAGGTAAAGGTAAAGGACTCCTGGACGGTTAAGTCCAGTCAAAGGTGACTATGGGGTGTGGCGCTCATCTCACTTTCAGGCCGAGGGAGCTGCCGTTCGTCCACAGACAGCTTTCCAGGTCATGTGGCCAGCATGACTAAACCACTTCTGGAGCAATGGGACGCAGTGACGGAAACCAGAGCGCACAAAAACGCCGTTTACCTTCCCGCCACAGTGGTACCTATTTATCTACTTGCACCCACTAGGTAGGCAGGATCTCCAGGGATGCGGGTGGCGCTGTGGTCTAAACCACTGAACCTCTTGGGCTTGCTGATCAGAAGGTTGGTGGTTTGAATCCGCACAACGGGGTGAGCTCCTGTTACTCTGTCCCAGACAGCTAGTGCTAACTGGCAATTTAGTTTATCAGGAAGATAATGGTCAACGGAACGACGGCAATAAATAATTCAGGGAAATGTGCAACCGTGAACCATAATTCTAATTGCTATCACTAGTCACATGGGTGGGATTAGAAAGGAACGGGGTGGAAAGGACCCCCCCCCCCAAAAAAATGAAGTTTGGGCTTGGTTTTTATCAAAAAACAGTCTCCATGCCCCACTGCTTTGGAAACCAAGGAGACTTGCCATATCACAAACGGCTTGGGGGTAGGATGTTTTTTGACAAGCACAAGCCTGAAGTTCCCTTGGGTAAAAAGAGCTATAAGGAGGGAGTGGCAGAGGTCGCAGGTTCAATCTCGAGCATTAAAAGTGCCAAGTTAGAAGTGATGGGGAAGCCTTTTGTATGGGACCCCAGACAACCATTGCCAGTCAGAGTGGACAATGCGGATGAGCCGGGTGGGATGCAACTTCCTCCCCTCCCCCCGAAATAATTTTTATTCGATTTTACAAGTGTAGAATTATAACAATATAAAATACATATTCATATTCAGAGATTTTTCAGAATCCCTAGACTTCCCACCTTCCTCTCCATGGGTCCTATTATCAACCTTTTCAACTGCATAGTATTTCATCATCCAAATTTTATGTCTCTCCATTTTGTCCATAGTATTTTCTACACTGCAAGTGTTATTGCAGTCCTGCGAATGTTTTAATCTGTTTTTATAGTGGTCTCTCGAGTAAATTATAAACCCCCCCCCTAGTTCTTTATGAAAGTTTTGGTCCTCTTGGTTCCTGAACTTTCTGGTCAGTTTTGCCATTTCGGCATAATCCAAGGGTTGCAACTTTCTATACTTCTTTACTTTCCTGTTTTATAAAACGGGCTCCTTCTACCCTGTTATGTACTAAGCTTGGATCCTAGAACAACAGGCAAGTAGGATCCTAGAATGCAACCACTGATTGGCTTGCAGGAAAAGACCAATCAGGCTCCAGGAGGAAGTTAATCAGCCTGTTAGGCTGGTAGGATCGTAGAATGCAACAACCGATTGGCCTGCAGGAAAAGACCAATCAGGCTCCAGGAGGGAAGACGAATGAGCCAATCAGACGGGACTCAATGTGTAAATAATGTATATAAAAGCCTGAGGTTTGGGGTGCAATTCAATTACTGTTTTACAAGCTGCAATAAAGAGCATGAAATCACTACAGGACTCCGAGTATATTTCATACCCCCACCGCCTTTTGAGGATAACTTAAGAAACAACTATCAACACTAGCACTTTGGGTTTCCATTTTGAGTTACTCCACTTATGCTACTTCAAGTCTTCACTAAGGGTTAATCTTGCAGCCATATGCTGTAGTTCTTTAGAAGTAGTGTAGCGCTCCTTTTCTTTCTGGCTAAAAATAAAACAAACAACTGCAGGATGACTCACGCAACAACAGCATCCAACTTCCCATTCTCCCAAATCTTTAAGCATGATAATTGCCTGCCCCCTGCATGATACAGCTCCGTAACACACACACACACACACACACACACACACACACACACTCCTGAGTTAGAAATTGTTCATATCCTTATTAACATACAGACTCACCAGTGCTAGGGGAAAGCCTAGTCTTTTCAACAGTAGAGAGAAAATTAAAGCTTTATGGAAAAATTAGCTGGGCATAACAACCAATATTCTCAACCAGCATATAATTATATAATAAAAAAAATGGGGGGGGGGACCAAACACCCAACAAACAGTGATGATTACGTTGTACTGAAATAAACACACCTAATGCAAACAAACAGCACAGTAAAATAAAGAAGCTTACAATCTGTTGCCATGCCAACATAGATGCATTTCTTGAAGCGACATTCCTGGCACTGGTTTCTTGTGACTTTGTCTATCACACATTTTCCTTCATATTTACAGGAGTAAGTTGGATGGAGGTTTTTCTGAATAGTTCTTCGGAAAAAACCCTATGTGGGGGGGAAAAAGAATGCAAAGTAGCACCTAGATTGCCCACTTTTTATCATTTAGGTTACTCATAACCAAATCTTTATTTAGATATGCTGGAGTGTTTATTGCTGGACAAAGAACAAGATACATTATGAAATAAATTAAGGACATAGGAAGAACCCTCCTGGATCAGATCAGTTAGTTACCCACCTAGTCTAACATTTTGTTATCCCAGGAGCCAATCAGGTGCCTATGGTAAACCCAAAGCAATAGCAGTCTCCCACAGATACGGGACATAATGTATAGCCATCGTTTCCTTACTCAAATTTCTCATTTGCAAATTTAACAAAGAAAAGGAAGGGGGAAATTACTAAAGGGAAGGAAGGGAGGAAAATAAATAACATATGAATACTACTAGTAGTAACAAAAAAACACCACCCCTTCATATTACAGATACAGTAGCCATCATTACATGCATTTTAAGTTAAACATATATGTTAATACAAGCCCTCTCAAAGTCCAAAATAGGTATCCACACGAAAATTGATGCCTATATGAAATATGTTTAAACGCAGTCAAATGAATGGCCTGAGAGCCACAGACCACTGTGTAATCAAAGGTGGATATTTATCTTTCCAGGCTTGAAGTATAAATCTCATAGCAACCACTAATCCCCATACTAGAGGAATATAATATAGAAGCACCCGAACATGCAAATAGCAAAGACTTTGCCAATATAAAATTGATGTGAATAACAACTTCAGCCCCAAAAGAATATATCACTGGACAAGCCCACATAATGAGGCATTCTTAGCATTATACGGTACCTCCAACAGATGTGCGTATTGGACAGTGCCTTCTTGTACAAACACTGTGGAGTCCAATATACTCAAAACACTATTTTTTACTGTATGAGTCTGAATTTCAAGTCTAAGGAAACATTCCATATAGATTCTTAAGCAATTTTCTATTCTTTGGGCTCTTTGGTGCAATCGTAATTCCCTATTCCACAACTCTCTGAGTTCCTGAACTTTTACGTTACAAAGATCTGCTAAACATGTATAAGCAACAGCTTTGGTTTAGCATTTTGCAAGGATCCAACAATTTAGGAGATGCCAAAGCACTCAAAGCAGATGGGCCATAAATAGGTGCCAGCCATTCATCGGAAATGGATATTTAAGATGTAAAACAGGAAATGACAAAAATAAAAAATAAATCCACCTGAGGCTATTAGCTATCTAATGTATATATCCAACATCCAACACATTTCTTCCACAAAAAAGACTGCCCCTCTGTTGTCAAATCTGGATTAATCCATAAAGTCAATTTAGTGCAAGCATTTGGATCAAATTGTAATTGATAAGCTATCATATTCCCCTAGTTATTAAAAGTGAATAGTGACTGATAGCCATAGCCTTATCCTTTACAAATTATAATTTAAATCATATGACATTGTCTTATTTTAGCTCTTTATGTGGCCACGATCATGTAGTAATTCTTGCTGTAGACTTACCTTGCAACCTTCACAAGTAATGCAGCGATAGTGATACCCCGTGGCTTTGTCACCACAAACGACACATAGCTCGTCCTTGTCTAAGTAACTGGGTATGTACCCTGTAGGGAAAGAGAAAGTGAGTGTCAGTGAAGAGGTTGAACTACAGGGGTCAGCAAACTTTTTCAGCAGGTGGCCAGTCCACTGTCTCTCAGACCTTGTGGGGGGCCAGAATATATTTTTTTGGGGGGAAATAAATGAATTCCTATGCCCCTCAAATAACCCATAGATGCATTTTAAATAAAAGGACACATTCTACTCATGTAAAAACACGCTGATTCCGGGACCGTCCGCGGGCCAGATTTAGAAGGAGATTGGGCCGGATCCGACCCCCGGGCCTTAGTTTGCCTACCCATGAACTAGAAAAATCATACATATACTTAATGCGGATCCAACACAGTTGTTCTGAGAGGAAAGTTTCTTAACTAAAAGGTAGGAGGTGCATAGAGAGACCAAAGTAGCACAATCAAAAGGAGTTTGGTGACGACTAAGACCAAAAAGAAAGGTTACGGGAAATAAAAATGTACAGAGGAACAGTCACTGCCAGAATCAGTATTATGCATAAAAGGCACAATCCATCCAGTCTTAAGCAATTTTAAGCCCTGCTGATCTCAAGGCAAAATTTTCTATCACGTGCCTTCTTTCTTTTCTGAAATCAATGGGACTTGAAAGCGCCTCCCTTTGCCCAAATCATCCCCACATTTTGGAAGACAAAATGCAATTTGTGTTACAGTGGTGCCTCGCAAGACGAAATTAATTCGTTCCGCAAGTCTCTTCGTCTTGCGAGTTTTTCGTCTTGCGATGCACGGTTTCCCATAGGAATGCATTGAAAATCAATTAATGCGTTCCTAGGGAAACCGCCTTCAGACCAGGTCCGGGGACAGTCTGTCCCCGGACCTCTTCTGAAGGCTGGGGGGCAAGGGCTTTTCTTCCCACCCCCAGCATTTTAAAAAACCCCGGGACAGCGGAGGACTTCTCCGCTGTCCGGGCGATCTTAAAATGCTGGCGGGCGGCATTTTAAAATCACCCCGGGACAGCGGAGGACTTCTCCGCTGTCCGGGGCAATTTAAAGCCCCTGGGAAGGCAGGCAGGGGGACAAAGACTTTGCCCCCGCCAGCCTTCAGAAGAGGTCCTGGACCTCTTCTGAAGGCGGGCGGGGGCGAAAGTCTTGCTCCCCGCCTTCAAAGCCCTCCGGGACAGGCAGGCAGGGGAGCAAAGACTTCGCCCCCGCCCGCCTTCAGAAGGTCTTCCCTCCCCCGCCCGGCTCGGAGCACCGTTCCGAGCCGGGCGGCGGCGGGAGGTCTTCCCTCCCCCGCCCGGCTTCGGAGCACCGTTCCGAGCCGGGCGGCGGCGGAGGTGTTCCCTCCCCGCCCTTAAAATGAAACATTGATTGAAGGACAGAACAAACCACTATAATTCCTGGGTTGCATGGACAACTTGTAACAAATAACGCAGAGAAAATAAGCGCACAAAATACCTAATTTGTCTGAGTCTTTGCCAAGAAGAGAAACAATTATCATGTTACCAACATAACACAGAAAACCCACCAATTCATCAAGGTTAAAAGTGGAGAGGACCCTTTCAGAGATCACCTAGATAAACTGGACATACTCAAATCAGCAAGTCACTGGAACTGCACAGTAAACTTTTCAACTTGCAGATCACATCAGTGTCCCTTGTCTTTGACTTGGTGGGTCACACTGGTTAATGTAAAGTTTGGGTGGGGATGTGAAATATGATTGGGCCAGAAAATAACATTTACAGTGGTACCTCGGGTTACAAACACCTTGGGTTACAAACACTTTGGGTTACAGACTCCGCTAATCTGGAAGTAGTACCTCAGGTTAAGAACTTTACCTCAGGATAAGAACAGAAATCGTGCAGCAGCGGCGCAGCGGCAGCGGGAGGCCCCATTAGCTAAAGTGATACCTCAGGTTAAGAACAGTTTCAGGTTAAGAACGGACCTCCGGAATGAATTAAGTTTGTAACCAGAGGTATTCCGAACTGGAGTTTAAAGAAGAAAAGGGAAAGTATTCACAACAAAGCCCCACCTATTTATGCTTCAGCATCTTATTGCACCAGTATCTTATTACTCAGCACTCTACTGGACTTATGGATCATCACCTAAAAATACAGAATACAGTTCACCCATATTAAAGTAGTTTCTGTATCTTTCAGGGCAGAGACTTCCAAGTAGCCTATTTGCCTCTGGTAATCAAGAAATGCCTCCAGGCACCCTGGCAAGAAAGTTTTTGTACACTGGAAGAAAGGACTTGTTTTTATGCCTGTTTTCAGGCTGTGTATGTGCCAGGAATGACTTACACCAGTTTGTATGCACCAATGGGCTAGTAACAGTGTGTATAGCTATCTGCCAAAAGGAAGAGGAAAGGCTGTGGAAGGGTTATATTAAAGTTTGGATAGCGGTCTGGTGTATTCCAGGCTCAGAGTAAATTGAAAGCTTTGGAAAGGGGTCAAATCCACAGGTAATAGTCATGTCCTGTGAAAGGTTCATCTAGTACGAAAACACCCGTGCAGAATATGATAATGGAATGCCAAACTCATAAAGCTTTCGTAAGAAAGATCAGTAAGCAGAAGAAGGGAAGCTATTCCTCTGCTCAGGGATATTCCTGGCAAAATGTACTGTATGTGCATTTTTCATTCTAACCATGTCTTTCCACATACAGTGGTACCTCTGGTTACGAACGCTTCTGGTTACGAACTCCGCTAACCCGGAAGTAGCTGCTTCTGGTTGCGAACTTTGCCCCAGGATCATAGCTGTCAACTTTTCCCTTTTCTTGAAAGGAATTCTATTCGGAATAAGGGAATTTCCCTTAAAAAAGGGAAAATGTTGGCAGCTATGCCCAGGATGCGAATGGGAATTGTGTGCCGGAGGACCGTATGCAGCGGGAGGCCCCATTAACAAAAGCACGCCTCAGGATAAGAACAATTTCAGCTTAAGAATGGACCTCTGGAACGAATTAAGTTCGTAACCAGAGGTACCACTGTAAAATAAAACGTTTAGCTCATGATCAGCTCTAACACTTTGGGGAAGGCTTAAAGTGAAAGAAAGGCATTAATACTATGTGAAATTCTAACTTAAGACAATGGTAGGTGTAGGTGGTACCCCTCAAGAGTAATTATTGTTTTTGATTCTGTCCTGTAATTGGGGGGGGCGGGGATTCTTCCTAATACACATTCGCCAAAGCTCCTAAAATAATGAATGGAAGAGAAACAAATTACCCCTCAACTCAACGCACTCTGAAATATAGTCTATTTGTTTACTGCATCAACATGTTACACATTTAAGATGCAAGATGTTTGTGTAAGTTCACAAAGCGTTCAACCCAACATAACTCGATTCTGGACTGAGAACACTATGCGTTATAATAGTAATAATTACAGGGCAATCGACAAGCATTGTGGAGCTTTGGCTATATTAATAACTCACATTCAGTAGTAATTCTGATAATAAAAATAATTGGAACCATTCCACAAAATGGGACTCTGCCATTTTCTATGGATGAAAGATTAGCAGCATGGCCTCAAGTGCCTTTTTAACTATATTGGTATAAACAGAGGGTTGTGCTACTACAGCAACAGCAGCAGCTGAAGCAAGATGCTAAGCATAATACCTAGGCCAAATCGCCTGAACTTCTTCTCTAATGCTCCAAAATGTAGGTCCAGTGTTGCATCAACCAGGGAAATCCAGGGCTCTATTGATAAATCTCAGGTTCCTAGTTTTGTTGTTTAGTCGTTTAGTCGTATGTGACTCTTCATGACCACATGGACCAGAGCACGCCAGGCACTCCTGTCTTCTACTGCCTCCCGCAGTTTGGTCAAACTCATGCTGGTAGCTTCGAGAACACTGTCCAACCATCTCGTCCTCTGTCGTCCCCTTCTCCTTGTGCCCTCCATCTTTCCCAACATCAGCCTCCTGCCCCAGGAGTCTTCTCTTCTCATGAGGTGGCCAAAGTATTGGAGTCTCAGCTTCACGATCTGTCCTTCCAGTGAGCACTCAGGGCTGATTTCCTTAAGAATGGATAGGTTTGATCTTCTTGCAGTCCATGGGACTCTCAAGAGTCTCCTCCAGCACCATAATTCAAAAGCATCAATTCTTTGGCGATCAGCCTTCTTTATGGTCCAGCTCTCACTTCCATACATCACTACTGGGAAAACCATAGCTTTAACTATACGGACTTTTGTTGGCAAGGTGATGTATCTGATTTTTAAGATGCTGTCTGGGTTTGTCATTGCTTTTCTCCCAAGAAGCAGGTGTCTTAAATTCAGTTAAATTTCGTGGCTGCTGTCACCATCTGCAGTGATCATGGAGCCCAAGAAAGTAAAATCTCTCACTGCCTCCATTTCTTCCCCTTCTATTTGCCAGGAGGTGATGGGACCAGTGGCCATGATCTTCCTTTTTTTGATGTTGAGCTTCAAACCATATTTTGTGCTCTCCTCTTTCACCCTCATTAAAAGGTTCTTTAATTCCTCCTCACTTTCTGCCATCAAAGTTGTGTCATCTGCATATCTGAGGTTGTTGATATTTCTTCCGGCAATCTTAATTCCGGCTAGGGATTCATCCAGCCCAGCCTTTCGCATGATGAATTCCAGGTTCCTAGTAAGGGCACATTGATGCTCCCTCGGCATCTGTGTCCAAACAGACAAGCCCTTCATATACAGTGACTGGAGGGAATAAAAGACTGCAAAATGTCAATGGAAACCAAAGTGATATCCCTGTTTTGGGTCTTGTCCCTAGTACAAGAGCGAGGAGGATAAATGCACTGGTACCCTGCTGCAGAATATTACACTATTCTGTATCATATTACAGTGGTGCCTCGCAAGACGAAAAGAATCCGTTCTGTGAGTCTCTTCGTCTAGCGGTTTTTTCGTCTTGCAAAGCAAGCCCATTGACAGATTAGCGGATTAGCGCTATTAGCGGCTTTTAGCGGCTTATCAGCTTATCGGATAAGCAGATAAGCGGCTTAGAAAAAGGGGGGGGAAGGGAAAAAAAACCGCAGGAACTCGCAAGACATTTTCGTCTTGCGAAGCAAGCCCATAGGAGCTTCGTTTTGCGAAGCACCTCCAAAACGGAAAACTCTTTCGTCTAGCGAGTTTTCCGTCTTGCGAGGCATTCGTCTTGCGGGGCACCACTGTATATATTTTTTTCACCTAAAACCACAATTTTCACTCGGTAAAGTGAACTTTTTAATTGGCCGTTATCAACTAACATGGTGACAAATCCTTGCCAGTTACAATTTGTTGCTCAATAATGAGTAGTCACAGGGGACTGACTACATTTGGTCTGTTTTTTTGGTGTTTTTATTATGCATTTTGTGTTTTCAATTTGCATTTTTATGTTGTGAACCTCCCTGTGATCTTTGGATGAAGGGCAATATAAAAAATTAATCATCCTCACCCTCACCATCTTCATCTTAGGTAGGTCATTCCTTAATGGGTCTCCCTTGAACTTTTTATGCGGATGATTCATGTATAGGACTTGCACTCTAGTGTCATAATGACAGTGACTTCAGGTGGCAGCTGAACTGGGAGCCCAAAACTGTGCTTCACAACAACAGGAGAAGCCATTTTGAAAAGGACGAGGTTACAATAGCTAGAGAGTCTCTGGGGTGTCAAAGAGAAGTGACTGATTATGTCATGTTTACTAATTTGCTAAATGGAATATGAAAGGTATAATGAGAGGTCTAACACACTATATACTAGTGCTTCAGTAACCTCAGGAAATCCAAGCCAAGCAGTTCATGTACCATTCTCATGTCCGGGGGGGGGGGGGGGTTGAAAAAAATATGAAAAGCTTTGTTAGACATCATGTTCACTTCCCAAATGAATCCCAGATGAACCAGGAGAATATTATCCCTGCAGAAAAATAAGCATACAGCCTTTGCTACTGGATGAGGTAACAGGCCTTTTCAACTGCTTAATTTTTATCTTGATTAGCCGTGATGATTATCTGTTTTTGTATTTTTTTAAATTGTGCTTTATGCTGTGATATTGTAAATAGCCCTGATGTGTTATGATACGGCAGCACAGAAATATTTTTTTAATAAATAAATGAATTAAAAATAATAAAATACTACCACACTTTGAAAAACTGTGAGCACTAGGGAAATGAACCACTGCAGCCACTGCCTTCTCAGTAGTGGCATCCGCCCAGTGGAATGCCCTCCCAACAGATTTCAAGGAAACAACTATCTGATTTTTAGAAGACATCTGAAGGCAGCCCTGTTTAGGGAAGTTTTTAATGTCTGATGTTTTATCGTTTTTATTATTATTATCATTAATTCTGTTGGGAGCTGCCCAGAGTGGCTGAGTATAAATGATAATAATAATAAGATGCATGCACAGAGATTAATTTGCAGTATTTCTATGCCATTAAGGTCAAGCCTTAAAAGTGGCTCATGTCTGTGACGAAAACTAAACTACAACTACAGTGGTACCTCGGGTTACATACGTTTCACGTTACATATGCTTCAGGTTAGACTCCACTAACCCAGAAATAGTACCTCAGGTTAAGAACTTTGCTTCAGGATGAGAACAGAAATCGTGTTCTGACGGCGCGGCGGTAGCAGGAAGCCCCATTAGCTAAAGTGGTCCTTCAGGTTAAGAACAGACCTCCGGAATGAATTACCGTATTTTTCGCTCTATAAGACGCACCCGGCCATAAGACGCACCTGGTTTTAGAGGAGGAAAACAAGAAAAAAAATATTCTCTCCCTCCCCTCTCTGTGCAGCGCTTCTCCAGCGAAGCGAAGTCAGAAAAAGCAAGAGGGATCGCTGTGCAGCCTGCATTCGCTCCATAAGACGCACACACATTTCCTCTTACCTTTTAGGAGGGAAAAAGTGCGTCTTACAGAGCGAAAAATACAGTAAGTACTTAACCCGAGGTACCACTGTACTGAAACCATATCATTACAATTCCAAAATAAAAAAGCAGTCTAAAACGTTCTACGGGCAAGCACAGCAAATCAGCTAAAGCAATTCAAAACACGAGACCGCAACAGTTTAAACCACTAAAATAACTTAAACTGGAAGGAAGATAAATCCCTACAGCTGCCCCTCTTCTGGTCATGGGAGTGGAGCTGTCTAGGGCTGGAACTGGGTTTCTCTCTTCCTGCCCCTGCAGTCTGGGGGACCTGGCTTATTAGACTACAGTACAGTGTAAACAAAAAAAAAACAACAAAAAAACAAAAAAGAGTGTGACTTGCTTTATTAAGGTGGATAAAAAAATCAATTTAAAAAAAATACTTAAAAAAAAATTTAAATTAGATTTTTAAAATAAAATGCTTTTGGAGGAAAAATCTTTCTAAAGATAGTTTCCTATTTATGTAACATTATAGTCCAAAGGCTATTCATCAGGAAATTTGTTTAAAGTTTTTCATGTGTGCTAAAACTCAGTCTAAGGTTGTTGTTTTTAAAAAAATTGTTTAACCACATCAGTTAACAAACATGGATACATATGCTATAATGTTAATTTCATAATTATCAGTCTATGTATTTCTAATAGTATAACCAAATCAGTAATTTTTGATATAACTGTAAAAACTACTCTGAAAAATTTATTATTCCAAAAATGAAACCTTCATCTGGTTGTAAATATTTAGTTGATACTAGCAAGAATGAGTCTTTCTGTAAAAAAAGAAGATTTAAAACAAGTCTCACCAACTAAAGATTTAAATCGTGATTTAAATCGATTTGATTTAAATCAAATCCACCCTGCTTTATTGTGATATTCGTTTTATTGCAGAGGTCCGGAACTAAATACGCAATATTTCCGGGGCACACCTGTATCTTGACTTTAAAGAGATGGACTGGACCCAAAAGCATAAAGAATGAGAGAGTGTGGTCTGCAACAGAGAGGGGAGTCAGGAGGGGAGAACCAGCTGGTAAATTAACAAAGATGGTGTGCTCTTGTCCTAAAGAACAATTAGGTGCTTATTGTTAGCATACAACGATTTCAACATTGCTTCATAATGCGAAGGATATCACACAAATGCAGGTCAAGATTTGGGTAGAGGAGCCCAAATGACTCTTAATGACCTTGACCTTCATCTGTCTAGTATATTTATGGCAGTTGAAGGTAAAGCTGCAGTCTCGTCAAAGTCCGGACTTGCAAATCTGTCTAATCTGAACTCTTGGCAAGACAAAATACTCAGCGGGAGCAGATGCCCACACCTTAGAAGAATGTGTGCCATAATCCAATCTGAACAATCCCTCTTGAAATCTATTACACTTGATCAAGATCTGCAGGGCCTGTAGAACCAATTGATCCTAGATAACATACCAAGTCTATACCCAAAAATTATTTAGCGTTGTAAATGTTCAACCAAATTTGTTGGGGGCCTTTGTACTGCAAAATACATTTGAGGACCCCTCACAATTTAATCTGAATTATACACCAGTATCCAATTATATACCTTCTGAGAAGAAATTAAGTAAAATATTAACACCCATCTTCAGAATACATATAAATTGTAGGTGCATCTTTATTAATTTACATAATGTTACATTAGAATGTGTTTTTTAACACAAGTCATTGTAAACCATTTTGAAGAAATTTCACAACTTTTCAACTCAAATGCAAAGGAAAAATGTTTCTTGCAAACTCATTAATGCAGAAATAAAAAAAACCAACTAAACTTATTGTATTACTGCTAAAAGTATTGTATCTGATCTTTTAACAAGAGGTGTGGGTTTTTGGGCCTCATGGAGCATATACAGTGACTATTGTTTTTTACTTAGAAGTAGCTGGTTCATGGATAAGCTATCTACCAGACCTCACAAGAAAGGATTCTATACAGATCTCAGCCAATGCTCTTTAGACCCAATGAATCATCACAGAGATTTCCATTATGTGGCTGCTATAGAGGAAGCAGAGTAGAGTTCTGTGTTTGTGCCTTTTTCAAGTTGGACTAATAAGATTTCTTTGAAAGACCCTTAGTCAGCAAAATAGTCAAGACTGTATTGATAGTCACCTTTGTTTGTTTTTCCTAACCTAATTCAGAAAGAGTATTTTTTTCCAGCCAAATCAGGGAGTAAGACATGGAATCTGAAGACAGCAAGACATGGATGTCCAAGTGAACATCATTGCAGTGTGCTTATGTCCATTCCCAACTTGGCTAACTGGTGCTCACAAAATGGACAATGAGTCATCAGTTTAAGAGCATTTATCTTAATGCAACTCAGGTTTCAAAAGATGCACTTTTATTGCGCATTCATGATGATTTCTGTTATTGGGGTAGTCAACCACGATTCCACTTCCAATAATGTCTGTGCCTGCAAACATTTTGGGTTGGTTATATTTCCAAGCAGGGCATATCCTGTTACTTCCTGCTAACATCCTCTACCTTTTCATACCATGTTACGGGTCGTCGTCCATCCTCCCCCACTGCTTATTTTTTGTGCCCTAGCCCCTCTGGACAGCAATAATTTGGTAGCATTGGGGAAGCGTCACAACGCAACTATTAAAGCAGAATAAATCCACCCTTAAGGTACTACTATTACTATGTCCCCTTCTCCCTGTGCCCTCCATCTTTCCCAACATCAGGGTCTTTTCCAGGGAGTCTTCTCTTCTCATGAGGTGGCCAAAGTATTGGAGCCTCAGCTTCACGATCTGTCCTTCCAGTGAGCACTCAGGGCTGATTTCCTTAAGAATGGATAATGGAAAAGACCCTGATGCTGGGAAAGATGGAGGGCACAAGGAAAAGGGGACGACAGAAGACGAGATGGTTGGACAGTGTTCTCGATGCTACCAGCATGAGTTTGACCAAACTGAGGGAGGCAGTGGAAGACAGGAGTGCCTGGCGTGCTCTGGTCCAAGGGGTCACAAAGAGTCGGACATGACTAAATTACTAAACAACAACAAATTACTATGTCAAAAACATGTTGCAGAATACATCTGCAATAAAACACTGGTCCAGAGGAGATCTTTTTGGAAGGCTAATAGTCATCTTGAGGCCTTACTCTCTTTGTGTTGCTGATGATACTGAGGTTCAGTGCTTCCCCCCAGGGGTACTCAAGGGTACGAAGTACCAGTACCCCTTGGTGAGTACTGGCACATTTCCCACCCCCCAAAAAAGCACTGCTGAGGTTCAAAGGTCTCTTGAGCAGTTTTCAACAGTTCCACAAAACAAACGTTGCTAACAGCAGAGACAGTACGCTACCAGAAATCTGGAGCAAAAATTATTTACTCCAATGGCAACACTGCTGCGCCTTGAGTACTAAGATTATGAAATCATCAAATAGCAATAGCTTTGTTATTTATTTATTTATAAAATATTAATATGGTTAATTTTAAATATATACTTAGTGGCATATCTGTATACCCTTTCACATTTTTGCTGTTCTGTTATTCTTCTATCCTCCTTGACATTGTTTATGGCTCTACGAGACTCATATAAGTTTATTCAATTATTTAACTTCCACTTGGATTGGTGGTTTTTTTGAATTCCTTTGAAAATGCACAGCATGGCAATCGATACACTTACCCCTGTTTAATGAACTGTTTAATGATGCTTTGAAGTGCTCAAAAGGCTATTATAAAGAGAAGAGACAACACTCTGGGTAATATCATGCTCTGGCAAAATAAATACCCTCTATGACGAAGATATGATCTGCATCTCAGCTAATGCTACTGTACATAAGCAAAGAAACTTTAGCTGCGATTACAAACAAGATGAGCTTCTGATATTGGGAAGACATCAAGTTCAGTAATTATGCTGAACTTTTAATGTTTTATTTTAGTAAATATAAGATTATACAACTAGTGAATTAACAAACTACAATAAGTACATGTTTGTTTACACACACACACCAGCAGTGGGTATCACAATAGCAATCATGAAATAATATCTGTACTTTTATAAATATTGGTAAGTCATGAAATCGTAACCATTCCCCTCCAATAGGATGCATAATCTAGTCCAGGAGTCGGCAAGGTTTACCTTGCCTGGGCCAGTTCACTCCCGCGGAGATCACTCCATGGGCCGGATTGTGTCTGCGCAGAGGTGATTTCTGGCACTGCGGAAGCGAGTCCTCGCTCAATTTAAATGACCGCCATGGGCTGCAGGTTGCTGACCCCTAACTAGTTATATCACATCCAAAACCAGCTTTCAAATATTTGCATGTTTGGTTTTGTGATGCTAATATGAAGCAAACACACCATATCGATAAGCCTCTGAGGTATGAGCTGTTAGCAAGCTGTATGCCAGACATAGGACGCACCCGACCATAAGACGCACCTAGTTTTAGAGGAGGGGAAAAAAAATCTCTCCCTCTCTGCGCAGCGCTCCTTCAGCGAAGCGGAAGGAAAAGCGGAGCCCATTCCATTTCTCCTCCCGCTTCGCTGAAGGGGCGCTGCGCAGAGAGGGAAAGCTGTGCAGTGCCTCCCCAGCGAAGCAAAGCCAGGAGAGCAAGAGGGATCGCTGCACACCGACCCCTCTTGCTCTCCTGGCTTCAGGGATGGCCGCCTGAAGCCTCCGGAGCGCAGCCATCCCTGAAGCCTGGAGAGCATCGGGTGGCCATCCCTGAAGCCTGGAGAGCGAGAGGGGTCGGTGCGCACCGACCCCTCTTGCTCTCCAGGCTTCAGCATAAGCAATGCGTTGCTTTCACTGAAGCCATGGAGCCTGCATTAACTCCATAAGACGCACACACATTTCCCCTTAATTTTTGGAGGGGGAAAAGTGTGTCTTATAGAGCAAAAAAATACGGTATGTGAACAGAAAAACAGCAGCATGGCACAGGTTGGATAAAGAGCTCCCACATGTCTAGTACAGTTGACTATTTGCTATTATTTTTCTTGTTGCAAATGCTCCAGTGGAACCTTATTACATTACTTTCTTGGAAGCGAAAAATACCTGTGTGTCCCTTTGTGTGGGAAATGAGTAACACTTTTAAGAAAATTACAGGGTATTCGTACAGTTCTGTTCAAGCTGTGGGGTACTTCACGAGCAAATGGGTTAAAGGCCTCGTCCTAAGAGACCTATTCCTGGCCTCTGTGAAAAGTAGTGGGTGTTTGGCTACTCACAAAGGTGCAGATTGCAGGTTTTGCTCTTAAATGCATGTTCCTTGTCTTCAAAATTATTGTAAGTACAATGAGCTGCACTTGGGAGAGATACAAGTCAATATCACTCTAACACACTGTACCTCGTTAGAAACATTGAAAAGTGAGAATTGCCAACCAAACTCAATTCTAGCTCAATATATATATATATCTCTAGAATGTTCAGGTAGCATGAATCACTGGATAAACCAGAGGGAGAATCAGATTATATTCCCACCCCCATATCCAATTTGCTACATTTCCTTAGGCAAGCCACTTAAGATTGCCCTTCAGTCCTCGAAACAAGGGAAAGGATTCTATCTGTACTAAGTACCAGTATTATTGCTTATTATGATGTTGACCCTTGATGATGCTTAACCGGGGAAATCTAATGCTCGCAGATTTGCCATCTCCTTTTCCCCAATATTGGCCAAGCGATGGCCATTGAGTGAAAAATGGCTCCTTCTGTTAAAAAGCGCCGAATGAAAAAGGTCATCTGAAAAAGCTGCAGTCATTCTACATACTGATTATCCTGCAGACAGACTGCTACAATTTATTCCATGGACACACCACGCAGTTAAAATTATGTAAGAAATTCGTAGTTGCTTCAAATTTACAGAGAAACAGAATAATAATAATAATAATGGAGGTGCCCCTGTACCAGCTTTTCACGCTGTCTTTAGAGAAGGCGTGAGCTATATAGGCCCATGCAGCTCAATACAGGAAGGATGCTGTTTCCCCCTTGGAAAATCCTGCATCTAGCTCTTAATTCATGTAGGTAGCTGTGTTGCTCTGACACAGTCAAAAGAAATAAAAAAATTAAAATTAAAAATTAAAAAATTGTCCAGTAGCACCTTAGAGACCAACTAAGTTTGTTCTGGGTATAAGCTTTCGTGTGCATGCACACGAGGGACACGGGTGGCACTGTGGGTTAAACCACAGAGCCTAGGACTTGCCAATCAGAAGGCTGGCTTTTCGAATCCCCGCGATGGGGTGAGCTCCTGTTGCTCGGTCCCTGCTCCTGCCAACCTAGCAGTTCGAAAGCATGTCAAAGTGCAAGTAGATAAATAGGTACTTCTCCGGCGGGAAGCTAAACGGCGTTTCCGTGCGCTGCTCTGGTTTGCCAGAAGCAGCTTAGTCATGCTGGCCACGTGACCCGGAAGCTGTATGCCGGCTCCCTTGGCCAATAAAGCAAGATGAGCGCAGCAACCCCAGAGTTGGCCACAACTGGACCTAATGGTCAGGGGTCCCTTTACCTTTAAGGTGCTACTGGACAATATTTTTATATTTAATTCTAGCTCTTAAATTAGTGTTGTTTAGCATTCACAAATCCTCACCGCATGTTTCAGAAACCTGGCTACCAGCTCCATATTATCCCCATTCCTGAGTAAACATAAGAAAGGCTACCTTACATTTGTCTGAATACCACTCCCTACTAACAACCGATTGATAAACTTAAGATCAAATTGTCTGATACCAGGGGCAGTGCAAAATAACTTGCATGACTGATTCCACTTGTCTCTGTACACAGGGGCATAGCCTCTCTAGGAGTGGTATTTTTTGGAATCTCCCGTGTTGCATTGCCAAGAATAGCACATTCCGTCTCGCTAGCATATAGGCCCTGTGTTGATTCGGGTTGGTCAAAAGGGAAAGGTAAGACGCCATTGGCTGTCCCCCTCGCACCAAACCCAGACTTGCAAATACACTATTTCCGATTTGGCTACTAAGTACTTGGAGTTTGTTGTCTAACAATGTGCGTTTCATTATATCAAATGCAGAATTTTTTGATAAAGCCGTATGGGGTGTCTAGTGAGATTCCTAACAGCTGGATTTTATTAAACCATTTATCTATCTAGGTTAGCACTGTCTGCACTTATATGCAGCCGGTGGTTCTCTAATACCTCAGACAGAAGTCTTTCCCAATCCTAACTGGAGATGCCAAGGACTGAAACCAGGAACATCTGCAGACAAAGCATATGATCTATTCATTGACCTGCACACAGTTAATGATTACGATACAAACAAATGCTTTGATGTTTGGAGTTGCATTCTCCCCCTGGAACTTTTGAGCATTCCCTCTCTTCACGACATAGCCCAATTTACGTTTCAAATGTCCATCAGCTTCGCTAGAATTTTGCCGTCCAGTACAGAAAGAGATCATGCTGTTTGAGAAAAACATATTTGAAGGGGCCTTCTAAATTCCGTGTTTCTTTAGATCCCATCATTTTATGCCGCCTGAGAACAGAACTGCAGTCTAAGGATGTTCAAAGTACAGGCAGGATATAAAACAAGATAAAGGATCACAGAGACAAGAGTATACTAGCACAGGCCACATCTGAGAATTATCTCGTGCTTTTTGAAGCTTGTGCATCATACCCAAGAATCAAGCATTCTACCTCTTTTCTCACCCACGATACCACCTTTTGACTTCTCCATATTCATCTGAAAATCTAAACGCAGCCCACACACAGTCTCCGTTACAAGCTTCAGATAAAAATGTGGAAAAGTGGGTATGAGCTGATTCCCAGTCCACTCCCTGTCTTCAGCAAAAGTCTGGAAAGGACTTCATATTAGATAACTCACACCTGAGAAGGAAGCAACATGATTGAATAACTAGAAGGAAGCAACATGATTGAACAGAACATCCTTTAAGTAAAACCACACTTTAACTCTTACCACCTACTCCAAGAAGTTCAAGTTATTGTTACGATGGGTTACGATGACAAAATCTGTCACCTCCACCTGCTTTGCAAATTGTATACACTGTCATTGTAATGGTACATACAGATTATCTTGTCTGCATGATATGACACCGAAATTTCCACAGCTGACATCAAAGGCAGCTTTTTTAAAAAAAGGCTTCAGTGCCAAAATTTGCAAACCTTTGTTCACACCATGTAAAGGTAAAGGTAAAGGTACCCCTGCCCGTACGGGCCAGTCGTGTCCGACTCTAGGGTTGCGTGCTCATCTCGCTCAAGAGGCCGGGAGCCAGCGCTGTCCGAAGACACTTCCGGGTCACGTGGCCAGTGTGACGAAGCTGCTCCGGCGAGCTAGCACCAGCGCCGCACACGGAAACGCCGTTTACCTTCCCGCTATAAAGCGGTCCCTATTTATCTACTTGCACTTAGGGGTGCTTTCGAACTGCTAGGTGGGCAGGAGCTGGGACCGAACGACGGGAGCTCACCCCGCTGCGGGGATTCGAACCGCCGACCATACGATCGGCAAGTCCTAGGCGCTGAGGTTTTACCCACAGCGCCACCCATGTCCCCTGTTCACACAATGTATTTTCACTTAAATCCATAGAATTGCTGAAAAGTACAGAACCTTGAAGGTTCAGGTTCTTTTTGGCTTGGTTAAGATTTATTGGGAAATTATTGTTTCTGATATTAGAAAGAACAACCTTTCTGGATGGTGCAAGTATTAAACCCTAGTGATGCTGATGAGAAGGAACATTCTTAAATTTCTGGACATTGTAGATTTGCCTTGCTTTCGTGTTTTTTCATTTTGCAATTGTGTGATTTGTATTCGTACTGTATTGTAATTGCCATTGGCTATAAACAATAAAATTGATTGAATTGAATTGATATTAGAACGAGCTGCTGTGAGCCTCATGCTGACATGAGCTCCCCTCCTCTGCTGAACCTAGCACAGTGCCCTGTTACATTTGAATTTAGGAACTGTGGCTTGCTTAAACTATGTTTAGTGAAAAGAATCCAGGATTAAACCGGTCTTGGATAGAAAACTGTGCTCAGTTCAAAATCAATAGCAGTTCCTCCTTGAGATAACAAAAATGAGGAAGGGAGAGAACGTGAACTGAAGGCTTACTGTGGTAGAAACTGATTTCTGACTTTGTCATGAATCATAGTTGTGCCAAGTGTTTTTTTTCTACGTATGCATACCCACCTAAACATTTTGTGAATCTAAGTTTCGCCTCATTGAGGGGCAGTATTTCAATATGAGTAGGAAAATGAGAGTACCCCTAAACATTTTAAAAGAAAAAACAAAACACCAGCTGTGCTTATCTTACATTGAAACAAGTTCTGCAAATCCCAGAAACATTAATCAAGAGGCTCAAATTCAGAATGTGTAATAATGTATTGATTATTGTTACAATTTGGGCTTGCATATTCGCTGTAAGAATAATCGATGCATAATAAATTACAGATTCTGATACCCAGCTTCTAGATTCATTTTATGCCATTTTTTTTTAGCCACAAAAAGAAAAGATAGCAAGGTGTTAAATACAACGAAAACACCATATAGCAAAAGCTGGGAACTTATGATTACAACGTAGAACACTTATTTTTTCAAAATCTTCTAGGTACTTATAATTTCCCCATAGATGCTGTCCCACACATCACGTGGATCTTTTGTTCTCGACTTTTATTAGAAACACAGTTTCTCTTTGGGGCTGTATTGCAAGGGAAAACAACATGCTGTACAGCTTTTAAAAGGACGGGCTTTTCATTAGGATCAGAAAGAAAGAGATCTCTTCTCTGCTTGGGAATACACTCAACAGCACAAGTTTTAGAAGTTTGTTACAAATTGTTCTGAGGGAGTGGCATTGCACAAACATAGTAGCAAACATAATTAATAGAAATGAAGTTATTAAGAATTGCCTGGAACGAGGGCAAAGCTCATGAACACCTGCTTTGGATCTTAATTTTGTTTTAATGAGCCAGTAGTAAGACTTTGCCAACAAAAAAGGTGGAAGAAGAATAAGGGGGGGAATCAATTTTGGATCAATACTGTCACAAATGTTTCTTATTAAAGCCGTCTGTCCTCGGAGCAGGATTAAGTGATTGGTTACTTTTATAAGAGTTTGTCTTAAAGCTTCCAAGCAAAAACCACCAACAAACACGTATAAAGTTTCAAATACGATCGGTTTAGCAAATACAGTATTAGAATACTTTTGTGAAAGCCATGTTGATTCTTCACTTCTACAAACATATGAATCTGCAAGCCTTCTTTCCGTGTTCGTTTTTCAACGGGCAAGAAAATATTAATTGAGGGATAGATAGCTCACAATGAAAATGCCCTGAAACATTTATCGAGATAGCTATTCTAGGGAAAGACAGCTTTCAAAAACTGTATGTAATGTTTTCCATTATTAAATCCACTTGCTGGGAGAATAGTAAGATTAACCAGTTGCAAAATGTTCACATAGCCCTATATTATTTTAAGCCAAACACAGTTATCTCAAGTATTACTTAAAAAATATTAAGATGTCCAGACACCAAAGAATTGTCAAATACAAGGACAGATACACATTTTACACTATTGCAAATTCGGAACAGCCAACTTATGTTTTAGTGTGAGGTACTTAATTTCATTTTTTTTTGGCGGGGGGTAGCGTGTTTTCCAATAGAAAGGTGACTAAGAATTTTTATGAACTGAACATGAACAGGAAGCTTGAAATGTACTATTTTTACACAAATGAGTGAAAAAACATATTGCTCCCCCAAATAATACAACTGTCTACTATATGGCAACAAATGAAAGCATTTGTTTACAGAACTCTGATTTGCACTTTTTCTAATCAAACACATATATTTTATGATAGGAAAGAGCAATGAAAAGAAGTGGGGGGGTCCCAAAGAGTAATTTGTTTTCAATTTTTTAACATGAACATTTTTTAAATTTTTAGAAATTAAAAAAATGTGTATCATCCTTAAGTCCCTACAACCCAAATTCTGGCAATATTTTTCATTTTACTTTTCATCATATAGACACATATAGATAATTAGGTCTAATATAGCAGGAGCAACTAGTTATTTATCCTACCAGGAAAAAGGGCTGTAGGTTTAATAAACCTATTGTAAATATGCTTACACTGAACTATAGAATCATTTGAAAATAAGAAAGTACTGTTGCTTGAGCAGTTATGTAAGTAAGCTAGGCTTTGCTTGCACACAGATAGTTGAGTCTTAATAACTGGAGGGTATCATATCGATGTTTTACAGAACAATCCCATACATGTCTACTCAAAAGTAAGCTCCACTTAGTTTAATTGGGCTTGCTCCCATGAAAACATGCACAGAGTTTCAGTCTCAAGCAAGGTATTTCATCAAATGAAACATCTATAATGTTTCTGTTACAAAAAAGGAAATTCTAACACTATTTGCACACACCTTTCATAAACACTTTCTCAGCAATATTCTGTGTTTTCCTTACTGGGAAGTAATGTTATACTAAGATTCCGAGAAACAGACATATTTTAAGGCTTAGAAGAATGGGTATTCACTTTTCAATCCAGCCTACTTCCCACTCAAACACTCAATTAACCGGACGTGGATCAAAATAAAGTTTCATATCTACAGGTTTTTCCTTAATAGTTTACTTTGCCGGCTATAATTCAGAGCGTAATGCTTTAAGGAACTTTTAAGCATATGACCTTTTGTAACTTGTTTTTACACTTGGCTGTACATTTTAATATCCTTTTAAATAACATTTTAATCAATGCTAATTAGGCATAACCACCTAAAGATGCAAAAAATAAAGAAAATAATACATCTTGGCAATGTTATGAGTCGATAATGAAAACCTTACTAAGGAGAAACTTTTCCAGGCAATCTGAAAACGTACCAGCCAACACACGCACAAACATATATCTAGACAACAGGCTTAACGGCACAGAAATATACGTATATACATAAGCTTTCTGAAATTAAAGTAAAAGTAATGGCAAGTCTTTGTCTTTCACCTCCCGTTGCCCCCTCAAAAAACACCCTTTCCCAATCACCTAGCAACATCTGTCGCTGCTGCTGCTGCTGCTTTCGATTCTCAATAGGCAGTCTTCACATTCAAAGATGTAACTGAGCCAACGGAGAAAAATTGCAGGTGTAAAGCAAGCAAACGGACAAAATTCAGGTGGATTTTATTTTTATGTCACAAAAAGAACACCCACAAAAATTGGCATTTCCTACCTTTCTTCTGAGAGTATGATGGCGATTGCCCTTGAGAAAAAGTAGGCTTTTCTTCGGTGAAATATTCAGGTTGGTTGTACTGATGCAGGGCCACGTCCATGTCGGAGTACTCACTTTTAAAAACGTTTCCAGGGTAACTACAGGTATACGGCTGATTCACCGCCCAGGCCTGTTCCATATAGATGTTATTATTGTGTAGGACCTGAGCATCGCAACTGCTGTAACTCTGACTATCTTCGATATAAGTGCAATAATCAGAGGGCTGCATGTAGCAGTTGCTGCTGGCAGCCGGGCGAGCTTCATATATTTCTTGCATACAGTAGTTCATTTTGCTATCCTATCGTCAGCCTTATATTTTACATATGCACACATGCGCTCACATGCATATACACACGGAAGCCTGCATACGCATGGGGTGGGCAAGAGAGATGAATACGCAACACCCAGGAAAGTCGACCGCAAAATTGTATGTTTAACTTTAGAGCGGTGCCCGATGTGCTAATACCCTATTTATATTAGGGATAGACTGAGAGCTCTCCTGCCAGTCAAACATATTGGAAAGCAGATTTATAACAGTCAAAGGTCTTAATCTGTGACTGTATGTTAATTCCTTTGAGAAGATGGCAGGTAACATTGGCCACCAGACAAAGAGGCAATGCCCAGACAACCCCACCGTTCCACGAGTTTGGGGGGTGGAATAATAATTTTATAAAGCTACTTCTGTCTCCTTTCAGTATGATTAGAAAACGATTACAAAGGCAAGGACACAGAAATGCCCCTGGTGTTGTCAACTTAAGTGTGAAGCATCACAAAGTACACTCAGGAAATCCTTGAGACGATATGTTCAAAATCCAAAAATCAATAATCCTGGTTTTCAGCATTAACTCCTAGAAAATCCAATAGTGCTATGTTGATGACTCAAGCAGTATGTCCCGTTTTGCAAAAATTTAGCGTCTAAATCTGTCATCTGCTTTATTGATTTTGATTGACAGAATGATTTGCGTAAACCTTTCATGCCTTACATACACATAGGCCAAACTCCCCGCTGCTCACTAATTTAACACATTTGCAAGAAAGCAGCTTTTTCAAACTTCAGTGATTTCAGTAAGCAATTTTTATTGAATTCAACAGGTGGGAAATTTCAAAACAAGCCATCTTAATCAGCAACAGAATAGTGCTTAAATGTTAAAGTTAAGCTTAATTGGTTTGCCAGTTACATTTCATTAAATTGCTTTTTTCCTATGATTCAATAATGAAGAGCTGGCTGTTTCTACATCTGTCTCATTCACACACTTATGCTACAAACATTTCAAAATCATTATGCAAGGCAGTCGATAATTAGATAAAGCCTCCTCAACTTTAAAAATAAGAATGTCTCACATTCATTTCAGGTCACACACAAGCTCTTATAACCAGCATTTAAAATAAAGGTCTCAAGTAATTTTAATGAATGCCACTATTACAGTAACAGTGCAAAACTTCTTACAATTTTTGTTGTTTTTCTTGTTTCGCTGGCATCAAACAGTTCTCCGAAAATTTGAAATTTACTCAATTAATAGGGTTTAAAGGAGTGACAGTAAACACAAAAGAATGACTGCATATAAATCAGCAACTATGTTTTCAAATGCTTTTAGAAAGAAGTTTATCATACTTCTTCCTTCTTTTCCCTGACAACTGTCATAATTTGGGGGGGGGGGGGAACTGCTTTGCTAACTCTTCAGAAGGACAAAACCATAGGCTGTCCAATAAGAATCTTAAGGCATTATTTTCGGTCTATTATTACAGTCGGGTTTTCATTTGCATGCGCCAAAATGAACAAGGACAACTCTTGAGGGGCACTTCACATGGAATAAAGTGAGTGTCAAAAATTGGGAGCTTGTCAACCTTACTTTTTATAGGCTCAGATCCAGAGATGTTCCTGCTCACAGAAGGTTCAGCCTCCTGATTTTGGGCGATCCCCTTCTTCCCCTTTAACACACTTGTGTGTCTGAATGTTCACCCCTTTCAGAAAGGTCACCCGACTCTCAGAAGAGATATTGCGAAGGACTGGGGGGTACTGCAGATGGACAAGGGGATCTCTGGATATATTTTTTTAATGAAGGTTATCCAACAACGTCTAAGGTGTAACTACTTTCCACTATGGATTTTTGTGCCTGATAGCCATTCTACATCGGAGGTACAGTGGATTAAAACCATTTATTGTGTGTTGTTTTTCACATTTATATTTAATTTTGAAATATTTAAATCAAGAGTTTTTAATTTAAAAATGTATATCAGGGCCTGCTTCTTTTTTTTTACAAAAGTAAATAAATAACTTGGTATACAGTTATTTATCCATCTCCCGTTTCTGACTTTTCCACTAATAAGTGTTTACTAAAAGCTCAAGAATGTTAAGGTTTCACTTTGACACCAAACACTGTCCTTCAGAAACGTTTCCTGTTCCATTTCAGTTTATTTTACGCCAAGACATCTTTCCTGATTATGTCGTTGTTTTCTTCTGTTTTAATAAAAATAATAATATTGACACTAAATAAATCAGGATGATTTTCTCTTCCTAGTCTGTGGACATGACATATATGTTTGATTTGTTGTTAAGCTTTTCTGTTGGGTATAAGCAAGATATATTTATTTAAAAGCACTGATATTCACCTAATATATGATCCATGTAGGCAGGCGGGCAGTCAATCAACTTGAGATATTTTTGGGAGTGGTTACTTCAGAAGATTGAAGTTCTGTATAAAAATAAAATAAAAAACCAAGCAAGTAATCCTTTGCCTCCTGCAGGGAAAGTAGATTGGTTGACATGACTGCACTCAACATCACTTGAGTTTTTCCATCCACTTCCAAGCGAAGTGGAGTGCTCTTTGTGTGCAATGCACATGTATAATGCGGCTGAGATTTAGAAAACATCTACCAACCAACATGTTTCTGTTTTCTATTACAGTGGTATCTCTGGTTGCGAACGGGATCCGTTCCGGAGGCCCGTTTGCAACATGAAAAGCCCGCAACCTGAAGCGCCTTATCTGCACAGCTGCGCAGCGCAATATGGCGCATGCACGAAGCGCAATTTGGCGATACTGCGCATGCGTGAGCAGCGAAACCCGGAAGTAACCCTTTCTGGTACTTCTGGGTCGCTGTGGGATACAACCTGAAGAAACGTAACATGAAGCAAACGTAACATGAGGTATGACTGTACAACAAAGGAACCACACACACACACACACACTTCAGTTTAAATACAGATGGCATGATTAAGCCAAAGTTAAGTCTTTCTGAATTCAATGGGAAAGTTAACCCAACGTCCAATTCTCACCTATTGAAACAGTAAGGTGGTACCCAAAATAGTGCTTAGCTTAGTAATTCCTTCTGCAAATGGAATGGCTTCTGCTTGCGCACTGGGAATTTGCCCTGCTCTCCCCGCCTCCATGCATTCCTAAAATTGGTTCTGGAGATTCCCTGAACCTTCTGGAGCACTGGTTGGGGATGGAGGACTGAGCAAAGAGAAAGTTCTGCTGCACAAGTGGAAGCTGTTCCACACACACAATTATTTACTTGGATACTGCCCAGGAGGACCTTACCGTGCTTAAATTTAGCTGGATGGTGTCCTGAATTTTCTAACCATTAGTTGCTATATTTTTTTTTAAAAAAATGTGAAGTACTAACAGGAAATAGGGGCAATGGTGTTATAGCAAGAAATTTTAATACTTCTAAAGATTGCCATTGTGAAATTGTTGTTGCAGTTTACTTTTCTTGGGAATATTTATACCAAACAAATAATTATTAATATTCCAGTATCTAGATAAGACAGGGGTCAGCAAACTTTTTCAGCAGGGGGCTGGTCCACGGTCCCTCAGACCTTGTGGGGGACTGGACTATTTTTTTTGGGGGGGGGGAATGAATGAATTCCTATGCCCCACAAATAACCCAGAGATGCATTTAAAATAAAAGCACACATTCTACTCATATAAAAACACCAGGCAGCCCCCACAAATAACCCTGAGATGCATTTTAAATGAAAGGACACATTCTACTCATGTAAAAACACGCTGATTCCAGGACCGTCCGTGGGCCGGATTTAGAAGGCGATTGGGCCGGATTCGGCCCCCAAGCCTTAGTTTGCCTACCCATGAGATATGACAAAAATGGTGCATCACACATTATTTGGTATATCGCATGAGCTAAAATGATACACATCAAGTGCCAAGGTACAGCCATAGCTGGGAATATCATTTAAGATTTTTTTTATCGGCATCTTTGTGGGGATGAGTATAGATAAAACTCGGAAAAGGAAAACTATGCATTTGTTTTCCAGAACAAATAGCTATATGCCATTAATAACATACAAATACAAAGTAAAGAGGTAAATAAATTAAACCTTGTGTGGACTGCACACAAGAAGTGAGCTTATTTTAAATAGACATTTGTTAATTACGCAACTAATTGGTAGTACCTGAAAGCTGTATATCAAGTCTGTTTAAAATACAATATGTGGGACCAACTTGCTATAAAGCATATTTGCTGATCTATAAGATACGAGATAGAAAAGGGAGCTGAAATTATTATACTCATTTTACTTAGACATTCAACACACAGACCATTCAACAAGCTCTCAGGGCCGTTTCATTTAGGTAATTCAATAAATTATCAAGGTGACTTCAAGCATCAAAATAGAACAAACAGTTAACTAGAGTATGAAACACAAACAACAATTTAAATAAACTACACAAGTTTCAACAGAACTGGCTCTCCTCAGAGCATTCAAGAAAGGAACCTGAAAACTAAAATGAAATGAAATATTTCTGAAATGTACTGTTCTTAGCAGAACAAGACTGCAAACTGAATTAATTTTACATCGGTTTGAAAAAGAACAATTGATTTAGTTCTTAGTTATGCTACAGCAATTGCTGTAAACGCACAGACCGCTGAAGGGAAATCAATAGTCACAATATGGAGTAGAATCTGTTAATGTTTTGCTCTCTCAATTAATGTTCTCTGATGCTCTAATTTTTTATGGGGACACGTAAAAATATTTTTAATGAATATATCAGGAGTACTTTTGCTAAGGGGACAAACTTTTATATTTTTACTGCGTAAGGGCTGAGCCACATGACAAAAGCTGGTAGTATAACAAGGATAAAACATTTGACAAGAAAATACTTCTTAAAAATGCTTGCTTAAACAAGAACTGAAGTGTATGACGTTTCCACTTGAAATATGTGAATATTTCAGATCTGAATGGAAAATTTGGTACTGTAGACAGTTACCGTAGAAACGTAGGCTGCACCATCACTGTTAAAATTAAAACGACTTTCAAAGATGCTTGAGGAAATCTGCAGAATTTGACCCTTAAGATACAGCTGTAGAAGTATAGCTTTTTTATTTTAAAAGAAGTATTTCAAAGTTCTGCCATCCTTACTTGCATAATACAACGGTTGTTGTACACTGTGCGGCATTGTCTATGTGGTATATGGAAATATGTGGTACAATGGAAAAAGAAGATGTAATATGGCAGCAATGATAAGATACTTTTATAACTGTTGGTTGGAAGACTTGGCACAGGTGTGAGGAGATCATTACAGTGGTACCTCGAGTTACATACGCTTCAGGTTACATACGCTTCAGGTTACAGACTCCGCTAACCCAGAAATAGTGCTTCAGGTTAAGAACTTTGCTTCAGGATAAGAACAGAAATCGTGCTCCGGCGGCGCGGCGGCAGCGGGAGGCCCCATTAGCTAAAGTGGTGCTTCAGGTTAAGAACAGTTTCAGGTTAAGAACGGACCTCCGGAATGAATTAAGTACTTAACCCGAGGTACCACTGTATTGTCTGCTCTATTTTTGACAGAAGTTGTCACCTTTTTGTGCAAATGTAGCAAAAATTGCATCACCCGCACAGAAAGGTGAGGCATCAGCAGACTCAAGAGTAAGCTAAGGTTATCAGGAGTGAAAAATAAGCTTTAGGAGGAAAAGTCTACTCTCTGGCCTATCAAAAAAATTAGTTCCATGATCTGTGGAAACTCACACCTGACTTCAGGTGCCGGATTAGCCCTGGTTTTACTCATATAACAGGGTTTTTTAAAAAATAAATAAATAAATGGCAAGCTAACTACGGTGAGGTAATTTGCCGCAAAGCATCTGGAACAATAAATGGCACCAACAGCAATTTCACAAATATATCGGCTTTTATGTTCATTTCCCAAGATTATACAGAATGGGAATTAAAATGTAGAAGGTTCTTTAAAATACAAAGCATAATGGATGGTAGGAGGACATAGGTTCCTGAATAACTATGGCAATTCATGAACTAAAAGGCTGCAATTTCCATTTGGAGGGCAGAACATGTTGTCCAGAAGCTATCCACAGCCCAATATGATTTTGCACGTGTTGGAAATGTACTTGTTCCTACACAGAAAAAGCTTGGTGAATTAAAAGATACCAGGGGCTCACAACTTGCCACGGTCGACTTTGCACTCCTGAGCTCCAGGATTGATGCAAAGAGTGGGGGGCTTGCTGTTTTGGTGCTCTGTTGTCACTCCCTGCTCTGGCTGGGAAGGTTAAATGTGACTACTGAGGGACTCGGAATATGGCTACTATTAGGCCCGGCCTTTCCTTCCAGAGCTGGAGGGACAGGTGGGAGTTGAGATGGCCATTTTGGGTGATGGGCACTATGACCTTTTGCCAAAACATACCAAGTGTGGAGCTGGAGGACAGGATTGCATTGGGCTTCCAAGGTCCACCAAAACCCTTTGTAACTGCAAGGAAGCAGCCTGTCCTTCACCTCCAGACGGTATGCTGGGACTGGCTAATGGAGCATGGCGGTGTACGCTTTGTTAATTTCCCTAGGGAGCTTCCGGGGGTTGCCCAACCTAGGATGCGGACTACGGGAGGTATTCCACTAAGCTGTGCTCAGAGTAGACTGACTGAAATTAATCAACCTAATGAAGACATTTTGATTCATTTCAATGGGTTTACTCATTGAATACAACCCACAGCCCCCATCCTAGGTTGGGGAAAATGCTCCTTTAGGGTTTGGAGGAATGCCTACTGTTTCTGCTCCCTTCTTTTACCATTCAAGGTAAGTTTCTGAGCCCTGTGGCAAGGAAAGAGAGAGGTGATAGCAGTCATTTCATGAGTATTCTAAAGTTTGCGCATCATCCCTACATTCAATTACATCTGACTGCAACACTGGGAGGGGAGGCAGCTTGCGGCCTGCAAGATGCTCCTTTCTCTTATTATTTTCATATCCTCCTATTATTATAAGATCAGATACCATTATTCATTTAAAAAGTAAACCTCGGTGACTGCTGAAAGACATATAGACAAAATAGCAGGAAAGACCGGGAACAAAGATGAAGGCAATTCAGCTTTTCCGTTTATAAAGTACGGGGGGAAATTGCACATTTAAAGGTTGTAATGTAAACATAAGAATTTTGTTGAATATCTAATGGTATCCATGGCCAGGAAAATATGATCCAAATTGAATCAGCTACAATTGGTTTAATTTGCAATGAAGAGGCAATATCAATAGCATGAGCCTCAGAAGGATGGGGAGATGAAACCGTCAAGTTATTCAAGATAGTGGCCTGGCTCAGATATGTTAACAATCATGGTTTGTTGGTACAAGCACAAACTTCAGATTCGCACACACATACAAATACACACACACACACATGGTCTCTTTTGCACATGACAGGAAGTTTCCACTTTTTGATAAGCTGCAGTTTCCTAAGGAAGTTGTGGTTCTTGCCAATGAACATGTGCAAGCTTTTTTGAACAAATTAAAAAAACCTGATTTAATGAGGTGCTGCGATGAAGCAACAGCCTATAGTAGGAGTACCCAGTGTGGTACTACCAGATGTTCTGGACAACTCCCACAGCTCCAGTCACCATGGTTCATGGCCAGGGATGATGGGGTTGTAGTTTGCAACATGTGGAGGTCTCTACAATGGCTACCATGGGGCTATAGATTCTGATAAAATCTTCCTAGCACTGGCCCCCGTGGCCAAACGTCCAACTGTGTTTTTGAAGGGTCCTTGTAGGGGCAGAGAAAAGATGGGGAAAAGTTCTCTTCTGCTTACTTGCACAGAATCCAGTGGGCCTTTTTAGTGCATAGAAGCCATGAAATCCAGTTACTATTGGATGACAAGTTCCGCCTGCTTCTTGTGTGAGCAATAGTGCTTTAGCTGCAATAGCAGTTAGTAAGTGGACCACCACCCTTTTAGAGTACTAGTGTGCTAGCCCATGGAACCTATTTTCAAGCAAACACATTTATCATCGCATACGATCCGCACGCGAACTGAATACCCAAATCTACAGTATGCACTGCTTTGGGTTTGCTGGTTTCCATGTCTTTATTTCTGCTAAGCGCAAACAGCACTTTAGCTGCGCTCAGAAGGTATATTTCTTGCATATTTGTGAACTACACTTTGTGTCTCTTAGTTACAGAGTGCATAAGCCCATGCCACCTGAAAGCCACTTCATACACTCTTACTCTTTTTTCCAACACAGAAGTTAACAATACTGTTATAAAAGCACATTCAGTAAAACCTAATGCACAAAGGACAGATACCTTTGTCTTGTCCACATGTAGGATGTGGTAACTCAGGGCAGAAAGGAAGCTTTTGATGTCCATGTACACTTTGCATTAAACATGCTTTTCCTGATCTGACTATTTCGTTTACAGCACAATCCTATACATATCTACGCAGAAGTAGGCCCCACTGATTTTAATGATACTTGCTTCCCAGTGAGCAATATAGGATCGCAGCCTTAGTATCATAAAAGCAGCATTGAACGTTACACCTTTTAAAGCTACAGGTATTGTTGTTACGTGCATCTCTAAAGGGGAACAAACGCTAAAGAGCCGACTGAAAATAGTCCCATATAAGATGTAATATTCATCTGATATATATTATAGCTTGCCGTAATATATTATTCAGTTTCTCCAGTTTCACACCGATAATTAACAGAGCACAAGAGACATAATAAACCGGGAATAATAGACAAGTGACTTCAGAGAGTATTTGAACCATGTCAATTCCTATGTTATTTCTAAGCAACTAAATGGCAATATCTTACTATTAGATTATAATTTGTAGAAATAAAACCATGTATCTCCATGGAAATGAGGGCATATACCTAGGGATGGTTTTTCACTGTAAGATTCTATCAAGGCTCCTACTTTGGATGGTTAGATTCTGCAGATCCCGAGAATTAACAATCGTCTACAAGACATGATAGGACTAAATGCAACTTCTCCCACAACTATGATGTAGAAAACTGATTTTACCACAGTTCTCTCCTTAACACAACTTCTAGAGGTACAGGGGTCCTCCATAAAAGTTAGAAGGGTCCTGTTCCCCTTACAGAAAGCCCAATATGTTCCTAAGGAAAAACCACCAATTACGCTAAAGATGAAAGAAAATAGTTACTAACTAATATAAAACGCACCATATACATTGATGCTCCACTGAGATAAACCAGGCTTGTGACCACTGATATGCGGATTATTGGTTATAAGTAAGACCAACTGACTTATATTTTCAAGGCATTTGCTTTGCTAAACTGACCTGCTAGTTCATTTTTCACAAATCCTAAATTTCTCAAAGTGGCACTCTCTCATTTTTATTTTCCGTTAACAGCTGCATGAAGCAAGCTAGCTGACTGTTTTGAAACAAACGCGAAGGCATGCATTTATAAAAATACCCAGTTAGCGAAAATCTCACTTCAAAGCCTGTTTTCATACAATTTTCAAAAGCTAGCTTCAACCGTCTTAATAAATGGAATAGCCCCGTGTGCAAGGCCACCAAATTCATTAGGCTCACATGTGTCTAGCCACATGTTAATAGATATTAGCTAATTAGACTGCTTATCACTTCACAATTCTTATTTATCCTCTTTGGGGTAAAATGTTTTCTTACATTTAGCAATGAAACAGGATGGAAAATAACAGAAGCCTTGGTGGAACTGTCTGGGAGTCTTCTGACAGCCCTCAGTAAGATGTTAAAGCGATCAACACCTGACATCTGTTAGCAAGGAGGCATTCTGAGGTAAAGGGCTCCCAAATCTGAAGAAATCAGGTGCTTAAACCAGTTTAACTTTTTCATGAGGTGATAGCCTTTGTGACATTATAATCTTTCCTCCTGATGTGACGCAAGGATTTAAGTAGAAGAAAACAACTACTGGGCCCCTCCTTTCACAGCAGGAGACAAGAGACTTCTTTTTTTAGGCACGAACATTAACAGATTATATACTCCAGTGAAAATAAAATAGGCATATAAATGAAACACCACTTCTGTTGCCAAAAGGATAAAATAATTACATCTTTCAAGGCTGTCTGCAGGTGGAAAAACAGAATAGAAAGGACACAATATACTCTTGCCAGCTCACTGCTTATTAACATTCAGCCAGTAAACAAACTGACCATAAATCTGAGGAGAAAAACAACTAATTGAATTATATATCCATGATGCTAGAAAGTGATAGGGTGTATTTGACGCTTCTACTTAGCATTTGCTTTCTTAAAGAGGAAAAATAACACTAAAATATATGCAGCTGAACATGTAGCCACTCTAAACAGTAAAACAATAGGCAAGACAAATTAAAATAATGATTGCTTGAAAAAAATAATGTTGATGATTACTATAGCTGCTATTAATATGATACAATATACTGTTTACGGCCTGACTAGATCACATATAACCTGAATTATAAAGATCTGCTACACTTTGCATAATAATTTCAATTACCTTTACATTTTGTCTCTTGCATTTGGTATTCCTTGACATTTGTTATGCCTTCAACATTCATATCTGTGTGGCCTGGCAGGATCACTGAGCTAGTCCATGCTCTCGAAGCATGCAGGAATTGTGTAGGCTGGTGTCCGATTCTCAGCACATTGCTACTTTCACAGTGCCTTTTCTTACATAAATGCCTGTCTGTTATGTCTAGGACATTCCATTTATATTTTCTGCCAGGAAAGTGCATCAGCCCATCCCAGGATGGAAGGCCATGTTCTGGAGGCTTGACAAACACTGGTTGACAAGCGGTTGGCATTGCCAAGATCTTGTTTAGCTGTGGAGTTCTGGAAAGCAAATGTTCCCCCACTTCTCTCGATCGGGTGGAATTCACATGCATCGCCCCCTGAATGCACCGGTAGAAGAACGCAGAGGTTTTCCAGCAATGCACTTTCAGCCACCATGGTCAGTTTCCATTCGGTGCGGTTAGACACATCGGTTTCCCTTCTACGAAATCCAGCAAAGGCAGTGAGGTTTAATTGTGCACAGGTAGAGCCAACGGATGCAACTTTCGCCAGCGCCACGTCTAGAACGTGGGCCCTGGGCAAGTTACCATCAATTTATTGCCTTGCTCCTATGATCATTTGAGGTCTTGTGGGTCGAAGCTGGTCATGAACAATTTTCAGATGCTTAAAACACAAAACATCAAGGATTCAGCCTTGTTTGACTTTGTTCTTATTGTAGGCTGACCTGAGGGACACTCTGTTACCTAAGGCCAACATTCTTATGTGGGCACGCTTAGCAGTTCCGGTCCTGCTACTATTGCCTCTCTCTGCTCGGCTTTGTGGCCGCAAGATGGAATCAGGTGCCACTCCTACCTTGAGGGTTTTAACCCTGCTGGCCTTACGCACGTAGCAGGCAGCAGCAATGTAGAGCATCTCGCAGAGTTTTGACTTGCTAAAGTGTATTCAGCTACACGCTGCCAGAGGTAGTGGGATGTTGTAACCCAACAGCAATGTATGTATGAAAAAAAAATTACATGAAAGATACCCTGTGTAAAGGTCTAGCTTTCAAGGGAGATAATATTAGTAATGGTTTCCTTCAGAGAAGTCTCAGGCAATTTCCAGTCATGAAAATTTGATGCAGATGGTTTTATTAGCCACGGCCGATGTTTCTGTAAAATGCCATTTTTAAAAAGCCATATGAGGATGGGCATATATTTGCAAGAAACTAATTTGAATCTATTATGCATTCTGTTTTGAACAATTGCAACAATTTCACTTGAGTGAAATTTTCCTCCTCATACAGTATATGTAAAACGGTAATGGTGAGCAATACAGTTAACCATAAAGCAGAATGCACAAGTTGCAGTTGTGGTATGGAAAACTATGAGCCATTCTCCCATATTTGTCTTCCTCTCATGTTTAGTAGCCACACATTTTAAATCTATAATTTTCTAGCTGCAAGCAAAGGAAAAATATTAGCAACTGCAACCTTTTTCTAATTTGATGCTGTCAATAATATAAAGGCTGCGAAAGTGTCTAAGGAAAGTGTCTGACTAGACTAAGAATAATTTGCAGTGAACTTTAAGTAGAACTTCCTGTGACTGTAATGGCATTTGCTTTGTAAAAAAAATGACACCTTAAAGGTGTTTGTCATAAATGTGTTTCTACGTTCATTAGCAATAAGGAAACTGTATTTTTGTTCAACAGCTATTTTAAGACCGCACTTTCCTGTGACATTCCTTTGCATATATTTTAATTGTGTACACCATAAAGTAAAATAAAAAGTAAAATAAAAATACCAGATAAGCCCATATCATTTTGGTTGAGTTGAAGGAGTGGACTTGATCTTAATCCAGTGGCCTTCCATGCACAAAAGCCAGTTTCAGTTGCTTTAGAGATCAGGCCAAAGAATGAAGATCTATAGTAGATCCCCACTTCGGGACTGGTCAGTTGTCCTCGAACCTGAAACTGAACATGTTGAACGTGACTTAATTTCACAGTCTGTGGCATTATGCCACCACTATGCTAGCAAAAAGGGACGCGGGTGGCGCTGTGGGTTAAACCAGCCTAGGACTTGCTGATCAGAAGGTCGGTGGTTCGAATCCCCGCGACGGGGTGAGCTCCCGTTACTCGGTCCCTGCTCCTGCCAACCTAGCAGTTCAAAAGCACGTCAAAGTGCAAGTAGATAAATAGGTACAGCTCCGGTGGGAAGGTAAACAGTGTTTCCGTGCACTGCTCTGGTTCGCCAGAAGTGGCTTAGACATGCTGGCCACATGACCCGGAAACTGTACGCTGGCTCCCTCGGCCAATAAAGCAAGATGAGCGCTGCAACCTCAGAGTTGGCCACAACTGGACCTAATGGTCAGGGGTCCCTTTACCTTTTATGCTAGCAAAATTTGGGTGCACAATAGCAAGAATGTGCTAGTATATTAGCAAAAACCGGTGCTGCTACAGACTACCTCAATGTGGCTGAGGCAGGATAGGGTGGTGGTGTCAGGAATGAATGTCTTCACAACTCAGCCTCGCCACTCTGGCTGCTATTGTACAAGTGGCTTCTGCAGCTAAACTGATGCAAGTCACTGAGTGCACCTTTAAAGCTGAATACCTCTTTAGGAGCCACGGACCTCTTTGTGCTTATATATGCTGCTTTCCCCCTCAAAAAAGAACATAACGTTGTGTTCCGGTCTGATGCTACAGAGAGTGGCAGATGAGGCAAGGCAGGACAAGGCTGGGAGCGAGGCAAGACTGGAGGCAAGGCAGGATGAGGCCTGAGGTAAGGCTAGGCCAGAAGCTGCAGGACCATGGATAGCTCCAAGTGAGCAACTTGTTCTGGCAAGGGTTGGGAGCAGATTGAGGCCTTTGAAGCCTCTGCCTCCAGATTTCACCCCTAAGGAAAATTTCAGAGCCAGAAAGGGCCTGAAGATGGGGCACCTTTGGTCTGTTTCAGAGCCTAGCATGCTCATGCTGGACTGGTGAAGTGCAGTGGGAGGTATCTGGCTCCTCAGGAGAAAGGACCTGTGAGGACCTAGGTTCTGGCCTTGGTGGTCTGGGGCCTGCTCTGGGTGCAACTTTCTGCCGGCCTCAGTCGGAGTGGTCCCCTGATCTCTGGTGGCCAGCTCAAAGCCGTGAACTGGGTTCGGCTCCTCAGCTGGTGCCTCAGCAGCCTCTAACTCTTGTCTCTGGGTTGCTTCTGGATTCAGGTGGCATAACACGTACTTTTCAAATGAATGGCAGTAACAAACCAAGCATAGCAAGGGTTGTCTCTGTTGGAAGAAGCATCTCATTCCCACAAAAGGTGCGATATGGTATCAGAGAAATGGGAAGGCACAAAAAGTGCTACAACTAAAATCTGAAGTGATTCATTGGTGAGAAGACCTTGGCTGACCATGGATTCATTTATGTAAGCATAAATCAGTGCACCTGACGCATAGTTAACATGGGACTTTTGTGATGGCTATGTTTGACTGCAGGACAGACTCACAGAGGTTCAGGAGCAGCCAGTACAAACCTGCAGTTGCTGAATTCCTGACACTCAAGTTGCTACACTTGGGGGTATACTGGTATACTGTCGCCCCCCTCAAAAGAGACAAATACCTTTAAAATTAACAGGGATAGTAAACCAAGTATAGGCATGCTATCAGGTTTCAGTACATTTGCAAATGGAAAAAGAGAAAAATGTGCTTATTCACAAGATTTGAACCTGAAAGGTTTATAGGTCCTGTTTCCAATCACTCAATATATTTACAACTTCAGATGAAAGCTGTAGAGAAGCTAGAAAGGTTTTATTTTCAAGAGGTTTATATCTAAGTCTCCCGAGTTTTTAAAGGTTGTTAGTCATGACTTTTGCTGCTGTCAGATTTGTAATTTGTTTAAACATGGATGTTGTAAGAAATCATCAAGACACACACGCTTTGAATTTTGCAAAATTTCCTATTTCACTAAGACAATAATACACTGTTGACATATAGGGGGGGAAATTATTAGCATGAGGATTTTTTTTGTGGGGGAAGGTTGTTGTGTCTTTTGTACTACACAAAACTTTTCTGCAGTCCAATGTGATGAACTGCTTGATTTCCAGAATAATCACAGTTCATACAGCGAATGCATATATTATGTTTGTTGGTGTCTCCCCCTCCCACGCAAGATTCATTAGTTAAAACAATTAACAATGAAGTTCCAAGGGAAACAAAATTGAACATACCGTATATTATTCTAAGTGGATCTAGAGACCAAAAAATATGTAGTGAATGTTTGCGCCAGTCTCATGCCTACAACAATGTACACACGAGCATATTCCTTTGTATGCTGAGAATTAGCCCCCATCACCATGTGCAGATAGAGAAATCCTTGTGGACATTGGTTACAATCACTCCCCACACATGAATGGGTTCACTCCCTTCCTCAGTTTGTGCACACTGGTATACTTAGGCAGCTCAATGTGCCTTTTATGGGAAATGAGAGGTCTATGCATGGCCTTCCCCCTTCACTCAGTTAATAGGTCATAGACTTTCCATTTCCCACAAGAGCCCATTGTGGTATTTGTATGCGTACTTGTGCTTCTTGCACACTGAGTGGGAAAGGGGAGCCAATGGGGACTCCCAGTGCACAGGTGCAGTGACCATGTGGGGAAGGACCACATCTCATGTGTATGCATCTGAGCCCGTTCTCACATGCGAACACTGAGCATCTTTCTCTTTTCGTCTCTACCTCTCTCTCTTTTTCTTTTTTGATTGTGAGTCTTTTCAATTAATACCGTTAAACGTTTATTTGAATGCTATTGCTTGCACTGATTCTCTAGGAGAAGCTGAACTACAAATTCATATTACTATGGCGCTACTGAGATTTTTGCCTCTTTTTTAAAAAAAACTAATAAAAACGGGGACAGTGAAAACAGCTGTTTTCCTTCGTTTGGGTGGCATCATCTATTGCGTGTATCAGAGATAGGCTGTGGATCAACTGGGTACCTGTGTAGAACAAAGAAAGAGGGCTCTAAAATATTTTCTTTAATCCCCAATGAAAGATATATATGAAAGCTATAACAACATGAAAGAAAAGATGAAAAATGTGATTATGAAATCCCAAAACTTAAGAGCTTTCCTGTTCCAGAAGTTAACAGGAGAGATGTGGGTGTGGGTGTTTTTTTGTAGCTTCAGGAGGGAGAGCACCCTGTGCACAGCTGTTAAATCTAACTTATATGCCTTCTACATCCCAACAAAGATGAGATGGGCAGTGACTGGGAGAGCAAGGCAGCAGATGCCTCAGATAGCAAAAATGCCTCGCGGGTGAGTTACTATTCCCATAGAATTTCAGCCCCATCTGTTTGTTTTGCCAGTTCCGGGAAAGGAAACACTTACTGATTGCTAGGCAACAAGCCATCTCTGTCCTCAGCATAAACTATTTGAGAAAAAGCAGCGCACAGAAAAGGGTTTTGCATGGTCCTTTCCATTACCTTCTCAATATTAGGGAGCAATATTTCACATTTTCAACAGGATCAAGCGGATCATTTTTCTTCCTAGGCTTCTTCCTCTATAGGAATAAGGCTCGAAGAATGGGTGCAATATCAGTCTTGAGAAATTGTTCAGTGATCATAATGAAACTTTTGGCTGAACCAAAGAAGCCTACAGTAAATGTAACCTGAAGCAATGAATACCACAGAAGATGTAAACAGAGGTCTAAAAATAATTTCTTATGAGCTCTGAATATTAATGCACTGAGTAATCTGGGAGGTCCAGCGGTAACCAATTTCACCCTCTTACATCAAAATGAACCTCACACTTTTCTTTTGAGATCAGATCTCAAATAAGAGTGGGCAGCAGATTGTTCCACAGTTTTCCCAACACCACTAGTAAAAAGTGCAGGTAGAGAACTATCAAAAAGTTGCCTGCAGGAGCTTATTTCCCCAGACAATATAAAGTCATTAATTACACTTTGTGGTAATTTAAAATATCACTTTTCTGAAAGTGCAAAGTATTCAGTTAGTCTCAGAGCCTTGCAGTATAATCTGTTATATTGCCTCCGATTGATAAATTACACATTTATGGTAATATTTCTGATTAGAAACATTGATACCAAACCACCTAAGTCATAAATGCTTGGTGCAGTTAACAGACAATACACAAGGTTTATATAAAAGCTGCCCTCAAAACATACTGTTCTTTCATGAGTAATTTGCACTGAATATTAACAATGCAGATATATAATAGCCTTCAGTTCAACAGAAAAGCCACTACAGCTTTACAATGAATGGAATCAAAACGAGATCACCAACACACAGACCAGCAACTATAGTGTGTGTACACACACACACACACACACACACACAAAAGTGTGAAGCATAAATAAGAGTCTAGGCATACAAATAAGGATGGAAAACACAAAAAAGAATGCTGCAGTTTTATAGAAACCAGTCTCTTCTTTATAGAAACGGTCTTTTGTCCTAGACATCATTCAATTGGCAAAGTATAATCCTCTAAGATGTTATTGTTTTAACTTGCCCAGAAATAAAAGATGAAGGAACAAAGACAAAGTTCAGAACATGCAGATTGTTCACCCATTTCTGAATGGCAAGTTGGGCAATCACACATCCAAGCATTCTCGCTGCAATTTAAAAAAAATCTTCTCTGACTGCTAAACAGGAGCACCCGATTAATTCAAAATTCTGTAGATGCACAAATCAGATATCTTCTCCATATCAATGGCCTTCTAGGAACCGTGGGACTGAGGTGAGTGATTATTTTGCAGAGATCCTCGGACACACAGTCTTGCTTACGATCTACAGAAAGCGATAAGGGGTGTTTACTTCCCCCTTTTTTACGCTCTAAAATATGCATGCATCTGAGGGCAAGGAAGTGGGTTGGCATCAGTGAGAGAGATCAACCAAGGCAAATGCAATCAGGCTTATGGCAATAGGTGCACCCAGGTCAGTCCTGGAAGCTAAATGTCCATGGGCCAAATCAAGCAATGCTAAATTATTGTTAATTTGTAGCAGAAATGCACATTTATGTTTTAAAGAAAGGAAGAAGCTCAAGCAAATTATCTTTCCTCAACATGGGTCCAATGCTACTGCCATACGAATAATAAATTGCACAGTGGCAGGTAATTAAAACAGGAAGAACTCAGACCCTATATAGTTTTAAAAAATACAGAAGTGACATAAACATATAGTCCTGCTTTCTGACATGTCAGTGTTAGGAGAACTGATGGGTAGGCACAAGAGATAGGGTCTTTTTGGTGGTGGTTCGAAAGCTTTGCAATGCTCTCCTTGTTTAGACTCAGTTCATACAGGGTCACAGTGAAGCCTATATCTTTTTTGTGAAACTAGGCAAAACTTGCCTGCTTTCCCCTTATTTTGCCGAGTTCTGTTGCTTTAAGCACTTTTTATCCAGTATACCTGAAGGAGCATCTCCACCCCCATTGTTCAGCCCAGACACTGAGGTCCAGCTCCGAGGGCCTTCTGGCAGTTCCCCCATTGTGAGAAGTGAGGTTACAGGGAACCAGGCAGAGGGCCTTCTCGGCAGTGGCACCCTCCCTGTGGAACGCCCTCCCATCAGATGTCCAGGAAATAATAAAGTATCTGACTTTTAGAAGACATCTGAAGGCAGCCCTGTTTAGGGAAGTTTTTAATGTTTGATGTTTTATGGTGTTTTTAATATTCTGTTGGGAGCTTCCCCGAGTGGCTGTGGAAACCCAGCCAGATGGGTGGGGTATAAATAATAAATTACCATCACCATCATCCAAGTCTGGTGCACCTTCAATATCAGACCTTGGTGACATAAACTGCCTAAAGAAACGGATTGCAGCAAAGGAAAGCGAGATAAAGCAGACTTCTCTCCTTAGCCCTTTTTGTGTAAATATGACCACCAACCCCATTTTATATATGAACTGGCAATTGGCCAAGAACCTTCCAAATAACTAAGGGCAACCCTTATCCACTCACTTCCTTCTCTACCTTCCCTGGGAGCAAGAAAAATCTTCCATAACTGAGCCTCACTTCTTTCTTCCCCGGACTTGCCCTGCTTCTTCCCTTTCGAAGTACATCATGAAAGTCAGGATTACTTGCCTGCCTCTTCCCTGATTCACCAGCAATGGTGATCTCTCTTCTCCTTCCTCTTATCTGCATACAGTATATAGGTGCTTGTACAGACATTCATATCAATCTAGTGATTTCTGGCACGGTTGCCAGAACTACGCTACACCCCATTAACAACCGTAGTAGATATGGCTCCATGAGTATCATCGCCTCTCAAATGGTTAGGGAAACTGCATCAGTGGCGATGTGCAGAATGCAATGCTCAGATGCCTTGCAATGCACACAAAACCTCAGAACAAGCATGGATTACTACATAATGTATACTCTGTGTATACCAGTGATTCCCAAAGTGGGTGGTATCATCCTCTTGGTACCTAAGGAGGTGCTAAGTGGCATGGAGTATTCAAATTAGAAGGTCAGAGGAGCAATAAAGACATACCTCCAGAAATGTTCACTTTAAGCATGCCACTCCCATATATAAATGAATGTTCTGGAACCTTCTAACTGTTTCTGTCAGAATGATTCCCTAACATGGAGGTTTTCAGACTTCGAAAAGATGGCATCACTGGATAAACTTCATCAATTTTGTTGAATTAGTTTAGCTAAATAGTTTTAATTGGATTTTGAATAATTGTGCAATTAATTGTTCCTGTCTTGAATTATAACTGTGTTATTAGACTCCTTAGTTGGTTGTGCAAACCACTATTCTGAATAATGCTTTTTATGGAGTAGAGGGGCACTGGGGGGTGAGTTTATGGAACCGAGGGGGTGGTCGTGGCTCCCAAATGTTTGGGAACCACTGGTGTGCATAGTGTCACTGAACAGGTGAATGGCGCACTGGGGGGAAAGAGGTCACATGGAGCTCTACGTACTACAGCTTGTATTGCAGAACCTCAACTTGGGGGGGGCGGAAATACAGAAAAGCTCTTATGAAATAAATTCAAGTACCTGACATGCTGCTGGGAATCAGCAAAAGGTAGTCATCCTCATTTCTCTTTTTCACCAGTTATCACCTGTCAAGGATTTAAAAAGACAACAATTTCAACAAGTGTAGCAAACAGAACAACCAGCTGTTTTCATTTTTTTAATGTTTTGATGTGATTGTTTTATTCATATTATAGTAAAGGGTTTCTTTCTTTCTTTTTCTTTTTACACTTTGCAAACTGCTTAGAAGCTTATTTTGGCATGAAGTAGCATTAACAACAACAACCTGTTTGCCACACGTTCCTTATACAGTGATACCTCGGGTTACAGACGCTTCAGGTTACAGACTCCACTAACCCAGAAATAGTACCTCGGGTTAAGAACTTTGCTTCAGGATGAGAACAGAAATCATGCGGTAGCGGCGCAGCGGCAGCAGGAGGCCCCTTTAGCTAAAGTGGTACCTCAGGTTAAGAACAGTTTCAGGTTAAGAACGAACCTCCAGAACGAATTAAGCTCTTAACCCGAGGTACCACTGTATATTTATTAAATATTTATCTTAAACCTGTCTTTCAGCCCCCAGCTCCTCAAAATGGCTAACAATTAATGGTTAGATTATTACAACAAAAGAAACACAACTCAATACCGGACCACTAAGTACCAATGGAAACTGGTCCATTAGAATGAATGGGATGCTTAGTCTTCACTCAGCCAGCCCCCACTTGCCTGCCTTCTTACGTGCAACCAGAATAGGACATAGCAGTGCCTGTCACTCTCCTCCTCCTTAGTCTCTGCATTGCATACCCTCCAAAATTCCTCAGGTGAAAATAGGGACATTTCTCACTCCCCACAACTGACCCTCCTCACCCCCCCCATTTTTGGTGTGTCCCCCCCCCCACTGCAGTACATTTCCTTCACCACTTGTAGCAATCACACAGGGTCCCCGGATGTTTCACTGTCTATTGATCCCTGTGCTACCACTTTATTTCTTGCTGCCACCACCCAGGTCCTACCTGGTACAATACTGAGTCCAGTCAGGGTTAAATTGGAACATAAACTTCTGTTTATTAATTGCAGTTTAACAAGCGTGTGGTTTCATAAATGGTATTGGTCCGTTACACTCATGGGTTGCCTATCCAGACCTATAACTTCCGCTACCTGCTCTCCCTCATTAAACCATCTCTCACATTTACTTGTCTTCCTAGTTCCTAACTGTTCCTGACTCAGCTTATTTCGCTACACTAACTCAACCAACCCACAGACTCTATCCCAATTCACTCCCACTCCAACCAACCACCCAACTCCCAACGAACTCTTCCCAGAGCTGGTTTTATAGTCCCTCTGACTCCACCCCCTGGGTTCTGATTGGGTAACCTGTTTAACTATTTCACCTCCAGCACTCTCATATGTTAACGTTACACCACTACACCAACGGGATACAGAACACATACTTTCCGCCCTCCTAAGCAGTGCTTTTTTTCTGGGGGTACGCATACCCCTAAACATTTTGTGAATCTAAGTTTGGCCTCATTGAGGGGCAGTATTTCAATATGAGTGGGGAAATGAGAGTACCCCTAAACATTTTTTTTTAAGAAAAAAAGGACTGGTCCTATGGAAACCCCTTAATCCTGGTTTTTATTTTATTTTCTTCTTTGGTAAAATAAAACCCTGAGGGGGTTTGCATGCCTTGGGTGGAAGGAGAGTTTTTGTGCAGACATAGGAGACAGAAATTCAGCGTCAGAGAGCAGCAGAAAGAGTAATAGATTGCTTTGAAGTCATTTATGCACCTGGTAAAGTAATTTTTAGTCCCCAATTCCCCCCCAACCCATCCCATATTTTGCCTGACCTGTCCTTTATTTTGCCTGACCAAAGGTGGCAAGCTTAGCTCACATCCAGTCTAAAATGGTCAAGTTCAGGCCCCAGACCAGAACTGCCACCTCCTCCCTGGGATAGATGGACGAAGAGAGTTTGGTATCACAGGCATACCAATAACACTTCTGTCTGCATTCCCAGTTGACCTGGCACAGCCTTGTCATGTCCCTGCATTTCCTTTGCTAACATAGCTTTCCTCCCTCAAAAAGTAAGTGACAAGCTCCACTACCTGAAACATGGCCCATAAATTTAATATAAAATGAGACATGTTCGTTCCTTATTGGCACCTAGCACTCTAAAAATACACTTTTTGCAGCTGCAAACCATAGAACAAACCTTGGTTACAACTCATGGTTTGTCTGGAGAGAACTAAACCACAAGCCCTGGTCTGAATGACACTTGAAGCCAAAACATGGCTTAGCACAGCACAGCAGTAGAACAACCAGGGAGGGCCTTCTCCGTGGCTGCTCTCAGACTTTGGGACTCCCTCCCTATAGAAGTTCGACTGGCTCCCTCCTTGTTGTTCTGCCAACAGGTGAATACTTGGTTCAACAGGCTGCTTCTAATGAAAGGGCTAGTATCGTGCTGTTTTTATTTCAATCATTTGTATGTTTTTAATAGCTTTTATCAAAGGGACGCGGGTGGCGCTGTGGGTTAAACCACAGAGCCTAGGGCTTGCTGATCAGAAGGTCAGTGGTTCGAATCAACGCGATGAGGTGAGCTCCCGTTGCTAAGCCCCTGCTCCTGCCAACCTCGCATTTCGAAAGCATGTCAAAGTGCAAGTAGATAAATAGGTACCGCTCCAGCGGGAAGGTAAACAGCGTTTCCATGCGCTGCTCTGGTTCGCCAGAAGCGGCTTAGTCATGCTGGCCACATGACCCGGAAGCTGTATGCCACCTCCCTCGGCCAGTAAAGCGAGATGAGCGCCGCAACCCCAGAGTCGGCCACGACTGGACCTAATGGTCAGGGGTCCCTTTACCTTTACTTTAATAGCTTTTATACAGATATAGTTTTAATTCTATCAGTGTTTAATTGCTTTTAATGACTGTTTTTTCCCTATGTTTTTAGCTGTGTCAGGGAAAAGGAAGGGTATAAATAAATATTATATCCTCTCTGGTAACCTTCACATTTGCTTGTTTACCCTACCAGGCATGGCCAAACTTGGCCCTCCAGATGTTTTGGGACTACAACTCCCATCATCCCTAGATAACAGGACCAGTGGTCAGGGATGGTGGGAACTGTAGTCCCAAAACACCTGGAGGGCCGGGTTTGGTCATGCCTGCTAAGCCACGGTTTGGCTTAGTGTTACATGTAAACCAGGCCAGTACCTCTAAATTGAGATACATTTGTGATGCCCACAGCTGATGAAAACTTGTATCACATCACCATTGCCATCATCTTGGAAGTTGGCAAGGGGGTTATACTGTGTTTTACAGTTTTTGCTAGTGGTAGCCCTGTCAATCTCATTTTTAGGATGCTGTTCAGACTCTCCTGAAATGAAAGACATACTGTGTCTTTGTTACAGCAATCATGATGAAATTTGCTTTCAAAAAAAACGATGTCTAGCTACTTCCTTTACAAGCTTTTGCTAATAATCACAACCCTTTAATGTCTCATATGCTTTCCCTGAAGGCTGGAGAGAAGATCTGAAATGCTGTTGCTCCTAGTTTATTTCATTATTAGTTTAAGGTACTTATTTCTTATATCCTGCTCTACGTTTAAGGAACAGCTGTTTGGGGAAAACTTTATTTTGAGTGGATTCGTATAATGCATCACAATGCAATAAAATTCATTATTTGTGTGTTTTAATGCACACCACTTGGGCTTCCTTTAAAGTATAGCATTGACCTATTAATATAATGAATAAAAAATAAATTCCCACGAAGAAGCCCAGCAAATGAAACAGGACATTCTTTCTACTTAGATTATTTCCAGTGAGGAATCCCTCCATGACATTTATGAGGGATATTATCCTCTAGCTCCCCCCTGTGGGTATCTGATATTATTCTTTTGGAAGACATCCTGTTCATACGTAGCCTGAATTTAGCATGTAAACAATATATAAGGAAGGTAGCGTTCCATTCGGAATGGGGCCCCTGTTAGCAGAAGCTTTGATAACACTTAGCAACCAAACCAAAGACTTATTTTGCTATCTCTTTCCGCCCGGAAAACTCAATGTGTTGTTACAAGGTGCTATACCATACCAGTTCCTTAATATAAATCAGTTTACCTTAGGGTTTGCATGGCATTCTGCCATTTAACGCTGAACATTAAAAATCAGACCTTCTCAAAATGGGGTAGAGATGGACTGGTGAGAAACGGTTAATTCACTTGAAATCTGAAATTATTTTTAATACGGAAAAGAGCATATCAAGGCCAGGCAATGGAGGCTATGCAGTACTTCCTACAAATAGACTCTGAACGGAAGAGCGAGACTATTCAGTGCAATTGGTAAATGAACATTACTCATCCACCCACACTGGAATTATGTAGATCAATGGTAAAAGTATGTTTACTCTGAAATCGGAAAGGTTTGTTTCCCAACAAGAGTAACACATTAAGGAGTATGTCACTACTGCTAATTTGTCTATTAAGACATCGTTCTGACAAGACATTCCATGTTTTGTTATCCATATGGGTAACCCCAGTTTCTGAATGCGCAATACCAATAATGAAGAGCAGTGAAAAAGAGTTTAAGAAATGCAATATGTTCTCCATTTACAATCATTCTGGAACACAGAGATTCTATTTAGCTTATTTTCCACTGGTCCAACTTTCCCCCCTCTTTTTACTCAGAGACTTGCAGCAGTGCTCTAAATAATTTATCTCATGAATGAGGCACAGTTTCTCCCATTCCACGTGAAAGTGGAAATTTTCTTTAAAATTTTAGTGATAGCAGACGGAATTTTCTTCACCGCCCTTTCATAGCAAAAGACAAGTCTGACGTTAAACTTTCCTTGTTTTTGCTGAATCAATTCAGGACACATTAGCTCTCGTTTAAATTTCAATAAGGGACAGTTTATCTTCTGTGTTAATTTTCATTACCGTTCTTTGTGCAGTCAAGAAATGATAAGTGGTTTTCTGTCACCATTTCCAGGGCATCGTGAATTACTCACTAGCTCTGGAAAAAGACTAATAAAAAGTCAACTCGCAAAATAACAATTTTTAGGCAACTTTATTAGAAGACACATGAATCATAATCTTTAACTGGCAGTCTCACCTTTAAAAAAACACATCTCCAAAAAGTGCTTACATGATTTTTTTAAGACAAAGGCAACTTTTTCTATTGTACATTGACCATCACTCTACTGAAGGAGTGACATGCACCCTCTGATAAAAGTTCATACTACTAAATGACATTTTATATTTCTTTTCCCACTTTTATTGATGTTTCAGTGGTTCAGGATTTGTACATGCTCAAGCTTTTCTTACCCAAATCATTAAACAGATGATGATTTGGGGGAGGAAAGCCATTCTTGGCTGCTGGAAAGGTATACCAAGTCTTAAGGAATTAATTAGGGTTGCCATACGTCCAGGATTACCCAGATATATCCGGTATACTGGAGTCGGCAGCAGCGTACACATGGAATGGACAAATGTCCAGGAAAATCCATACCTATGGCGGCACATGGAGGCAGTGCCGTTTTTGCTGTTTTTCCATAGAAATAGCTCAAAGAAAGCTCAACAACTTTGGGCAGAACTAAAAATATATTTAAAGCACATGTTGCTGTTGTTGTTTAGTCTTTTAGTCGTCTCCGACTCTTCGTGACCCCATGGACCAGAGCACGCCAGGCACTCCTGTCTTCCAGTGCCTCCTGCAGTTTGGTCAAGCTCATGTTAGTAACTTTGAGAACACTGTCCAACCATCTCGTCCTCTGTCGTCCCCTTCTCCTTGCGCCCTCCATCTTTCCCAACATCAGGGTCTTTTCCAGGGAGGCTTCTCTTCTCATGAGGTGGCCAAAGTATTGGAGTCTCAGCTTCACGATCTGTCCTTCCAAGTGAGCACTCAGGGCTGATTTCCTTCAGAATGGATAGGTTTGATCTTCTTGCAGTCCATGGGACTCTCAAGAGTCTCCTCCAGCACCATAATTCAAAAGCATCAAATCTTCGGCAATCAGCCTTCTTTATGGTCCAGCTCTCACTTCCATAAAGAAGGCTGATACATTCCCCCAAAGAATGCTGGGAACTTTAGCAGTGTGAGGGGTAAACTACAGTTCCCATGATTCTTGGGGGTGGGGGAATCATTTGCTTTAAATGTGCTTTATATACAGTGGTACCTTGGGTTACAAACGTGTCAGGTTACAGACTTCGCTAACCTGGAAGTAGTACCTCGGGTTAAGAACTTTGCTTCAGGATGAGAACAGGAATCACGTGGCGGCAGCGGGAGGCCCCATTAGCTAAAGTGGTGCTTCAGGTTAAGAAAGGTTTCAGGTTAAGAACGGACCCCCGGAACGAATTAAGTTCTTAACCAGAGGTACCACTGTATACCTATGGTGGGCATGCAACGAGTTCTGATGGTGATACTTTGGGCCTAGTCAGATGTTTTCGTAAAATTCAATCGACGAACTAACAGCGGGGGAAAGTCTCCAGGTCACATGCATCCCTTCTGTGACTGTACACAGAGTTTAAAGATCATGTCAGAGTGCATAGCTTTTCCCTGCACATTTGAGTTTTCCAATGTTTTGCGAGTAGTATCCTTGCTGCTGTTGTTGCATACATAAAAATGTCTGGTCCTTCTTTGCCACCCCTTGGCTGACAATACCCAAAAGGAAAGCCTCTGGTTTCTTAGTGAAAGTATATTTAAATACCTTTTTCAATTCATTATAAATCATTTCCCAGAACGCCTTCACTTTAGGGCAGGTCCACCAGAGGTGAAAGAACGTTCCTTCACACTCTTTACATTTCCAGCACTTGTTATCAGACAGGTGGTAAATTTTTGCGAGTTTGACTGGGGTCATATACCATCTATAAATCATTTTCATTACATTTTCTTTCAAAGCATTACATGCAGTAAATTTCAATCCATTACTCCACAGCCTTTCCCAGTCCTCAAACATAATATTATGCCCAATATCCTGTGCCCACCTTATCATAGCCGATTTAACCATTTCATCTTGTGTATTCCATTCCAACAGCAAGTTATACATCCTTGAAAGTATCTTAGTCTTTGGTTCTAACAATTCTGTTTCTAATTTCGATTTCTCCACCTGGAACCCTAGTTTCTTATCATTTTTAAAAACTTCTTTAATCTGAGCATAATGTAACCAATCTCGCACTTTGTCTTTCATTTTCTCCAAACTCTGCAGTTTCCAATTGTCTCCGTCTTTTTCTAGTATTTCCCAATATTTTGGCCATTTGGCCTCCATATTGGGTCTTTTTCGGGCCTTAGCTTCCAAAGGTGAAAGCCACCTTGGTGTTTTATTTTCCAGCAAGTCTTTATATTTTGTCCAGACATTAAACAGTGATTTTCTGACAATATGGTTCTTAAAGGCCTTATTTGCTTTAACTTTGTCATACCATAAATATGCATGCCATCCAAAAACATTGTTAAACCCTTCCAAATCTAACACATCAGTGTCCTCAAGAAGTAGCCAATCTTTTAGCCAGCAGAACGCTGCGGCATCGTAATACAACTTTAAGTCCGGCAGGGCAAAGCCCCTCTTTGTTTTGCATCACAAGCTGCCTGCATTTCATCTCCCTGACACTTTCCGAAGGTTGAACGGAAAAAGACAGATTTTGGGATAGAGGGAAATCAGAACACAGAAGTCCTGTTTACACAATGTGAACCATGCATCCAGAATATGTGGAGGGAAGAGCAAGACCAACCCTACTTTCTCTGTTCTGGTTCTCCACACACCTTCATCCATACTGTTGGATGTAGTGGGATATGGCAAGAGGGAGGGAAGAGAGAATGGGCACATGCCTACCACTGTTGCTGTTTAGTCATTTAGTCGTGCGCTACTATATTGAAATTCTCAATGTGGATACCTGACTTTTGCCCCCCAGCCAGCCTAATCACAGCTCCAGAGGGAGAGGTGATTTTAATCAGGAAAACAGCAGAAGGAAAAAGTTAAAACTTGTCCTCCATCACCACTTCCAGGGTCAAAATTAGCAGCAACCCTCCCCCATCAGTTGCTTTGAAGTTCATAAAAATACCCCAGGAGGTCCATTCACAGATTGTCCTTCAGTCTCCTGTTGAAATTACTGAAATGCACAAGCAGTTGAAAAGAATGGTTTCATTTTTTATATATGAAAAAAATACATTCTCAGCCAGATCTTTACAAGATCTTTCATCTAAGTAATTTAAAAAGTTTTCCAACATGGTTTTTCAGAATACTCAATCATTCAAAAGAGCAAGAGAGAAACAAATTCTGTATCTACATATCATTTTATTTATTTTTAGCCCTCACAGAAAAACACAAACAGCAGACCCGCCCCCGCGCCCCCAGCTATCCCTATTTTCCAGGCACAGTGCTGGATTTACAAAAGCCAGCCTGGTTTCAGATTTGATCCTGGAATGTCCTGCTTTTCCTTAGAACGTTCCTAATTTCACTGGCGAACTGTTGGAAGGTATGGAGTTATGTGACCCACAAGCAAGGAGATAAGCAACTACACAACCTTTAGAAGACATCTAAGGAAGGGGAAAATGTTTTAGACTATTGTTCTCCAGTAAGTAGGGAAAGATCTGCCACTGGGATTTGGCCTCCCCTAAGGTAGGTCACATCAGTGACCCTGCCACATAACATATATACGGGGGGGGGGGGATAATAATAAGTGGGTTCCATACATCCACCATGTGCATACATGCCAAAATATTAATGAGGGAAAATTCACCGTCATAACAACAATTTGAAAAGTCTACTTTCAGTCAAGCTTCTGCTTCTAAACTTCTACGGTATAAAGTTCTCTGTGCTTAAAAGTTATGCACAATTAGGCTAGAATCCCTGAAGTCTACCTTATGGGTGAATGAGCACAAAGTACTGCAAACTGGTGTCATTTATACTCTATGGAGCTGGAAGAAGATCTAAGATGCTTTTGGCCTACTTATGGAAGGCCCAGTGGGAACAATCTGAAGTTGCCTCCTCTGCTGCTTGTTTCTTATGTTTTTCTTCTTAGAAATGCAATTTTTACTGACTTGGTTTCAATAACACCTATCAAAAGCTCTTCATGTTTGCATTATTTGATTTGGTCCTCATCTGGGGAACCAACCCACATAAAGCATGTGAAAATTATGTTTAAAAATGCCCTCACTTAATGTGCAGCATCAAAAACATATTCTGAGGATTATTTGAACTCTTCCGTGTGTGTATTGAAAACTTTGTAAAGTGAAAGAGATGGATTGGACAATTTTCACATAGGCAAAGGTCATATGGTTGATGTAATCTATTAGAATAGTGAATCAGCTATGTAATCTTTGTCTATTTCCTCAGGTGACAGTCACATGTCTTCTGCATGTCTTCTGCACCCGGTGAAGTTTTTGTTTGGAGAAAAGGCAAGTAAGATGGCAAGTGAGAGAGGTCTACAAGATTGGGCATGGCACATAGAAAGTAAATAGGAGAGCAGCTAATCTTTGAAACATTTACATCTGCAATTAAAATCGTATTCCTTTCATTATTAATGTTAGCAATTAGATATTATTGTTCTCATAAGGAAGAAATGTTCTCATTTGACAGATCACCCACAACATAGCGCTATAGTACCTTTGTATAAAAGGTCACAATTTAAATTTAAAGAACTAAATATGGTCTCTTTTATGGTAATAGCTACTCCTTTGAATGAAACTGGATGATAAACTTATATTTCTTCCTGCATTTGTATTTTCACAGTGCCTAGCTTCACAATGTGAAATTTTGCTTTAAATGTCAAATGGAATATGAAATGCAGCAATGGTACAATAACAATTTAATGTAATTGTACAGGTACACACTCGTATAATTCTGTATATATTTATGGGAAGAGAAAAAGAATATTGCTGATTACAATCCAGGATACACATAGTGCTATTTTTCTAGAAAAAGAGGTGCTAGAATTCACCACTTTCCTCGTTCTCTTATAATGGCAATGGTGCCCATGTGAGAGGTGAAAGAACTTTGTTCCCTTTCACAGATCTAGTTGTACAATCCTTAGAAATATGACCCTTACCCCTTTCTCTGATAGAGGTTTTCTCATTCAGAATATTCCAGAGTGGTCCTGCATCAAGAAGCAATCTTTTAACAACTATCACCTGCTGAAATATAGCAGCCAAATATTTTAGGGCTATTAACTTTTGTTGTTGTTGTTTAGTCGTTTAGTCGTGTCCGACTCTTCGTGACCCCATGGACCAGAGCGCGCCAGGCACTCCTGTCTTCCACTGCCTCCCGCAGTTTGGTCAAACTCAAGCTGGTAGCTTCAAGAACACTGTCCAACCATTTCGTCCTCTGTTGTCCCCTTCTCCTTGCGCCCTCCATCTTTCCCAACATCACCGTCTTTTCCAGGGAGTCTTCTCTTCTCATGAGGTGTCCAAAGTATTGGAGCCTCAGCTTCACGATCTGTCCTTCCAGTGAGTACTCAGGGCTGATTTCCTTAAGAATAGATAGGTTTGATCTTCTTGCAGTCCATGGGACTCTCAAGAGTCTCCTCCAACACCATAATTCAAAAGCTTCAATTCTTTGGCGATCAGCCTTCTTTATGGTCCAGCTCTCACTTCCATACATCACTACTGGGAAAACCATAGCTTTAACTAAATGGACCTTTGTTGGCAAGGTTATGTCTCTGCTTTTTAAGATGCTGTCTAGGTTTGTCATTGCTTTTTTCCCAAGAAGCAGGCGTCTTTTAATTTCGTGGCTGCTGTCACCATCTACAGTGATCATGGAGCCCACGAAAATAAAATCTCTCACTGCCTCCCCTCAAATTGACAGAAACATATAAGCCAAATACTTTGACCCAGCCTTATAGGTTGTCAAAGGCTTGTGAAAGGGCATGCCTGTTTAACAATACGTAATTCACTGCCTCTTGATGCGTGGAGCAGAATTATGCTGTGGGGTTTTTTTTCAACTAGCAAATGTAAGCTTCCTTTGCAGCTACACCCTAAAATTCTAATTTAGAAAAAAGTGATTTTGTGAAGGTAGTTTCCTAATAATCAGTTGAACGGCAACACGTTTGTGTGTGCTTATGCCTTGCAATCCTCTGGGATGATCAAATTTTCTTTGCAATTCATCAAAAAATTTGGCACAGTGGAAAAAAGATGGCACAGAAATACAGTTAACAACAATTCACACCCTCTTTTACAATTTAATTTCCCTCGTGTTCAGACATGAAGAAAAGCAAATAGGTTAAGGAGTGTGTAACAGCATACAGAAAAAAAATAAATTAAAATCTTTCAGTTAATAATATAAATTTTCTCCGCAGCACTGATTATACAGTTAGATATTACTACGCGTAATGTACCAAATGTTCTACCAATAAATTACCGTATTTTTCGCCCCATAGGACGCACCGGCCCATAGGACGCACCTAGTTTTTTGGGGGGGAAACAAAGGAAAAAAATTTTATTGCCCCCCCAGGTGCGGGGCTGGGGCAGGGGAAGCCCGAGCTTCCCCCAACCCCAGCCCCCAGAACAGGCTGCTATCCGCAAGCCGTGGGAGAACTGTGCGAAGTCGTGCAGCTCTTCCACGGCTAGCGGAGTGCTGCGCGAAGCCCGAAGCTTGGGGCGTGCTGAGCTCAGCGCGCCCCAAGCTTCTGGGTGCCGGCAAGCTGTCTGCTAGCTGTGGGAGAGCTGCGTCTCCCACGGCTAGCGGATAGCTTCCTGAAGCCTGGAGTGCGATAGGTGTCGGGGCGCACCGACCCCCCTCACTCTCCAAGCTTCAGCGAAAGCCTGCATTCGCCCCAAAGGACGCACACACATTTCCCCTTCATTTTTGGAGGGGGAAAAGTGCATCCTATAGGGCGAAAAATACGGTAGTAAACAGAAGGATACTAATTTAGCATTTCAACTTAGATTTTGTTTTGCTTTAATATACGTCTGCAGTGTATATATGGAATATTTAAAATATTTTAATGTCTGCAAACTCACAATTAAGTATTCATGTGTTTTTGAAGTTATATTCTGTTAAGGAGAATGGAACTTTTTTGTTCTTTTTTTAAAAAAGTCACCTACTTAAAACCTTGGTTTTAGTGTAATCTACTATCAAAAATGAAATGTTTAAAGAGAAACACAAGCAGAAGGTAAGAGATGAAAAACACAGGTTCATATATAACAGCTTTATTTATTTTTTCCTTTTGGTAAAAAAAAAAAAAAAATCCTAAAGCTTCTACAGAGTTGAAAATTCTATGCTACCACCCAAGACATAGTGACGACTGGTAAAAATATTTAAAATGTAGCATTGCTTCCTATGCCAAAAGACACTAATAAAGAGACAGTACCAATAATGACGCAGAAATTTAACACCCTATAAATGCTTTATTTAGATGTAATTCTGCCTACACCGCGTAATAAAAACAAAACACAGGTCAGAGTTTTCACACACCCTTTTCTGGCTCTCTCAGACTGTAGCCGTGTTTCTATTCTATGTAAAACCACACCACCACCACCACCATCATCAGTCTATGCATGGAAGAAACATGTGGCATGTGATCCAACCAAAGCTGGGGATTTTATCATAATTCCAGTGTATCTCCATCTAGCACAGCAACTCCCAGGACATCTCATTCAATATTCACTCCATGAAGAATGGAACAACTTTGCATGATCAGCACAATTTTTCCCCTTAGGAATTTAGTTTAAATGATGGGACATGATTAAGATCTTTGGCAAATTGCTACACCCACAAACCCACAGGAGCGGAGGTGATGTCAAAGGTACTTCCCAACTGAGAGTTAACTCTTTATTGTCAAAGTCACTTCTACGCAGTTCTGGAGACCTATTGGTTGGTGCTCTTATGGAGCAGTTGCAGTAACAGAGGACCACCCCCTGTCAGGCTTCGGGGAATCAGATCCCTCCCCCAGTGGCAGCAAAGAAACAGATAAAAAAGATGAGTTCTTACCCATTAGTCTAGTCAATAACCACAGCGAGAGACAAAGGAATGTGGTTTCTCTCTAGAAATGGTGTTGCTCCAAGTAAAGTCCCACTCCCTCTCCGTCTCCCCTACTCTACGTCACCCCTGCATCGGCTAATCTGAGTTTTCTGCCTCTGAGCTCTCTGTTCTCCTACCCTCAATGCCTGCCTGGTCCTGGGAGAAGGGGGGTCAGGAATGCTTTCCATGGACACTGAGTCTGTCAGCTGTCTCTCCCCTGGTTCTTCTTGTGCTTCTGCTTCTTCTGCTTCTTCTTCCTCCTCCTCCTCCTCTTCCAATATTTCCCAGCTTCTGCCCTCTGCAGCCTCTGAACTATGCCCTTCTGCAAACCAATGATCTAAATCTATACCGTCTCCTGTTCCTGGGAAGGTCCAGGAGAAGAGGGGGCAGTTCCCACCATTCCTCCTCTGTCCAGCCCCTGACACTCCCCCTCCATCAGTTTATGTAGCTTCCCACGGGCACAGCTAGAGACTACGCCTGCATGGAAACTTCCATTGCTCATCCCTTTTAAGTCCCCTCTTGGTTCTGGGAGGCAGTGGTGCAGGAGAGGGTGGGGAAGCACCCGGTCCTTCACTTGTCTGATCTGCCTTCTTCCTCCTCTTTTTCCAACCCATCCTGTGCTCCACCCTCCAGCTCTGAAGTTTCCCCTGCCTCTGATTCTTGCCTCCTGGGTTGTACAGGTCACCACAAACCACTTCCCCCTCCTCCCAAGTCAGACACCAGTCCCCCTTCCCCTGGCGCACACTCGCCAGCGTCCTGCCGATCCCTGGCAGGTAATCAGACCTGTGTGAAAGTCCAAGGATACCCACATGGCAGACTGAACCTCCTGGCTTTTTTGACCCTTACTTGGGATAAGGCTAGCACTGAAGTATACTCCAGATCTGGGCCTGCTTGGCTCTGGGAAGAGCTGAGGCTCCCATGTGTGCTATAGAATTCCTCTGTCTCCTGGTCACTGGTGTAACTCAGTGGGGAATCCTCATTTCTGGGTTCCACTTGACAGCTCCCCTGAGGGTCTAAGCTGCCACCTCTATCCTGCTCCAGCTACAAGTGACCTCTGCCTTATTCAGGACTGGCAGAAGCAAATACCCTGTTGGAGGGGATTCTAGGAAACAGGGAATTATGTTCACCTGTGGTGGGGGTGTAAATATGCACAATTTTGGGGGGCAAAACAGAAATCACTGGGTTAAAGCTGACCAAAAGTCCAGAGGTAGCATTATTATCAAATTACGATGGGGTGGAAGGTTCACAGGCTACGAAGGACTTGCTCACAAATTTACTGACAGCTGCACAAATTATTATAGCCAGGAAGTGAAAGGGGAAAGCAGCATATAAAATGTAAGAATGGTATAAAGAGGTGAGGGATATAGCTATTGATGATAAATTAACATGTGCCATTAAGGTAAGGCAGGTAATATGCAGGAGAAATGATTCTGAGGAGATATGGAGCGTGTTTGTAGAATCTGTACTGTTAAAATGGAAAGGGGTCAAACCATCGCAAGAGGTGTTGAAGTTTTGGGAGGTTGGATAGTTACAATGGAATGGTCTCGGTAGTGGGTGCACTTTTTTATTCTTATTTATTTATTATTATTACTTAGTCTAAATGAATGAATGAAGCAAATAGCCAGCAGGATTTCTCTTCCCTAAGCAGCAGACCCAGCACTGCACAGAGTCAATGCCTGACCCACAGTCCCCAGCGGAAGCCCAGTGAACTTTATGACATATGCCCTGTATCTACAAACCAATGTCGGTGTAAATAAGGTAGCCTCGTAAAAGTGAAAGAGCACACAGAACCCTCGCTCTCTCTGGCAGGCGCACACAACGCATGCATGCACAGAGTATTCTATGCGGCACAGTCTGGGCAGAAAAGGTGAGAAGGACACTGTGATGAAAGTTTGCCTTCAGTCAGTGAGATCGTCAGTTTTCCAGGCTAGTGCACACAAGCTATCAACTATATTTATCCCTCTTGTTTACCCAAGGGCTTGCATACTCAACCACACTCACATAGCTTCTGACTCACTCACTCAAGTTTTCACATGAATTTAATAACCTCGAGTCGGGGGAAGCCACGCAGCGGGTTCTTTCGAAAGCAAGAGCCAGGCTTTCTGCTGTGTGAGACAGGCGACTCGTCGCTCTGAAAGCCTCAAAACAGGAGGCCGAGAGAAGGAGAAACTGGGTCACAATCCTGAGCCTCAACTGCGTGGCATATTTAACTCCCAAGTGTCTCTCTTGACAACGAGGTGGTCTCATTTCCCTTTCCAAACTATGGCTTTGTAGTGGCAGACATGCTGTGCTCCAAATATGACTTTGTCATATACTGTGACTTATTAAATTCTTAAAAGCTTGCATCTTTAAGGCATAGAATCATAGAATTGTAGAGTTGGAAGGGATCACAAGGGTCATCTAGCCCAACCCCTTATAAGGGCCTTTTTGGTAGTGGCGCCTGCCCTGTGGAACACCCTCCCATCAGATGTCCAGGAAATAAACAACTATCTGACTTTTAGAAGACATCTGAAGGCAGCCCTGTTTAGGGAAATTCTTAATATTTGATCTTTTATTCTGTTTTTAGTGTTCTGTTGGGAGCCGCCCAGAGTGGCTGGGGAAATAATAATAATTATTACAATAATAATAATTATAATGCAGGAATTTTTCACCCAGCATGCGGCTCATATGAGATGAAGAGCCTCATGTTCTACTAATTGAGCTATCCCAGGTGATGTTATCAGGAACACAGAGAGCTACCTTGTAATAAGAAGTTGATTTTTCCATCTACGGTGGTACCTCGGGTTACATACGCTTCAGGTTACATACGCTTCAGTTTACAGACTCCACTAACCCAGAAATAGTACCTCGGGTTAAGAACTTTGCTTCAGGATGATAACAGAAATCGTGCTCCTGTGGTGCGGCGGCAGCGGGAGGCCCCATTAGCTAAAGTGGTGCTTCAGGTTAAGAACAGTTTCAGGTTAAGAACGGACCTCCGTAACGAATTAAGTACTTAACCCGAGGTACCACTGTAGTACTGTCTACCCCAGGAAGTGGGGAAACTGGGCTTGTGGGACAATCTTGTCCCACCAAGCAACCCTTCACCAATCAGGTGACATCACTTGTCAATCATCTGTTGACTCAGGGCCTTGCCATGCCTCCCTCAGATCTCTACCCTGATTGCCAGTAGCTCCCAGGCCATGGCCTCTCCCACCACCCACATGGTGATGCCGGGAAATGAGACGGGACCTTCTGCCCGCAAAACAAGGCTGTACCGCCCAGCTACAATCTTTCCCACAAGGAAGATATTCTTCAAAGAAGCAGAAAGCACCATCTGGCCAAGAAAACTAACAGATCACTGTGAAAGATAATGAGATTTTCAACTCAGTGCAATATTGGCTTGCTTGATCATGATGCAATATTATTATTTTTTGAGCCCATTTCAAAATCGTATCTCGGCTGTGTAAAAGGGCCTCCTTTCCAGGAGTGTGGGAGGAGGCTCGCAAAAGCCTTTGCAAATGTCCCCCCACTTTAAGACTGTGGCGCAAGGGATTTCGACTGGTGTCCAAAGCATGTGATAGCAATGCAACTAACATGTCAAATTTGGCCCATAAACAAGAACTAGTAAGTATTGGGCCCACGGAGCTCAAAAGGTTCCCCACTCATGGGCTAACAGCTGAAACCATCAAGGTGGCAATAGGTCAGAGATGGAGAGATGAAGGGGGCAATATGCCAGAGATTGGGGGTGGGGCTGTTAAGGTGCCTTTCCTCAGTTCTTGGCAGGACGGAAGCAACTCCTATGCTTACAGCTGATGGAGCGCTGGGAAGAAAGGTTCAGGGTGGGTCTCCAGTACATGCTCCCATCAAGTTGGATTTTGGGGGGTCTAATGCTTCAAAATATCCACATTAAAGCAATATTTATTTTTAAAGCATATATCACATCGGGGGGTTCTGTTTCCCCCCAGTGTGTCTTCTGAAACTCTTACTATAGTTCAAGGCTTTAGTTGTTCCTATCTCCAGCACTTTCCCCCCTTTTTCCTTTTAGAAAAAGAGTTGCTGGAACTCACCTTGTTTTCTTATAATGGCAATGGCACCCACCTGAGAAGTGCTGGAACTGAATTCCAGTGAGTTTTTCCAGCTGAGAAAAAGACCTGCCTATCTCACTTACCTGGAAGTGAGAGCTGGACCATAAAGAAGGCTGATCGCCAAAGAATTGATGCTTTTGAATTATGGTGCTGGAGGAGACTCTTGAGAGTCCCATGGACTGCAAGAAGATCAAATCTATCCATTCTGAAGGAAATCAGCCCTGAGTGCTCACTGGAAGGACAGATCCTGAAGCTGAGGCTCCAGTACTTTGGCCACCTCATGAGAAGAGAAGACTCCCTGGAAAAGACCCTGATGTTGGGAAAGATGGAGGGCACAAGGAGAAGAGGACAACAGAGGACGAGATGGTTGGACAGTGTTCTTGAAGCTACCAGCATGAGTTTGACCAAACTGCAGGAGGCAGTGGAAGACAGGAGTGCCTGGCGTGCTCTGGTCCATGTGGTCATGAAGAGTCACACACGACTAAACGACTAAACAACAACAATCTCACTTACCTAGTTCAAGACTTTATCTGTCATTCTCTCTGTATAATAAGTGTATGTACTGCACTTCTCCTTCTTTATTAGAGCAGTCTCTATTTTCTGGAACCCAGCCCTGGTAAAACACTCTCCATTTTGTCCTTATTTCTGCCCATTGGGGAAAAAAATTAATTTGCTTTTCAATATCCTGCATCTATCTTCTAACAACATGCTTCTCAGGGTCTCTAGAAGCTAAACCTTGAGTGTCTATGCCCATTTATGCATTCATATGTACATTAAGACACCTCACAGTGCACAAACCTACCATTTCAAATGTTGGTGAGGCTCGTTTTGAGTTGCCGATAGCAGCAGGGCAAGTTTGCTTTCTTTCTTTCTTCTGAAGACATCTTTAATCTAAAGAACAAACGCTTCCCTGCTCTTAAAGCAGAGCAGGACAAGTTATTGCATGACTATAACAGACAGAATGCTGCTTTCAGCAATGAGAACAGACTATTGCAGCACAACTAGTCATTGCTAAAAAATGGAAATCTCCTGTAACAAACCATTTTTCATCAGTGGTACCAAGAGGTCTGGGGCAGAGCACTGATGGAGAAATGGTCACACCAACTACAGCTCTGCAAAATGGAACTGGAACAATCAGTTTCAAAACACCTGGTACATTTTTATCTCCTTTGCAATTAAAGAAAAAGACATTTGCATTCCTCCAGCCACACACTGACAGTTGTGGCTCAGTACTCTAGATTGAGCCAATTAACTTTATTTCCTTATTTTTCTTTTCTATTGTTTTGAACCGGATTGCAACTTATAATGAAATGTTTGTTCTTCATTGTTATTGCCATTAACCTTTGTACTTTTCCACTGAAAATTTATAAATATTCTTTAAAAAAAAAGAAAGAATGATATATTACAAATGTGTTCCTGGTCTTATCTGTGATATGCATGTGGCTTATTCCCATGTTCATTCTGTAAATTGTGTGACCTCAGCCATATCCTAAGATGATGATGATGATAATTTGATTTCTTCGCTTTTTGCAGTGAGGAAACCACCAAATTAATATCTTTTAGCTGTTCACTTTTTATAAAAATGACAAGCTGCTGTAAAACAGTGATTTTTCTATAAACATGTCTCCTCCTGATGGTGCTATAAAGTCCATGGCCAGTTTTCAAACTCAGGGTTATTATGACACCAATATTTAACGGCAAAACACCTTAGAGTCGCACTGGGGCCGACTGTAGTAGCTCCAGCCCTTTTTGTTCTCCAAGAGCAGACCAGAGTGAAGTCTGCCCTGACTCGGTCTGCTCCAGTAGCCCCCCAGGCCGCCGCGGATAGGCCAGAATTTGAATCTGGGTTTGACAGGAACCCAGTAGGCTCCGCGATGGTCAGGGGAGCGGAGCGATGGCTGGAAGGATGGGAAAGCCCAGCACCGGGCCACAAACGACGCCCTCTGCCGGACTGGGTGAGCAGCCATTTTCTGCCTGCTCTTGGAAGGGAAACAGAAGAAACCAAGGAGAATGCAGATTGGGGCTTCAAGGCAGACTATTTCAAGGCTCAATAGGCAAGCTTGCAAGCAGGCAAATTAAAAGATTTGAGATGCTGTGTTTTAAGGAATTTAAAATAAAACGCTCTTCAAAACATCAGGTGCCAAAGCACGTTGTTCTGTAGAATCACAAGACGTCCTGGTGAGCAACACTGCAAACATTTCATGTCATTGTCAACACTTGAGCAAAAGGCACCAATTGACTACACAACACTGAGCTGCTGAAAGAGCTTAACCAGGCAGGGAATCTTACTACACACAATAGGAAATGGGTGCACTTTTCATAATATACTAAAACCAAATCCTTAACTTGCTTCACAGACACAGTCTGTCAAAAACAAAAGTGGGGAAATGTAGGGAGAGATTTTTTTAAAAAAAACACCAAACATACACAACACACACACACACACACACACACCTGCAAGAGATTGGTTAGCATAATCACAACAGTTCATTTTAAAAGAAAAGAAGAAAATAATGCTTAGGAAAACATGGGGTGAGGTGTTTTATACATTAGGCTGCCCACAGAGAGGCCTGCTTAACTTACTTGGCTGTTAATGCATGGTGAGCAGTCTTCTGGTACAGTGGTGCCGCGCAAGACGAATGCCTTGCAAGACGGAAAACCCGCTAGACGAAAGGGTTTTCCATTTTCAATGCGCTTCGCAAGACAAATTTCCCTATGGGCTTGCTTCGCAAGACGAAAATGTCTTGCGAGTCTTGAGATTTTTTTTTCGCTTTCCCCCCCTTTTTCTAAGCCGCTAAGCCTTTAATAGCCTTTTAGCAGCTAATCCGCTAATCCGCTAAGCCTTTAATAGTCGCTAAACCGCTAATAGCGCTAATCCGCTAAGCCGCTAATAGGGTTGCTTCGCAAGACGAAAAAACCGCTAGACGAAGATACTCGCGGAACGGATTAATTTCGTCTTGCGAGGCACCACTGTATACTGATCTGCTGGTTTTTGCCACGCAACTACCTGCCTCTCGTTACGGTCGCTTATGAGCCTACTTCTTGCATTAGCTATATAAACACCATTTCATACCATTGGTCCTGCTCCTGCTATTGCACAGCTCCCCATCCAGAACACTACACACACACACACACACACACACACACACACACACTTCCACCTCATCTGGAAACCTGCATGATGACTGGGGTTTTAAACATACAAAAACCTTTGCATGAAGGCTTCCCCCTAAGGAGATGGTGACACTGAATGCATGGATATAAGGTGGGCAGGACTGAGAGCCATTATGCAATAGTGGCAGCCATTGGCATGTCCTCACTGCCTCTTCTGCACATGGAAACAGCTTCACATGAATAATGCACCTAACCATCACAGGATACTCCTGCTATTACTGTATAGTTATTTCTACAGGGCAGCGGCGTAGCGTGGGTTGTCAGCACCCGGGGCAAGGCAAGTAATTTGCGCCCCCTAACCCGGGGCAAGGCAAGTAATTTGCGACCCCTAACCTGCTGCCGCTGCCAGCTTCTTCTTGCTGCTGCCTGGTCTGGTCTGGTGTGGTTCTCTCCCGCGCTCAGCGCTGCGCTGGGTGGCCGCTGCACTGTCCCTCCCCCAGATAGTCCCTCGCTCTCTCTCCGCACCGCACGCCTGGCACCCACCCCTCCACAGTGGGCGGCGACCCAGCGGCTCGGATCGGATTCGCACAGCCAGCACTGCAGTGAGAGAGAGTGAGTGAGCCAGGTAGGGGCAGAGAGCTGCGAGTGCGAGCGCGCCCCCCCAGATGTTGCGCCCGGTGCGGCCGGCCCCCCCTGCACCCCCCACGCTACGCCACTGCTACAGGGTCTAAGGTTCTCTACTCTTAACAGGATTCGTTCTAGTGTACCTGCACTGTACTTAGCATTCACTCCCACTAATGGTTTAAGCAGAAATTACAAGAGAAGGCAATAATTCCACAATGGTGGGTACTCTTGGCTCTTCTTGTCTCGGCAAAATGCCTTGAAAATCAAATCAACAAAATGAAAATGATGTAGTCTTAATCATAAAACAAAACAAACGAATGAAGGGGTTGGGGGGGGGGGGAAATAGGTGCAGAAACTGTAAAATAGGAATTATAAAAACTAAATAAACAAACTGAACCAGAATACCGATCAATATCCAACAGACAATGAAGAAGGTCGATCAGCTTGTTAATCCAAAAGTATGGTGCATGCAGCTAAACAGATATCAAAAGCCCAAATGCATTCCGGTCTCAAAATATCTTCACCAACACAAAATTATGCAACCTTCTTTAAAATAAAGCCATTCCTGCAGGCTATTATAAAATTCAAAGTCAAAGAGTAAGCAAGCATTCAGGTAACATTTGAGGTGGAAGCCGTAGAAGAAACCTAAAGCACTGGAGAGGTTTAATTCCTAAGTTGTTCAGTTTTCAGCTCACAGTGTCTATAGGAGAGATAGTCAATGTGGTCCCTTCCAGATGTTGTGGGACTTGAACTCCCTTCAGCCTCAGCCAGCAGGGGCAATGTTATTCATCAGGGATGAAGGGAGTTGCAGTCTGGCACTGGAGGGCTGCCGTAGATGTCATGCATATCTGAGTGTGCTTGTATGATGCTTTTCCTAAACGAAGAGCCTAGTGCAATCGATAAAAATAGAGCATTAGGGTTCAACAGGGAGGTCCTCTGTTCAAATTCTTGTTCAGCTAGGATTCACTGGAATATCTTGGCCAAGTCTTTATGTCTATACTTGCTGTATGATCTGAACAGTAAAACATTTTCTTCATCAACATAATTTTGTAAGAATAATGAAAAATGTGCTGTTTTAAAATTTACAAAGATATTTTGAAAAACACAGAAAGATGTAAAAAAAATTTAAAAAATGAAGAGTACCTTTGTGAAAGCATTGTCTGGCTGATACTTAACCACCAATATCCCAAACGTTTTACCTTTGCACTGCTCTGTGGAGGTTTCACCATGGAAGTTAACTCTGAGATGAAGAGACAAGAAGGATCTGGCACAGTAACGCTGTGTCTTATCAAACATTCACTTGTTGTCCCAGAAACTGCATCTTAATGGGACTGCCATATTTTATTCATCCCATGTTTCATTTATAAATACGCAGTATCATTATCTGAGTTTGTCAAACTGCTCACTTTAAAATTTCATAGAATGCTGCTGCTTTGAGAATATGATCTTTCCAACAGCAGCAAGTGCATATTCAGTCCAACACCTCTCTTTTTAAAAAAAATCATAATGAAGTACATATATACCTAAACCCAGTGCTTTTTTTCTTTAAAAAAATGTTTAGGGGTACTCTCATTTTGACTCAAGAAAAATCACCATTTTGTAGTTCAAATTGGGAAAAATAAATACAGTAAAGGGACCAAAGTACAAAGATTCACAAAATGTTTAGGGGTATGCGTACCCCTGAGTCCCCTCCCCCCCCCAGAAAAAAGCACTGCCTAAACCAATCTCCTCTCTTTCAACATCATAAAGCTGAAATGTGCATTATCATCATTTTATTTAATCAGCACTGGCTGCCTTTTCCAGGCTTGATATAAGGAACTGGTTTTGACTTTTAAAACCCTCTATAGCTTGGGACCTGTGAAGTGTTACAGCCTTTCCCTGAGACTATTCTGCTTCTAATGAGTGACTAAGTCTTCAAGGTCATATACCTGACTATGAGTTTGGTGGGAGGGAAAGTTCAATAAAACATGAGGAAACTCCTTGCTCCTATGCTGCGCATAGGCATTTAGGCTATGCTGCGCATAGGCATTTAGACCGCAAGCACTGCCTCTCCCCAGATGAACTGATCCAGACCCTGTGATCATCAACTGAGGCCCTTCTTTGAAGAGGTCTGGAGGGTGGGAACACCAGAACCGGCCTTTTCTGTGGTGGCTCCCCATTTGTGGATGTGGAATGCTTTCCTCAGGGAGCCTCACCTGATGCCATAATTATATATATTTAGGCGCCAGGCAAAATCTTTCTCCTATAACAAGGCCTTTGGCCTTTAACTATTGGTGGCCTTTTAGAAGTAGGTGGGATGTTTTTAATGTATTTCTCTCTCCTCTTGGTTTTAATGTTCCTATTTGGGTTTTATTGTCTGTTGGTTTGGTTGTTCTGGGCTGCCTTGAGCTGGATAAAACAATTTCCAAATTTAATTAACACCACCACCTCCAATTTAGGCCTTTTTGTGGGCCCACCAGTTTTCCTTTAAAGAGCACTGTGGCGATCACACAGGGTCCCGGACATTTCACCGTCTATTGATTCCTGTGCCACCACTTTATTTCTCGCTGCCACCACCCAGGCCCTACCTGGTACAATACTGAGTCCAGTCAGGGTTAAACTGGAACATAAACTTCTGTTTATTTATTGCAGTTTAACAAGCGTGTGGTTTCATAAACGGTCTCAGTCAATTACATTCATGGGGTGCCTATCCAGACCTATAACTTCTGCTACCTGCTCTCACTCACTAAACCACCTCTCAGATACAGTGGTGCCTCGCAAGACAAAATTAATCCGTTCCGCGAGTCTCTTCGTCTTGGTTTTTTCGTCTTGCGAAGCACGGCTATTAGCGGCTTAGCGGCTATTAACGGCTTAGCGGCTTTAAGAAAAAGGAAAGAAACTCGCAAGAACTCGCAAGACGTTTCGTCTTGCAAAGCAAGCCCATAGGGAAATTCGTCTTGCGGAACGACTCAAAAAACGCAAAACCCTTTCGTCTAGCGAGTTTTTCGTCTTGCAAGGCATTCGTCTTGCGGGGCACCACTGTATTCACTTGTCTTCCTAGCCCCTAACTGTTCCTGACTCAGCTTATTTCGTTACACTAACTCAACCTACCCACAGACTCTATCCCAATTCACTCCCACTCCAACCAACCAACCAACTCCCAACGAACTCCTCACAAACTCCTTCCTTTTCCCCTCCCAGAGCTGGTTTTATAGTCCCACTGACTCCACCCCCCTGGGTCCTGACTGGGCAACCTGTTTAACTATTTCATCTCCAGCACTCATATGTTAACGTCACAAGCATGTGTGAATTAAATTAAGGTTGCTTCCAGAGGCAACCTTTTTATTGCGCATCCATCCTGATTTGAAGGTGGGGGATAGATGACATTGACTATTCACTGAACACCCCTTCTGATTTGTGGAGAGGTCAAACAACATTGCACTAAGCAAATGTTATCACACACTTTCCAGTGCATTTTTCTGTCCCTTTCCTTATTGCAAAAAATGGGGCGGGTGTTCTGGGGGAAGGCGGTTCGTTGCACAAAAGCTCCAAAACATTTTTAATTACACAACCTGAATTTGCCAGTATGGGATTAAATCCTACCCGAAAATACATGATGAGAGACATAAGTTCTTCAAATCGCAAGTGCAATGCTGGGAACTTGAGCGCTGGGACACTTGGGAAATGGGTGCCAGGGATCATGCAGGAAGATGCCCAAATTAAGGGCATCCCATCTATCTCCTCCCACTTCCAAAGATTCTGGAGAATCTACACTTGGACTAACAATGCAATTCTATGCATGTTTACTTGGAAGTAAATCCCAACAAGTTCAATTGGGTTCTCTCAAGTAAATGCACATGGGATGATGATTGAGGAGGCTATATACTGAAAGTCAGTACCATTTGGAGGTTGTGAAGTAAGTCTGGTTCAGATCTATAACTTCCAAGTGATTTCATATGACATCTGCATGGGGAAATGCTGGAGAATTTTAAAAGAAGTAATCTGCATCTATTTAAATACTCAAGATATAAACGATTACAGACTATGCAAACAAGCCAGCTCTGTGTCTGAATCTTCAGTACAAATTAGTCATTAGAGAATTGTATTCTTTTGGCAGTGTGACACGAAAAAAAAGTCGCTTCTTTCCAGAATAGTCTAGTATTCTTTTGGATAAATCTGGGGTGGGGGCTGTTCTTGTTGTAAAGGTTTTTGGCTTCAGAAGAGTGAAGAGCAAGTATCCACTGCTATCTCTTAGCCATGCCAAAGCATATGGGAGATGTTTTGAAACACTCACCAGTTAAATCCATCAAAAGATGCAGCTCAGCTGACAGAAAATGACAGAAGAAATGGCATTCACGGAAATCACAAACATCACTTGGATGCTTCCCAGAGAGCAATTACAGCTTCAGACAAAACCAAACGCTACTGTTGGGGGAAGACCTTTCAGGGCGATGGACAAAGTCAGACAACTGAAGTCCTCGGAATGACAGACCTCTGTGGAACTGGGAAAATAACACTAAAATTTAAAAGTAGTGTGGTGCCATGAGAGGCTATTAATCAAATATAGAGTCATGTTTTGTAGTGTAATTTTCCATTAGGCACAAGGTCATTTCTAAATAGGGCAAAGGGAACATGCATGCACAGAGGACGCTGTTTTGCACAATTCCTTCCAAGCACATTTAAGAACATTTAAAAAAGAAGATTTAGACACACACACACACACACACACACACACAAACAAACAAATGTATAAGCAAGGAAATTTCATGAAAGTCACTGAAGAGAACTTTACTTTCTCCAAAGCTGTTCTACTGCAAAGCTAAAACTAGCAAAATCTCTTACAAAGTGCCTTGCTTCCCTTAGCAAGCAGAGTCTCTCCGTGATTACAAATTGACGCTAAGTAAACTTGACAACTGATTTGGAAAATGGTTCATGCTGAAAAGCAGCAGGGTGGATCTTCCAGACTCCCACAGCACCCGCCTCACTTATACAGAGACAAAGGTCTCATTTTGGTTATTTTATACCAGGCTAATATTTCCAACACCATATGGTTATTTCCATTCTCCGCTGTGTGTTGTTTGGAAAGTCAGTTGGGTTGCTCTTACTGCCTTTACAGCCTAGATGGATGTTTCTCAAAAGTCACTGAGGATGCAGATAAGACATACCGTATTTTTCACTCTATAAGACGCACCAGACCACAAGACACACCTAGTTTTTGGAGGAGGAAAACAAGAAAAAAAATATTCTGAATCTCAGAAGCCAGAACAGCAAAAGGGATCGCTGCGCAGTGAAAGCAGCAATTCCTCTTGCTGTTCTGGCTTCTGGGATAGCTGCGCAGCCTGCATTCGCTCCATAAGACGCACACACATTTCCCCTTACTTTTTAGGAGGGAAAAAGTGAGTCTTATAGAGCAAAAATACGGTACATCACTGAGGAAGCACACTGTACAGATACAGAATTGCCTGCCCATCAAAAGTGGAGACAGCACTGTTCTGTTTCTGGGTTTACCACAGACAACTATGGCTACCGTGAGAAGAGGAGGCTGGTCTAGATTGGCCATTGGCTTCATCCAGTACACTGTTCTTATGTGACACCGCTTATTCCCGTTTTCAGCAGAACCTGGCAGCACTGGTCATAAGCCCACTTCTCCTTATCAGGCACAATTTTGCCCAAGAACCTAAAAAAGCCCTGCTGGGTCAGGACAAAGGCCCACCTAGCGCAGAATCCAGTTTTCACCATGGCCAACCAGATGCCTGTGGCAAGCAGGGCTGAGCCAGTGTGGTGTAGTGGTTCAGAGCGATAGACTCGTAATCTTGGGAACCGGGTTGGCGTCTCCGCTCCTCCACATGCAGCTGCTGGGTGACCTTGGGCCAGTCACACTTCTTTGAAGTCTCTCAGCCCCACTCACCTCACAGAGTGTTTGTTGTGGGGAAGGAAGGGAAAGGAGAATGTTAGCCGCTTTGAGACTCCTTCGGGTAGTGATAAAGCGGGATATCAAATCCAAACTCCTCCTCCTCTTCTTCTTCTTCTTCTTTCAAAACAAATGTTCCTTTTACAACAGGAACAGCAAAGCAATGAGCGAACATTTCACGAATAAACAGTTTTGCCTGAAGATCGGGGAAGGAGCAAGGCATATGACTGAGATTAGCTTCCAAATTGCTGGTCATTAGATGATGCATTTTTTATTATTAACAACTCATATGAAGAGTTCTCCATAGAGAATAGGGGAGGGGGCATAGGAAGACGGAAGGTAGGAGAAGCTCATGCAGACAACTGCAGTGCCTGGAGACAGACCGACAGGTTGTGTATCCACAGCAGTGAGCAGAGGAGCAATGAGAGGAAATAGCACAGTGCTGCTTCTGCAGCAGCCCAACCAGATGCCTTCATCTGCCCCAACTGCAACAAAACAAGCCTCCCCCATATCGGTCTCTACAGCGACTGCAGGCACTGTAACTCTTTTTAAAATATTTATTTATTTATACTTTTCGAATTTCTACATTTCATTAATTTTACAATCGTTTTAACATTTCAAGGTTTGACTTCCTTTCCCCTCCTTCTGCGGTTCCCTAAATTTATTTTTTAATATCTTCTGCATATCTCAAATTCATTTAATTTGCTCTTTTAATTATCTACTTTAAATATATATTCCTATGAAACTGCAGGTTATTACAATAACCCCACCAATGTTTTTAGCGGTTTATAATTTATCGGTAAATATTCAATAAACTATTTCCATTCATTTATTAAAAAATTGCTATCTTGATGTCTTATTCTTCCGGTTAAGTTTCGCCATTTCTGCATATTCCGTAAGTTTTTGTATCCATTCTTCCTTTGCTGGAACTTCTGCTTCTTTCCACTTTGGGGCAAGGAGCATTCTTGCTGCTGTAGTCGCATACACAAATAAATTTCTATACACTTTAGGTAGTTCTGTCCCTATAATTCCCAAAAGAAAAGCTTCTGGTGGTTTTTTTTAAACAAAGGTTATTTTAAACATCCTTTTCAATTCATTATATATCATTTCCCAGAAAGCTGTAACCTTACTACAAGACTACCACATGCACTGTAACTCTCCAACATTTGACTTCACCTGCAAAGGCACTCCTCCATCATTTCCGAGACAGATGGATGCCAACAGCATCACTCCCAGCCCAACCTGGAGATGCCAGGGACCGGACCAGGGTCCTTCTAGATGTAAAGAAGATGCTCTAGCACAGAGTTTTGACCGAGCTACAGGAATTGCTAAGGAAGAAACATACTAATCAAGTTAGATGACACTTATTTAAAGCCTCGGACCACTAGCAACCCGCTTTCATGGTAGCAATCTGCTTTCATGCAGATTTCAGTTTGGCAGTGAGAACTGGCCCAAAGTATTTAGCAGGAAGTCAAGAGCAACCTATTTTGGTGCCACACAATTTACCTTCAAGATAAGGCAGAGAAGCACTTGAATGAAGTATGTAGTTACTCGGAATCAGAATATACAGGAGCAAAGAACTGAAAGCCTCCCGCTGAGCAATTGCTTTTTCCGGTACAATGAATATTTTCCTGCCGGAACCTGCTACTTTGGTGTCTCAGCAGCATTTCCCGTAACATGCACTGAATAAAAATGTTTGGGAGTCAAGAGATGCAAACATCTAGCGAACAGCTGCGCTATTGAAAACTGGGTTCATCAACAAGGCGATGCCAAATAGCCAAGAAGAATTTCTCTTTCCCCTCGTCTACTTCAGCTTCTTCACCTGTGCGTTACTGTAGCGACAGCTTTGTAGTGCTTGTTCAAAAGTGGCTAAAGGTGGGCAGGGCAGATGCAGCGGGAAGTATCAGGGAGATAAGGACAGAGTCCTGTGCCAGAGAAAGTTACAGTTGTACCTCAGAAATTGAATGCCTTGCAAGTCGAATGTTTAGGCTCCCAAATGCCGTAAACCTGGAAGTGATTGTTCCGGTTTGCAAACGTTCTTTGGAACCCGAACGTCCATTGCGTCTTCCGATTGGCTGCAGGAGTTTCCTGTGGCTAATAGGAAGCTGCGCCTTGGTTCCAGAATGTTTTGGAGGTTGAATGGACTTCCGGAACGGATTAAGTTTGAGAACCAAGGTATGACTGTATTTTGTATACCTTCTATTTCAAATACACATACCACAGACACATACCAACACCAAAACCTCCCAGAATGAAGAGGCCAACAAGCACAACTCATGGTAGGATACTCCTCTTGCCTTGCACAGTTTGCTCACATACTGAAGATATATAACATGCAAAAAAGGGACTGCTGAGATACCACAAGCCATATTTTCTTACAGCCCCAAGAAAGTAGACGTATCAGCACCAACAAGACATGCCTAGTGTCTGACTCAGAAATGCAATTCTTGTGTACTTAAGAGCACCACCAACAAAAAAGAAAATTCAGCATCAGTGTATATAAGGAGCTTTAGATTTATAAACTTGTACTTTTGCCCAATCCAACTAGTTTAAATGTAATCCCCAGTCTCCAGGGAACTCTGGGAAGCATTTGGTGAGATATACTAGTAATTTCTCAGAGATAATTTTAAGCACATTCAGCAAATTAAGATTTCCAGGGTTAACTGGGGCAGCGGGAAGAAGGGACAGCATTTAAACAGATATAAAACCAATTTATGTTTTTGAAGCATATTGAAGATGTTCCTTCTCCAACCAGCTTTGTAAGTGGAGATTTTTATCCTGGTCTGTATCTTTATTGGGCTAGAAAGTTGTTTTATATAAGTTTTGATTCTTGCCATTTTACTGTTAAATGGCTTTGGAGTGTTTTGTGGGGAGTCAATCAATCAATCAATCAATCAAGGTGTTGGTACTGTAGATATTCCAAGAAGAGTATCAACACAATAAACAAAAATCCTGTCAATTCAAAACAAATAATGTCCACCACAAGTTTCACCAAAGTGAAATAGCCCGACAGCGCCATACTGAATTTAACACCTCAGGTAAGTTAAGACGGGAGATTATAAACATCTTAATTGAGGGTGGAAAGGAGAGTTATAAAGATGAGTCTTCTGATACAATCCGGGGGTTGGGAGCCAGAAGTTGGTCTTCAAAGCCTGTGTACCCACACATTACTGGTTTTCTTTGAAGAAAGCAAGTTATTTTTCTAAAATGCCGGAAGTTGATTTGGTGAAATGTCTGGCTGGATACAAAGACTCAGTACGAGACAAATTTAGCTACCATTGATTTATAAGCTCATTAACACAATTTCTCCCACAGTGAAGAAAATCACCCTTGCTCATTAAGGTGATGGCTTGCAGTTTTACAGTAATCATAGTGACTTTTAGGTATCTGGTTTAAAAAAGAAAATAATTGAGTAACAGAATATTCAGACTGCCTGACCTTGGTGTTCCTTTCTTTTAAACCAATCAAATATGACCTTTGTGACCCTCCCCCCATTCCCACTGCTTATGGCATTGTGAGTTTCCAGGTGTATCTAGGGTTCGTGTTCCCTTTTGGGAATGAGGCACAGAGGAGACTGTGCTGTCTTTAAGATATATGGTTTATTTACACACATATATACTGTACAACGTGAGCCTGCTATGATGGGTGGGTTTCACAGCACCAGCACCCACCAAAGGGGTTTGTTCCTCCCATAGCCACAGGCTTGGATTCAAGCAGAAATCAAACATCGTGCTCTGCCTCTCTGGGTTTCTAGCCTGCAACTTTACTTCTAGGTCAAGTTACAGCAAACTCTTCTTAAGTGTTCTACTCTAAACTCTATCCAGAAACTACAACTAATCCCGAATGTGGCAGCTAGTCTGAGACCATATAACACCAGTCCTGAAAGACCTACATTGGCTCCCAGTACGTTTCCGAGCACAATTCAAAGTGTTGGTGCTGGCCTTTAAAGCCCTAAACGGCCTCGGCTCAGTATACCTGAAGAAGCGTCTTCACCCCCATCGTTCTGCCCGGACACTGAGGTCCAGCTCTGAGGGCCTTCTGACGGTTCCCTCCCTGCGAGAAGTGAGGTTACAGGGAACCAGGAAGAGGGCCTTCTTGGTAGTGGCGCCCTCCCTGTGGAACACCCTCCCATCAGATGTCCAGGAAATAAACAACTATCTGATTTTTAGAAGACATCTGCAGGCAGCCCTGTTTAGGGAAGTTTTTAATGTTTGATATTTTATTGTGTTTTTAATATTCTGTTGAGAGCCGCCCAGAGTGGCTGGGGAAACTCAGCCAGATGTGCATGGTACAAATGAATTATATTATTATTATTATTATTATTATTATTATTGAGGGGGGCACCCATTTGTCGTCTCGCACCAAGCCCCCTTGATCCTTTGCTCTCTGAATGGCCCATCACCCAGGCAATCAGGAAGCTAGCCTGGCTTAATTAGCTTTTAAGACTTGCTGGATCCATGGACTATAGCGGTATGGCAGCCCATTTAATACCCCAAACCTTTATAAAATTCTAACACTTGCTGGATGCAGGGATTAAAGAGGGCTGGCACCCACAAACTCATAACAGTATAAATAAATGCTGAATCATATACTAAAACCTTTTCTTTTCTGGGGATGACAACCCAAAAGCATGCCTCATAATTCATAATTCACACATGTCGCTTTTTGTGGATTTAGAGGTTGTGAATGTATTGATTTATGGAATCTATGCCATTGTTTTTTATAAAGCAACCAATGCTCTTTTAAATGTGTTAAAAGAGGGGGCGATTGGTTTGTTTCTGTGCTTGTTTTTATTACTTTTTTTTTAGTAATGTATTTTTATGTTGCAAACTGCCTTGAGATCTATGTATGGAGGGCAGTTAATAATAATAATAATAATAATAATAATAATAATAATAATAATGCTATAGGCATCTGAATTGTAGCAGCTATTCTGTTACTAATACAAACAAAACCAATGCATGATTGAACACTCAATTAAGTATTCTTAACATCTTTTTTAAAAAGTTTTTTAAAAGGTTATTTCACTAAGATGCTTGCTTCATATACCATGGCAGAATAGGCTGGAATAGAATGGATAGGTTTGATCTTCTTGCAGTTCATGGGACTCTCAAGAGTCTCCTCCAGCACCATAATTCAAAAGCATCATTTCTTCAGCGATCAGCCTTCTTTATGGTCCAGCTCTCACTTCCATACATCACTACTGGGAAAAGCATAGCTTTAACTATACGGACCTTTGTCGGCAAGGTGAGGTCTCTGCTTTTTAAGATGCTGTCTAGGTTTGTAACTGCTGTCTTTCCAAGAAGCAGGCATCTTTTAATTTCGTGACTGCTGCCACCATGTGCAGTGATCATGGAACCCAAGAATAAATCTCTCACTGCCTCCATTTCTTCCCCTTCTATTTGTCAGGAGGTGATGGGACCAGTGGCCATGATCTTCGTTTTTTTGATGTTGAGCTTCAGACCACATTTTGCGCTCTCCTCTTTCACCCTCATTAAAAGGTTCTTTAATTCCTCCTCACTTTCTGCCATCAAGGTTGTGTCATCTGTATATCTTAGAGGAAAAACACATCTTATACACGGAAAAGTACAGTATTTTGCTCCATTTCTAATACATAGCAGCATCTTGTGCCTTATCCTAGCAAGGATGGAGAGTCCGATTCTGCCAATTTGATACAATTCCACTTTCTTGGTAACGGGACTGGGTTTTAACAGCACGCTCAATTCATCAGCAACCGTTGTTGTACCAACATTTAACAGTTTCCTTTCTAGTGAAAAAGGGGAGGTTGAGGGTTGTTTAGCATATTCATGAAAAACAACCAACAGTTCTGCCTGCTGCCACTTGCTCGGGCAAATCATTAGCTTTGACTATTCCTTTTTTGTTTGCTTGCTTGTTTACATGAATTAACAAAATGCATTTGATGCAAGCATTGAATTTGTGGCGGGCCACAATAAAAAGGAATTATAAAGTAGCTTTTACTTCATGGTGAGCCAAAGTATGGTTGGGTAATACATTATCAAAACCACAATATTCAAAACGGTCTATTTCAAAACAAAGCCATCATTGGATCCCCAGGGTCGTAAAGTAGTTTAATGGCAGGACTTGGGCTTTGCATGCAGAAGGTCCTGAAATCAAATCAAATCTTGGCATCGCTAGGAAGTGCTGAGAATGTCCTGTCTAAAACCCTGGAGAATACTAAGCTAAACACTACTGCATGTATACCATTTGACACAATACATTGATAAGCTGATGTTCTTTCTATGGCTCTGAAACTGATTCCCGTATTTTTCCATGTGTAAGATTAGGGGTTGTTTTTTTACAAAAAAAAATAGGTTTAAAATTGGGGGTTGTCTTATACACAGGTAGTGCTGAAGGGTGTTTTCTTAATTTGGAGTTCCCAAAAATAGGGGGTGTCTTATACATGGGGGCGTCTTATATGTGGGAAAATACGGTATTTTCAGGTTGTAAAACTCCCTCCCTACTGAACTGTAGTTGATTGCAACATCATTGGCCTTTAAACTTTTAAAGCAAATTTTTCTTTTAGGATGGCCTTTCTTAAGGTTTGTTACTGCTGTTTTCAGTGAAATATTTTTAAAAAAACATTTTAGTGCTTATTGGAATCTAAATCTCTGCTTTTATAAAAGTTGTAGTTAATAAACGCAGTTTATCTGGTCAATGTTGGCAAAGTTTACACAACTGATTTCATGTGTTTGTGTGTGTGTGAATGTATTCGATATTTTATTTTATTATTATTAAACCATAAGCCACTTTGTGCAGATCATTCCTGAAAAGCTGGCCCATGAATGTGTTTATAAATAAATAAATATTCCAATATTACGCTTTCGTTTGTGATTAAGCTTTTCCCGCTTCAGGAATACAGGATGGAGGCAAGAATGCCACGCATGGTCTTCCTTTCTTAAGCTAACAGTTGCAGAGATTCACAGAAATCTTGGTGGCGGTTTCAGTATGTAACTTAAAATCATTACAATGGAAGCATGGAGCCAGTGCTTGCATGGGGAAAAGAAAAGAATATACTGTTCCAAGTTCAGCGCAGTGCGCCAACTGAGCCAAAAGACTGAAGGTAGAGGCCACAGAGCGTAGCTTCCTTACGCTCTGGTTATTTTCTATGACGTTACTCCATGTATAATTAACCAATCTTCCTTATACTGCAAATCATTTATGTCATGGGGAAGTATTATTATCCTTCAGAATTTTCGGTAGGAAAAGTCACCGAAAGTTTAGAGCCCTTAATTTGCAGTGGGATCAGCTAAAACAAAAACAAAAATGTCCAGAGGTTTGCACGGAAAACCAGATTGCTGTCAGTATTGTTTTTTAGAAAGAGCTAAAGGAAAGAATTTGGTAACTGCAACTGCTGAGAGGAGGAGCACCGTAACCAACATTCAAGCTTGATAATTGCACTCTGCGGCTCCAAAGTCTGACCATGGCAGACTGACGCAGGGAGTTAACTTGTCATTTGTGCTCGGGGGGAAAAGTGTTTGTATTCAAGGTTGTGGGTGGGGTTTCTTAAATATACTTGGCAGTGTTCCAGTGGCAGAAATCAGCAGGGTCATTAAAGTAAGAATCATCTGCAATATTTAACATATCGTGCTCCAGATGCCATTATGTTTGCAGAGAGTGTCAGTCCAAAGTCTTTTTCATGATTGTCAAGGTCTTGCTGGATGCAAACGAGGGGTGGGAGGCAAACAACACCCCCAGGGAAGAAGGCTCAGAGCCAGGGGTTTGGCGGTGGGATGAGTGGTGAGAGCAGACTGGCAGGAGGTGTTGGAAGCTGAAGAGGTAACAGGATTTAGTGAGCAGGAAGAGTCTGTGGCAGAGAGCAGTCCAGAATCGGATGCAGAAGTAGAGGCTGGAGAGGAGGGGGCCAAGAGGCAGAGATGGCAGGCTGCTGAAAAAGCCAGGGGGGTGGGGGTAACCAGCTTCCTTTCCCCCTGGTCTCCCAGAACCATAATAGGTATAAAGAGGGTGGAGCAAACACAGGCAAGATGAAGGAGCCTCAGGTGTTTTGGAAGGGACCAGGGGCAGAGGAAAGTTGTGGGACCGTCAGTCCTCACAACCTCCTCATTGGACCAAGAGCTACTGGAAGAGTTGTCGCGATCACTAGGCCTGGCCTCCTGAGCTGTTTGTTTCTTTGAATGAAGAGTTAACTCCACTGACACTGTGTGAGTTATTACTAACCTGCTCCTGGCTCTTACCTCTTGACAATGATAAGATCAGGGCCAGGATACAAGGCGTAGGAGGTTTTGCAGAGGTAACTCAGGTTGGTGGGAAAGATATGATCATCATTATTAGAAACCTGTATGGTTCCAACTGCTCGGAAATGCGATTCAGTTAGAAGATAATTTAAAAGAAGTGAGAGATGTCACACACACACGTGTGTCTGTACATGTGGCATGGCAAAAACCATGCTGTCCAAAAAGAAGAAAATGTATTATCTAGCAAAATCCCAATGTTTAGACTTATTCACACACCTCACTCCTTTTCTAAACAGCTCAGGGAATGTTCCAGCTTCTTTCCAGGGAGTCCTGTCCTTCTTGGAGATAACTAAAGGTTATCTTCCTGCCAAAATGGCAACCTCCAGATGTTGTGGACTGCAGTTCTCAGCTGCAGTCAGCATGGTCAATAGTAAGGAATAATGAGAATTGTCGTCCTCAACCTACTATGGTACGAAGCCTGCCTCCCGTAAGTTTTACACAGACAAAAGAACCACAGTCACTTGTTCTCCTCATATGTCTACCATGTGTTTTCTGATCATTTGAATTCAAACCTAGTTGGCTAAAATGCATCCGTAGTTAGTATAGGGTTTTTTTTGCCCTGAAGATGCTCTCTTCAGATGTTCCTCCAATGTTGTTCATTTGTGTAAGTGCCTAGTACAATCTTCCATTGAACCAGAGAGGTTTATACTCTCCTGCCACAGGAAATTTATTTTATTTATTAAATTTATATGCTGCCCTTCATCCACTGTTTTCCAAAGGGTGTTTTCCCAGGCTGTTCTATCTGCCAATGCTGCTGTGATCTTAAAGAGCATCGTATCCCACCCAGGGCCAAACTAGGCATTACTTTAATTGAAAAAGCCAGGAAGCACGCCAGGAGTTTTTTCTTTCTTTAATTACAGGCATTGAGAGGCTGACTTGTACTGGACACACAAGGGAAGAAGGCTCAACCTTTCATCTCCAGCTGCATCTAGATGATGATTTCCTTCTCCCTGTGCTGCAATTAGCCCTGTGGTAGAAGAGGAACCATCCCATTGGAGCAAATGGGATCTTTCCTGTAGGCAAGATTCCTGCATCGAAGAGGGTTGGATTAAGTAACCCTAGGGGTCTCTTCCAGCTCTACAATCCAGTAATAATAATAATAATAATTTATTTATACCCAGCCACTCTGGGCGGTTCCCAACAGAATACTAAAAACACAATAAAATATCACCCATTAAAAACTTCCCTAAACAGGGCTGTCTTTAAATGTCTTCTAAAAGTCAGATAGTTGTTTATTTCCTTGACATCTGACAGGAGGGCGTTCCACAGGGTGGGTGCCACTACCAAGTATACCCTCTTGCCTGGTTCCCTGTAACCTTACTTCTCGCAGGGAGGGAACCGTCAGAAAGCCCTCGGAGCTGGACCTCAGTGTCCGGGCTGAACGATGGGGGTGGAAACACTCCTTCAGGTATACAGGACCGAGGCCGTTTAGGGCTTTAAAGGTCAGCACCACCACTCTGAATTGTGCTCATAAACGTACTGGGAGCCAATGTAGGTCTTTCAGGACTGGTGTTATGTGGTCTCGACGGCCATATATACCCTAGAATTCTTCTCTTCTCAGCTGCTGCTTCTGCTGTTCTTGAAGTTGAATTGAGCAGAAGTGAATAATTATTCCTACATTGCAGGAAAGTTGGACTACTCAATAACCGTTGGGGATCCCTTTAAACTCTCTTGATTCTATGATCATGTGGTGGCATCGGGTCCAATCCAAGCCCAGTCACTGCACTAATTCCAGGTTTGCACAGTGATGTGCTTGTCCTCCCAGCCTTGGCCGCCATGCTTAGCAGGGCTGCGGGTGCAACAGTGTCTGGATTTCTCCCTGGGTGCAGCTCTTTGCTACTGATATCGGATCAGAGACAGGTTATAGAAGAAGAAGAGTTTGGATTTGATACCCCGCTTTATCACTACCCTAAGGAGTCTCAAAGCGGCTAACATTCTCCTTTTCCCTTCCTCCCCCACAACAAACACTCTGTGAGGTGAGTGGGGCTGAGAGACTTCAGAGAAGTGTGACTAGCCCAAGGTCACCCAGCAGCTGCATGTGGAGGAGCGGGGAAGCGAACCCGGTTCCCCAGATTACAAGACTACCGCTCTGAACCACCACACCACACTGGCTCTAGGTATTTGGCTGGCAGCAGAATAATAATTTCCATTGATATTTACGTTTCTATTTGTTCTTTGATCCTCTCTCATCAAACAGAGTTTGAAAGGGTTCCCTCATCTCTCCTCACACTATACTAATTCTCAAGATTTGAAAACTGAGAAAGTGGCAAGCTTCGCATGCTTTCATACTGTCTTTGATATTCTGGAAGAAACACTGTCATCTGTCTTCAGCTTAATTTGTTTCCCAAACAGTTTGGGAGTTATGGCTGAATATAGTATATGGGCTAAACATCTTTAGAAGCACAACAAACTAAAATAATCTGCCAAATCTGTTTATCCGTTCCTCCACCTACATGTGCTATTTGGTCTGTCATATTTTGCAGCACAATAGTGAACATGCATTAGCATGGCACAATGTGTTTGTCTTTTTCCCCCGCTTCCGAAAGTAAACTAGAAAACTTTACTCTATAGTCCATGCCATGGGGTCTGAAAATGGGCTTGCTTTTACCATCTGTGGTGATTAAATGAGCTAAGTTACTGTATCCTAGTGAAATTAGCCCATGGTATACAAGTAGCTTTCACCCACCTCACCTTAACTGCGTAAAGTGTAGTCTAATATATGTAATATTCAGTTTGCAACTATAGGTTAGGATTCAAGAGACCTGAAATTGACCAGAGAAGATCCATTAATTATTGAAATAACTTTGGGAGCACACTAAAAAGTTGCAGAACAGATGCAAAAAGATGTAAATTATGCAAGGAAAACAATATTGCGCTTTAGATTTCACTTACGGATAAAACCATTCAAACAGCCCAAGGTGTGATTTACCTTATGCATATTATACACCAATATTTTTAGCTTGCTATCAGACACTGATACGTGATTGATCATATTCCCATTGAAGTAACAATCTTTGTGTAAAGCAATATTTTCCTCTTTCATCCTGTGATTAGTTTGTTCTTGAGGAATTAAACCAGGTACTTTTATATAACCTGCAACACTAGTAAAATTATTTCCAGGGCCGATAATGAATAGTCATCACTGGAAAAATACCTTAATTTTGTACACAAACTTCCAAAAAATACATAATGCTCAAATGTGAGCAACAAGATGACATAACAACTTGACAAGTAGAACAAATTTTTGTGAAATAAAAGTTAGACATGGAACTGAATGAGAACTTTGCATTGTGTCCATAGTCCTGTGAATACTTGCATTCACAAATTAGCATAACTAAAGTAGATAGGGTGGTATTCAAATATGTTTTATTCAGAGTTGACCCATTAAAATTAATAAACATTAATTTCAATTGGTCCACTCTTGAGTAAAACCTGGTTCAATAATGCCCATAGATTATAGAGTGCCAGAGCTAAACGTTTAAAAAAATCATTTTATTTCAATGGGAGTGCTTAAGTCTTCTATTGAAACCCGAGGTATGAGTAAGTGTTTAACTTTGGATGAGCCATGGATGTTCCATATAATTTGGTGTCAACAGTGAATTTGCACATGCTGATAAAACAGTCTCATTTTCATTCATCCCTACTCCTACTGAACTCAAATCACTATCTTCGGGCAGATGTGAAAATATCTGTGTCCATTCATTTTCTCAGCGGTCACAGAGTTCTGAAATATGGGCGTCAGCTTTCCTTTTAAAAAGTGAAATGATCCTGACTCATATTTTCCTTCATTTAATTGTTTCATGCTGCTTGGTAGAAAGGAAGCAAAAAATATTGTCAACTTCAGAAAGATCTGTAAAATGCTAGAAAGCCATACGGCAGATATATTCGTAAATTATTTCAAATATGGGGACACTGGTGAACTTTTAAAGTAGAATATTGGGGTGGAGTTGATTGAGGAATTAAAATAAAAAAAAAACATTAGGAGTAAGTACATTATGCTTACAGCAACTGAGTAAAAGAAGCCCACCAGATTCTTAAATGTCAAGAAATATGACAGTACAAAAATTAGTCCTTCCCCTGAGGGAAGCACAAAAGAATGAATTATGTGGTTGTAGCCAACATAGCACTGAGTTAAAGTAATTCTTCTGCGGCCCCTGCTTGGTTCCAATGGGGTGGTCGTGGTGGTGAGGCCTGGGCTGGCGTGGCGGGCTCCATTTACCCTCCATGCCCTGCCCCTGCTGGCGTGCACACCTACCGCAAGCACCAGCAAACCACGCTATGCCACTGGCCACGACCCTCCGAATAAAAGGCAAAAACCTTGAAGGAAATAACTTGAGGTAGCATAGGTATGTCTTCAACTCACTGTGCTATCTCCCTTACTGAAGAATATATATATATATTTAACATTCGTAAACTGCTTCCACTTGGGATTGCATTATTCGCAGTTGAAGTCAATGCTACACTGCATTGCTTCTGTGAACAAGTCTTTCTGTTACATTGTAAGTGAAGTATAAACTGTCATTTTTCACATTACTCACACCTTCATATTCTCTATTATTCTTTTTTTAAAAAAAAATAACCAGCTAACTAAAGGTCTCTGAGGAAGAGGACTGTTTTGAGAGTGACCTTGGGCAAGTCATTGTCTCTCAGCTCTTAAGCCACCTCTAGAGTTGCTGTGAGAATAAATGTGAGGTGAGAGGCATTTACAAGTCAAGGAGACAAAAGATATAAAGAGAAGTATTAAAAGAAGCTTTATGAAAGAGGCAGTACAGCACTGATATGCCATCTTTACAATCAACTGCAAACAACTACTGCATTGCATATAGAGGGGAGCAGTTCCCGAACCTGGACACAGCCAACCTTCATAGCTGGATTGATATCAAAGACTACTCTGGTTGGTCACCTAAGTCCCACCCACTTTGGCCAATCTGAATTCCAGTGGATGGCGGGCTATTCTGCCTCCCCTTGCAGCCGACCAAGGAAATTCCCCAACAGGCCGGCCTACAATGGAGAGGCCTTTCTCTCTCTGGAGCCAAGGTCCTTCTGCGAAAGGCCACAACCACTGCCAACCCAGTGGTAGTGGCCTCTCACAGTGGTAGCGGCCTTTTTCTTTGCGTCGCTTTATTTCTTTATAATTGAGAGCTTTTCAATAAAATATTAACATTGTCTAAAAATGACGGCACAGCAGCCCTAGCAAACACGACTAATGCAACCCTTACTTGAGCTTCAGTCCCATTATATATGGTCAGTTTAAGACCAAGCACAGGGCACCCATTCGTTCATTTTATACAATTCCATTTCCTATTCTGTCTATAAAGGGTATTCTGTTGAGAGCCGCCCAGAGTGGCTGGGGTGACCCAGCCAGATGGGTGGGGTAATAATAATAATAATAATAATAATAATAATAACAGTAGTAGTAAGTACAGTTTTAGGGGAAAGACTGGCACAAAGGGACCTACAACAGCATGAGGGTTGTTATTATTATTATTACTTTGTTTTTAGGTAAATGAACAATGATGCACACAGGAAGGATCTAGGAATCTTAACCCAAATCATTGGCACTGGGGGCCCAGCCACACTCAAGACATTTCAGTTTAAACTATGAAAAATTCTGATTATCCTCATGCGACCTCAATGGCATCTCGCCAGGACTCGGCTCTCGTTGGCATTTAATCTGAACGTAATCCCTGAAATCTCTCCTGTATTGCTAGGTTGCAGGGGTACTAGACTCAGGCAGTGGACCAAGGCTTACGCTGTAAATGTTGTTCTCAGCTCGTGTTATTTCCTTTACCTTTTTCAGCTACAGCAGACGAGCTGTTTGAATTTTGCTTTTGCTTTTTTTGAGTATGGACTTGTTCATCGCAGAAGCATGTTGTTTAAAAATAGAAAGCAAATCAGGCATAATAATGCACACAGAAATAATTGCCCCTTTGCACTTTAGATGAGTCACTGCAGTAGCTTAGTTTTTTTTTTTGTAAAAGAAATTACCCTCACAGAAGAACCACACATACATACATACATACATACATACATACATACATACAGAGCTTCGGGTAAAAAAGTGTTGCTTCTAAAGATAACACAAGGAAACAAACGAAAGGTGTCAAAGGTTGAAACATGAGTAAGACATAATACTGATACTGTATGATCTGAGAAAGTCTTTTAAATGCATTCTTAGTTTCACTTGATGATCTCTTACAAAAAGAGATCCAGACGTTACACAACTAAGACAGGCAATGTGTTTCCTCCGAAACGTATTTAAAATGTAGGTGACATGCATAATAATAACTACAACAATTTTATTACTTGTAACCTGCCCATCTGGCTGGGTTGCCCCATACACCTCTAATAAAACTATGCACAGGTAGTCTGGGAAATTCAGCAGAACCAAGAGTGTCAAACAAATGTATATGCAGGGTTGAAGCCACATGAATATACATTGTCCATAGTTTATAGGTTTCTTGCAAGAAATTATTTATTACAGTCACATCCCAACTTTCCTCAAGGTGGTATACACAGTCTGTTTCTTCTACTTTTACCCTCAGAACAACCCTGCGAGGTATAGAATCATGGAATCATAAAATAATGAAATTGTAGAGAAGGGACCATGAGGGTCCAATCGCCTGCAATCTTTATGCCCAACATGGATCTCAAACCCTTAACCCTGAGATCAAGAATTTCATGCTCCAACAAATGAGCTATCAGGAGGTGAGCCTAAGAGAATTTGACTGGCCAAAAGTCACCCTTCATAGCTGATCAGGGGGTTGAACCCTGCCACCAGTCCAACCCTCTAACCATGGCACCATACTGGCTCTCAAATATTTAAACTGTAGCGATGCTCGAAAATTATCTTATATTCTTTGGCCTATGCTAGACTCTCCCCTAGGACCTACTCTGTGCAAATCTTACAATCTGATGCTAATTTGGATACTCATGTGGTTCAGTAACCGGAATGTCAAGTTTCAGGAACAAGCTCACTTGCCTCTTCTAAATGAAATAAATAACCAAGCAAAATTGACTATTATTATTTTAAGAACACAGAGCCAAAGGGCTAAGTGCTACACATGCGTTTATCTGTCTTAGCAAGACTTCAATGAGAAGGGAAAGGGAAAAGAAGCAGCTGGCTGGCAAGAGGTAAGGAGGAAATTTTCATGCCATGCCAGGAATCAGAGAAACAAATGGCTATAGCTATATTCCTCCCCCCTTGTCTTCAAAGTTGGGCTAGACATAATTTTGATCCCTCCACTGGCTAAGCTTAAACTATTCAACAGAGTTTTAGGAAGGCAAGAAGTGAACTAAGTGGTTGATACTAGTGATCAGAAAACATGTTTACCAGAAGGAAGCTCATCTCAGGATACTTGACAGAAAAATATTTTGTCCCTTGTTTTGCATGATTGACACCAGCACAACCGAGGACTTCCTAGTTTCCAAAGACTCACATCAAACAACTTTTAGCACGTGAATGCTTTTTGCACATGAAGGAGCAGACCTGATGTGTAGCCAAAAAGTTCACAGAGTTTTTTAAGTGAGCACAATTCAAGTGTCCCCATTTCCTTAATAATCACATATCCAATATAAAACAGTTGGTCCTGTAGCCAGCCTGCACGAGACGGACCCCAGTCTTTGTTCTCCCTTCTTCTTCACAGTGCATGTTGCTCTAAAAACTCTATTTTCCTGTCACCTAAAACAGCACATCCCATCACCATGGCAACCTCTATCTGCCCAGGCCCAAGATTCCTCTTAGACTGACCATCAACAACACCTTCTGTCATGTGAATTCCTCTATCCCAGGCGAGGCCCTGTCTTGGACGAAAGCTTGGCTTGTTCTTTTCCACTGACCTTCAATCTTCTCTTCAATACTCCAAATACTCAAAATTGTTTTCTAGGGTTTGGGGAGGGGGTGTCCCCCTTCCAAAAACAATATGCAGTGCTTTTTTTCTGGGGGTACACAGGGGTACGCATACCCCTAAACATTTTGTGAATCTTTGTACTTTTGTCCATTTACTGTATTTATTTTCCCCGATTTGAACTATAAAATGGTGATTTTCTTGAGTCAAAATGAGAGTACCCCTCAACATTTTAAAGAAGAAAACACTGACAATATGTGTGTGTGTGTACACACACACACACACACACACACACACACGTACATGCATGTACAGTATGTTCTAACTATGCATATACATTCATGCATACAAAAATGTACAGCAAACCTGTACTTTAGCTTTCAGTCTCTCCATAACTGCTATCTAAAGCCATTTCAGTCTAACTCACTTCCACATGACTGACATCATTTCCACCGGTTGTGTGATGCATTTCTTTAGCCTCTGAAATACTCAGAGAGCTGCAACACACACACACACACACACACACACACACACACACACAGCCCCACCAAGTTGCAAATAAATAATCACAACATAAACCCCAGAAGCAAGTGCCTCGTGCACAGCTGCCTCACAGCTCCGCGGCCTAAGCCTGCTAACGAAACGAAGTTCATAGCTCGGCCAATCCCATCAGCCACCAAGAAGAGAAAATGCTTTGCATAGCCTACAGCAGCTATTGTTAGGCGATCCAAGAGGAGGAATTAGAAGCTAGTTTCTGAAGAAGTCTCGGATGATTATTGTCCACGCAAAATTAGATCTGCGTCTGAGAAAGTCAAATTTTGAGGGTGGGGTGGTGACAGGGACCATACAACCTGTCAAAATATGCACAGCAAACATGCAGCAAAACGTCTACGCTGCTTTGCATTAATAACTCTTCTCAAAACGCTTCTTAAAAACAGTGAACTCAGGACAAGCAGGGAATCATCCACACCCACATTCCTGGTTTTCACAAGAGCTTTTCATTTCCCATCCAGCATCTGCTCGTTATCATAACAGAACATATGAAGTAACAGCTAAGGATTTGGCATCTTCGCAACGCTGAAAGTGCAATATCTCACTAAAAATGCTGTTGCTGTTCCTTCTCTAGCCAATGGATGGGATGGCCCCTACCTTGCCACGATGTTCTCCCTAGCAGATAGGGGGAGCATCCTCCCAATGGTCCTTGGTCCTCTGGCTGATGGCAGAGGTCAAAGGGCACCTCCTTTCTGCTCTCTAGCTGCCCTTTGCACAAAGGAAGATTGGTCTCTGTGGCTGATCTGACAATCAGGGGAAGGTTGGCCCTTCATTATGGATCTTCTCAACAAACAGGGAATCTGTCAGGCAGGCTCCATCAGGCTCTTTCTTCAACTGTCATCAGCAGCCATTGCATCAAGAAGGGAGATGGGACAGAAGGCCTTCTCCATGCTCTCTGCATAGCTGTCAACTTTTCCCTTTTCTTGCGAGGAATCCTATTCGGAATAAGGGAATTTCCCTTAAAAAAAAGGGAAACGTTGACATCTATGGCTCTCTGTCAGAAGGCCAGCAACTGTTGGCTCCTCCTCCCCTTGAAATCTTTGGGAGATCCAAAGTCAAACCCTTATTCATGGGACAATCACAGGGACATCAACTGGGGTAAATCCATCCATTCATAAGACCCTCACCATATTGGAAAAAGGGCTGGATACAGTGGTGCCTCGCAAGACGAAAATAATCCGTTCCGTGAGTCTCTTCGTCTAGCGGTTTTTTCGTCTTGTGAAGCAACCCTATTAGCGGCTTAGCGGATTAGCGCTATTAGCGGTTTAGCGGCTATTAAAGGCTTAGCGGCTTAGCGGCTAAAAGGCTATTAGCAACTTAGAAAAAGGGGGGGGGAAGCGAAAAAAATCGCAAGAAATCACAAGACGTTTCGTCTTGCGAAGCAAGCCCATAGGGAAATTCGTCTTGCGAAGCGCATCGAAAAATGGAAAACCCTTTCGTCTAGCGGGTTTTTCGTCTTGCGAGGCATTCATCTTGCGGGGCACCACTGTACTGATGTTATTAATAATAATATTCCCCCCATATTAAAAAAAAAAAATTCCCCATAATATCCTGCCCCCCAGGTTAAATACTTCCTTCTTCACAAGTATATTCATAGGCAGCCTATAGGAACTGTAAAGCACTTTTATTTGCTATTCCTTTTTTTGGAATAACTTTTTATTGGGTTTTATAAACAAGAATAATGTTATACAAATAAGTATACAGAAATACCTTGGAAGTCGAATGTAATCTGTTTCGGAAGTCCGTTCAACTTCCAAAATGTTCGACTTCCAAGGTGCAGCACCGGACGTTCGGCTTCCAAAAACCATTTGAAAACCGCAACAATCACTTCCGGTTTCCGATTGTTTGGGAGCCGAAACGTTTTGAGTTTACAGGAGTTTGGCTTCCGAGGTTCCACTGTATCATGTTTTCTCACGTCATTTGTACATCACAAAAATAGCATAATAAATGTAGAGTAATATCTACAATATATGGTTCATTATTAGTGGTCAATGTATACGTTCTTGGTTCATGAATTGGTTTAAACAAAGGGGAAATTACTTTGTAAGAATTTCTCATCAAGAAATATAACTATGAAAATTGATATGTGTTTGTCCCTGTGTCATCACGAATATGGTTGTTCTGACTACTATGAAAAGAACTATCGCTTGGCAACATATGGGTAGCCTTTAACAAAAATGCATTAATGCTCCTTGAGGGCTTGGCGTACTCTCTTTCCTGCTATTGCAACGTGACATCCTTTGGCTAGTAGGAGGTGCAAAGATTTAATGACTGAGAGGTGGGGGGGTTGGGGGAGAATAGCTGTGAATCAGCTGAGAGTGAAGCACAATCTGATGGAGGATCGTACGTTTTGCTGCTGGGTAAAGGTAAAGGTACCCCTGCCCGTACGGGCCAGTCGTGACCGACTCTAGGGTTGTGCGCTCATCTCACTTAAGAGGCCGGGAGCCAGCGCTGTCCGAAGACACTTCCGGGTCACGTGGCCAGCGTGACGAAGCTGCCCTGGCGAACCGGCACCGGAGCAGCACACGGAAACGCCGTTTACCTTCCCGCTATAAAGCGGTACCTATTTATCTACTTGCACTTAGGGGTGCTTTCGAACTGCTAGGTGGGCAGGAGCTGGGACCGAACGACGGGAGCTCACCCCGCCGCGGGGATTCGAACCGCCGACCATGCGATCGGCAAGTCCTAGGCGCTGAGGTTTTACCCACAGCGCCACCCGCGTCCCCTTTCTTGCTGCTGGGTAGCAGCCATCTATTTGCTTCCAATAAACAGAGCAAATATTACACAGGTACCATATGCTCCCATTCAAATGCAACCAAACCCACCAGCACTGTCCCCTAGTAAATAGTTCGTGGAAGTGGAGAGTGCTTCAAATTATCATCATCGCTGCATTCATTTAACTGTACAGTTACAGTGACAATGAGTGATTTTCCCAGCGCTTCATTCCCCTCATTGGCTTCTAAGAAGGCTTCTAAGGTGCTTCCTGCTTGCAGGACTGTTTCCTGATGATGCCTTTGCTACTGGAAAGTCCAAAAAGCGGATAAGGCTTAATTGGTGTCATGCTTTGAAGATCATACCACCAATCAACCTTCTCCAAGTTTTATCCGGAAGATATTTTTTTTAGGTAGGATGATGGATAATAAGAGAAAGAGGGGAAGATAAACAAAACAAAACAAAACACCACATTTCCTCTCTCTTTTCATGCGGGAAATATTCTTTACAATTCTGCTATTAGAATTGTATACTTATTCTTGCTGCTAAGAGTACTGTGCAGACATCTGGTGCTCTGATAGGTCGACTGCTGCCGAAAATACAAGTTATCCCTGTCATGCCAGGCCCTCCTAAATGGAGCTGATGGGAATGAGAGTTCAATTACATCTGCAGGTTCTCCATCCCTGCACTAGGCAATAAAAAGGACATTTTGGCCCGTGTCAAAAAGGGCCTCTTTAAAGGGCAAAACCCATTCTCTAATAGCCAAATTTGATTTATTGGCTGTCTCTGGTTACATTACAGGCAGCCCCCTCCCACCTGTGCATTAATGTTAGAATTATGCAGGGCCTCAGGACACCCAAACTGATGATGATGATGATTTATACCCCGCCCATCTGGCTGGGTTTCCACAGCCACTATGGACGGCTTCCAACAGAACATTAAAAACAGAATAAAACTTCAAACATTAAAAACTTCTCTAAACAGGGCTGCCTTCAGATGTCTTCTAAAAGTTAGATATTTATTTCCTTGACATCTGATGGGAGGGCATTCCACAGGGAGGGCGCCACTACTGAGAAGGCCCTCTGCCTGGTTCCCTGTAACCTCACTTCTTGCAGGGAGGGAACCGCCAGAAGGCCCTTGGAGCTGTACCTCAGCTGTACCTCCTTCAGGCATAGTGGGCCTAGTCCGTTTAGGGTTTTAAAGGTCAGCACCAACACTTTGAATTGTGCTTGGAAACGTACTGGGAGCCAATGTAGGTCTAATGTGGTCTTGGCGGCCACTCCTAGTCACCAGTCTAGCTGCCGCCTTCTGGATTAGTTGTAGTTTCCAGGTCACCTTCAAAGATAGCCCCACACTGCAGTAGTCCAAGCAGGAGATCATGCACCACTCTGGCGAGAGATGTAATGGCTGGCAGAAGTATATGTAGATTTATCCCTGAACAACCACTTCTGATTACTTGACGCCATAACTTAACTCTATATAAAATTGTGTTGGATGAAAAAAAGCCGACACGAGAAATCAAAGCACTTGAGCTGGATTCCATCAAACGCAACATGCCAGCTACCCATTCCAGGAGGTGTGGTGCTGATTTGCCTGAGGGACTGAACAGTTCTTGTTATTTTCAAGAATCTTTTCTCCTCAGGAGTATAGTGCTCTTGTCATTAATCCACCCTCCTTAACAAAACCTGAAAACAGGCATTTCCTATTGTAATTGTTCTCTTCTCTGCCAGCTCAAGTTTTAAGTATTCTGCACACTGGCAATGAAAATTTAGTGCATGACTCACCATCTCTCAGGTTTGGGAGTTATACTGAGTCAGACCTTCGATGCATCTAGCTCAGCATTGTCTAAATCAAGGATAGGGAACCTGTGGTCCACCCAAAGGTGGTTTCAGGGTAGCGTCTGCCGCAGGGGGCACCACAGCAATGCTATGGAGAAGGGTACAGGGGTGCGTGTGCCAAGCGTTTTAGTGTCGCAGAGGGGACCACAGAATTTTGAGAGCCTGAGGTCTGCCAATGGATACTCCTGATCCATGACCGTTGGCCATGTTGGTTGAGGCTGATGGAAGCTGGAGTCCATCAACATCTGGAGAACCTCAAGTTCTCCATCTATGATTGGGCAGTGGTTTTCCAGGGATTCAAGTAGGAATCTTTCTCTGCCCTCCCAACAGATGGCAGGGACTGATATCAGGACCTTCTGCATGTAAAACTTGTGGTCTTATGGTCCTTCCTCTCCTGTTGAACTTCTCTGATCTTCTGTACTCGCCGGCACACCTCCTCAGACTTACAACCATTGACCTGCTTCTCCTCCACCACTTGGTTCCATTGCTCTGCCTAGATCCTACACCCACTTCATGTTTCTCTCCCCAAACCATTGTACGCTTCCTTTCCTTCTACCACTGTGTCTCCAGTCTTGAGTTAACTAGGAAAGCGGGTGCCAGGAACTGACAACCCCCCATATTTCTTTCAGTAGCAGAGGAGCCCTGAGCTGTGCCTATAGACTTTTTAAATACCTGGACCAGGCTTCCAGTTCCAAGCATTTCTTCTGGGAAGTAGCACAATGGCAAGTCGATTCTAAACCTTAAAGGGTATGTCCAGTTTTTGCCCTTGTGCAAACATGCACATAGAGCTGAACACTATTTTCAACGTCACACATCTCGGATCCGCTCTATCGCCTGCCATCAGTATTCAGCAGCGGCATGCATTTTTTCTGTGCTAAGTCTGCAGGCACAGGAAGACCCAAGAGAAAGCACAACAGCTTCCTTCAGCGAGCACACTCGCCTTCGCAAAGCCCCCTCCCCAACTATGCCAAAATCCAGATTTATTGCGCATTGGACGCATTTCATAGCTTGAAACCTTATTTTAACTGTGGCCGACACATCACATGATCTTTGATGCCAGATACGTTCTCTCTCCAGGTTGTGGGCGAGGTGGGTCCGTCCCAAGTCATTTTACTGCACCCTGGATATTAACAGCTGCTGTTTTATTTTCATACAGTGGTACCTTGGTTCTCGAACGGCTTAGTTGTCGAACAAATCGGCTCCCGAAAGCCGCAAACCCGGAAGTAAGTGTTCCATTTGCAAACATTTTTCGGAAGCTCCTGCAGTCAATCAGAAGCCGCGCCTTGGTTTTAAAACGGTTTCGAGAGTCAAATGGACTCCCAGAACAGATTAGGTTCGAGAACCAAGGTACCACTGTATTTGGAACTGTGGATTTTATATGTGTCAAATGTTCCAGAGACACTTTTGGCATTGTTGCAGATTGTGAGCTGGTCTGGCTTCCCCATTTGGTAGGAAGGACGGGGTGTGAATAGCAAATAAATAAAGAAATAAAGGACAAGATGGCGGCGGCAGCCCCCCATCTCATTTCATGACCATAAAAGTCAACCAGACTGTCAATTAATTGGCAGCACCCTCCACTATATCTAAGACCAACAGGCTACTTTAAGGATGCATTGTTCTACAGTACTTTCCCAGTGCTTCACGCTGCCTGTGGCATCCACTTCACCTTGCCTAATGGCAGGGCTGGCCTTGGGGCAGGTGGCCCTTTTGCGTCTTAGTCTAGTTCTGCCACCCCCAGAGAGGAGTTCTTCTTTAGAAGGTCTATGCTAAGAAGATGCAAAGATAATTATTTTCATTTGCTTCTTGCATCTCCTGCCCTCCCAATCGGAGTGTACAGTATTTCAGACAGCACATTTCCTCCCACTTAGGGCTTTTGTTCATCGTCACTTACTTTGATCAGAAAGCTGAAGTACCGGGATCTCTTGCATGCTGTGGAGAGAACAGGAAAAAAGTAATGATTATATATTTAAATGTGCTTGCAGGCTTTCAGCAAGAATACACCACGTTTAAGAAACATAGACATGCTTTTGCTGTGAATATTCAGAAACCTCAGGGGGGTTTTTTAATAAAGAAGGTGAAACTGATCTTTGACAAAAGATTAGTCAATACAATCTTCTTCATTCAGCACAGTCAGATTATTCAGTTTTTGATTTCTGCCTTGGATACTCATAAATGGATCTCATTAAAAAGCTAAAGAATGAGGGTCATCCGGCTTACATGTCCACATGGAAGCCACGTTTGATAGGTGTTTTGGCTCTAGTCTTGATACAAATCTAGATAATGAGGTTCAACCAAAGGAGCACTTGAAAGCATTATGAAAGGCTTCAAATGGTAACCCAAAGGTTTCCAAGCTCACCCCATGATTTTCACGGGCTTTCTCATGCTTCTGAACAGTGAACGTTAAGGAACAGAAGAGCACCTGACAAAGAGACTTTTGTCACAGTTCCCAACGTGACAGTAACTATTCTTGAAAACAGAATGCATAGGAAGCTCAGGGTTATTAAAAAAATAAAAATAAAAATCCATGACATGTAAAAGCGTGCTAGAAGCAAAAGCCACATACACATTTGTAGCAATTTTATTCCAATTTAAGACCAGGGTGGATAAAAATCAATGATTTTTTTTTAAATGGATTTTTAAAAAAATTTAAATCAGATTTTTTAAAAAAAATTAAATCAATTTTTTAAATTTAAATTGGATTTTTAAAATAAAATGCTTTTAGAGGAAAATAATCTTTCAAAAGATAGTTTTCTATTTAGGTTACATTATAGTTCAAAGACTATTCATCAGGAAATAAGGATTTGTAGGACTTCCGGGTTGGCGCCTCTGGCAATGGCGGATTTCCTCCGATCGGGAGGAATCCGCTCCGTGGAAAACAGGGCCTGAACCGCCACGGCGAGACGGAGATCCATCAAAAACCACAGGCGGGAGAAGCCTGTGGACGTGGGATTTGGCCGGCACCTTTGCGCCCCCCCTACTCGCGGGGAAACCCGATTTCGGGGTTCCGGAGCGACGTGGGGTGAGTGGCGCGGTGCCTTGAATCGACTGCTTCTTTCACGGAGTGAAGCCGCATTGCTGTTGCCGGAGAGCGCCGACTTTTTCCTGTGGACAATTGGAGCTTAAATAACTGTCCGTGAGTAGAACGGAAAATTGGAATAAGAAATTTCCTTTAATTTGGCACTGAAGCGGAAAGGTCTAAACAGGAAGTCTGCCTTCCGCTTTTTGTAAATAGATTGAAGCAAAGACACGGCAAGCTAGAGCTTAGAAAATCGTTTGTAAAGGATCAATTTTCATCATTTAAAATTACTGAACCCCCCTTACAAGAGGGGGGAACTTTTTTTTTTTCTGGACTGATTAAACTTGCAGAAGACAAGTAAAGAAAAGCAATTCTCCACCGTCCTGAACCTGGGAGCGGGGTGTCAGGACAGACGTCTTTGGGAAGTTCATTGACTATAGACAAACGTTTTTGACAGATAGTTAAAAGAAGAGAAACATATTGATTCCATTGTTCCCCTTCGCATCTAAAAGGAACAAAATATTGACAAAATATCTGAAAAAGGAAACTTTGTTGTTAGATTTGCTTTAAAAAAAAAGGAGAGAGATGGATACAAATAGAAGCCTTTTCCCCTAGAGGGAGCTTGTCAAACTGTTATTAAATTCGAACTGGGGAGCTTTGCAGCTGCAATAGATTAAGATCGTGGGAACAGACTCTGACCTTCAACAAGAATGTACTCGGAGGCTCTGGTGTTGGCCTTTTGTAAGACAAGTGCTTTATTGGAACAGTTACATGAGAAGATGGATTTGATGACTGTTGGGATCGGAAAGTTTGGACAGGCAGTGGGTACTTATTTAGAACCCACTCAGGAATTAACTCAGGAGTGTGCTTTGACAGATCAGATGAGGGAGGAGGTTGTTGCTGGACCTAGTGAGGCAGAGATGGAGGGAACTGTGGCCCAGCAGGAACATGAGTTGTTGGACTTGACGAATGAACCTGGAGAAAGCCAGATTTGGAGAGACAGAGTTCTGTTTGGCATGGAGATGGGGGGCTGGATAGACCCCCCTATGCAGGGATGTTTTGACCTTTCAAGTCTGGCTTTGGGCCGGGAGGCGTTCGGAGTTGTGCGGGCCCTTAATTTTGGAGGGACTTTGAAACATGCTTTTAAATACCACATGGAGTTCAGTGTTGACTTTGGAAAAGGGGCTGATCTGTCGAGAAGGGACAAAAACATTGTCAAGCTGGAGTCTCCCCGAGTGAAAGGAGCAGAAGACAAAGTAAAGCACAGGTATAAATATGAAGAAGATCTGCGGATGGGACATGGAAGAGATCCAAGGGCCTCGGATATAAGGTTACCAGGTTGATGGACTAGATGGATGGGATAGAAAGGACTGACAAAACCCGAGACCAGGAGAAAGAGACGTTGGATGAAGATTGGAAGAAAGTTTTAAACAATTTATTTAGGAAAATCTTGTAAAAGTAAAGAGTATTAGAAAAATGTTGGAATGAAATTATTTGGCTTTAGCAGAAATGTTAAAAAGAATTATGTAAGAATATGTCATGGTTAAGAGAATTTGGTATAAATAAGATTTAAGTTTTAAGTTTTAGGGCCTTTTATGGTAAGATAAGGTTAAAATAGATTAAGGTAATTTAATGACAGAATATTATGAAAGATGGAAAGGATTTGCTGAGATAATTAACAACTAGAATACAAAAAAGGGAGGTGTGAGGAGGTCGATGAAACAAGGTAATGACAGGTAATGATTTGGGAATATTGGATTTGTTTTTAAATTTTTTGTCTATTTTTGCTTTTTGCTTTTGATGTATTATGTGTTTTCTTTTTTTCTTTTTTTGACCTTTTTTTTAATTGATTCGTATTGATTAAATGTTACTTGTTTTTTCCTTCTTCTTTTTTTCTTTGTTTCTTTGTAATCTTAAAATTCTCAATAAATATTACATTAAAAAAAAGGAAATAAGGATTTGTTTTAAGTTTTTCACGTGTGCTAAAACTGTGTCTAAGTTAAAAAAAAAAAAGTTTAACCACATCAGTTAACAAACAAGGATACATAAGCTATAATGCTATTCTTTTACTTAAATAAATTGTTTAAATTGTTATTAAGGAAATGATTGTTTTTCTCCTTCCAATAAAGTACAGCAGAAAAGGTGTCCAAATATGAACAGTGAACTTATTAAACCTCACAATATTTTCATAATTATCTGCCTATGTATTTCTAAACGTATAACCAAATCCACAATTTTTGATATAACCGTAAAAACTACTCTGAAAATTTATTAATCAAAAAATGAAACTTTCATCTGGTTGTAAATATTAAGCAGGAATGTCTTTCTGTAAATAGAAAGAAAGAAAGATTTAAATCAAGTCTTACTAACTAGTGATTTAAATCGTGATTTAAATCAAATCCACCCTGTTTAAAACTCATCCTGGGAACTGTGGTTTGCTAAGGTTTTTCCCCCTTACTTCTTTGTGATGCATGCTGAATTTTAATGTAATCTGATCTGGCTGTGGGTGTTAATGAACCATAGAACACACACACACACTTGAATATCTAAATAAAAGGAAGATTCCCTTTCATTTGACTATATTATACTCAGAGATGTCCCTTTGCAGAGTTAAACAACCAACAAAAATATTCCTGCCCTCACCACTTGCCATCTTCAGTCACTTCTTCCACAACACAGATGGGACTGTCATCCTCCCTTGAGTGTAGGCGGGGAACAAGTGTAAAAGCTATGTCAAAGAGTTAGCACCATGATAATCTCTGGTTCAGATGTAATGAGGATCCTTCAAGCAAAAACATGGGCTCCCCCACTTATGAGGTGAAGATGGCTTAAACAAAGGAGACTTCATCCTTTTGAACAAATCACAGACTTGATGAGTTGGAAGGGATCCCAAGGGCCATCTAATAATAATAATAATAATAATAATAATAATAATAATAATAATAATAATAATAAATTTTTATTTATACCTCGCCCTTCCTGGTTCAAAAAACTGGGCTCAGGACAGCTAACAAAAATTTAAAACACTTAATTGGTGCAACAAAAAACAGCATAAAATACAGTATAAAACGTGAATAACAATAAATTCAGAATTCAAAGATCAATTTAGAGGGGAAATCCATCCAATAAACATTAGATGATCACCAGGGCTAGCTGGCTAAATTAGTCCTATTTGGGCCAGTGAGGAGACCAGGGGAGAATTAGCTGTGGGATCCCAGAGCAGGTAATCTTCAAAAAACGGGGAGGGGAGGGAAGGAAGGAAGGGGAATAAAAGATCAGGCTAAGTTCGAATTGAAAGCCAGGCAGAATAGCTCCGTCTTACAGGCCCTGCGAAAGGAAGTTAAATCCTGCAGGGCCCTGGTCTCATGGGACAGAGCATTCCACCAGGTCAGAGCCATCACTGCGAAGGCCCTGGCCGAGGATAATCTGACTTCCTTAGGGCCCAGGATCTCTAAACTATGATTATTCATGGACCTTAAGGTCCTCTGCGGGGCATACCAGGAGAGGCGGTCCCGTAAATACAATTATTATCTAGTACAACCCTCTGCAATGCCAGAATCTCAACATGACAGGTGGCCTTACAACCTCTGCTTATAAACCTCCAAGGACAACCTCTCCTGGAAATCTGTTCCACTTTCCAACAGCTCTTACTGCCATAAAGTTATTCCTGAGGTTAAGTTGAACTCTCCTTTCTGGTAACTTGAAGCCACTGGTTCGGGTCCTAGCCTCTGGAGCAGAAGAAAACAAGATTGCTCCTTCTTCCATGTGACTGACAGTCCTTTAGATCTCTGAAGGTGACTATCATGTCTCCTCTTCTCCAGGCTAAACATACCCAACTCCCTCAACTGTTCCTCATAAGGCTTGGTTTCCAGACCGTTGATCATCTTGGTTGCCCTCCTCAGCACATGTTCCAGCTTGTCAATATTCTTCTTAAATTTTGGTGCCTGGATCTGGACATAGTATTCCAGGTGTGGTCTCACTAAGGCAGAATAGATTGGGACTCTTACTTCCCTCAGTTGGGACACTATATTTCTCTTGATGCTGAAAGCACAGGTCATTTGCACACCAAGATAATAATAAACTTCAGCCTAATCCTACTTTGAATAAACTACCTATAATTGGAACAAACTACGGTTTCTCATAATTGGATGTAAGGAGGTTTGGTCAAAATGGCGAAAGGAAACCTAAAACTCCTTCCCCACATACCAGGGATGGAGGTGAGCATACAAACTGAAGGCACTCACCTGCCTGTCCTTATTACAACAAACTATGGTTTCAGCACTGCATCTTAACTCAGCCACTCTGTGCGCCCTGTCCCAAAACAGCCTCTTGTTGCAAAAGCGTCACTGTGCACGGCAAAATACAAGAAATTTATATTTAAAGCGAAAGGGGAAAAGGTAGCTCGACTCCCTCACTTTACAAAGAAACAAGCCAGAAAAAGTAAATAAAAGGGCACAGGGCTCTTTTTGTTTGTTTGTTAAATGGTCTATTGGCAATCCTAAATGCAATAAGTGCAGGCTTGAAGGATTTCCTAGCTTAAACAATTTTGGTAAGTTGTCCAGAACGCCACGTTCTTGAAAGAATCCAAAGCATCTTTTACCGGGGGGGGGGTGTTGTTGTTATTCTAAAAGCCCTTCGTTTGCTGCAGCCAATTAAAGAACTTCAATTTCACATAAGCAAGCTCACAGCCAAGAAAGGGCTCTCTGGATCCACCACAAAGATATTTAATAAAAAGGGGGAGAGTAGCCTTGCCTCATATGCTTTCTGTGTGGGCTAATTAATGCCTCTCTTTTGGGGGGCAATTTTCGGTATATAAGCAGACATACATAACTGATGCGGATAACGTGCGCAGACATGTGTTTTAAAGCACTGTTCTCTCCCTTAAAGAAAGTGTAGTCATTATTTATCCATGTTGATTTCATTAGCATTGAAGGGTGTTACACACGCGCTCTTGTATCTACGCAACAAGGAAAGGATACACAAACATCCCGAAGGACAAAAGACTTTCCTAAGTTTTTTCTTTTGGCAAAACAAAAACAAAAAACGACTGGTACTTCCTTTTCGAACACCCCAAAGCTCTTCTTTCAGAGAAACAAGCAAAGTGTCAAAACTGCACCAAACTGGGGGGGGGGGGGGGACCTGGTAAGACGGTTTGAAATCGGCTATAGTTTCCAAATCTCAGCTTCAGAGAATTTAACAGTCTACATTTTGCCAACCAAAATGGAACCAAATTAGACTGATAAAGAAGAATGACAGAATGCCCATGTTGTTGTTGTTTTTAAATCTTTCCTTAAATTTTATTTTATTCACGTTTCAAGCCAATGCTGGTTATGCATAATGTTAACTGCTTAGCCTGTATGACTTGACCCTGGAAAAGTGTAGAGTTTTTTATTATTTTAAAAAAATCAAAATATTTGTTTAATTATCAAAACAATGACTGCATTGATAACAATAGAAATATTTCTGCTGTTTGTTTTTTAAACCATAGGGGTTAACAGTTAAGCTTGCATTTGGTTCACATCTGTAGCATCATTTGAAAGGTACGGAAGGTTCATACCACACCTTGAGAATTTGCTATGAAGTCTGTTTTCATATTAGTCTGGTTTGGACATCACACAAAACCAGAGTTTAGTATCACAAGAACAAACCTTAGGTTCACACACACACACCCTCCATCTCGCCTCCTCTGGCACCGCCATGATGATTTTGGAAGTGTTTTGCTTCCACTATGCTTAACCGCTTGTTGCGTTACAGAACCTGACATAGCATGGTCTATGTTAACTACGGCTTGTTTGAAACCAGCCAACTTCATACTATAGGCTATGGTAAAAGGTAAAAAGTAAAGGTCAAAGGCGGATATGGGGTTGCTGTGCTCATCTCGCTTTCAGGCTGAGGGAGCCGGCGTTTGTCCACAGACAGCTTTCCGAGTCATGTGGCCACCATGACTAAACCACTTCTGGCGCAACGGGACACCATGACGGAAACCAGAGCGCATGGAAATGCTATTCATCTTTGCGCCGCCGTGGTACCTATTTATCTACTTGCGCTGGCGTGCTTTCGAACTGCTAGGTTGGCAGGAGCAGGGACCGAGCAACGGGAGCTCACCCCGTCATGGGGATTCGAACCGCCGACCTTCTGATTGGCAAGCCCAAGAGCCTCAGTGGTTTAGACCACAGCGCCACCCATGTCCCGATTATAGGCTATGAAGCTGACTTGTTTAAACAAACCATAGTTAACAATAGTTAACATTAAGCAGTTAAGGGCTCAGACAAGACAGTAATTTCTGGTAAACTGAACTCACAGGTGAAAGCTTCTATTCTGCTCATCACACCTGCACCAGAGAGGGGAGTGCTTGAACACAAAGCAAACTATGACTCATTCACATCACACTAAATTAGGGATTACCATGATGTGATGATGGGCATTATGTTCCTTTGACTCTAGGTTCAGTAGCAACCTACACACAGTACAGGAAATATCTGCGTATCACAGCAGTGGTGATGTCATCTATTTCTATTAAAAACTACACAATACACGTGGCCCTAGTGAATGAATTCCCAGTTATTTATCCAAATCTACCTTACCCTTTTGAACAGAATTGAGCATGAAAATGTGCCTGCGTTGAACGGGTAGCACAACATTTCCCTAAGTAGAGTGAAGAGCAACAGATCTCAGCATCACTGCCATGCGAAACAGAAAAGGCAAATACTTTTCAGAAACATCTCTTAATAATTAGTTATTGTACACCAATTAGCTCAACAAGGATCCCCCCAAAATAAATAAATAAATGCATTTAGCCTATGCTGGAAAAAGTCAGCATGAATCAGAATGAGTTACCATCCACACTCACACTTAAAACACCACACTAATCAACTGACCTTTCCATTTTCTGTGAACTCTGGTTAGCTCAATTTGTTGTTGACTCAAGAAAACCTGAGCAGAGACATGCACAAAGATATCACTGAGATTAATTCAGATCCACACTCTTAAGCTCGCTGAGGGGAAATGAGCGCTCTTGCTAACATGTGACGAAAGGAGCAGAAGTTCTTATCTGTGCTCATTTGCTACATTATCATAATATACATTTCAAAACAGAAATGTAAAAAAGCCAGATCAGATAACATTTGGCAGAAATTGCCAGCATCTGGCGAGAGGAAATAAAAGCAGGATGGAAATGGCTATGAGTCGTGAGGAAAAGCATCTCAGCCTCTAACACTCTAAGCCTGACATTAACTATCAATCACTTTTATTATACAGTAATTTCATTTGGAAATGAAAAGACAGAAGAGAAGGGAGGCTGTTTTCATCTATTGGCCAAAGTGCTCTTTGAAAGTACAGGCCCATAGCTTAAGATTGCAGGTACAGTGGTACCTCAGGTTACATACGCTTCAGGTTACAGACTCCGCTAACCCAGAAATAGTGCTTCAGGTTAAGAGCTTTGCTTCAGGATGAGAACAGAAATCGTGCTCCGGTGGCGCAGCAGCAGCAGGAGGCCCCATTAGCTAAAGTGGTGCTTCAAGTTAAGTACGGACCTCTGGAACGAATTAAGTACTTAACCTGAGATACCACTGTATTCTGTTCAAACAAATAACTAGTTCAAGCCAGAATAGAATTGTGGGTAAAAATTGCAGAAAGTTATGCATTTAAGGTAGAGGTCAAAACATGAAATCTAAAGAACAATTCCCATCTGACCTGCCACCATTCTGCCCAAAGACTCATTCAGGTGATGATATAATTGAGTAAGGCTATCAAGTTTTTTCTGGATTTCCTGCCACACTATTTCAGGTTACAGATGTAGCAACTCAAGTGAAATATGTGTTTGAACCAATGACAGCATAAGGTGGAGAATTGGGACTCTAGATACAATCCTGTCCATGTCAGAGGTACTCCAAAAACAGGACTACGAGAAGAGGAATTGTTTGCCACCATATACATTTAAATGGCACGAGTTTCTTCTTCTTCTCTCTCTCTCTCAGTTCTTTCATAGTCTTATACCAACATGTTCATAAAAGGACAGAAAGCAGAAAACACGCCAAAGGACAACATAAACCAGGCATCCCCAACCTTTGGCTCTCTAGATGTTTTGGACTACAATTCCCATCATCCCTGACCACTGGTGCTGTTAGCTAGGGATCATGGGAGTTGTAGGCCAAAACATCTGGAGGGCCGCAGGTTGGGGATGCCTGACATAAACTAAGGTAGAATTGACCAGAGAGAAAATTGGTACCATTTGTTTCCCAAAGGATGCTAAATAAGAGCATATCAGATAATACTTTTTAGTACAGAGCTGAAGATATCAATACTGGATTTCCCCCTACTTTAAGAGGACAATTTTTGCTTTGTTCTTTGTGCTCTAAGCAAACTTGCTCTTGAATGTTCATTATATCTATCTATACACTAAATACCAGTTCAAGAATACTTAACAAAATAGTTAAAGAGAGGGAGGGAAGGCTGCAACCCTATGAATATTTATCTGGGAGTAAGCCCCATTGCTTAGTAAATTCAGTGGGACTTATTCCTGGCTAAAATGTATAGGATTGTGCTGTAAATGTTCATTTGTGATTTTTAATTAGCAAGGTAACACTCCTATATACCAAAAATTATGACTGAAGTATAATATCCAGAATAAACCTGGGAGTATAACTTGTGTAATGAATCTTTAAAATCTGCTGAGATATTCATACAAGTAACAGATAAATTAAACTGATTCACAATTGCAGAATGACCTTTAGACAACGCAAGAACTTTGCAAATGTTATACTGAATGCAAGAGAGAGCCACAATGACGTTACAGTCAATGGGATTAGGTCATAGTTATTTTTTTGTTAAGTGAGCCAATTCGTGTCTACCCTTTTCAGACACAAACACACAAAATATTGATAAAGTTATACAGGAGGGAAACAATCACATAACATGGCCTTCATTTTCTTGAACAAATTGACCAAGAATTGATCTGGAAGAGAGGAAGGTTCACCCACCAATCTGAGAAACAGCAAAACCTACCGGATAATTAAGCTCTTGGTTAATCAAAAGCAGGGAAATTCAGTCAGCTGCTATGTATTAACAACTTCCAAAAGGGAGACCATAAAAAGGACATAAGTATGGATTAAAAATTAACCACGATTGCCAGAAAGCCTGATATGGCAATTCCACCCACAGAAACATGTGCTCAGACCTTTCTGCCAGCACATGGCATACATTCTGCTGTCTTTAACAGCATCGACAGATACAGAAGCAATTATACAAAAAAGCCAACTTTCTCTAGAGTAGGATGGAGGAGAGGGAAGCTGAGTCAGACTCTAAGAATACAGTTCCGGGGATCTGAGACATTTCTCCTTCACTCTATATTCCCTTTCTCTTGGTTGTTTCAATATTTTCAACTCAGTAAGAGAAGCTCTTTTAGATTTATCACTTAGAGTGTGGTGCTGATAACACCAAAGCTGCAGGTTCGATTCCTGTATGGGACAACTCCATATTCCTGCATTGCAGGGGGTTGGACTAGATTCAGTCTCTAGCTGTTTTTGGACTACAACTCCCATCATCCCTAGCTCACCAAGGGTTTGAGACCCATCAGCTACCCTCACTTGGTTTAGCCTTATGCTTCCTTCTGGCAACTCCTGCAGTATTGCTCTGCTTGCTTTTGGACAATAACAGTGACGCAGAGCCGGGGTGTGTGTGTGGGTCTTGTCATCTGGGCAGCCCATACACCAGGGGTCAGCAAGGTTTACCTTGCCTGGGCCGGTTCACTCCAGCGGAGAGTCCTCCGTGGGCTGGATTGCACACGCTGGTGATTTCCGGCATCTGTGTCTGAGCAGACGCGATTTCCTGCATCTGCGCAGATGTGATATTTGGCGCTGCAGAAGCAAGTCCCCATGGTGCGTATGGCAGCACACAGGGACTCGCCGAGCGGGCGACTCGGGGGCCGGTTAAACAACCCCCGTGAGCCGCTTGTGGCCCACGGGCCTTAGGTTGCCTACCCCTGCCATACACATTGCCTCCATACACCTCCCCAGACTTCCATACAGACTGCCCAGGCATGCACCCAAGGGAGGCTGCTTTGGTGCAGCGAACACAGTGGTCTGACTTCACCCCCAGAAGAGCACTCCATTGTCTCTCGAGACAGACCGGTGCAAACAACAACAATTAAGCAATGTTAGGGTTGTCCAAATGTGGTCAATGTGCTCAGCGTGACCTCAAGGGAGAGACAAACGCTGTCCGCCATCTTTGTTCTACAAACATTCAATTCACACAAGGAGAACCAACCTCTGCACGTTCAGTAGAACTGCTAACAGAACCTTATGCATAAGACTTCTACGCACCTAAGGCTCTTTCTGTGTGATGGAAAGATCCAGCTTTTTCCCATGCCAGTTCAGAGATAGATAGATAGATAGATAGATAGATAGATAGATAGATAGACAGATAGACAGACACACACAGGATCCTGCTTCCTCATCTATGCATTCATGAAATGTAAAATTGTGTCAACCAGCCTAAAGTCGTTGCTTGATCTTACAGTCATCCTGTGATGAACATGTCCATGTGAGCTCACCCTTACTTACTTAATTTTTAAAATCTCCTTCAGAAAATTATGTACATCTCCATGCATAGGAACCAGCAATTTGGGTAAATGTTGGGCTTAACTCGGTGTCAGCATAGATTTACATTTTTTCACATTAAAACTGACCCAAATGGTAACTGCTCCTTACCTCACAACAGCATTCTGTGTTGCTTGCTATATTACAGAGAGATGGGTGACTAAATACTTTTAAAAATAGTACAAAATATCTTCTTAATTAAGTGTGTTTTTTTTAATGTGAACACAGACAGGTGTTATTCAACAGTTTATCAACCACCTGCTCAGGCAAATGCCCTTGAGGCCATCAAACTGACATTGAGGCTGTTGCATTTGGTGTGGTGGACATTTGGCATCTATTTTCTTTTTATTTGTAAGTTTTTCACTCACGTGTGCCTTCACCAGCAAATCCTAGACACACACCGAAGACCCAACACCCAAGGCTGGCCAAATTATTTTGGCACTTAAAGCAGAAAATCCCATAAGCGCCTCACCGCTCAGACTAAAAATACATTAAATAACAATTTGTTAGTCTTTTCATTGCACATCACTCTACCTAACAGCAAGACCAGCTTTGAGTGTCTTCCAGATCTCATAACAAATGATAGGAGAAAAGCTTAGAAAACCAGTGTTTTAGCATATCAGGTTAGGACCGGGGTCACTCATGTTCAAATCCCCACTTGGCTACAAAGCTGACTTTAGTTTTTCCTCTCTCGCAGGCCAACTTACTTCAAAAGCTCCCTGAATGGAAGATAGGATAAAGTATAATAAATGATATCAATAAAAAAATGAACAGAGTGCAACAAATCTGATAAACAATAATAGTTCTGAAGTTACATTCTAAAGCCACAAGCCCATGTCTTAAATATTTGTTACAGAAAGATATGCACACTTTATTTTTAAGAAAAGAGCAACTTTTATCAGATTCTCTACCTAAGCCTTTTGTGAAAGTGTTTAGATGTTAAGTTGTGGATGTGGCTATATAAATGCTTCACGAAATCTTTCCAGTGACACGGGACACAGCCCTTAGGGGTTTTTTGGTAACTCTGTTCTTCCAATTGCTCAAAGGCTGTCCATATTCTTATCACTACTGTTATAGGAAAGTAAAATGATGATGGGAAATGAGACTTTGACTAGGTTTTTTAAAAAAAAACTAACTTGGTAGAGAACATTTGAGGAAAAGGAGGAATATGCAGAGCCCGGGGTCTATTTGGGAGAACTAAATTATCTGTACAAGTGAGGAGGAATTAAAGAACCGTTTAATGAGGGTGAAAGAGGAGAGCGCAAAATATGGTCTGAAGCTCAACAACAAAAAAATGAAGATCATGGCCACTGGTCCCATCACCTCCTGGCAAATAGAAGGGGAAGAAATGGAGGCAGTGAGAGATTTTACTTTCTTGGGCTCCATGATCACTGCAGATGGTGACAGCAGTCACGAAATTAAAAGATGCCTGCTTCTTGGGAGAAAAGCAATGACAAACCTAGACAGCATCTTAAAAAGCAGAGACATCACCTTGCCAACAAAGGTTCGTATAGTTAAAGCTATGGTTTTCCCAGTAGTGATGTATGGAAGTGAGAGCTAGACCATAAAGAAGGCTGATCGCCGAAGAATTGAAGCTTTTGAATTATGGTGTTGGAGAAGACTCTTGAGAATCCCATGGACTGCAAGAAGATCCAACCTATCCATTCTTAAGGAAATCAGCCCTAAGTGCTCACTGGAAGGACAGATCCTGAAGCTGAGGCTCCAATACTTTGGACACCTCATGAGAAGACTCCCTGGAAAAGACACTGATGTTGGGAAAGATTGAGGGCACAAAGAGAAGGGGACGACAGAGGGCGAGATGGGTGGACAGTGTTCTCGAAGCTACCAGCATGAGTTTGACCAAACTGCAGGAGGCAGTGGAAGACAGGAGTGCCTGGTGTGCTCTGGTCCATGGGGTCACGAAGAGGTGGGCACGACTAAATGACTAAACAACAACAACAACAACATACAGGGTGGGTTTGATTTAAATCAAATCGATTTAAATAACGATTTAAATCACTAGTCAGTAAGACTTGATTTAAATCATTTTTTTAACAGAAAGACTCATTCTTGCTGGTATCATCTTAATATTTACAACCAGATGAAGGTTTCATTTTTGGAATAATAAATTTTCAGAGTAGTTTTTACAGTTAAATCAAAAAATTACTGTTTTGGTTATACTATTAGAAATACATAGACCGATAATTAGGAAAATATTGTGAGGTTTAAGAAGTTAACTGTTTATAGTTGGACGTTTCTGCTGTACTTTACTGGAAGGAGAAAAACAATCATTTCCTTAACAACAATTTAAACAATTTATTTAACTAAAACAATAACATTATAGCATACGTATCCATGTTGGTTAACTGATGTGGTTAAACAATTTCATGAAAAACTTATAACAAATCCTTATTTCATGATGAATAGCCTTTGGACTATAATGTAACTTAAATCTTTAGAAATATTTTTCCTCCAAAAGGATTTTATTTTAAAATTCCAATTTAAATTTCAAAAAATCTTTAAAAAATAAATAATAAATCACTGATTTTTATCCACTCTGCATTAAAGCAACTCACTCTCTCTTTTTTTGGTCTGTTTCAAAGTGCATTTTAAAAATCTGATTTAAATATTTAAAAATCTGATGTAATTTTTTTAAAAAAACACCTGATTTTTATTTATTTTATTTATTTATTTTAGTGATTTTTATCCACGCTGCCTGTATCATATCCCTCTCCCCAACACTCTGCTTATCTGCCTCTTTTGTCCTGGCTCCAGCAGCATTGAAACAATAGGGCACAGGACTCTATGGAATCTCCCTGCACCGAATAAAGTAGGGTCTCTCTGTCATTCTGCTATGCGTGCAAGACAAGGCCTCACGAACTCCTTCATTTATACAATCCTTTTTAAAAAAACTAACACTGCTGCCTTCTGTCGCTCTGCACAACATTTTGAAAAGTTTATTTCAGAAGAGGGCATCTGTTTTCTCTGGAGGAAAACATTACCTTGCATTTGTGAGTCTTGCCTTGCCTTTCTTCCAAAACATTTAACAGAATTTAAACACTGTAAAAACTGACCTTAGAACGAGCCCATAAATGAGAGACAAGATTGAGCAGGAGGATGACAGAAACCATATCTGTTTTCAAATATATGCGCAGATACAGGGATCACAGGTCTTCTGTTCTTAGCATCTGAGGATAAAAATAGATATAAAAATAGCATGAATCAGCAAATGCTTATCTCACAGACAGTATGCGCCTAGAAACTGAGCAGACATATTGAAGTATGAACTCAGAAGACATGATTGTACCAGTTGCTCACCGGAAAGTTCTACTGATCAGAATGAAGATCTAATCTGCCAAGTCTGGACTGTATTTTACTTGACATCACTCCAATTTATCATCGTCATAGCAAGATGTCTATCAGTATATACATCTGGTCGCACAGTATAAGAACCAAAGTGAAAGTTCACACATTAATTAAAAATAAAATAAAGTACAGTGGTACCTCGGGTTACATATGCTTCAGGTTAAAGACTCTGCTAACCCAGAAATAGTACCTCAGGTGAAGAACTTTGCTTCAGGATGAGAACAGAAATCGTGCCTCGGTGGCGCGGCAGCAGCGGGAGGCCCCATTAGCTAAAATGGTACCTCAGGTTAAGAACAGTGTCAGGTTAAGAACGGACCTCCGTAACGAATTAAGTACTTAACCCAAGGTACCACTGTAATGAAATTCTGTATACTCGAGCACTTTTATATTTACATTTAACTTTAAAAAGTAACTTCTAAAAACTAAATTCCAAAGGGACAGTTTTATCTGTGGTTAGAAACTAACAAATTAGGGATTTATTTATTTTTAATCACATTACAATCCTATGGAACATAGACTAATTCTTTTTATTTATGTATTTATTTATTTATACTTTTCAAGTTTATACATTTCACTAATTTTATACATTTTACTAATTTTACAATCATTTTGATATTTCAAAATTTGACTTCCTTCCTCCTCTTTCTGTGGTTCCTTAAATTTGTTTTTAATATCTTCTGCATATACAAATTAACTTAATTTGCTCATTTATTCATCTTCTTTAAATATATACTCTTATAAAACTGCAGGTTATTACAATAATCCTGACAACATTTTTATCTGTTTGCAATTTATCTGTAAGTATTCAATAAACCATTTCCATTCTTTTATTTAAAAAATTGTTGTCTTGATTTCTTATTCTTCCTGTAAGTTTCGCTATTTCTGCAAATTCCATAAGTTTTTGTATCCATTCTTCCTTTACTGGGACTTCTGCTTCTTTCCATTTTGGGGCAAGTAACATTCTTGCTGCTGTAGTAGCAGAAGAGGTAACTATTGGAAACTGGGGAGAGGGGTGGGTGGAAGTCCAGGGGTTTGAAGAACCCTGTAAAGGTATTGAGATTGTTTGTGGAGTAATGCAAATAATAATGTATGTTAAAACTTTTTAAAATAAAATTTATTTTTAAAAAAGAAAGGATTGCAAAATGGATTAATCCGTTCCAGACTTTTAAAAACAACCTCTAAAACAGCAATTTAACATGAATTTTACTATCTAACGAGACCATTGATCCATAAAATGAAAGCAATAAACAATGTACTGCAGTCACACAATCAATCAGTAGCTGAACTGGGTTCCACACAGCCACAAAAACAAAACAAAAGAGCCGTAAAAACAAAAATGCAAAATAAACAGCAAAAACCGACAGACCTCAGCGTAACACTCAAAACGGAAGTGTGGCACTCAAATCGGAAGCATGACACTCAAAATGGAGCACGTTTGGCTTCCGAAAACAGTTCACAAACCGGAACTTACTTCCGGGTTTGCAGTGTTTGGGTTCCAAGTTACAGTGGTACCTCGGGTTACATACGCTTGAGGTTACATACGCTTCAGGTTACAGACTCCGCTAACCCAGAAATAGTGCTTCAGGTTAAGAACTTTGCTTCAGGATAAGAACAGAAATCGTGCTCCGGTGATGCGGCGGCAGCAGGAGGCCCCATTAGCTAAAGTGGTGCTTCAGGTTAAGAACAGTTTCAGGTTAAGTATGGACCTCCGGAACGAATTAAGTACTTAACCCAAGGTACCACTGTATTTGAATACCAAGGCGTTTGAGAACCAAGGTACCACTGTATTCAGTTACAGCAGCTCAGCTTTCCTCATCTTGTTGCCCTCCAGCTGTGTTGGATTACAACTCCCAACAACCTCAGGCAGCATGCCAAATGGTCAGGAATGAGGGGCTTTGTAGTCCAAAATATCTGTGTGTGTGTGTGTGTGTGTGTGTGTGTGTGTGTGTGTTTGCACGCACGCACACATGCGTGCCAGGCTGAGAGCATTTGCCCTAGCACATGCCACAATAATACATTTGTTAGTCATCAGGGTGCCGCAAGACAAGAATTCAGTCATGAGACTCGGAGTTGACATGGATCAGTTAAGAAACAAAAACAAATCTGGTGCGAAAGATTCCGACCACTACACAGAAACGCAATGGTTTGGCAGTGTCAATGAGGACTCTTCTCTCGATAGGTTTCAAGTCTAACTGCATTACAGTCGTGGATGAAGAAAGGATGTTTTTATTTCTGTTTTCGCAGGACGAGAAACAACGCGGTTATTTTCTCACACAAACTGTGCTAAGTAGCAGGACGCCACAAGTTCCAGGCCATAGGTTAGAGAAACTAGACAGGACATCAGATTAAATGTGTCAAGAGCAACAGGTTTTCTAGCATGCAAAGAAAACAGCGGCCATAAAGATGCGGGCAGACTATCTGGGTTGGGAACCTCGGGCCTAAGGAGAAAATGCAGCCGTCCAGGCCTCACTGTCAAGCTCACAATTCACATCTCTCTGTGGGATTTCCGCCCCCCCCCCTTTTTTTTTTGCCTGGCTGTCCTTGAATGGCCAGACTCCCTCTCCTTTCCTGGATGGAGAGAGATGCTTATATAGAAACCTCTGACTTTTGCATGGTGGAACTTGTAAGAGTCCTATCAACCAGCATGAAACCTCTGGAATATTGCAGACCCTCCAATATTATCCAGGGACAATCCCGGATTTACAGAAGCCATCCTGGTTTCTGCTTTGATCCCAGAATGCCCCACTTTTCCTTAAACGTAAAGGTAAAGGGACCACTGACCATTAGGTCCAGTTGTGGACGACTCTGGGGTTGTGGTGCTCATCTCACTTTACTGGCCAAGGGAGCCGGCATACAGCTTCCAGATCATGTGGCCAGCATGACTAAGTTGCTTCTGGTGAACCAGAGCAGCGCACGGAAACGCCATTTACCTTCCTGCTGGAGCAGTACCTATTTATCTACTTGCACTTCGAACTGCTAGGTTGGTAGGAGCAGAGTTTGAGCAACGGGAGCTCACCCCATCGCAGGGATTCGAACCGCCAACCTTCTGATCTGCAAGCCCTAGGCTCTGTGGTCTAACCCACAGCGCCTATCTTCATCAGAGAAACGATGGAGGGTTTGGAGTTATCCAATCCCTGAGCTAAGGAGATAAGTAACTACACAACCTTTAGAGGACATCTGAAGGCAGCCCTGTATAGGGAAGTATTTTAATGTTTGATGTTCTATTACGTTTTTATATATGAAAGATGCCGTCCAGAGTAGTTGAAGCAACACAGTCAGATGGGTGGGGTAACAACAACAACATCATCATGATGATGATTGAATAGGACGTCCCTATTTTCACCAGAGAAAAGTTGGAGGGTATGATATTGCCCACAGTGGCAATGAACAGTCAAACTATGCTGCACCTGACTCTAAAATCTCCTAGATCATTCAAATACAACAGCAGTTGAAGGTACCAGGGCAGGTGTAGTAAAGACATATCAGTTTACATAACTAATCTATCACACTCTAGGCCAACACAACATCCTTTTGCTAGAGCTATCGTGACAGCAATGGAAGTAGCCATCTGGGTCAAGGGCAAGCAGGGCCAACAGGGAAAACCATTCAGGTGGACTCAGTCATTTGAAAAATAACGTATAAACTGAATTACTTTCAACTATATATATATGTCACTGTTCACAGCTCCCTCCAACCTATTTGTGTTTGAGGGGAATGAATATATATATATATATATATATATTCATTCCCCTCAAACACAAATAGGTTGGAGGGAGCTGTGAACAGTGACATTTCTGTCACACAGAATTCTGGCCTAGAATGGAAGAAAATAGCCAGTTATTTATATACTGCCTCTTGGCGTTTAAAAAGGTCCCATGGTGGTCTATAATATATATTTTTTAAAAAATAATTTGCATAAAATATTTCTACGCCAATTTGGATTTCAGGACAGTGGACATTGCAAGAATAGCATAGCACGGCCGAGCAACAGTAACAAAACAACAGATAAAATCCTTTAAAGCATTCTAAGGTTTGCACAATCATTAAAACGGCAAGAAAAGCAAACTAGAAGCACTTAAAATAAACTGGAAGGGAATTCTACAAATGTAGAACTTTAATCAAGAAGGCTCCGTTTGGCATCCCGGTGGAAGGACACAGAACAAGACTTCTGAAGATGAAGGCCTTTCTGGAGGACAATTCTTTCTTACTAGGCCTAGCTTCTTTCTTTCTTCACATCACATATAGATGACTGGAGAAGGAAGGAGACCATGTTCTTACTGCCATAAGGGTGTTCCCCAAATGAAGTCCATTTGCTTACAGTTATTTCTCTCTCTGGCTGGATCTATACACATCAAAGAAGCGTTTCGATTAAACGCATTGCAAACTTCGTATGAGAAATCAGGTTGGCAAAAACAGAACTCCACAGTGCCATCTGGTGCCATAGTGTTAGAATGCATAAACAACGCATATAAAGCGATTTTTCTTTGCCAATTTAGCCGAGTCCTCCCTCCCCCCCCCCCACAGCCCTATCATTACAACAGCATTTGAAATTCACCAGACACATTTTGCACTTGGTTATTGGCCATTTGCGATCATCTAGAGGTGCCTGCATGGGGATCATTTGATCTGAACTGTTTTCACACACTAGCAACACATCCTGTAGAATTCTATCCATGATATTGCATCTGCACTATCAGAATGAATCTCAGTAACCAAAAAGCCATATTGAACAATACACCTTTTGAGCTCTTCTGGCCCCAAAATGACAACTAGGCATTCTGTTTTGGTGACCGTAATACTGGTTTAAGAAGCCATTTGGCACCTAGCTTATATACCTGAGTTTCTAACACTACCTTAAAATATAGCTATTTTCAGAGGAAGAAGAAGAAGAAGAAGAGTTTGGATTTGCTATCCCGCTTTATCACTACCCGAAGGAGTCTCAAAGCGGCTAACATTCTCCTTTTCCCATCCTCCCCCACAACAAACACTCTCTGAGGTGAGTGGGGCTGAGAGACTTCAGAGAAGTGTGACTAGCCCAAGGTCACCCAGCAGCTGCATGTGGAGGAGGGGGGAATTGAACCCGGTTCACCAGATTACGAGTCTATTGCTCTTAACCACTGCACCACACTGGCTCTCAGAGCACCTATGTTTCACGGACGAACCTCATATTCTAACTCCATTGTAAATCCAACCTTTCCTGTTTGGAGGACTGAGTGGGTCAAGCACAGAAATGAGCCATTTCACATAATCCTTAATGGAGTAAAAATAATTCATCGACGCAGAAATACAGTTGAACCGAACCTAAATTACGTATCCATTGTAAGAGAGAAAAATTCTGCCAGCTTCAGTTCTTCTGCAAAGAAGATTCTGCATCAGCAACTGTTATTTGGCTGTCAGAAGTGAAAGGCATCCTCTATCTGAGAAAGTGTGAGAAGTGGTAGTAATTCATTTAACCAAATGCCTGCATTCTCCTGCGGAGAGGTGAAGCAGCTGCTGCTTAATAATTCAGACAAGCCTGGAAGTAATAAAGGCCCATGAGTTTACAGTTTGTACAGAATAAGAATCAGAGTCGTCCCCCGCCCCTCTGCACAACTGAATCAAGGCACTGAGTATCAATTCTAGTGGGTACACAAAAAACCCAACAGTTGAATCTGAAGTCTGCCACCTTCCGGGTTATTACCAATGTCAGTCAGAGGCTTAGATGAATCAGCACATCTAGAACAAAGTGATTCATTGACAGGAGAAAGCAGAAAAGAACATTTGTGTTTCATTAGGGCCCAAGACATGTATCTTCATTCTGAGGATTCTGCACATACGAATTTTCATTCAGACACAAACTTCTCAGGGAGGAAAACCTTACTGGATCAATTGATGTGTGTGCTGAAGTTTAAGCCTGTTTTAAAAGTTCAATCTGATATACTTTTAATGCAATTGTTTAGGGGAAGGGAGAAGACGATTTCTAGATATTTTGTCACTTTTTCTGTTATAGCATTTTTTACTGATTTTTAAAAACAGTTATATTGTATGGTATTTTTGACACAGAGGTGCATACTGTGCCATGCTCTGTGGTGCAGAAAACCTGAAAATGTGGTCAGGTTCTCCCTCACTATCCTTGCCCCTTGGTAGGGGGTGATTCTTTCGCAATTTATCCCCGGTCCCCACAGAATTCCATTTTTTCCTACTGTAGAATTCTAGATCTCATGCTGAAGAATCTGAAGCCTTGGTGTCAAAATAGTTTATTTATGTATGCCACTACTGTGGCAGAATATGCCCAGCTTGCAGACTTAACATACAGAATAAGACAACAAGAAGAACATATGTTTAAAGAAGATTGGAAAATGTTTATTGAATATATGGGAAATAATTGTGTACAGCTGAAAACACTGGCAGCATAAAGATAAATTCAACAGTGTAAACAAGTTACGATGGATGTAATAATGGAATACTGAATGGTATAGTTTCTGTAAAATATGCAGGGATTTATGATATGTAAAATGAACAACGGAAAGAGAAGAAAGGAAGTAATTGATATCTTAAGGATGTAAAAATGAGTACTTTAAATTATAAAACAGAATACACACACACAGTATTACCTTGGTTCTTGAACTTAATCCATTCCAGAAGTCTGTTCGACTCCTGAAACTGTTCGAAAACCAAGGTGTGGCTTCCGATTGGCTGCAGAAGCTTCCTGCATTCAAGCAGAAGACATGTTGGACATTTGGCTTCTGAAAAATGTTCAAAAACCGGAACACTTACTTTTGGGTTTCTGGCGTTCGGGAGCTGATTTGTTTGACAACTAAGCAGTTCGAGAACCAAGGTACCACTGTATATATAAAAAGAATCTGAAGCCTAGTAACATCCATTTTTCACACAGCTTCCCTTATGCTGGCCTGCCCTCTATGGGGGTCCGAGAGGCCTGTGCCCTAGGGCCAACTATACTTTCCGGTGGAATTCCATGTTTGGACACACTACATAGTTTCCTTCTTCCAAAAGTAGCAGTAGAGCTACTGGGGCACTGGGAAGGGAGGAGAGGTTGCCTCTTTCCCCCCATCCATAATTTCAAACTTAAATCCCTCCCAGAAACTATTAGCCACAGAAAGAAATAACATGCATGTGTGCACCTCTTTTCTTGACAAGGATGACTACCCAAGAGGCCACAAACAATTATACATTGCTGGAGGTCTGTCCTTGTGTGCTGTCTATATAGCACCGTCTTACAAACCAACCCACAGAGGTAACTAGCCAACCAGAAACAAAACTACAGACCTGTTAAGAGGCTAGTAAGCTGCAGTTCTGTGCTGGTTCCAGCAAGCATCAAACAACAGTCCTTCTATGAAGCAATCGGACGGTTTTCCACCAGCCTGCTTGGTTTTCATACTGGTCATAGAGGAAGGGATTTTGGGGGTAAAGGAGTAGACCAGGGGTCAGCAAACTTTTTCAGCAGGGGGCTGGTCCACTGTCCCTCAGACCTTGTGGGAGGCCGGACTATTTATTTGGGGGGGGGGATGAACAAATTCCTATGCCCCACAAATAACCCAGAGATACATTTTAGATAAAAGCACACATTCTACTCATGTAAAAACACGCTGATTCCCGGACCATTCCCAGGCCGGATTTAGAAGGCGATTGGGCCGGATCCGGCCCCCAGGCCTTAGTTTGCCTACCCATGGAGTAGACGAACGTAATAGTCCTTCAATACACCATAAATAGCTCAAAATACACCTTGGCTTTCTCATATGGGTAAGACCACAGTCTCATGCTTCCCCTCTGAACATATGCATCCAATTTTTTCCAGTGTGCCAGTCCGTCTGCCTACATGTTGCTAGATGGCTGGCGGAAGCTTTAAGCGACTGGTCTGGAGGCAAGTCACCTGAAAGGAAGAGTTATTCTCCGCATTACCTCAATGTGTGATCAGGATTGATAATACTCGCCCTCCCCCACCCAAAAAATAAATAAATTCAGCTGCCACATTCAGAGTGCATTTTTGGAGTGCACACGTTACGCGAAGTGAAAATGCAGAAGTCTGGCAACTACTGAAAGTAGTAATTCAGAAAAGCACTTTGCAAGCCATACCCAAAGAAGAACAAGCTTGGTAATTGCAGGAGGTGAGCGTGTACATAAGAGGGAACTTACTAACGGAGAAATGTAAAACCAAAGGTGGAATTACAAATTCCAAGCCGTTCAGTGCAACGTTACAAGCGGGAAACATACACCAAACTCATGTAATGAGACAACTAATTGCAAAATTCGTAAGTAGTCTGTTTTATCCTTTAGTTGGAACCTGTTGCAGTCCTAATTATGTCATCAAGAGCACAAACAAGCCTGATAACTCCTTAACTTTAGCCTCTATGGTACCAACCAGCCCGTTTCTTTTCCTCAACCTACACTTGGCGACAGAAACAGGTTGTGGTGGGGTACAAGACGGTAAATGAAATCTCAGATCTATGGTGCGATGGAGAGATTAACAGAGGAACTACAGTGGTACGTCGGGTTAAGTACTTAATTTGTTCCGGAGGTCCGTTCTTAACCTGAAACTGTACTTAACCTGAAGCACCACTTTAACTAATGGGGCCTCCCGCTGCCGCTGCGCAGCTGCTGCACGATTTCTGTTCTCACCCTGAAGCAAAGTTCTTAACCTGAGGTAATATTTCTGGGTTAGCAGAGTCTGTAACCTGAAGCGTATGTAACCTGAGGTACCACTGTATAGCAGTTGCCAGGGACTGTGCAAAATGTCTGGACTGCCAAAGCAATGCACAGCAGCACCTCTGGCCTAGTGGAGAAGTTTATGGAAGTCCCAATACAGGCTTTCTTTCTCACTACTAGTTAAATTTTGAATAAGGAAACAGAAGAGGATATCAGAGACAGATTGTGATGGGGGCTATTTTATAGCGTTTCAAGCTAAACAACCTGACCAGAGTAGTTTGGACTTTATTTAGAATTGGTTGGGGTGAGGTTTATGAACTTGGCGAGCTCGTTATTGAACTCCTCACATTCCAAAGCTTTGCCCCTACCACCAAATATCAGAACGATCATAGGGCAAGATTGATGACGTTATTCTTTATTTTCTTTCTCTTTCTTTCTTATTCAATCAATCAATCAATCAATCAATTGCCCTATACCCACAGGTTTCAGGGTAGTTCACAACATAAAAATCACAAAATAAAAACACATAAAAAATAAAAACAAGAACAAGCCATTAACCCCCAATAAAGCTTTAAAAGGAACTCAATAATATAGAGATATAACTGTTTTGCTTTGCTTATTAAAGTAAACAAATGGTAATGGATGAGATCAAACTGCAATAATGAAGTGGGTTTTGCTTTTGTTTAGTTTTTAGAGAAAACACTGTTGTGTTCATGTCCTGCTAAACATCTGGTTAACCGCTACGAGAGAAGAATATTGAACTTTTGTTCTGATCCATCTTTTTATGAATGTGTGGGGAGTAACTTAAAATATGCAGATTTACTATTATGACGGTGTTCCAACTGCAGGCATGTTAAATGTTCTACATAAGCTATCAAATAAAATTTAACAAGGACACATGGAAATGCACCAGAAAGGGGTGGGAAACCTAACTAACTAAAAAGCAAAAGGGAACAGGGAGGATTACAGGCGAGGTAATGGCATTTTCGAAAAAAGGATGTTAGGATTTATAGTGAATAACAAGCTGAACATTACTCAACAGCGTGATGCTGGAGCACTGAAAACATGCAAATTAGGGTGCTTAACAAACATATCCCTATGTTTACTTCATTCTCTTTGGGCAATTACCAAAGGATTTGTCAGTGGTGGAATATTTATGTTTCACAGACTAGAGAGGGTTGGATTTAAAAATATAAATCAAGGCTATTGTTGTCCCAGTGGTGTGAGATTCTAGGGGTTTCAGGTGCTTACCCAGGGTTTGTGCTTCCTTTTGGCACAGCACAGACGGTGGTGTCTTTAGGTTATATGGTTTATTTACACATATATACAACCTGAGTCTATGATGGCGGGGTACACAACATCAACACCCCCAAAGGGCCTTGTTTCTCCCATAGCCACAGCCTCAGATTCAAGCAGAAATCAGTCATAGCTTTCTCTCTGCTTGTCCAGCCTTCAGCCTTTTTTTGCACCCAGCTTCTAGCTGACATAGCAGCAAAACACAGCAGTACTGCTGTTTTATCTTACTATGTAAGAGAGGGAGGGAGGGCCCCACCTATTTGCCATCTGCCACAGAGCTCCCTTTCTTCTGTCCAAATGGCCCCTTACTTGTCCTTTATTTCTCTTAATGGCCCATCTCCCAGGTGATCACCTCATGAGGAAGCTAGCTTGATTTACATTTTAACAGTTGCTGGGATTATAAGGATTAGAAGTCTGGCACCCACAAACTCATAATGCTATATGCGTGAAAGCACTGTAGGGGATGGGCGGGGGGAGGGGGAGATGGTAACTCTGCTAGATATTTAATTTATTGACCATATAATACATACTGAAATATGACCTGAAGTCTGTAGCTCAATCAACCCACTGCGTGAGTTTTGAGTTCTCTACATCGGATTCACTGATTGTCTTGGATTGGCTGGGATAACCTTTTTGAATTATGCACTTTTAATTGTTGCTTTGTGCTTCTGAAAGAATTCGAGTTTGGATTGTGTTATTACTGTTGGCCTAATATTACTGTTGGCGTAATATTATGGATGGATGTACTTCTCAACGGCATGGGACATGCAAGAACATGCAATCCCTGGAAATAGCATTTTCTATTTTCCTTATTGTTGGAGGTACATTGCCTGAGGAACATGGACTCTATTCCTTTACTGCTAGACTCCATATCCCACTCTCAGAAATTTGCTCCCCTTTGCCTCTCACAGGCCCTAGAATGTTGTGTTTCAAGAGTTGCAAGTCCTGTTCCCATTGCAGATAAAACCTGTTGAGACTAACTTCGAAATAAAAACTTTTCTTTCTTTTTTTGAGATTTTGATCTAGAAAAATAACTGGGTACAACTAGAGTTTTTTCCAAGTTGGAGCTAATAAGTGTTAATTAATATAATTAATTGTTATAATGTGACTGTAGCTAGTCTAAACTTCTGTTCCATACAGAATGCTAGCAGAATTCTTAAGTATAGGAACGCACATAGCAACAACACTCAAAGCCAACTGGACAGAAACCCAACTGGTACTGTAGGATTCTTGCACTAGTCCAGGCATAGGCAAACTCAGCCCCCCCCCCAGATGTTTTGGGACTACAACTCCCATCATCCCTGACCACTGGTCCTGTTAGCTAGGGATGAGGGGAGTTGTAGTACCAAAATATCTGGAGGGCCGAATTTGCCTATGCCTGCACTAGTACTTCCTTGCAAGTACCATAACATTGATCAATATAGGCTATTCACTAAGGGGCAATGCCCTGGAATTCCAGCACAGCTCAGAGAAAACCCATAGTTATTATTATTGTTTTTTGTAGAGAAGCGTTTAGTGACATTAATACAATCCACAGTGAAACCTTCCTATTTCTATTACGTAAGCTGCAATGCTAATATCATTTCCCCCCTCCACTACACTTTCTACTTCTCATAATATGAATCTGGAACCTTCTCTTAAGAGCCTTATTTGTCACAAGACAGCAGCGATGACAAGTCTGTGGCAGACTTGTACTGCAGATTATTCCAACCTGAACTGACAACTACACTCTATGAAAAAGATTGGATTCTAGTTATAATACAGCAGAACCAATGATATGTGGGAAAGTGAGATGCCTGGTACCTCTGGACGCCACTTATCAGAACAAATGAAATTCAAAAATGTATCTCATTATAGTTCTTCCTTTATCTTTGATGCAGTAAAATGAGTTTCCCGCTCTAGATAGTCGGCCAAGTACCCAAAAAAGCAAAGCTGAAGATGGAAAGGCAGTTTGGCCCTGATGCTATAGCAGCATCAGAAACATCCATGCTGCTACAAGATTTAATCTCTGCAACAAAAACGAAAAACTTTACATTTGCACTATATAAAACCCTACTCAATGGAGGAAATATGATTTAGAATACGATAGACAAAAATGGAGTGAAGATTTAGGGGTACAGATAACAAATGATATATGGGAGTCAAGCATAAAATCAACAGAAATAGCCTCTTATGGATCTAAGACTAAGACTTATTCAACAGAAAATATTCGTCCTCCAGCAGAACTATACCAGAAGAAAGTAACAAGTGCAGACAAATGCTGGAGATGTGGGAGTAAAAATGCGAGCTTAGTACATATGTTGATTAACTGCCCGATGATAAGATCATTTTGGTGCGAGGTGAGTATATTTATAGCAAGAGTAATAAAAATAAATTGTTATTTAGGGGAACTGAATTTAATTCTAAATTATATTCCGGGAACGTGTGAGATTTCAAGGGGTCAAAAAAATTGGATGCACTGTGCTATATTAGAAGCAAAAAAACTTGTTTTGAAGAATTGGAAGAGCCGCAAAAGGATTCCATTGAGCACATGGATTGATAATATGGACAGATTAGCTACATACAAACGACCCAAAATAAGAATGGATAGATATGAAGAAATTTGGAACGAACATTTAAGCGATAAGGCGGATAGTGGTGGAAAGTAGGGGGAGGAGAGAGAGGTGGGAAAATATTGTTTAAAAAAGGTGTAGTCATAGATATATCAGTGTATTCAAATCTGAATTGTCAAATTGTGTTATTATTGTTATTATGGTTTTTGTTGTATGTGTCCTTTGCGGTTGCTGTTTGTATCGAAAAAAATGATTAAATAATATATATTTTAAAAGATGGTCCTCTTTAATCCAAGTTTTTTTTTATAAAGGTAATTTTTTTGCTGAATGAAACATGAGGAAAATTCACCTGAGCTTAGCTATGCTGGAGGATGAGTAATACACAAATATTAAATAGGCGTCTTTCAGAAATAAGAACCAGAGATCTAATGAAACCTTGATCTCATTTTACTTTAATCCACACTCATCTCTATTTTCATAATTTATATGAAAACATGAAAGCCTTGCAGTATTATCTTCGTAGATTATTCAATCTTTAGGAGTCTACTTCCAGCCTCTAAAATGATTTGATTTCTTAAGAGACCAGGGATGTGTCACAAAAGCGGACCTAACTGAGAGCTATCACTCACTCAAAGCACTACGAAAACTGCCTAATATTCAGAATGTAAATGCCACAGAGCAGGAACTGTTTTTGTTTAGTTAGGCACTTCTACAGTTTTTCCTCCCTGTGCTTAAAAAAAACACACACCCCAAAACAAACAAACAAAAAACAGCTGCAAGAGGCTGAAACTGTGAGCAAAGGACATTCAAATCACACAAGCAAACATACGTTGCTTTTCCCGGGGGAGGGGGGGGAATCTAAAGAATCATAAAATTCTCCTTCATGTGTAGTTTGCCCTGTAAAGGCTGTAATTAGTAATAGCAGCAGAAGTTACTTACACTCAAAGCAGTTTTTTGACACATAGCATACATGCATTCTGAATTTAATGGTTCCTGCAAAGGACTGTTGCTCTACTACTAGAACCTGCATTGTAAACTACGAAGCATACTATTCCTAGCTGGTCCTATTATAATAATAATTTATTATTTATACCCTGCCCATCTGGCTGGGTCTCCCCAGCCACCCTGGGCGGCTTCCAACAAAGTATTAAAATACAATGGTCTGTTAAACATTAAAAGCTTCCCTAAACAGGGCTGCCTTCAGATGTCTTCTAAAAGTCTGGTAGTTGTTCTTCTCTTTGACATCTGGTGGGAGGGCATTCCACAGGGAGGGCGCCACTACCGAGAAGGCCCTCTGCCTAGTTCCCTGTAACTTGGCTTCTCGCAGTGAGGAAATCACCAGAAGGCCCTCGGCGCTGGACCTCAGTGTCCGGGCTGAACGATGGGGGGTGGGGACGCTCCTTCAGGTATACTGGGCCAAGCCCGTTTAGGGCTTTAAAGGTCAGCACCAACCTTTCATAAGCCTGTTATCAAGCTGCTATTTGCTATGCAGGCCTTTTCCTCAGTTTCCCACATCACCATTCTTTTCCCCCTTTCCCCTTGCACTAGATGGGCACATACATCTTGATGACAGAAGGGTCCCTTGCATTGCCTGATGGTTTCAGGATTATGCCTTTGTATTCCATCGTGTGGTAAGGCAGGGGCGAGGAACCAATGCCCCTCCAGATGTTGAAGGTGTACAAGTCCCCGCATCCCGGATGGTTAGCCATGTTGGCCAGAGAGGATGGGAGTAAGATCCCAACAATATTTAGAGGTTCAGTGGGGCTTTCTGAGATATACGCAATGATAACCAAGACTCGGTTTGGGATTAACACTCGTATTCTGAGGTTGTAGTAATAATACTAATACTAATACTAATAATAATACAGTGGACCCTTGGTCGTCAAACGTAATCCGTTCAGGAATTGGACTTCCAAAACATTCGAAAACTGAGGCGCAAAGGGTTGTTGGCAATTTCCATTAAGAAAATTGAAAAACATGCCCCGGAAGCGTGTTTGAAAACAGAAGTATTTGCCGTATTTTTCGCTCCATAAGATGCACTTTTTTCCTCCTAAAAAAGGGGGGGAAATGTCTGTGTGTCTTATGGAGCGAATGTGTGGTACCTGGAGCCGAATTGAAACAAGGCCGCTGAGCTCAGCAAGTGATCGGGAGGGAGATAAGGGACACTAGCGATAAAGGCGGCTGCCTGGGAGGGGGGAGGTAAAAGCACATGGATCCTCAGGATTTTAGCATTGGATCAGCCCAAATTCACCATCAGATCACATAGCATGTCCATGGCTATAGCCTGCACCAAAAAATCACGCATCCACTGTTTTGTGGGGCCACAATGGCGCAAAAATGTGGTTACAAAGCACGGGTCCACATGGATCCTCAGGATTTTTGCATTGGGCTACCCCAAACTCACAGTCAAATCACATGTCTGTGGCCACAGCATAAACCACAAAAATCATACATCCACTGTTTCGTTCAGAATATTTTTCTTGTTTTCCTCCTCTAAAAACTAGGTGTGTCATATGGTCAGGTACGTCTTATGGAGCGAAAAGTACAGTGCTTCCGGGTTTCCGGCATTCGGGTTTCAAAACATTCGACTTCCAAGACTCTTGAAAACTGAAGTTCCACTGTAATAATAATAACAAGTTATTATTTATAGCCAGCCCATGAGAGTCCTCATATCAGCCCTAAAAAAAGTTAAGATTTTGCGTAGTGTCCGCATCACACATCCAATCCTCCCTACCCTTTTGTCCCCAGTTCAAGTCATCCAAAGCCTTGAATGATGCAAGACTGCACAATTTGGAGTTGCTGTGCTTATGCAACGGCCCCAGATAAATTGCTGCTCCACTCTAACACTCTTCTCCATCATGGACCACTGGAGCCATCGTTTTTGTACACTTTACCTCAGCGTTGTTAGCAATCAGTGTGGTTAAGCAATTCTAAGCAATAAACAAGAAAAACAAATAGACCACAGCAAGGAAAAACTACCGGGTAATTTCATGCCAAGGATGTTTATAGTTTCTCTCAGACAAGCGCCTTTTATACCATTATTCATGAGAGCCAAAGTCAAGACTAGCCATGCTTGTCCTCCAATAAACTGGTTTGGAGACATTGCGTTCCATTATAAAGAGCGTCTAGTTGTCCAATACCTTCAACCGTGTGCCGCAATCTGTGTCCCTTGCTCATTTTTTAAAAAACTCACTCCAGGGAGAACATATTCTCCAGCGTCTTCCACAGGATCAAAACCAAACTATTCCACATGACAGTTCCAAATCTGGGTACAATTCAATCCCTCGCTGTGTACTCCAAAGAGCACATGCGGGCATAAATTGCGTAGGCGTACACTGCTCCCAAATGAAACGTCATCCTTCCTGCCAACTCCATCCCAACCTTCTTGCTCAGCAAGGAAGCTCAAGGTAGAGAAGACACATCAAAGGCCTGCTGGAGGCGGCTCTTACCTGCTGTCCTGACCCCCCTACAGACTTTTTGCCTGGACAATGGAAAAAGATAAAAAGACTTCCAATTCTCTGTCTGTCAGCTATTCACGCATTAACATTCAACTATTCTATTTTCTATAAGCCAAATTTTTCCAGTCTTCAGATCCAGGTATTACAAGTTGTTGTTGTTGATTGAATTTATATACCGCCCTATACCCAGGGGTCTCGTGGTGGTTCACATAATAGAATCAAGATATAAAACGACAGAATACCTGATAATAATAAAACAACAACTCAATAGCCCCTCCCCCCCAAAAAAACCACATTTAAAAAGGGCATAGGATGTAAATCAGTTCAACCAAAGGCCTGGTTTAAAAGGAACGTTTTTGCCTGGCGCCTAAAGGTGTATAATGAAGGTGCCAGGTGAATTTCCCTGGGGAGAGCATTCCACAGACGGGGAACCACTGCAGAGAAGGCCCCGTTCTCGTGTTGCCACCCTCCGGACCTCTCAAGGAGGGGGTACATGAAGGTGGGCCTCAGAAGGTGATCTCAGGGCATAGCTGGCAACCTTCCCTTTTTTTGCAGGAAATTCCCTTATTCCAGCGTCGTTTCCTGCTGCTTCCTGCTGCTATCCTGGAATGTTAGATATCCCATAGACTGTCCCCAGGACAGGTGAGGCTGCTGATCCCTTATTTTCAAATCTGAAAGTTGACAGCTATGTCTCAGGGTCCAGGTAGGTTCATATGGAAAGAGGCAGTCCTTGAGGTATTGCAGTCCTGAGCCATGTAAGGCTTTATGGGTCAAAACCAGTACTTTGAATTGGGCCCAGAAACTAATTGGTAGCCAGTGCAGTCGGACCAGGACTGGTGTAATATGCTCAAACCATCTTGCTCCGGTGAGCAACCTGGCCATTAGCTGCTTCTGAAGTTTCTGAACCTCCTTCAGAGGCTGCCCTATGTATAACACATTGCAGTAATCTAACCCTGAGGTCACCAGAGCATAGACAACAGTAGTTAGGCTATCCCTGTTCATTTTCTCTTTCAGATAAAAAGTGCATAAGAAGTTTCCAATCCTTAATAAATGTCCATAATGATTTTTCTCTAATTAAGCACGCTAACACTGCCATCTCAGCTAAGTCCAATAATGTTATCAACTATTCCTCCATGGAAGATAGGGCTATAGCTTTCCATCTTTGTGCATAGAACAATCTCCAATTATCATATATTGGAATAATAGTCCACCGTCCTCAAGCACTTTGAAAACAAACAGCTTTCTCTGCAGGAGGGAAATTTCTCCATTTTTAGGAGGATTTCCTCCCCTCTCCACCTCTTTCAGGGGACTCCCTATAAAAAGGATACTCTTTGAAGATGCGCTCTCAGCACTTGTCATCTGACTGGTACCAAATCACATTTTCAAAGGACACTGCAACTGTTTGTCAAATGGAAGTCCAAATCAAAGAGAAGTGTGTATATTTGATCCATGTGGAACATAACACAGACAGCACAACATACAAGGTACAATTGTCAAGAGGCTCGTATCAAAACTGTATAAAAATCATTGATTTGCAGATGCTGTACTTTCTGCTTTTTTATTATAAATGAGCTAGTCCAAAGAAGCTTCTTTAAAAGTTAGAATTGATCTGTGTGAGAGTTTTTAATTACAGTTTAATTTCAGAACAGAACAGCACGAGGTGTTTGCAGGCTTTTTCAATGGTGTTTCGGATACACATGATTTCACATAAACTCGCAGTGCCTTGGAACATAACCTCCACGTAAATTGGGAGTTGCCTGTATTTATTCCAAATAATTTATAAAATTTATAAAGGACTTACGTAGTCCAAAACACTTTAGTTCTTTTCATCCCAGCAATCTTTTCCATGTGTAAATGATCCAAGTTGTACCCAGATCTACTCCAAATCAGAATTGCTTTACTATTAATTTAAACGGAGGAGATCAACTTGCACACAATTTTGGGGAAGACTGTCTACTTCCATAGGAATTAATGGCGATTCCGACGCATCCAGGAACTCCTTGTGCAAATCTGGGACCAGATATGCATGGAATTCAACTCAAAGTTGAATAAACCTTCTGCCTTTTAAAGCTGAAATACACATGGAGCTTCTCACATTAAAATAAAAATTTTAAAAAAGCAATGACAAGTGTATATCTAAATTTGTAGATAGAATTCTAACAAAAGAAACTTGAGTCTTTTTTGGAACGTATGTTTAAATGAGCATAATGCCTGAACAATAGACAAGTCATGGATTCCTTAATCGCGAAGACAAAGCAACCTTCAATTAAGATGAAGTAATTCTAAAGCAAAATAGTGTAGTAGTTAAAAAAGAATCACCCACTTATTTTTAAAAGATAGTGGACAGTCCTCTTCTTTCTTTGCTGGTCATTCAGAAGTGTCAGAACATAGATAAGTGATACACCAGAGAATCAGTTTCCAGTGGTCTCCTCAGAACTTCCAGTTGCTGGGATTTTTGCAGACTTTTTCACTAGATATAGTTGGCTCCTTCCATGTGTGTCTTATCTTCTTAAGCAAGAGTGTATTCATTATCACTGAATATAGATTAGTTGTGCCTTGACTCTTATGACATCCTGAGAACACACTCGTTCTTTATAAATTTAATCATGTACAGCCACCTACAGAGAATCATGGGGTGGATATTTATCTAAGTTTCTCTGTCACAGTATCCCGTTGGCCCAGAAGCGGTTTAGTCATGAAGTGAGATGAGCGCCGCAACCCCATAGTCACCTTTGACTGTACTTAATTGTCCGGGGTCCTTTAGCTTTTTGTTGTTGTTTAGTTGTTTAGTCGTGTCCAACTCTTCGTGACCCCATGGACCAGAGCACGCCAGGCACTCCTGTCTTCCACTGCCTCCCGCAGTTTGGTCAAACTCATGCTGGTAGCTTAGAGAACACTATCCAACCATCTCATCCTCTGTCGTCCCCTCCTCCTTGTGTCCTCCATCTTTCCCAACATCAGGGTCTTTTCCAGGGAGTCTTCTCTTCTCATGAGGTGGCCAAAGTATTGGAGTCTCTTAGCTTTTTACCTTTACCTTATTCACAGTAGACCCACTAAAATCAATGAACATTATCAAGTTAGTTCCATTAATATCAATGCGACTACTCTAATGAAAACTTAGTTGAATGCAACCCAAAGCATTGGAAGCGACCTCAAAAGTCACCTAG